GAGGGGGGGAGCGTGGAGTCTGACCATCGTTCCTGGGCGGACTTGTGGGGGACGGAGGGGTAGTTGTAAGGAGTCGTAGACTGCGAGGATGGACGCTGTAGCAACTTGTCAGCAAGTGTAAGGTCAACAAGTACGGCACTGCAAGGACCCACCGAAGAGTACGACGTCCTATGCCCGTTCTGCTGCAGCCGCGCAACCTCCTGCAGCTGGCTCGACAGATCCTGCCCCTCCTCACCCGGCAGCACGACGTGATCCCACAGCCCGCCCGACCTCCTCACCGTGTCCCGCCGGTGGACTTCCCTCTGCGCCAGCCTGGCAGCCAGCGACTGATTCTCCTGCGCGTCCAGCGCCGGCCTCGATTCATAACCCTTCCACCCCTCACCATCCAGCTCCTGCAGCCCAGCCTGACCCTCCAGCGTCTTCAACGCATCCAACTGCCTGCCCCTTCTCTGCTCATACTCCTCATGCCTCCTCTTAATCCTTGGCGCAATCGCCTCCAGCTTCTTCAAATCGCTGTACACAGTCGTAGTAGCGGCATTCAGCGCGCGTCGGTTCTCAGGCCTGTTCCTGTCCGGATGCGTCTGCAGCTTCTGCAAGACGAGGTCGGCGTGGCGGTACAACAGCAGGTACATCTGTGCATCGTTGCCCTCCTGCTCGTAGACTTGGGCCTGGGAGGGTCATGTGAGCGACAGCGTTCGTGTGTGCGCGGTGGGTGGGGGGACGGGCGACGCACTTCTTTCTGCATGGTGCTGGCGGTGCGCAGCCAGGCGGCCAGAGGGATATGGCCATTGTAGGTGTAGTTGCCGGCTTGGGCGACGAGGTCCGCGACGCTCACGGGCGCGGCCATGGCGGGGTGTGACGGTGTGACGGGAGATGAGGTGGGTTGTGTGGGCGTAGAGCCTCTACCGATGTAGGTGTAGGTGTGGATGAGGCGTCTTCATGTGTGGGAATGGCAGAACATGTTGGGGGAGTTGCCTGGAGTTGATGCGCATCGAGATGGTGGGTGTTCCGAGACATGGTGGGGCAGGCACGGTCGATCAAGATCAAGACATGCATATCCATACAACCCAGGCGCGCCAAGTACATACAGAGCCTCCATTCACGCCAGACCGAGGAAGCAAACTTCAGCGCATAGACAAAGTAGAACCCCCATCATCTGCCCTCGCTGTCCTCAGACAGCTTCTCCCACTCCGAGTCGGTGCTCAGATCGCCCGTCGACTCGCCCAGCCCCCTCCTCTGCTTCAGCGCTCCATCCCCAAGCTGCGAGAGCCCCGTCGCACCCGCAGTAGCCGCAGACAAGCCTCCAAACTCCGGCTTAGGCGTCTCCTCGCGCGCCCTCGCCTCAGCCGGCCTCTCAATGCGCACGCTCTTCTTAGCCTGCGCCGCCTGGCCCTGGCCCTCCATCTCCGTATCGTCCCCAGAATCCAGCGCCTGCCCCTCAGCCCCCTTGCCGCCCTTCTCCCCGCGCCGCGCCTCGCGGATGCGCTGGGCTTCCTCCTCTTTGGCCTGCGCCGCGCGTATCTCGGCAGCAAACCAGTTGATGCTCCACCACAGGCCGCCGCACAGGCACGACAGGATGATGAAGTGGATGCTGCGAGTGGCGATAAGCATGGTGAAGAAGAGGAGCTGCAGCGCTGCAAATGAGGCGTTTGTTGCGACGAGCAGCGTCGGCGTGGGGCCCGGCGTGAAGATGGAGAGCCAGAGGTTCTCGAAAAAGGACGACATGGTGCGTGGTGGTGCTGGTGCTGCGACGCTGCCGTGTCGAGGAGGGTGCTTGTAGCTCGTGTCGTAGTGTGTTGTGGGCGAAGTGAGCAGATGCGTGTGTGTGGCCGAGGGGAGCCAGTGTGGACCGGCGGAGCAGCGGCGTGCGAGACGGACTGAGTGAGCTGCTTTGACGTGTTGCGGGGCTGGCGTCGGCAGAAGCGCTTCCTGACCCCGGTCCCACGTATCGACTGATTGGCTCGAGCTCTCACATGAACAGCTCCCAGATTAATCCAGATAGGACCCTTGCACTTGTGAATTGATATGCCACTTGTGATGAGGAATCATTGCGCCGATACGAACGGCATATCGTCCTGACATTGTAGATTCTACTCTCCGCCCACACGGGAAACCCCCAACGCAAACAATCAAACTGACATGAATCATAAACTCTTCCATACATCATACACTCCCAACCCTCACATGACCCCGCAGTTGGTCGCAGGCTTGCTCGACCGGTAGTACTCGCGATAGTGCGAACTTTTGTGTTTCCGCCTCCTTTCTCTACCACCATACTCCCACTCCCCACCACCGCCAAACCCATCATTGCCGACAAAGTTGCCATTATACCCATCGCAGACCATCGGCGCAGCGCCATACGGTCCAGTAGGTCGGTGATCGTGCCTCGAACCGTTACCAGGCACCATAGCTTGACTGCCCCAGCCATTCTGGACCAAAGCTGTGTTATTCTGATTGCCCCGACTATTCTGCACCAAAGCCGTGCTATTCTGATTACCCCAATTGCTCGTCCCAAGCGGTGCGTTTCCCCACTGGCCCGGGACTGCGTAGCTGCCGCCAACGGCATTGCGGATCATCTGATTGCAGCCCCACGGCCCTTGCACCATCTCCATTGTCTCCCGGTCTGCGAAGCCGCCGTTGCACATCGGACATGTCATGGCGGGGGCGACGAGAGTCTGGTACGTTTGCCGGTAGGGACAGTTGAGGAGGTCGGAGAGGAATCCGCAGGGCTGGCTCATGGACAGCCAGGAGTGGCCGCATGTGGGCGAGTCGTAGAGAGTGCATCCGCACATGCTGAGGCTGGGGTGGTGTGGGGAAAAGGGGGTGGGTTTCGTCGAGACGTCCAATTTCTTTCCGGAATCGGGAGCGAATGTTAGATAGTGAAAGAGACACAAGTTGTCGAGAATCTTCAAGATCTGCCAGTTGAAGCGGACAGAAGAATATGTCCAAGAAGTGATTGATACATGGCTGAAGTAAATATAATACACTCCCCACAAACATGTGAAGCATCAAAGGCCGTCGTTCACGGATTGAAGTTTCGCACCGTGAAGTCCACATCGTTTGCCCCCTGAGTAATGAAGAATAAGGCAGGCCAGACATTCACGAGCGCGCAATCACTGCCCTGGCTTCGACTTGTCGTCGAGGGAGATCGCCGACTCGGCATCGTCAGATGCATCTTGCTGGTCTTGTTTCTTGATTTGCTGCATGAGCTCGTACAGCTGGCCAATCTGCTGATCTGTACTCCCATAAACACACCGTCAAGCAGAAAACATCAAGTGAAAACATACCGCTCATTTTATCAATCTTAGCCTTATCCATCTTGTCTCCTCTCCAAGAATCACCCTCGAGCATCTGTGCGTACAGCTGCCACTCTGTGAGAAACCCAATCTACACATGTATATTAACATGGGGTTTTTTTGCTGGGGGGCGTTGGATGACCTCACGATTTGAACGGGATTCTCTACATCCCTATGCGCGCGGAATTCAGCTTTGATGTACATGTCACCCAGCATTCGTTCCTCAACACCCAGCCTCTTTCGATGAGAGCGTAATAGACGGCGGTAGAGGGGAATTGGCGGCAGGAGAGCCATGGGCGCTGGTCTGAAGGGGCGCGAGGAACCTGCGTCCGTCGCCACGGCTAGGAGGCGAGTACACGGCCTCATGTTTTTACAGTGTTGGAATTATAGGAATTACGGAGAAAATAAGGTGAAGAAGACGAAAGTGATGAATTCATAGATCTTGGAGATGACCTACTTCTACCTTACTTTCGTTTCGGGGTTGCATAACTCCGCTAGCGCCTATTGGCTCTCTTCCCCGACCTTGTTCAACACCACTACGCCAACTTCTCTAACCATGCTCCCGACTCCCTCCACATCCCACGTCTGCTTTGATCGCGTCTACGAGCCAGCTGAAGACTCGTATCTGCTCCTCGACACGCTATCCTCGCCCTCAGAAACCACTTTCCTGCGCGCCCGCTTCAAGCAGCCATCTTGCGCCCCGCCATTAGTTCTCGAAGTCGGCGTGGGCTCAGGCGTAGTCCTAGCTTTCGTAGCCGCGAACGCAGACACGATATTCGGGCGCCACGATGTACTGACCCTCGGGACTGACATCAACAGCTTCGCGTGCCGCGCCGCCTCGCAAACAGTGCGCAATGCAGTGAAAGAGCGGGAGAGTGGGAGGAGCGTCTTCCTGGATGTTGTGAATGGCGACCTAGCTTCTGCGCTTCGCCCGCACTCGGTCGATGTGTTCATATTCAACCCGCCGTATGTTCCTGCTGAGCTGCCGGATCTCGCGCGCCATACCGGTTATAATGATGTTCCTGCGGGTGGGCAGAAGACGTCTTTTGAACAGGATTCGTATCTGCTGGAGCTGTCGTATGCTGGCGGCGAGGATGGCATGGTGGTGACGGATAGGATGCTGGAGCAGATCCCGGGCATATTGAGTAAGGGGACAGGCGTCGCATATGTGCTGCTGTGCGCGCAGAACAAGCCTGAGGTCGTCAAGCAGCGGATAAGAGAGTGGGGGCCTGGCTGGAAGGCGGAGACTGTGGGCTCGAGTGGGCAGAAGGCTGGGTGGGAGAAACTTCAGATTGTGAGGATATGGAAGAGTACGAATTGAGCTGAACATGGTTGAGGGTAACCCAAGAGGGTGACACGACTCGAACTTCTTCAGGAGGGTTTACTTCTGGTGCTCTACTCTATGCGTCGGTATCAAACGTCACGTCCATATCCACCAAAGCTGCCTTACCACCCAACTTCTCCAACATACCTCGCGCCACAGGACCCATCTCGTCCACCAACTTTTCCGTAGTTGGCCGCTCGTCTGGTTTGTGAGAAAGACACCGCATCATCCAGTCATTAAGCTCATCGCCATACCGATGATTCAACGAACTAATCCCCCGCTCCTCCTGCTCCTCCCTAGAAAGATTAATCCGCACAACCCTCCTCGGCACCCTCGCAGCAAAGTAATGCTCCGGACTCGGATAAACCCTCGCCCCCTTCGGCAGCCCCTTCTTCCCCATCCGCCTCCGCCTCATCTCCCCATACGCATCCACATCCCCAACCGGCGGCTCCCCAACAGCCAGGAAATACACACAAGCCCCCACCGCCCAGACCTCCGCCGCCGTATTATTAATCCGCGGATTCTCAGGCCCCTGCCACTCGAACGTGCCGCAAATACTCGTCCGCCTTGTCTTCCCCGTTCGCTTCACAATTTTCATGCAGTCAAAGTCGTGCAGCTTGAACGACGGATACGCCGTCCCGTTGTGCACGACTAGCACGTTTTCAGGCTTGATGTCGCGATGTAGCAGCACCTCCCTCGTCGCCGTCGCTGGGCCGAGCGCACACTGCAGAAACGCAAGCGCTTGGCTTATTTGTAGGAAGAACCGCCATATGTGACTTTCTGGCACGGGCTTGTTCCTATCGTCGAAGTGCGTTTCTTTCCACGCCATCACGTCGCCCAGCGGACAGTACGCATAGAACGCCGTGCCGTGCGCGGTATCGGGGGTGGACGGGGCGTAGAAAGTGTGTATCAGCACGCGGTTGCAGCGCGGGAGGAGGTTCAGGGCCCGGATTTCTGCGGGGAACGGCGAGCGCGAGGTCTTGGGGGAGTGGGCGAGGACCTTTTTTATGAGGAGCGTGGTGGGGGCGGTTTTGTGCTGGACGAGGGAGACGGCGCGGGTTATGTGCTGCTTTTTCTTCCAGTCGAGTGGGTTGAATGGGAGGGGGAGGGGGGAGGGCTTTTGTCGCTTGGGGGGTGGTGGGGTGAGAGGTGGTGTGGTTGGGGCTTTGCGTTTGGGCATTTCTGGTGTTGGGATGGATGGGTAGTGGAGGTTATGGTCACATTTGCAGTCACAGTTGGGAAGATGAGGGTTTTACTACAAAAGTGACGGGCTTTGATTTATTATCTGTCTGTCTTTATGCCATGTCATGCTGTTGTGTTATGTTGTGTTGTGATGTTCGAGTGGCATTCGAGACTTGTTTGTTCCGGTGCGTTCGGCCTGTCTTTGTTGTTGACACAAGAGCATTGTATAAAGAGGAGTAGTGACATTGTGCTCAGAAGCTTGAATGTAAGCCTTCGTCAAAGACACGGTAGCTGGTGATTATTCACTCATCCTTAATCTCACACGGAGTTGAAACTGTGCGAAATATCATGCACAGTCTCCCACCCATCCCAATGAAGCCCATCCCAGTGAACGTCCCAGCACGTGCCGCAGTTAGCAGCGCAGCCTGGTCCTAGCGCGACCGCCAAGGCCTCGTGGTCGTAATTTCCCTACTGGAGCTTCCCCACGCCAACACGACATCCCAGCAGCAGCACAACGAGTGAGCATCGCAAAACCCCTCATACCGACACCGTCGACTTGAATTCTCCAGTCGCGCAGAGCTAGAAATCGCAGTTATGAAGCTCGTTAGGTGCGTGAAGGATGGGAATCAATGTAAAAGGTGGAGCTATAGCTTACTGATGGCGAGCGCAGGTTTCTTATGAAGTGCCAGAATGAGACGGTTACGGTGGAACTCAAGAATGGTAGGGAGTTTGTTTTATTTGTCTTTGCTTGGTCTGGGTACGAGCGCTGTCGACACGTTACTTGCTCGTCTCGACTCTATGCGTTGTGTCGAGCTCCAGATCAATCCTTCCCAACGCCCAAAGAATGCGCGTCCTGACTCACTCTAGGCACAATTGTAAACGGCACCATCACCTCCGTCTCGCCCCTCATGAACGTCGCGCTCCGAGCAGTCAAGTACACGCCCAAGGGCCGCGACACCGTCGCCCTCGACACAATGACGGTCCGCGGCTCAACCGTCCGATACATCATCCTCCCCGACTCGTTACCGCTGGACACGCTGCTCATCGACGACGCGCCGAAGCCCAAGAACAAGGCGAGGAAAGAAGGTGCGGATCGCGGCGGTCCCCGTGGTGGAGGTGGACGCGGAGGAGGCAGAGGTGGAGGCGGTCGTGGCGGGCGTGGCGGCGGTGGACGCGGTGGAGGAGGAGGCCGGGGCCGAGGACGGGGGTTCTAGATGCTTTGGGCGTGTGAAGGAATGGCTTAGCGAAAGATATACGAGGCAGGGTCGAAGCTTGTGTGTGTGTGATGCAAAAGCACAGGGTATGGGACTCCGTGAGACGAAGACACCGCAAGTTGATGCGTATTAGGACCACGCTTGGATCGGTCAGGGCATGCGAGATTTACAACAGCATGCACGGCGTTTTCGGGGGATTGGGTACGCGCGTGGAAGAAGTACAGACATGTACACGAAATTGAGATGGATGCCGCGTCGATGCGCTTCTTTCTTGCGAACCATTACTTTTCCTTCATGTCACTCAACGGGCTCGTCACTAATTCAGTGTTTGATATGCTAAAGCTACAGATATCCATTGCTGGGAAAACTCGACACAATTTCGCATCCTACTCCGCATCCTCATGCGCAACAGGCGGTGTATCATCTACCTGAATTCCACCCCTCTTCTTCTCCCCGCTATCATGGAACGGCAGCTTCCACCCACCCTCGTCCTCGGGCGTGCTCAACCACAGCCTCATCAGGTGTCTGCGCGGCGCCGGCGCCGGGTAGTCTTTGTACGCCGTGCGCGCGTGCAGCACGTGGTTGTTGGACAGGAACTGGATGTCGCCGATGTCGAGCACCATGTGCAGCGCCAGACGCAGGCACGTCTCCTCCAGAATCAGTGCGGCCCGCTGCTGTTCCTCTGATAGCGGCGGGATCAGCCCCGCGTCGCTGAATCGGCTCAGGGAGCGCACGAAGTACGGATCCCATCTACACGGTGTGCGTTAGTCGCTGCTTTCCCCACCGCCTTGCTTCGGAAGCGGATATAAACGTACTTGGAATACACGCGCCCCCCCTCCCCAGTCTCGAGATAAAACACACTGGCGCGAATCCACTCCCTCTGCCCCCTACTAACCTCCCCCTTCCTATCAAAATACCAAATCGGCTGCGTCAGCAAGCTTGCCACATCAGGGTGTTCTTCCTGCAGCACATTCCACACGCTATGGCTGCTGACGAGGTCGCTCTCGCCGCCCTCGAGCGCCTTGGCCACGCACAGCAGCCCGACGAGATCGGCGTCGTCGGCGTGGAAGAATTGCCGCGCGTTGGTCCGGTAGATGCGCACTTTGTCGATTTGGGACGCGTCTTCACCTAGGTCCTTGACGTGGCCTAAAACGTGCCCGCGGCTGTTTTGCGAGACGAAGTAGCCTAGGTAGGTGCCTAGGCCCATGTACGCAACTATACATTATATCCATCAGCACCAGCATCGTCGGGATTACACTCATGGGGGTAAGGATAAAACATACCAGCACTCTTCGCATTCCCCCACTCCCTCACCGGCATCCCCTTGAACAAAATAAACCCCTTCCCATCAACAAGCTCCTTGCGCAACACGGCCAGAAACCCGCTGAACGCAGGTAACGCGAACTTCTCCCGCGTAATCCCCGTCAGCGGCTCCCCAGACGCTATGAAGGCGTCGGCTGCGCTGCTGATCTCGCTGATCTCGCCCTCGGAGAAGTGGTGCGTCCATCGCTCGGGGTGCGAGGCGTAGTCGGAGGCGCGCCAGGCTGTTGGTCCCGTGATTGAGGTTGGGAAGGCGCTGTAGGGTTGGATTTTGGCGTAGAGCGGGTCGTGTTGGCCGGAGGTGCGGAGGCCGTCTGGGAAGAGGGAGGGGGTGACGGTCTTGGTTGTGGGTGGTTGGGGGAGGTGGTGGGGAGGCGTTGGGGCGGAGGCAGTGAGGGAGGGCGCCATGTTGACTTTCTACGCAGAAAGCAAGGAGATGAAAAAAGATAGGAGGAGGTTATTCTCTTTCAATCCAGTCTTATTCCACTGGACAATTCAGCAAATAATCTGTCTGCCACCAAAAAATCGTCTTGCAATAAATTTCCAAAGCACAAAGTATGTGAAACAACAACAACTTTCCCCCAGCAAGACGACCAAACCACCGCCTTTTTATATTTACCCCACTCCTTACTTTTACTACACCCCTCCACCCTGCACACAAGCATACATACGCACATACGTACCTGCCCCTCCTTGGTTTTCCCCTCATCCAGCGTCGCAATCACACCATACCAAGCACCCTGTTGTGATCGCCCGCGCGAATGGCGTGCTTACTCCCCTGGAACTCGCGATATCTCTCGACCCCACCACGCAGCTACGCCATGCATGCCGACCCCTCGTTGCGAGCTTATCAAAGGTCGGGGGGAAGTGCCGGGACGATTGGGGGATTTGAGGGGAGGGAGTGTGGGTATTATTGTGTTGCGTGGACGTGTTGGTAGATAGAGGTGGTGGTTTAGACTAGCGAAATGCATGTATGCAGGTGTGTAGTTCAAAGCACCCCGCAGAATGTCAGGTACCTGTGTGTATGTATGTGTGTATCAAGCCCCACTCCAGTTTACCCTACTGTACTATTCCAACGCCATGTAAATGCCGCGCCAAAACCCATAACCACCACTCCAAACACCACGCCAGGCGCGTCTAAAACCCCTCAAGACACTCCCCAACCACCGCCTCCAACATCCTCAGCTCATAAAAGCCCGCCACATTCGCATAAACGCCCAACCTTCTCTGCACATCCGCGCGATTCTTCGTCCCAACCCACTCCCCCGCACAAGCGCAATGCTCCATAAACTCATTGGCGCGCAGACGGGCACACTTGGCGCACTTGAGGTCCTGCGTGCACCACTCGAGCACAATCTTCTGCACGTCGGCGACGAGCTGCTCTTCGATGCGTAGTTTGTCGTAGCCCGCGCCGCAGCGCTCGTTGTCGCACTTCCACTTTGGCAATGGGGGTGCTGCGGCATCGGTATTCGAGGGCGGGGCGGGGAGCAGCGATGCGTCGCGGCAGAGATCTAGGTCGCGACTTGCTGTGCATTCGTCGCAGATGACGCCGCGGACGACGAGGGCGGCGCTGGGGTTTGCGAAGCTGGCCTCGGCGCTGAACTCGCGGATGTCGAAGAGGTGGAGGAGTTCTTTGCGTAGCATGCGTGCTTCAAGGCTGATGGCGCGGTCGAGGCTTAGGACTTGCATGATGGATTTGACGAGTTGGAGGACTGGGTTTTTGAGCGAGAGGTGCGAGCCCGGGAGCGTGGGGAAGATGTAGTCAGCTGCGAGTTCGGGGTGGAGGATCTCTGCGTGCTGGCGACGCAGTAGATGGGAGATCTGTCTGAAGAGCGGTTTGGTAAACGTCTTTGGGAGGATCTGGGTCTCCTCGTTGGGGTCGACGGTGAGTGGGCGGAGGGGGATTTGTGTGGGACGCGGCGTGGAGCCGTCTGTGACTGCTGGGCGTTTGCGTGCGTGCATGAGCTCGATGAATTCGATGACCCATTCGTTGAAGGTAGGTTGGAGTGTGGGAGGGAGAAACTGGGCGAGTTGCCAGCACATGATGTTCTCGATCGTTTGGTTCTCCTCTTCGACCACCTCGTTGCAGCCCTTGCCGCCGTAGTTGAACTCGTCGTACCAGACGAGGTAGTCCCAGTACTCCTTCACTTCCAGCTCCATAAACTGGAACAACGGTTTGGCCTTGATTGTCTTGATGATGTACTGACTGTACGCATATGCGTTTCCGACCTCGGCTTTCGTGGTCTGTAATAACAGCCGGTTCGGACTGGCAAAGACGATGTGTGACCCCACGCGCTTGAAGTCTGTCATCAATTGCTGTAGTGTCTTCTTCGACATCATCTCGACGTAGTAGTGCAGAGACCTGTCGTACAGAAACGAGCCTGGACTGCTGACCCATCGAACAAGATGCTGAACCATCACGTCTGCCATGCTGAACCCTTCGCCGGCTCGCACCGCCTCTATCCACCAGGCTTTGACCATCTCACGAAGGACTGTGATACCCGCGCTTGCGAAAGCATTGTCTGAGTAGATGACGTTCGTGCCGTCGTTCGCTGCATCATATGAAGGCGCGGCCGGATTGAAAGACACAGAGTCCGCCCCCTCAAGTTCGTTGATCAGGGAAGACGACAGAATGGTGTTGATCGCGAGGTTTCGCAGGTTCAGGTCGATGCAAACAGAAGAGTATGTGCCTGGGTTATTGATCGAAGGCATTTCAACCGACTCCAAAGGCGCAAGAATATCATCCTTCTCGTACCCGGCGTGGTCAGGTTTCGCCTGGCCAGACCACCAGAGGATCACCCTCTCCTTCTGTAGTCGTCTGGCATATGCGACATCGATTAAGAAACGCGGGTCGTTGCTCTCGAGATTGCAAAGAGGAATGTCTCCATAGCGGGCGAGTTCCATGAGATGAGAGACCCACGAGCCAAGATCAAGGTAGTGACTGACGAGACGTTTGGCGATGAAGGACTGCCAGCCTAGTGGAGGCAGCTGCTTGTCGGATTCATCTGGATGTAATGGCAGAATAGGCAGATCCTTCAACATTGGTATGTCGTGTGAAAGCAATGCTTGATTCGGCGACTGCATGACGACAATAGTAGGCTTACCTTCATCGACCTTCATCCTCTTGATTACGTCGCCAAGCTCGAGCAACGCTTTCCGTCTCGTAGTCACCATAGTAGTCCGGAAGTGGATGTCTTCTTGGTACTCGATCATCGTTTGCCACGGCTCACCCTCGTTGTCCTCAAATCGTCTGTGCAGCGCATCGCTGTAAAGCCGGTCAACATTGGGCATGCCCTGTGAATCCTTGGACTTGTTCTGAATAATGATATGAGCCTCACTCCTCGAGGTCGAGAAGAGCGCGTAGATGTTGCGATCGCCACTGCTAACATGGTACAAATAGAGGAAACTAAGCGGCGCCTCCGAAAGGTATGGCTGTTTTGTCGGCACTTTTCGTAGCGCGGACAGATCAAAACCCTGTTCCAAACCCTTACCGAGAACACCCTTCTGCGACTCGTCGAAAGTGCAGATGCTGCCTAGTTCGAGGATGGCGCGAATGTTCAGTGGAACTTGTTTCTCATACACGCCTTCGACGCTGGGATGGTTGAACAGCGCCGCAATGTTCTTCGCTTCATGGACATATGTCTGTTCAGACATCTGAAGTTTGAACAAATGGATCGACGGGTGTCCATTCGGCAGGGTGTGATTCACAAGTTTCTCCACAGAACATCCGCTAATCGACACGTCTGGGAGATCGTCGCTTCTCAGATTTAAGTACAGCTGCCGTTGCACGATGATCTTCAATGTATGGATCTTCTTGTCGATGAGTACAAAAGCCTTAACTTCTCCCGGTGTTTCGGTGAGTCGTAGCTGGATAAGCTGCCACGTGCTGATGAAGAGCAGCTCAGCCTGGTTTCTGAAGAAGGTACCGATTGCGTCCGAAGCATCGACAGGCTTCTCTCCAAACAGCTGTCGTCTCCGCGCGCGTGCCTGTTTCTGTATCTTCCACTTCTGCTTCTGATACATGAGCCAGCCTGAGTAGTCCTCAGTGATGGAGGGCATAATCTTCGGCAAGGCGGCATATGGATCAGTCTGGATGGGTACAGCCGGCTCAGGTTCTTTTCGCTTTGCGACCCTCTTCGTGACAAGGCCTTTCTTAACTTGCGAGAGAACGGTCATTTTTGCAGCACCAAAATCCTCCAAATCACCGGCGAGTTTGTTGTTCGCTACGTTTGCATCGCCGTTGGTCAAGGCCTTCTTGCTGAACATGTCTGTCATCTTCGTTTGCTGTAGCTTGTCCTCTTTCTGACGGATCCTCCGATCGAGCCACTCCGGATGTGGAACCCTTGGAACTGGATTGCGGACTTTTTGGAGTGCCGCCGGGATGGTGATGAGCTTCTGGATGACAGAGGCCAGACGTTCCCGATAGTAGTCCCAATCCAGCACAGTTCTAGGATCCATATCCCCAGGGTCTTCCTTCATCCACTTCCGCAAGAAGTACCGCTTCACCGACTCTTCAGCGGAGAAGATAGACATGGGAATGGCGCGTTCCGTGACCGGAGCGTTCCTAGGCCTCGAGGAAATGATGTACTTGCAGTTCAAGCCCTTGTCTTTGACCATTTGCTCGCCCAAGAACTCAGCGAGACGCTTGGCAGTCGTGATAGCGGTTGACTTTTGCGCTCCGTATTCCTCCAGTGTCTTCGTCATGTTCTTGTTCTCGACGATGAGATCAATGAGTTCCTCGTCCGCCAAGGTAGCACCGCGTGTGTCTAGGATGTCGAGCCATCGATTTGCGACGTTTGCAACCGCGCCATAAGTCTCTTCCAGCGTTGTGCCTTCCAAGAAGAACTTGAAGATCTGGGCCTGGAAGTTCTTGATAAGTTTCAGTTCACCACGTCGCTTCACCTCAAAACCCTTGAGTTCTGCCAAGCTGCCGTCGTGGTTGAAGACAGCATATCGTTTCTTTAAATTCTTATCCTCCTCTTTCGACGTAGGCAAGATCATGGCCCTATACGGTCCGTCGACCTCAAAGAAGATAGAGTTGTCGCTGTGCTTCTCGTATCGGAACGACTGCGGATCTGTCAGGGTCTCATAGTTATGATTCGTAAACTGAGCGTGAACCAAGTGGTTCAACATGGTACAAGGATACGAGATCGTCATCTTCTTGCCATTGCTGAGCTTGAAGGAGAAGTTCTCAGGAAATGTCGCGGGAAGAATGGCCCAGATACCATCAGTATCCAGTTCTAGCGGTCGCCCGATCCTCTCGACAAGCGACCGAGCCAGTTGAATAATCCGTGCGCCCGTCAAACAAGTGACACCGGCCATCTCCAGGGAATACCATCGAGACCCCTTTCGCATGACATAGCCGTAAAATGAGTTGAGAATGACCTTGTGCGCCAACTGCATAGAATCGAACAGAATGATCATCTTCTTCGCATCTTCAACATCCGAAGCCGGAGCGCCAGCAGCTTTCAGCGCCTCCGTCTTTCCTTTCCAGACCTTTTGCTTGCCCTTGAAGTCGTATCGACGATCACGAAAGCCGCTAACGGTGTCCACGTAGAAAGGATTCTCACGCTGGCAGATGATGGCTTCACGCTCGATTGTTGTCGATTCGTGGATCTTGTGGTAGATCTTTTTGGAATAGTCGGTTAAGCGTTTTCTTGTCAAAGTAGCCTGCTCTTCGTGGGAGAGTTCTTGGAATGTCCGTGTCGGAGAGTTAGGATATTTCCCTGGAAAGCGCTCGTTTTCCAAGGCATGTCGAACCATGTTGTATTCATCTCGCTTCGCGGGTAAGTATTCACCTCTCCAGGCCCACGGCATCCGACGATCACATGTCTTCCCTGGGCGGTTGAAGTCGCATGCTGCGCAATTTGACTCATTGATCATAGAGTCCGGTTGGAGTCGGTTCGTGGTCATGATGTTGGGGTACATAGAGGCAACGTCCAGATGGTAGATCAGCGGTCGTTCATTCCGGTTTGGGGTGTTCTTGAGCTGCGTCAGCTTCTCGATAATCTGGGACTTCACCTCGTCGTAGTTGGTAATGTCCTCCATCTTTTTCTTCTCCTCGACCTCAACGCTGAACTTGAGGGCCGCATCCAGATCCCGAATCAGCTCATCGATAGCCGTGGTGTCAATCGCAAAATTATATGGAATGTCACTTCGGAAAACACCAGCCTCTATACTCTCGACGTGACCACCAACATATGTCTCTGACTCGAGGAGATGACCGTCCCAGAAGGCCTCCTTGGGAGCCTGGTGCTTGTTCGGCAGAACAATACCCTTCTGATACGCTTGCACCATCAACAACATCTCGCACAGGGTACCCGTACCCTTACGCAGAGCATCATCCGGACCCAAGGGTAAAATCTTGCACAAGGCGAAAATGAACGGATGCACATATTTCATGTACAAATAGTAGGTCGCAACAGCATCAGAGACTGAGTACTCGGCAAGTGTCTGGGGTCGTTCGGAAGCGTATGGTGTCATCAACTCGGGATCAAGCTCGTCTGGATCGTACCCTAGTTTGGCCATTGTAACAGCTTTCAGGCCACGACTTCCTTGTGGTAGGTAACTGTCTCGACTGACCCACGCAAAGGCATCCATGTGTGCACAGTAATCTGACTGGTAGATGTCCTCGCTGTTTTTCCTGAAGCCAATCTCCTGGTACATATCGATTCCCAAAACACTAGCTCTTGCTTCGACGAATGGCCAATCGAAGAAATCTCCGTTGTATGTGACCATGACTGTTGGCCTGGCCTCTTTGATATGCTCGAAGAAACGCTCTATCAATCCCTTCTCATCCGGTTCATTGAAAATCATAAAAGGTCCTTGATATTCCGGCTTCGGTGTGTATTCAAAATCTTGGATATCCTCAGATACAATCTCGCGGTTCGTGATTAAGAAACCCTGGCCATCGATCATGTACGATATCATCATAATCTGGTCGAAGACAGCGTCGGGGAATTTGAGCGGCAGCTTCGTCGTCTCGATGTCGTATGCCATGATTACAGGGTCCGCAGGGGTGAGGCGATCCTCTATGCAAGTGATTGTGATCACGCCGTGCTTGGCATCAACGGTATACCAGTTTCCAATTCGAACATCTTTGTCGATGGCCACTCGGACGTGATATGGAACGTCGTATTCGCGGATATCGACGATAAAATCGCTGGCGTCAACCGTAGTCATGATTCGTTTCTCGTACTCGTAGTCTTCGTTATCGAAAAAGTCAAAGCCAACATTCCCACTATGGTTTGTTAGCACAAAGCAACGTTTCAACCGTGTCGAGAAGCTTACCTGGCGACTTCCGCGTATGTATCCATAGCATTAACATTCTTCTTGTTCTTCTCCACCACTGGGTTGACCGCCTTTCTTACAGCCAGCAAGTCATTCACATTCGCAAACGACAGCTGCAAAAACGTCCTCCGATATCCAGTCAGATGGTTCGGCATAGAGAGATCCTCCTTCTCGACCCTCTTGAAAGTCTTAACAAGCCCCTCAAAAGACCTCCGACACCACTCCTCCACCTCTTGCTCCTTGCCCTTCTTGACTGCCAGCAAGAAGTACGGGTCATACTCCAGGGTCGCCTTGAACGTGTCGCCATCCTCGCCGATGAAGTAGTAATCCACGCCCGCTTTCCCGCCAGGTACGTTCTCGTCTTCTATTGCCGTCGAACGCATGTTGACAAGCCAGCCGACTTTCTTCTTCCCCGACTCGAAGCGCGCGAAGCCCATAGTCTCATCGATGCGGTTTGCAAGGCGTGTGGCTTCCAACTTCTCGTTCTGTGATGTGGCTTCGGTGCTGCGTAAGGACGAGGCATCGACCGTCTTTGGTTTTCGTGGGCCGTAGGATGTGTTGCCCTGCTTGCCCACCCGGCGGAAGGGCTGGCCTGCTCGTCGCGGCGCCATGGTGTGTGAGGAAGAGAAATGTACTACGATTAAATGCTAGACTATGCAAAACAGGGTATCATAAGAGCGATTGAAAGGGCCGGTAGAAGCAGGCTATCTGGAATTGAAGGCGGGGGTGCGTGTAAGGAGAGAGTGGTGGTGGTAGTGAGGCACTTTCAGGAATCGTATAACGCGACGCGCTCGCGTGGTTGAACCGTGTTGCGCGCCTTCCCCTTTCGAGGACATCAATTAGGCCCCACTTCAACAGCCACAGTAGTGGCAGTACCAATCTCGGTCGCCATTCTCCATCATCCTCCAACACCAACTGCAATGTTCTACATCGTCCCAAACATGTCGTCAGATGATAAATCAAGAGAGGCAAATATAGCCGAATCATTTAGAAACGAGTTGATATCGCTAAATAGCTCAATCATCGAACAAGTTACCGATATAGTGAGCAAAAACGAGCCAGCGTCAGACCTTTGGCCCCAACTTCGAAAGGTGAATTTTGATTACAAGGCAAAGAGATCCAAGATTCTTGAACCGGAGAAGCCGAAACCTGAGCCAGTTAGTAAGTAGTTGGAAACAGAATGCGTAACAAAAGCCCTCGTTCTTATTCCGTCTAGGTCCACAAGCCATGGCTAAGCCCAGCCAACAAGACGATTTTAAGCACAGAATTCTGGAGGAAGATGTCTCCATAGTGTGGCCTTTGTCGCCTCAACTACAGAGTTCATTGCAGATTCCCGCTACTGCTGAGAAAGTCACAATCCAGGGTGAACCGGCATCAACATTGCGTTTAGCTTTAGAAGACCTTCTCACACAAGGTAACGTACTCTATCAGTACTTCCAAAGAGCTGTTGTTCGCATATCACCAGACACAGTTGTCAAGATCAACAAATCACAAGATACAACAGAGGTACATATACTTGACCACATTCGCAAACACACGCAAGAACTTCCCGTACCTACGCCCCTTGGCATGATCAGAATCGGAAAATGGGCTTACACTTTCACATCCTTCATCCCAGGAATCTCTCTTGATTCTGTCTGGTCAAATCTCTCGCTAGACAAGAAATGCCATGTGCGAGAACAACTCAACCACCATTTCGCTGAGCTGAGACGACTTCCAATCCCATCAGAAGAAGGATACTTAGGAGGGGGATTGCCACTTATATGTAAAGGCGGCCATCGCTTCAGGAAGGAAAGCTCAACGCCTATTGCCAACAATGCCCAGTTCAACGATTTCCTCCTTGATGATTCCTGCATGGAACAAGCTCGTCTTGACTATGTCCGTGGTTGTATGCCAAGCGATCATCGTATCGTGATGACACACGGCGATCTATGTCCACTCAATATCCTAGTTGAGAGCGAGGATGTACTAACCATCACTGGGATTGTCGACTGGGAGACTGGAGGGGCATACCCTGAGTATTGGGAATATGTCAACGCTTTCAGATCCTCGTTTATTGATCGAAGCGATTGGTGTCTATATTTACCCGAGTTTGGTATAGGGAAGTTCTTCGATGAATATGCGAGGGATCATGTTATTGAACGCTTTGCAACTTCATAGCTGTTTTGTTGGGTCGTTTGCGTTCCATTAATAGTGTACCAATTTTATACAGCGTCAAGGTACTTGATTTCAAATAAATGATGTTTAAGAACTTCTTATTATGAATATGAATACTCTTGAATTTCACAGAAACAATAATCCTAAACACATACTCAAAGACCTTTGTTGCGCGCCTTTGTGTTGCAAGGACATTTACTAAGCCCCACATCACCAGCCACACAAGTGGCAGTGCCCTCCCGAGCTGTCATCATGGATATTTTTCGGCCCTTCTCTGCACCACCGCGAGAACAACTCCACCACCAAACCCAGCGCAACCCACGAGCCCCGTCTCCCCACCAGCCCCGCCCAAATCACACAAACACCCCAACCTCCAACCCGCCAACATCGCCCCTCCAAACCACCCAAATCACACCACCATGGCAGACGACACGCGGAAACCCTCGCCGCAAGCCCCCCCTCCGCCTCGCGCACCCGCAAACGTCATGCCGGGCGGGACCGCGCACACGGCCGGCGGCGAGAAGACCTCCGCCGCAGGACCGACCTACATCGACGCGGTGCGCAGTCTAGGGCCAGAATACTATCTGAATTTCCACAAGCGGCCGTGTATACGGGACAGTCAATTGCAGGGCATAGCGGCGGGGTTTGCGGGCGGGAGTCTGGCGGCTATAATAGGGAGTATGTTGCCCTTGTGTTCCCTCCCGGAGATGGGGATGGGGGTGGTGAAGATTGCATGCTAATGGGGAGACAGAACCAGTGCTTATAGCGTCGAATTGGGCGGTGGCGACTTGGTGCGGTGTTAGTGTTGTGTCGTATCAGGTGTGTCAGTATTATCGCAGTAAGGAGAAGGCGGGGATGAAGCAGGCGGCGGATCTTATGGAGAAGAAGCGCGCGAGTATTGAAGCGAAGAAGGAAGCGAGGAGGAGAGCGAGGGAGGAATATGACAGGAAGGAAGAGGCGCTGAGGAGAGAGGAGGAGAGGAAACGGTCGTGGGGATACTGGTATGAAAAGAACGTCAAGTTTTGGTAATGACGATACGGCTGTTTGGAGTTTGGTAGTGTGGGATGCATTGTACAGGACTTGTACGAACACTGTAAAATATGTGCATGATTTGCACGCATGATTCGATTGTAGATATCGATCGGAGCCTAGCCGAAACCCAAAATGAATATTCAAAACCCGCACCCCATGCTGAACGCCCAACGCGCATCCCCTTGACAACCTTAAAAAGAGTTCGTGAAATCGTCATCGTACACAGAGATAGAGAGAGTAGACCAACACGCCAATTTCGCCATATATCCAAGTATTACAATTACCTTCGTCCATGCCAGCATCTGGCTACGCGACGAGTCCGACATCCTGTAAAGAGGTTTGATGGACTCGAGAATCTTAGATGGAAGCTGTTTCAAGCAACTCAAGTATTTCCAGGAGGGTTTACTCCCGAAGAGACGAGTACCATGTCGGCCGTCATACAGCAAACTTGACGCTTCTCTGAGAGAAGTCCACTTCTGGCAGGGGCATTTCTCGTTCTACTGTTGAATCTCTGGATGCCTTACCACCAACACCTCGCCGTCTTCTCTCGCTACGCTTTGCTCTGGCCTCGCGGGCTTCTCTTGCTTTCCATTCAGATAGCTGCTGTCTTCTCTTTTGCGACCTAGCGTACGCCATTGCTGGTGTCGGCTTGAAGCCAATGCCGTTCAGACCGGTACCATCATCATCTGGGTCGGTTGAGGGGTCGGCGAGATGACCCGTGATCTCAGTGACCTGCCACGTGAGGGCTGACAGTGAGGGCGACGGTGGCTTCTTCAGTGGGCCAAGCTGCAGAGAGCGATTTCTTGCGCCCGATATTTGGTCTGTTGCGGTCGATGTAGGGTTTTGTTGCGGTGACGTGTGACCCGAAAACGACACGAATACCGAAGGTTGTGCAAAGGAGGCGATATCTGGCAACATGCGGGGTTGCGGCGTCTGAGGGGTCTCTGGTATCTCTCTGAGAACTCCCGACCGTGGCGTGACAGCAACAGCGTCTGAAGTCTCGCCAGCCTGTCGAGACTCCAGGCTCGTCTTTGCAAAGTCTGTGCCCAACGAAGTCACGTCCAGCTTCAGCTTCTTGTGTGCCACATCGTCCACGGGCGTAAGCGGGGACATTGGAATGGCCGAGGTCGCCACGAGGTTCATACCTCGCAGCTGGTCTGCGACTGCATTTCTCGGGCTATCGGCGCCAGACGAGCGCGACGAACTCCAGCCTCGTGGTGGTGCTGATGCAGGGCGTAGAGCGAGCGTCGTGTTGAGCAGCGGTATCTGCGGGGGCTGGTCTCGCTTGCGCTTTGGCGAGGGGTGGGCCAGCTGCGTTGGAGGCATTTCGCCGGTGGATGAGTTACATGGAGAAAGTGGGCGATGGCGAATTTAAATGCGAGTGAAGTGTGATATACTGTTCATGGCAGCTGGTCGGCAAGCACGCGGCCATTTGGAGATCGCCTAGCGAATGTGGGGCACCCATGCAACCTGCAACAGGGCTGAACCGCCCATCTGAACCCCTGTTCACCTGCACCTGATCATCATGCGGAGGAGAACCCGACCCGAGCTGGTTGGGCTTGACATCGGTCTTTGGGTAACGGTGCCTGATCTAGTATGCCCTGCTTCATGTACACATGTGCTGGAAGAGCTAGCTGTAACTGCATTGCGGGAGGAGTTCGCATAGTACCTGCTGCGTTCGCTGACTCCGTAGCTGCCTAATGCGTCGCGCCTGATCTGCCTTCGACTCTCCACCACAAGCATTCGCTCACTGAACTTTGTAGTTTCACGACATTCCACACGGTACACCTCCAGAGCAGTGAACTATAATCTCTTCCTGTACATGTCCCTGATTGCAGTGAATCCTATATTCCGTTGCTACGCTACACTGTTCTCCGCCCAAGAGTCACTCCTCTCCGTTTGATTTGGTCCTCTCTTCTTTCACCATGCAACAAGGCTCGATCCTTTCCTTTTTCAAGAAGTCAGGGTCCTCGCGGCCAGGCCAACCCTATCCAGATGCATCCAGGGCGTCTTCCCATTCCAGGCCAAAGTCGACCAAACAACACCGAGGCCCGGATCGGCGTCGCAATATGGACCTCAAAAAGGTCGCAGACGAAACAAAAGCCGTCTTGCCCCAGATCCTGGCCACCGAACCAAACTTCGACGCAACAGCATCCTCGATTCACGACCTTAATGATCTAGCGCCGCTCAACCCAAAGGACTGCCCGGGTTTCGTCCTACGGCAAGGAGATGCAGAAGCGGGGAAGAAGGGGGCGCGGATCAAAGTCTGGGACATGGACACGTTCGATGCAGCACTAAAACTGGATCCAAACTACAAGATGCACACCCACCTAGGAACACCAGGAGGAGACACAGACAACGAATCATCAGACACCGAGTCCACAATCAGCGAAGACTTGAACGGCCCCCAACCAAGTGACAAGATGGACACCAGCGGACCTCTCGACTCCTCAACCCAAAAAACCGCTACCATAAACACCACCCCCACCACCCGCAAACCCGTCGCAGTCCTCAACCTAGCCTCAGAGCGTTCCCCGGGAGGCGGCTGGCAAAACGGCGCCCTAGCCCAAGAAGAATGCCTCTGCTACCGCTCCACGCTCCCCCTCTCACTCCACAAAACCCACTACCCCCTCCCCCCCCTCTCCGCCCTCCACACCCCCTCCGTCCTCATAATCCGCTCCTCCATGCCAAACGGCCACACCCTACTCACCCCCACCACCCCACCCGCCAACCTCCCCGTCGTAGCCGTAATAAGCGTCGCCGCCCTCCGCCGCCCGGACCTCACGCCCGATCGACTGAAGTTCGAGCACGACGTGCACCGCACGGCTACGAAGAAGAAGATCCGCGTTTCGCTGCGCGTGGCGGCGTCAAAGGGCCATACGAAACTTGTGCTCGGCGCGCTGGGGTGCGGCGTGTTTGGGAATCCGCCTGGGGAGGTGGCGGCGTGCTTTTTGGAGGTTCTGCACGAGACGGAGTTTCAGGGCGGGTGGTGGGAGGAGGTTGTGTTTGCTGTGCTGGATAATGTGAAGGGTGGGGGGAAGGACGGGGATGGGAATTTTGGATTCTTTTTTCGTGGGCTGGATGGGCTGGTTGTGTAGAGGGGGACGGGTGGCTGGCTGGGGAGGGGGTTGCGGTGCGTTTTTGGGTTGTGTGGGAAGGGGATTTGCGGGTGGGAATGAGATGGTTGCGGATTTGTTGACATTAAAGACGAATAAGATATTGGTGCAAGGCTTCAGAGAAGAGGAAGAGTGCAGTGAGACACGTGTTGTGGTTTACTGTTTCACGAAACAACAATGGAGACATTGAGGGGTAATATACAATAACAAATATCTGATTCTAATTTAACTACAAAGCTGTACCCCACCAACAACCACTACATGCCCCACACCAACAACTACCCACCACAAAACCTCCCCACACAACCCGACCCTCACCTCCCCCCAACCCCCGGCGCAGCCGTCTTCAACTGCCCCTTAATATACAGCTGGACATACTTCTGGCTAGGCCAACCGCCCCACTCTTCAACACTCTCAATCTGACGCTTAACAAGCAGCACGATATCCTGCGGAGCCTTGGGCCTCTTATCCTGGCCTTCCTCCAACCAGCCGCCCATAGCAGCCCGCAGGGCGACAAGCATACGGAACAGCATCTTGCTGCCCGAGTGCTGAGCTTGTGCGCGAGCCGTGACCTCGACGTGGTGCTTGGCGAGCCAGGTGGAGAACGAGTATAGGCCCTCGTAGTCGCGGAGGATGCCTAGGGCGCGGACATATGCGTGGAGAGCCGCGGGGCCGGGGACGTGTGGTGGGAGGGGTTTTGCTGCGGGGTTGAGCGTGTGTGTATCTGCGTTTGCGCCTACTAGGTTGCGGAAGAAAGCGCGGAGACGGGGGGAGCCGGTTGAGAGGATGTGTTTTGCGTGCTCGATTGAGGTGGTGCCTTTGTGGGCGAGCTGGGCAGAATAGCGCGTTACGGTGCAGAGAAGGAGGAATTGAACATCGTCGATGTCGAGGCCGATGTTGGCCATTTTGTCCACCATTTCGAATATGATTCTGTATTGGAGGGTGCTTTGACCCATTGCGTTTCCGTTCTGATCTTTGAGTTGCAGCTCAGGGTCGAACTTGTTGAATAGAACCTTCTCCATGAAGGCAGTCCAAGCAGGTCGATAATGAGGTTGGTAGTGTGAGAGAAGTGCGTACGCATATTCCAGCAGATACTGCCTGTTCAGCTTGAACCGGTAGGCATGCTGTTCGGGTGATACGAATCCAGGCGTCTGCGGAAGTAGATGAAGGTGTCGGCTAAACCGACAAAGGAAACGAATAAACGCAGCCAGCAGATATCCGGGAATATGGTGAACCGAACTGTCATTGCCATGTGTACCTGTGAGGAGGTGTCCTATTCCACCATTATAGTCGAGCTTGGCTAGCTCTAACATCCGAAGAACAGTCCCAAAATCTGGACAGGTGTCCAGCAAGAACGCGAGGAATCTTTTCGTAGGGCGAATGCGCTTCGAGCACATGCGGTCGCAGAGCTGTTCGTACGTAGGAATCGATTCGCTGAGATGCACCAAGTGCAATGGAGAGGTTGGGTCTGTTGAGACTTCCTTCATATCACCGGGTAGTAAGACATGTGCTGGCTGCTCAGGATCCTGGATTACGTCTGGTTGGAACTCAGCCGTAGACGACCTTTTAATCTCGAGGTGGTGCAGTTTCTCGAACATGGCCATGTAAACCTCTTGATGTGCAGGCGCGCCCGACGACTCGTGCGCAAGGAAGCACGCCCAAGCCTCCCTTCGAGTCCTCGTCGTCCTGATCCGGCCAGCCCAAAGTAAATGCCCGAGGTGTCTCTGATCCCGATATTGCGATGAGAAGTGAGGTAACGGCGTGCGTGTCTGTATCGTCGGACTCAAATCCGTGTCCCAACCAGCATATATCCCCGCCACGTCTTCCCAGCCGCGAGCAGTGTACCCAGCTTCATACATGCGATGAAGGATTTTCGAAGCCCTGGATGCACCGAACTCGTACCCTTTGTCTTCATCCATGGCTGTCCGGTCCTCTTTCCAAGGTGGCCACGAAGGACCTTTGAGTTCTGCCCATTCTTTTTCCTGTGTGGTCTTCGTGTGAGTAAGTTGAACTCGAGTTACCGACCTAAAGCCTGTCCTTGTCACGGTGATTGCAGGCGTGCAATTGGCCATGAATTGCAAGACATCGAACTGGGCCTTTTCTTGATACAGCGAGTCCTTGATTGGGTTGACGTTGGTGGGCAGAGATATCAACATCAGAAACGCATTGCAGAACTGAGTGACGCCTGAGAGTATCTGAGGCGAAAGGGGCTTCAGACCGTGTACTCCGTCGTGTATTTTTGTCGCTTCAGCAGTAAATAACGCCGCAATCCAGGGTATCGATTCAGGCCATAGCTTGCGTGCGTGACGGAGCAAGCGAATGGCGAGGATCTTGAGGGTCGTCCAGTCCATTGACTCGTCTTTGACTCGAAGGTTAATATGCCTCATGACCACTCCCAGAGCAAATACTTTTATGTGTTCGCGACGCAGAAATAGTGGGATCAAGAAGAATGGCGGTGATTCGGCACCAGGCTTGAAGATTTCAGCGGCTGCGAGAGAATCTGGGTTTAGGAGAGAAAGGGCCCATGGCTTTATATCTGCGGCGTCAAAACCCTTCGAACTCAGCCAGTCAAGCTCTCTTTGCGTATGCTGAAAGTCAGATGGCGTTTCAGACGGTGTGGTGTGGTGCTCGAGATACCGAGCAAGGACAGTATAGATGGAGACCGGGTAAAGATGAGGGGGCACTCTCCGTCTTGGTGGGGTGAGTCTCGAACTCCGTCTCTGCAGACCACCAGGCTTGATGCGCTGATGGCTGGTATGAGACAAATCAAGCCGCGAATCAGGCTTGGTGGTATATAGGTCTCGAGCAGAATTATGGATCGACTCCAGCACATACAAAGGTTGACTTTGTCGCCGAGCCTTCCTGGTTCTACGGCTCAGTTGCATGCGGACCCGACCGTCTGGCTTGAGAGGGTCCACTACATCCTCTGTCTTCTCCTCGAGCGCATGGTCTTCTGGCAAGACTCCATCGTCAGAGCTTTGAGCAGAGTAGTTCCTGGATAGCTGGGATCCATCATGGTGGAGGGGTATGGCACTGCAGGTCCAGGGTCTCGAGGAATGGCTTGACACAGTATGGGCTAGAGTGGCACTTGGCGAAAGGTGCGTACATGTTGATAGACGTTGCTTTCGACGGTGGGTTGCGATGAGGGCAGGATAAGTCTATGCCAAGTCAGATTTCTTCTCTTGGAAGTGCACATATGTTTTTTACCAATTGGCGTACAAGACATGATGTGCGGCGGGAGATGCGCCATGCGACCAGTGACAGGCACAGGGGCATTCATCGACGTTTGCACACGCGTGGGTGTCAATTGCGTCAAGGTGGAGAGCAGATGGAGAATAAAAGACGGTTTTCCGTACAAGACTTGAAGTCGATGCTAGTTTAGTGAGCTAAGCCCATTTGAGACATGCACTTAGCACAGCAGAAAATCGCCCAGTTCGGGACAGTAACATTCATGGGAGAAGCAGAGGAAGAAGCAATCTTATGCTAGACATATTGTATTTCACTCACGAGAGCGTGGGTCTGGGTTTGTTGGCCGTGTTGGGATCGACACGGTGCGACTGCGGCGTTCGTCTTGGCGGCCTGCCTCGCGTTCTTCGCGGGTTGGACTTTGCAAAAACGAGCCTTGACAGCCGTTTCCACCGCGCGCCTTCACCCACGTAATCTACCCGAACGCCCGCGCGTGCTAGCAAGCAACGCCCAGCTCGAGAACGCGTCGTTTGTGCTTGCAGGACCTGCCCTTGCATATTCCAGAGCAGTGAATGTTGGTGACGGAGGCCCGCTGACGACAACGCCGGCCGCCCTGAAGCGCGTTGCTCCTCCGGTAGCATCGCGCGCATCACGAGCATCCCCCATCACCCGTCACCATGGCCACTGCCACTGCCAACGGCACTCTGTCTCCGCCACCGCTGTCGCCCGCGCCCGCGCCCGCCTCGCCGTCCCTTGCAAAACGAAAACGAACCGAGACCAATGCGATTGTCGCCAATGGCGTGTCGCTGCCGGCGCGAGGGAAACCTACGAGTGGGCACGCCTACTCTCTGCAGGCCGCGCTCGAGGATTTCCTTACTGTTCTGAAGAGGTACGACATGACAAGAGGGACGCTCTTCTGGCCTGCCAGTGTGTTTCCTCTCTCCGCCATCTGCGCGCATCCGTGTGTGCACGCATGCAATGGCTGCATGAGCTGGGATGCGCCAGTCGCGTCGCAATGCTTCTGTCTTGCGCTTCCACGCCTACATGCTGGTCACTATGCTGACGCCTATTAGCCACGACACTCAGCCCTCCATCCTGACCCACCCCATCGCCTCTTCCACAACACGGAGCTCATCCGGCGAAGCAGACTCCAAGCGCGCCAAATCGACTCCACCTGCTGCTACCACCACCATTACTGGTCTAATACAGGATGGCGCATATAGCTCCCTGCAGGCACTGGAGAAAGACGTGGAAAGTGCCGTCGCCGAAATCCTCGCATCCAGCGGTGATAACGAAGTGTCCAACGCGCCACCCTCGCTCGAAGATACAAGGTTACAGGCAAAGGCGCTCGCATTCCAGAAGACTCTGAGGAACCTTGTCGAAAGGGAAGATGCGCGCAGGTCTCAATCTCTACAAAGCGACGCCGATCCCGAAGTAGAAAAACAGACGCCGAAAGACGAAGGCACCCCTATTCCTATTAAAGAGGAGGAAGAACCGGAGACGCTGCAGAACCGAACGGTCCTCACGCTGTACGGCACCGCCCAAGTGCCAAAGCAGCTTTTCTCCAGCTTGCAACAACCACAGAGAATCCCACCAACAGATGGCGCATCGAACTTCGATACCTCGGTCAAAGTCACTCTGCCTTTGCGAGAGTCATCTTTGCCAAACTTCATGTCGACGACCGAGGTATTCCCGCTTCCAGACCAAGTGGACAGCAAGAAGACCAAGACTACAACGATAGGAGAGGTTTTCCGAGCGCCTGCGCACCTGCCACAGATCAGCCCCCCAAAGATCGCGAAACCGACAATAGCCAAAGGCAACACGATCACTTTTGCACCACCAGAAACGCCTAAACCCAAGCGGAAAGGCTCCCAGTCATACGCGCATCAACAACTATCAGCTGGATCATGGTTGGGATATGGCGGAATCGACATTCCCAAGGATCAAACGTCACCAACAGCAAGGCAAAAGAGCAGGCAACGAGCTTTGAGCACTGGCGAAGCACAGCAGCCCCCTCCCGAATCAACTCTTGTTGCAGTTCAGCAGGCGCGAGAAGACGCACTGTTTCGCAGTGCCTATTCTAGCTTTGCACCTACCCGAGACGACGCTTCAGCCATCATCCCTGAAGTAATCAAAAACAGGGTGTGGTGGCAGAAGGTGGGCGAGACTCGTTTCAACGATATGTTTCCTATCGATCCAGCGCTGCTTGATGTCGGGGAAGTCGCCGAGGTTGAGACTGGCCAAGTTGACTTGGACGAAGACTTCAAGGAGGCTGTTGAGAATTTTGTCCCCGTTGAAGAGAACCCATTCCTCGAAGCCGACCACAGGAGTGAAGCAGAGAAGAACACGGATGAAATTCTACAGGAGATCTCCGAACTTCTCCAAACCCTGGCGTCCCACCAACGGATACGAAATTCTTCGTTGACAACAAATCCGCGCACGCCCGTGGTTCAGAACGCATCCCTTGCGTCTTTGGCGGGGAGCCCGTTGACACCATCCTCGGAGGAGATTGATGTGTATTCGATGCTCAAGTCACAGCTGACTGTAATGGTATCAATGCTGCCACCATATGCGGTTGCTAAGCTGAACGGCGATCAACTAGAGGAGCTCAACATCAGCCGCACAATTCTTTTTGACACGAAAGAGTACAGGGGTGTCTTGGAGGAAGACCAGCTTTCTAGACTCGCAAAAGCACCAGCACCAGTGGTCGCCCCTGCCACTCTTACGCGGACTGGTTCTGGAACACATCCTCACTACGCCGCCGGCGGTGCTCAGTACGCTCGTCCCACGCCTTCTGCTCATGCATCGACCGCTCGTCCGGTACAGGCTACGCCATTGCACTACCCCCAGCAACAGTCGCTCCATCGGTCATCCTCGATGCATGTTCAACGCTCGCCCTCAGGTCCCGCCCAGGGCTATCAAGCAGGGGCGACATCCTATGCATCTTCTTCCAGACCAGGCTTTCCCGCATCTTCATCATACAATCAGCAAACACCAAGGCCGAGTTACGGACAGACAGCTTCCGGACAATATTATCCGCAGCGTTCTGCGCAGCCGAGTAACTACGGTGGCCCTGTGAGCTCGCAATATCAAGCAACGCCCCAATCTCAAAGTCAGAATCGATATGCCCCACAACAAAGCCAGAACGGTTACTATCCACGGTCCCAAAACGTAGCACCCATGTACAACACGACGCAGACGCCACAAGCACGCAATGCGTCCCCTATGAAAACTGGTGCCGCGCCACTTCAGTCAAACTATGGCACGCGGCCTGCTGGGTATGGCACACCGGTGTCTGGGGGTCAATTGCGCAGTACGTACTATGGACCGTCCCAGTACGGCACTACTCCGCAAGTCCCTGTTTCTTCTGCCTACAATCCTCAGCAGATGATGATTGATAGACAGCAGGCGCAGGTGGCGGCTCAGTCGCAGGCACGGCTGGCGGCGCAGAATAGTTTCAACAGCAGGCAAGGCTCTAGGACGCCTCAGCCGCCGAATGCATCGTATGGGGGGCAGGTGAATGGAGCATCAATGTCGACTTAGCGAGGAGTGTTCAAGAGGAGATTGGCTTCTTGGGAAGCTTTGTAGGGTGGTTTGGGTACTATATGATATCCTGGCGTTTATTCAGGTATAGTCAGAGGAAGTGAATAGGATATTCTGTTTGCCTTTGTTGTTCCGTTTTGGCTTTGGGGGTGAACAAACACTTGCAGTATGCAATACTAGCAGTGTGTTTTCGTACATGAAATATCGGAGGATCTATGCTCCCAGTCTATCGTAGAATGACACATGTATACTTGGTATTGAATACACATTTCCGAGTGATCCGTCTTAGTGTGCCGTGGACCCTGCGTTGCGTCATGTCCCCGGCGCGCGTTCCTAGAACCCCAGCAACCAAGACAAACGCAGCTTCTTGCGCAACACGAGCTATGAAACACTCACAATCTCACCACCATGGCACAACTTTTGCGCGGAAAGCAGGCTGGCGTCAGCAACGACCTTTCTGCTGGCCTGGGACCTGATCTCTTTGTGCTTGATCATGTATGTAGTCGCGCTGTTCCGTCACGCCCCGCGAATGTGCACCAAGGCATTCTCCACCAGCCTGGTCGTCACAAGCTGACGAAGACAGATTCGCAACTATGGCATAAACTCTAAGATAACGCAAATCGCATACGACCCTGTACAATCCCTCATCGCCGTCGGTACAGGCGAAAGCCAGTTCGGCAACGGCCAGATCTATGTCTTCGGCCAGAAAAGAATCGAGGTGGTGCTGCCGCTCCCAAACCGAGCGTCGGTCAAGATACTGCAATTCTGCGGCGAGAAGATATTATGTGTCGACTCGAGGAACGACCTGTCTGTATTCTCACTAGAGACGAAGAGCCTGGTGAATGCGCACTCCCCCGCTGCGAAGATCACGGCGCTGCATAGCGATCCCACCATCGACTATGCGCTCCTTGGAACACAGTATGGAGACGTCTTTGCCTATGACCTGGATAGACAGGCCCTCACACCCTTGAAGATTCCGAACTTGTGGAAGGAGCGGTTTCCCCTGTCGCGACCGACGTCCGTCGTCACGCTGGCCCTGCATCCTCGCGACATCGGCTCCCTGCTAATTGGATACAATTGTGGTGCTGTCGTATACTCGTTCAAGCAGAACAAAGCGCTGAGCTTCTTCCACTACTTGCTTCCGAAAGGGGCGCCTGGAGGCGACTCGGACCCTGGCTCTATACATACAGAGAGGGAACCGCCCTTGACACAGGCTGTCTGGCACCCGACAGGGACCTTCATCTTGACCGGCCATGAGGATGGCAGTATCGTCGTCTGGGACCCCAAAGACGGGAGAATTGTCCAGGCTAGGACATTGCAAGATACCAATGTGAACAACCCAGGGCCTGGCAGCTTCAACCCTGGTGCACTTGAGGGAAGTTTCGCGTTGAAATCACCCATCTTCAAGATTGCCTGGTGCCCAAATCAGGACCCAGACGACACTGCGATACTTGTCGCTGGTGGACAGCCGTCCAACATATCCGCCAAGAGTCTTACTCTTTTCGAGTTGGGTCGAACACCTGTCTACGCCACTTCGTCGTGGCAAGTGCTGGCGGATCACTTCGAAAACCCCAAGAGACAACGGATACTACCATGTCCGCCTGGCACGGAAGTCGTCGATCTATGCTTGATCCCTCGTTCCTCCCCACACTTTGCTGGATGCCACGACCCCATAGCCATCATTGCTTTGCTTGCTTCCGGAGAGCTCATCACTCTCTCGTTTCCAAGTGGCATGCCCATCACCCCTACAAATCAGTTGGCCCTCTCCATGACACTTGTACACCCATACATTGGCTATGCAAATCTTGCGCCAGTAGAGCGTACAAAGTGGCTCGGCATGACAGAGAAACGGCAGCATGGCCCAAATTTCCTCCACGGTGGCGCAGAGGCGGTCTATCCTCTCAAGAGATTTGAGCACCGCAACGTCGTCCAGACTTCTCATGCCGACGGGACTGTAAGGCTTTGGGACGCAGGACATGCTGATGAGATCGAGAACGATGCGCTGCTGCAGGTTGACGTTGCTCGAGCTGTAGGACGGCAAGAGAACGTCGATGTCACGCGGACGTCCTTTGCTGGCACTGCTTCTGAGCTGTCTATAGGCCTCAAGACTGGCGAAGTAGTGATATTTAGATGGAACACTAACAAACAACCTGGGCAAGACCTTCCGGCTGGAGAGAATAAGATAAAGGCACTTACCAATATCCTGGATAGAACCGAAGCGGCCCTTCAAGAAGGACTGTTGCCTTTCACGCTACTAAACGAGGCTGATGGACCGGTCACCGCGCTCAAGCATTCAGACGTCGGATTCGTCGCGGCTGGTTTCCAGGGCGGAAGCTTAGCTATCATCGACTTGAGAGGACCAGCAGTGATATACAGAGGTTCGATCAGCGACTTCATTACGGAGAAACGAGGGAGTCTCAGACGGAGCTCTAGCCAGGCTGCACCCAAGCCACAATGGTTGACATGCATTGAGTTCAGTGTCATGACACTCGACGGTGACGATTACTCTAGTATCCTCCTCCATGTCGGGACTAACCTGGGCAATCTCGCGACGTTCAAACTCGTTCCAGAAGCTGGAGGCCGATATGCAGCACACTTCGCAGGCGCCTGCTCCTTGGACGACAGGATCATTAATATCTGCCCTATGTACGCCGAGACAGGCCGTCCTGCATATGCTTCACAAGCTGCCGTCGCTGGTCTCAGGACGGGGTCGAAGATCAACGGCGTGTTACTGGCAGTCACTACTTCAGGTGTGAGGCTCTTCCGCCCGGCTACCAACAAGGGTGCACACAAGACTTGGGATCAGTTTCTGTGCGATTCAGCCGCTGTCGTGCGGTATGAGGATCTTGGCTATGCGTTGCTTGGGCTGTATGGGGACGGATGTGCGAGAGCGTATTCTCTGCCTGCGTTCAAGGAGATTGGATCCGTCAAAGTCAGCGACGTTCTCGATGTTCGCCGTTTCTCCGATGCTGTGATAACCAGCACGGGAGATATTCTGGGCTGGAAAGGTCCGGCGGAGATGGTTCTGATCAACGTTTTTGGCACAGGACTGAAACTGTGAGTAACCCTTCCCTCGAGATGTTGCGTGGTTTGGGTATACTAATTCCAAACAGCGATCGAACCAAAGACACCCTACTAAACCCAGACCTCCTCATTCCCCCACGCCCAACAATCAGCTACATACAATGGATATCCGGCACCCAATATGTAACGCCCGCCGACATAGACCTCCTCAGTTCGTCCCTCCCTCTCCCATACCATCCCCTCCATCTACTAACATCCCCCCCTAGTCGGCGGTCCCGACCGTCCCCCCTCCAAACGCCAACTCGCGCAAATGCGCTCCGAAGCAGAACAACAACGCCGCGCCGAGCGTGCCGCCCAACCAAACGCTGCCGCATCCTCTTCACAATACCCCTCCTACCCTACACAAATGCAGGCTACAAACGAAGGCTGGGGCGCCTGGGCGTCGAGACAATTCAACGAGCGAACGGAGAAATTAAACGCTGTGGGGGATAGTATGGATAATCTGCAGCAGAATAGTGCGGGGTGGGCGCAGGATGTGAATAAGTATGTTAATAAGCAGAAGAGGGGGTTTGTGTTGGGGGCTGTTAAGGGGAAGTTTGGGTTGTGAGGCGTGGGGTGGGGTGGGTTGGGTTGGAGGAGAACTGAGAGGTTTGGATGGGGTTGTTGATAATCACGCTGTTCTGGGAATGATGGAGAATGATATTGTTCCGGATGAGGGGTTCAGAGGATATGAGATGATATGAGATGAGATGAAATGAGATGAGATGAGAGAATAAGTACATCCACGTTCTCCCGTTGCCCAAATACCCAGCATCAACCTACCTATGATGAATATCATATCTTTGACACGGCCGAGTACCCCAGCCGTATGCATACTTCATACGCAACGAACCAAGCCCATACTGGAATCTCGCTTGGAAGAAAGTCAGCTACTGGGCGTGGATGCATGCATGCGCGCGTGAATGTATGTTATCGCTATTCCCAGGTTCTACGTATAAGTGTGTACCTACTACTACAAACATACACCGCTTTCTCACAAAACGTGTCCATATACTTACGCCGGCGGATGTATCATCCCGCAAAATAACACAGAAACGCACAGCAAAAAACCAATAACAAGCATCAACTCACCCGTCCCAATAAGCCCCAAACCACCCCCCGACAAACACGCCAACACACTCCGCATCCCCTCCCTCCCCTCCCAATCCCTCAACCCTGCCCCTACTGCAATCACCACCACCACCACTCCCATCGTCGCCGTAGTCGTCGTCACCCTCCATACCGCCCCCAAGCCTCGCACCAGCATGCCTTAGCGAGCGGTACGCCTGATCGGGCGCGCCGAAGCGAGGCCCCTCCCGCTTCTAGAAACGTGCAGGGGTGAGCGAGGGAGGAGCATTTGGGTATCCCATGCCCCGGCTTGCTAAACCCGCAGATTTCGGCCAGTAGAACAGCAGAGTACAATAGCCGAAGAACATCAAAACCAGAACTCAACACCAAAGATGTTCTAACGCAAGGCTTAATGCCGACACGCCGACGCGATTTAATTGGTTGAAAGTCGGTCCGAAATCCGCGGGTTCAGCAAGCCGGGGCATGGGATAACGGTCGGGACAGGGGTAGGCGAGGGAGATGGGTTGGGTTGGGATGGGACGGGTTGGGCGGTGGGTAGTGCTTGGTGTGGATGATGTGTGGAGAGGCGTTGATTGATTGATAGATTGATTGATTTATTACTGGGGGTTTGCCGTGTACCTACCCTGTAGGAAGGGAGGGAATGAATGGGTAAGCGGTTGTGTGCGGATGCGTGCTGCCGGTATGCGATTTGCGGTTGGGTGTTTCCGTTCTGTTCTGTTCTGCTCGGCGAATTCTTTCCTTGTTCTAGCCATTTGTCAAATAATCCCCGGATGTGTTGCTTTGTGTTTCATGGGGATTTCTTGGTTTCTTGCTGCTTGCTGCTTGCTGCATATTCCAAATTTCCTCTTTTGCTAAAGTGGTGACGTTTGTGTTGGCGGATGCTAGGTACCGCTATCTACTCAGCTTGCGTGGGCGACGTTGCCGAGGAACGCCTCTTCGGCTAGCCTGCATAAGATTGGGTAGGGTTGTAGTGATAGCCAAGACTGGAAGTGCAGTGGTAGGAGTATGGGCTTTGAGATATATGGTGAATGGTGATGGGTAGACTTGTAGGTTGGGATAGATAAACGAAGCACTTTCGATAGATCATGTACCAATGATACTTTCATTCGGGAATAAGTCAAGTATGGAGCGAGCTACGATTTGTCTGTGGCTGTGGCTGAGTACACACAAAGCAACGCCAATCCCCACAACAAAGGATAAGCATTCTCAAATCACGAACAGCCAACGCCCACATGCGCCACATCCAGTCTAAACTCCGGACCCAGTCTTACTCGCAAGAGTCTGGCTGGATTGCAACGCCTTGCAGAAGCATGCAAGGCTTCCAGGCCCAGACGCCGTATTATACCTGCGTAGGCGATAATCCAAATATACCATGTAAGTTACTATCATTGCAGAATAGAATCTCAACGCTCACTAGGTTCCAACGTCATACACTCGTGATGGATAAATTCATGTCATGTACGTAGTAAACTCGCCTGCTGAAACGCATAGTGAGCAGAAGAACGAGGCAAAAACAGGCCATCACGAGACTGGAGTCCGGTGAGCCAACGCCATCTGATCAGGCCCTGGGTAGTGTGGAGTCGGCGAATAAGTACACAAGCCGAGACGTCACATCTGCGCAAGGTCGTTGAGCGCATAGTTCAGTCCGCGACGAGCATCTAGTTCGTCGATATCGAGATGTGGGCGGTAATGGTGCTCTACAACGCGCACTATGTTTCTGTATATTGTGTACCTTTCCCAGCAGTCAGTCTCAAACGACAATAACAACGGGGTATCAATGAATACTTACATCAAGAGCCTTGCTTTGGGACCACCTGTCTTCGAAGGACATTCCCCGAACCCCTCGAAGAAGGCCGGATTACCCCCATCGATCCCTCCACTCATCAACGGATCCCCCCAGATTACATTCGAAAAGCCCACAAGACCCGTGACGCGTTTTGTCCGCTCGTCGATGAGAACGTTCTGCGGATTACACACGTTCAGAGCAACGAGGCGGGGCTCGGTGACTTCATCCAGTAGGTGGCTTTGTCGGCCGACGTAGTATCGGATACTATCATATGGGATCGTAACGAGCATATCCTCAGCATCACGCAGTGCGGCTTCCAACAGCGCGAGAAAGGCTTCGCGCCAGGACGAGCTTCCTTTGCTTGCGAAGACACGATGTGTGACGCCAAACTGGGTTGCGGATAATGTGGTGAGATTACGGACATAGCAACCCAGTGTTCGATCGATTACATTTCTTTCGTTCGTGGTTAAGCACGATAACAGATCTGACAATCTGCGCCCTGGGATGGAGCTCGTCATGAGGAAAGGCGAGCCAAGAGGCCCTCCATGGCTGTCGTATTTTATGACATGAGGAACTGGGAGTTGTGTATATTCATGTAGGGTTTCTAGCGTTCTCCGCTCAGTTTCCAGAAGATGTCTTTCATGGCGGAGAAGGCGAATGTCGTGTGATGGCGGGCATTTTATCACCAGTGAACTGCCGTCTGCGAATTTTGTGAGATACACTTGTCGGAGATGTCCCTGTATGCGTTCTGCTTGTACAACTGTGATCTTTGATGAACGGAAAAGAGCCCAGATAAGTTCCTGTATGTTGGAGAAATCAGGTGTAGAACTAGATGTTCTTGACGAAGTCGATGAGGACGATGAGGAAGATGAGACGGTGGATGAAGGACGAGCTGGAAGTGTGCCTCGACTCATAGTGAAGACTGGATAGACTGCGACGTCTAGCGGGGGGAGAAGCATTATGAGGACTTTCAACAAGGCCTACACCGTAAGGGGCGTCTAGACTTTAGCGAGAAGAGGCTTGCCTGAATTTTGCCGGTTGCATAGTAAGAGCGGCCCGTGAGTTACGGATGGTTAAATATGAAGTCGGATGATGATTACAATGTATTTGATGTCTACCTGGAAGCTGACGTGGACATGCTTACTGCTTCGACGCCTCGCCTTGTCTAATGGAGTGAAAAGAAAATCGTCCATATCCGAGCAGAACCGGAGTATTGCAAGATCCCGGATTCCATATGGGCGTCATGTTTTCTCAGTTGTGCCTATGATATGGAAGTCAGCCGCTTGCAGTACGTTAAGTGATCCTAGTAGATGTTAGGCTAGATTTTACTGTGCCAGCAGGCATACGACATGTTCTATTCGGTTAGGAAGAGATGCATCTCCGGCAGGTATTCGCGTGGCTCTCAGTTGTCGCTGTGATGCTAACGAATTGTCAGCGTGCAATCATGAAACTACATAGAAGGATGCGAGAGGCGTCCAACATGATGGAACGGCGTCCTCAGCGTTCGTCAAATATACCCAGAAGCGGCTAGTTGCTCCGACGGAGACTCGGCTATTGTGTGATGTGATTGGCTGTCTGAAATAGGAAACAGTTCAAAGAACGCCGTGCCTCGATTTGATAGCACATGGCGATGACACTTGACGGTGAGCACGCGTGGACTGGATCCAGATCACACGTGGTGGTTACTAGAGAGGGAAATGCCGTCTAGGCGGGACGAGTCTCTACCTATCCTCTCACACGGAAGTTGTTCGCCTAACATCTGGTGTGACTCGCCAAACAACCGAGGGCTTCGATGTGTTTTCGATACTCATCCGTCTAACTATGTTCGAAATCGAGTCCCGCAAGCGTTCCACAAGCCGGCTTTGAGGACCCGACAAATAGGAGACGATCCATGGCAAAGCACTATACATCGTCATGTCGGTCTTGTAGCAGCCGCTGAGCGTTTGATGTTGTTGTATAATATTTACATCTATTACTCACACTTGCCTGCCATAAGGACTACATTTGAAGAGTTGCAGCTATAGGACGCCTGATGACGCAGGACTAAAAAGATTTCGAACAGGCGGCCGGGATTGTTCACGTCAGCCTTGAATCATGCATTTCTCCAACTATAATTTACGTCTCTCGATCTGGCCCGTCGTTGGTGGACGACGGCTGGCGAAGCTCGTCAAGGTTGAAACGTTTTAGTTTGTCAAAGTCGGGACCAACCACGCTCATCCCCAGTACGTTCTGTTGATGATTAGCACCTGCCAAGATAAGAACGGGCATCGATGCATGCGAGATGTAGGAACGCGTGTCCGGTATGGAATATCTCACCTGATAGATTTCCACGAGGATGAGATGATCATATCCATGAAGGTCAACCTTGTGACCAGGGCCTACTGTAGCCGCGACAGTTTTGATAATCCCGTCCCTCGTGAACTCTTTGTTATTCCGTATTGACGGTCGTATTGCAAACTTCAGCATCCGAACACGTTAGCGAGGTAATGCGCACGATCGAGGTGCGTCATCTGGATGCAAGCGGACAGCATGACGGAACTCACCTTCTTTCCCGCATTATCAGGGCCGTGGAAATGAGGAGCAAGCACTAGCTTTGCCACGGCATCGAGACCCCTAGTGGTCGCCTTTTCGATTGCCGTCATTGGCGTGAGTCGCTTCACAAAGCGACAGTTCTTCGGCTGAGCACCGTCTGCTGTGTCCTGACAGATCCTCTGAACGAATGAAACAGGCTCAACAGGTAGGCGTGTCTTGAAGAAGACCACTTGGCTGACTTAATATGATGCTATTACGAAGTATTAGAAACCACTTACAGCATTGGGTGGGCAGCTTGATCGATGTGAACAATGGCTTTACTGTCGGCTTGCGTATATCGGCGAGTTCTTTCTGAATCTCAGTTTCGATATCATCGCCAGCGTCGGAATCGTCAGACGCTTCATTCGTCTCGCCCGTTCCGTACAGCTTAGTTGCGTACTACGCTTCGATCAGTCTTCCATATGCTAGAAGCAGAGATCATTCCAATCATGCAAGAAGATATTACTGACCTCTTGAAATAGATCTCGGAGGTCGGCAACGGTTTTCGCTTCATTCTTCATACTACATGTCGCCCATATGCCTGTGTCGCCTGCCTGTATGGCTCGACCCTCTGCTCCCCGCCGGGGTGTGTCCCACTTCTTTTTTCCCTGATCAATGCATCAGTATCATGAGGTTCGTCGGAACTGCAGGACGAGAAGAAGATGGTGAAGCCAAGACAAACCACTCTGACGTGGGTCTTGACTGTTGCACCCGGAAAAGCAACGCACCTTGGCTTTCTTGTGACCACCGTCATGTCGTTCGTCCGACTCTGCCTTTCTTTTCTTTGGAGCAGAGTCCATGTTTTCTAGGCAAAACTCAGGTGGTGACGATGTGGGTTGGTGAAGGTGCTGGACCGCGGTGCTCGTATGTAAAAGAAAGCTAGTTGGCTAGTCTTGTAATGTCACTAGCGCGACTTCCTCTTTTCATCGATCTGTGCAACTCAAATTTGATTATATCTCCGAAAAGTTTGGGTCTCGGACTAGAACAGTCCTTCTTGCGCCCCGATAATTCGATCCAAGACACCACGCCGCCAAGCTTTACACAAGGATCTATAACAAGATCTCGAGCCACGATCCTGCGTCTTCCTCGTTGTGAGATACTAGTCTGACGCTAAGTCACGCAGTGTTACCCACCAGACGTCTCGTGAAGTGCGACTGTGTGACACTAGATATAGCGAGACTCTTGGGGAGATTATTTGAAACCTGTCATACCATTTTCATTCATGGATCGTTACTGTACATTCTAAAGAAACGACCAACACAGTTCATCATACAGTGGTATACATCTCAAGGCCAATTATCTGTACTGAAATCAAACGACCCAGACTTGTATCTGAAATACTTGTCATGGTCAGTCCCCGGCGCCTTGAACGGCCAGTCCCTATACGCCGCCAAAAGCTCTGTGATCATCTCACCAGTCAACAACCTGACTCTCAGATTTTTCAGATTCAGCCTCCCACCCTTCTTCGGATCCATCAGACTTGGGCATTTGCTCACAATGTCGCTCATACCATGTTGCATCTTGTCGAGTGCTTCTACGACAGAATCTGTGGAATGACTGCAGAGACCGAAGATGAAATCTTGTACCCATTCATGCCACTCTGGGTTCTGGTCCGCAGTTCGAGGAAACGGCTCTGCTGAGATGAGACCAAGGCGGTTCTGGGGCCACGCTTCGTTGGTGCGCATGATGAGGGGCTCATAAGGCCGTTTGTCCCATTGTAAACGAGGAGAAGGGGGATGACGGAGGGCGATGCGATCGTCGAGTTCTGTGGGAGGTAATTGTCTATTATGTGTATCGGTGGTGCTCATTGCGTGCTTCCACGCCTCCTCCAACTCCGTGGTCTTTTTAAGCAAGTTGTCTTTTTCTGGACCGTCCTCTATGCTAAGTACTTTGCACTCAGTCAGGTAGAGCTCCTCGCCAATGTCGGCGATCTTTTCAATCTCCTGCTTAGTTCGCACAATCTTGGCAAACTGACTGCGCATCCTGGAGAAAACGGAAATTTCATTCTTCGCGGGATGGTTAACGTGCACTTGACCCGACTTGTTCTTGTTGTTGAGAATCCAGTCGCTGTTGAATGCAAGATCGGGGTTTTTCTCGACCAGGTCTCGCTCGTAGCGGTAACAGTTTAGAATGCCCTCTTGGAGCATACCCACAGCTGATTTGCCGGCCATATCCTGCTCGCGCAAATAATTGTGCAAAAAGGCCACGCTGCTAATGCCGGTACCATTTGAGGCCTCATCCACATGTGCAGCAAAGTCATGGATGTTCTCACGACGATGCGCGGGAAGCTCCATACCTTGATCTCGTCCTGAACGTAGGGCGCGGACTACGCTTTCAAGCTCGTGCTGTGGTTCGCGTCCGAGAGAGCCTCTTCCTACGGGACGTTCCCTGTGTTCTGCAGCCACCACTACATTGAGATTATGCGTAAGTTCCAACACGCGGTTGGCCTTCTGCAAGGCAACAATAGATTGAGCAATCAAGGGCTTAAAGTCATCGTGCTCGACCCAGAACAACGAGCGCACTGGTCCAAATGAGTGGAAGCCGTCGTTTTTCCACGCAGCTGAGGCGAAAAGGTTGAAGAGCTGCTTCGCCATCGAGTCGAAGCCCAGACCTGGTAGTCGGGGATCCCACACCAGCGACCCCGTTACCAATAGCGTATTGTTGACTTCTTGAGCGCTCCCGTCAAAGGCGTCCCGGCGCGTCTGGTGCGGGAAGACACCATCATCCACCATCTCCCTGTACGTATCGAGGCTGGTTGGGTCCTTCGTCACTAGGCGATACTTGGAGTCGGGTGCGTTTAGGAGCGGATCGAGAAACTGGGCGAACTTTTCAGGCCGGGGCTCGAGTAGGATATGACTGCGTGGCTGGAGAAAGGCGTGCAGCTTTTGCGACCAGAGGCCGGCGCCGGGATTGATGTCGAGGATATCGCAGCCCTTGTGCTTCTCGAGCGTGTGGCCTATGTAGGCAAGAACATCGTCTGCCAGTCTCCAGCATCAGCACCCGCCCAGCGCGAATAGCATTGTTGCCCCAGGACTCGACGTACCGCATAGGCGTGGACTTACAATCTGCGTGCGCACATTGATACCAACAGGAATCCTGTGCAAGTGCACGGGGGCGCCTTGCTTCCTGGGCTTCTTGGTCGGCTCAAGAGCTGGGTGTATCGTCTTGCTGAGTGCCTGCGTCAAGGGAAACTCTTCACTCGTCTCCAGCTTCTCCGCTGTCCAATGTGGCGTTTGGCCTTTGCGGCCTTTTGAATCGCGACTGGAGGCTGCGCATCGCACCTGAGTCCAGCATTCGCCTGGCCTTCGCGTCCGGAAGGCTATGCGCGGTATTGACGGGCGTGCGCGGTACATGAGAGCGGAGAGTTGGTGGACGTCACCATCGCGCCTCCAATTCGAGTTGTCATTCCCGCGGCGAAAACGATGCTAACCCACTTCGAGATGACTGCTTGAACGTGATCCCGTGACAAGCTCCCCTCCTCAGACCACCAGATAATGGAATAATTCTGTCCGGATAATTTAAGACTTGAATTCGAAGCCTCAGAATGCATTTGCAACAACTTAGAAGTCTCTTGAAAGTCCGAAAATACATCACACAATGATTGCAAAGTTTGCAGTTTTCTTCTTCTTCTATCTTGCTAGTATTGCACCACTTGGTCACACCATGAATTCGGAAAACGACAGCAACATTTTGATTGTCGGCGCCGGGACATGGGGCTGTGCCACAGCTCTTGAGCTGGCCAGACGAGGCCACACCGGCATCACAGTGCTCGATGGAAGCCCATTCCCATCAGCCATTTCTGCCGGCAATGACCTGAATAAGATTGCGGAAGAGGGTCAGCATAACCATCGTTCCTCCACCTTATCACGAAGACTGATTCCAAACAGGAAACAAACCCTCTGCGAACGATTCAGACATCGACTACTTCTGGAACAACGTTCATCAACTTGCAATGAAAGCCTGGAAAACCGATCCTCTCTTCACACCCTTTTACCACAAGACAGGATTCATCATGGCTGCCGTGGGAGAAGATGGTTACCAGAGCTGCATCGAGTATGCTGAAACCGAGCATACCCACCTCATTCCCCTGGAAACAAAGGAAGACTTCCACAAGACCATGCCCGAGGGTGTGCTACAGGGCGATTTCCCCGGTTGGCGGGGCTTCTGGAGAGACGGCGGTGCCGGCTGGGTCTTCGCACGCGGTGCTTTGTTCGCGATGCACGCAGAAGCCATACGTCTGGGCGTCACTTTCGTGACCCACGAAACACAAGGCCGAGTCCACGAGCTGCTATACTCTCCAAATCGCACCAGCATACTGGGTGCCCGCACTGCAGACGGCGTCGTCCACACAGCAAACACCACCATCCTCTCAGCGGGCGCAAACAGCGACGCACTCCTGGACTTCAAGAACCAACTCCGGCCCACAGCATGGACCCTCGCGCACCTCCCGCTCTCCGCAGAAGAAGCACAAACTTACCGCAATCTCCCTGTCCTATACGGCGTAGACAGCGGCTTCTTCATCGAACCTGATATGGAACGCCACGAGATGAAAATCTGCGACGAACACCCAGGATATCTGAACCCCGTCTCCGATCCGGAAACCGGTGCCTTCCGCTCCGTCCCCTTCGCACGCCACCAGATCCCCGAGGAATCAGAATCGCGCATGCGCACCCTCTTGCGCGACACGATGCCGCAGTTCGCAGATCGAAACTTCACCTTCGCGCGTGTGTGTTGGGATGCAGATACAGTGGACCGCGTGTTCCTCATCGACAGACATCCTGAGCTAGCGAACTTGATTCTTGCCGTCGGAGGCTCGGGCCACGGCTTTATGACATCTCCTGCTGTAGGTGTGCTGGTCGCAGATGCACTAGAGGCTAAGGGAGAGGTGGAGGATAGAGTCAGGAAGATGATGAGATGGCGACCGGAGACGGCTGTGGACCGGGACTGGTGGGACTCGCTGGGCCGATTTGGTGCGGATGGTAAGGTTATGGATTTCCGTGCTGTGGAAGAGTGGACGAAGATAGGCGGAAACGGGACGTCCTAGTTGGGGCTTGATGAACGTTCTTTGCTTGGTACGATCGCGAGAACTTCGGGTCAGGTTTCTACTTCGTCCTGATTCAAACTCCTGGGTTGTTGGACTTGGAGACTTTGGCGTAAGCTATCATCGTCCTGAATGTTGCCTCCCCTGTATTGCTCGTTAAAGAATGTGAACTGGTTCCAAACGCCCTCGTGAAGAATGTAAACATTCGAACGATCATACAGTCTTCTTGTTGATGTTCATGTCCGGGCTCACCCCTGATGTTCATCATCGATTCTTATGCTATGTCATCTATCATACAGCTCGAAACGCGAAAAAGAAAGGGAAGGACGAATACTGAGGATGTAGTACCAAAGTAGACTTCCATCTGCTCAGAGAGGATGGTGAAGGGGTAGAGTGATAGCATGTGACAATACCTGCTCGCCTACCCTGGGAATCCGCCTCGAGCCATCTTCTTCCCTCTCTGAGCCTTGCGGTTGTGATTCGCTGTCGAGCCCTTATTAGCATCTTTCCGTTGCCGTGCGACCTGCGTCGTCTTGTCATCAGCAGGCCCCGCAACGTTTCCACCGCCCCTCCCACCGCGTCCTCGACCTGTACCACCTCCCCTCCCACCAAATCCTCCTCTTCCGCCGCGTCGCCCGTCTCCACTGTCTTCCTCGCCGGAGTCTTTCCAGGCTGTGGAAGTAAGCTCGCGCTGCTGGCCCGCGAATGTAGAGAACTTGGCTTCCAGACGCCGCAATCGTTTGGGATCCCGCCCGATCATGATACCCCAGCCTTCGATTGCTTCGTCTGTCATGCCCGTCTCGCTCTTCAATGCTGCTCGGGGCTTGCCTCGTCGTGTGTCGGCATCACGACTGAAGAGCGCTGGGGTCATGGAGTAGGCACGGAACAAAGATTCGTCGTTCTTGTCTCGGAGGTCGGCATCGGCTTCGTCTGCGGCGGGAGCGGCGTTGTCGACGGATGCTCCAACATCTTCCGCATCGTATGTGTCGTCGCGCTCATCGTCATCGGCATCGAACACTGCGAGGGCAGCTAAGATTGAGGATTTTGATGGTGCTTTGCTACGGTCTGAGAGGAGGTTGTCTGCGTTGAGATCTTGGTTTCTGCGACCGAGATGTAGACGTGATGTGTCTACGGCGAGTTTGTCGAATTCATCATCGTCGAAAACATTACGGCGCTCAGGCAGTTGGCTTGATCTGGGTGGTAGGTGAGGTTGTGGTGTCGTGGTGTTGGTAGGCCTAGGAAGTATTAGTATGCTATATTGAAGCTCAATTCATAGGACCATGTCTTGAGAAATCGAACGTACAGTTTTTCGCTACGATCAGCGTTGGTAAGGTGTGGAGGCAACGAGTCCTCGAGAAGATGCGCAGTGACCTCCTCGATGTTGTCGTTGTATTCATCCAACAACTTTATGATAAAGCCGGCACCAAGATCTGGGAAAAGGTCCTGTATTTGAGTGACAATGCTCATCTTGTGGATATGGACTTCACCAGTGAATGCACCATGTCCATACTCATCACCTTCCGCCCTGCTCTTGCCTTTGTCCACTTTTCGACGAATCAGTCTCTTTGGACGAGCAACGCTGGATTGGCGAAATGTGCTAAGCGAAGCCGCAGTGTTCTTCACTCTCGCTGCTTCAGGAGCTACGGCTTTGTCTCTAATCTTCTCGAGTAAAGATGTATTGGTAACGAGATCTGCAACAAGCGTCTTCTTCCCTGGCTCTTTCTTTTGCTCCTGCTCTTCGTTGGTTTTCAGACTGTACAAATGATCCGACAAGAGCGAGTAGTTCGGTTTTGGTCCTTCCAGTGCCGCAGTAAGCCCTAGATATGCTATTGTGACAAGTTTCTTTTGCATCGAAGTTGGTGCCTGAGGGTATGCGCTATACAGAGAATCCAGAAAGTCAGATCCTGTAAGCATGTAGATGCTGGCGTCCGGGGAAACTCTTAAAAGTGGTGCTATCCTGTTCAAAGTTCCCTCAGCTTCTTCTGGTCGCTTTGATTCGAGATTTCTGATCAAGGAGTTTTTTGCTGTCTGTAATGACTTCTCAATAGCTCCACTCTCCCGTTGCCACAAGGTTTGTACCAAGGTGCGGAATTGTTCGCTCTTTGGGAAGACATGACAGAAATCCGACAGTATCGGCCAACTGAGCAAAGGGGCGGGAACCTTTGGTGTTGAGAAAATCCTGTGGAGTAGGAAAAAGCACTTCTTTCGCAGTGATATAACTCTCGATGTAAGGCCTTCATCACTGGCCAATTCGTGAAAGAAAGACACAAGGAAAGACGCCAAAGAGTCAGACTCTTCTGCTGCTTTTGAAAATTGTTGGTTGTTGAGGCGTAAATAGAGGTCTGCGAGTGACGTCCACGACTCCAGATACAGCTGCCACTCTTCCGGCAGGATGTTCCGCCGGACCTTGGAGTCTGGAAATGGGGCGAATTGAGGAAGTGACATATTTTTGCCTGTGACTGCAGGAAAGTGAGTTGGAAAATGTGGTTTCTCACAGCAAAGGGTATAAACGCTCTTTCGAACTGTCGTTTGTCGATGCAGTCATGATGGCTCATCCCACCCAAAACGTGCTATGCCATATAGAGTACTAGCGTGCCAAGATTTGTGAACGCCCGCCGCACACATGTCGCAAAATCGATCTTGGGAGATATTCAACGACCACGATCGCCGTCTTCAGCCAAAACCACACCAGTCATCACGTTACCGCGATCCACGATCCAAGTCTTGACTGGAATTTGTACCTTCCCGTCAACACCAATACACTCCACCCACATCCACCATGTCTTACAGTACGCCCTGTCTCTCACCCATGCGCTGGCGAACTCGTTCTAACATCCCCCAGACAAGCCTGAGAAGGACTTCGGCGAGGGCCCCAAGATCCACAAGATCCGCATCACCCTCACCTCGCGCAACGTCAAGTCGCTCGAGAAGGTGTGCCAGGAGCTCATCGACCGTGCCAAGAACAAGGAGCTCCGCGTCAAGGGCCCCGTCCGCCTGCCCACCAAGAACCTCAAGATCACCACCCGTAAGACACCTAACGGTGAGGGTTCCAAGACCTGGGATATGTATGAGATGCGCATCCACAAGCGTAAGTTGAGCCACATGTGTTTCGGGGGGATATCGGCTGATTTCTGGATTAGGTCTCATCGATCTCCACGCGCCTACCGAGGTCGTCAAGCAGATCATCATCAACATCGAGGCTGGTGTTGAGGTCGAGGTCACCATTGCCGCATAAGGGCAGACTGGGACATGTGGGGGAGAATGGGCTTGGACAGACATGTGGTTACGAATGGGTATATACGACATGAATGATACCATGCCCAACCAAAAGCGCGTTTACTGCATACACATGTTGATTGATTTAATCTGTGTAATGCGGGCTAATACTAACAGAAGCCTATCATACGCCATCAACAGTGTTGTAACTTCATGAACTTGAACCCCAACTATATCAGCAACGCCAAATCGAACCGTCATCTCACAACTCCCCTTCTCCCCAAAATCCCTTTTCCTCCTCATCAGCAAAAACACCATAACTTGCTTTCCTCGTCTTTTCATCAGCTCCACTCCCATTTTCCTTACCCGCCATTCTCTTCTCACGACTCTCGCGAATGAATTTCAACGCAGCCTCCGAGCTCGCACACCTCGTTCCATCCGCACTCCTCCTCCTCGACCTTGAACGCTCCACCTCGCGTGTCGCCAGGTTTATTAGCGCTGTTCTAGAACCAGTCTTCCCTTTGCATCCCAACTTACAGTCCCCCCTATGGACCGTGGATCTACAATCCTTGTGCTGCTCCGTCAACCTATCCATGGACACCGAACGCCCGGTTCTGGACGACTCAGGAGAGGTATGCGGGCGCTCACGTGCGAGGTACGCGTGATACCCCGCCGAGTCCAATGCCAAAATTGGTTCGCGATGGCGCGTGAAGGAGACACGACGGCCGGGGTGCACATCCACGTCCATCCTTGAGCTGGGTAAGATAAGTGAAAAAGGTGGAGATACATGTGGGACTGGTTGTTGGCGAGGCGAAGATGCCGGACGTTCACTACCCTCATCTTTAATGATCTTGCGATCGAATGACCCCCAATTCGAAGAGTCAACTCGCTTTCTCTTGGCTGGTTCGTCGGGCGTCGCAGTCTCGTATGATACACTCGTCTTAGGGCTGATCTGCGGGCTCCGAGCAGCCTCACCCCTCTGCGACACAGCATCGAAGCTAAACGTCTTGCTGAACAGCTGGCTAGCTCGCTGTCGCCTGCGGAACGAAGGGATCCAGCTCGCTGCTACAGCCGCCAAAGTGACTGGCGGACGTGGAGGTGAAGACCTTGCGTTTTCACGTACCACTTTCCGCGGTATGGGACCAACAAGGCGGAACAAGTCCTCAGGTGTGATCATGGGATCACAATGCTGTGGCCGCTTCTCCACCCTAGGCTTCCGGCGCAGAAACTGGTATTCGGGCTTGTATGGCTTTATCGACACCTTTTTTTCTGTCATCTGACGGAGGTGGTCGAGTTGAAGTTGGTGGAGTTGATCCAGCGTTTTGCGGTCGTCCATCCATACGGCCGTCTCTTGACTTGCACTACTGTACAGATCAACTGGCTCGTGGTCGTATTCAATGTCTAATGGTTTACTTCGGTTCTCACGACGTGGGGCGTGAGGGTAGACGGCGTCTCGTTCTGCTGTAGCCCGTGATTTGTGAGTGTTCGTGGTTGGTTGTGGGTTTTGCGGGTGTCGTTGACTGGTAGCGCAGTCATTCAAGTACGATTCCTCCAATTCTCTTCTGGTTTGGCTGCGGTGGACACGGTCTGCCCACCAGGCACGCTCTGCACCCATTGGATTTGGACGTTGAGATGATCCGCCGACTTGCTGGATTCTGACTGCTGAGGCGGTGCAAATTTGGTAGTCTTGAGTCCCGGAGATCATGTTCGATGGGCTGCGTAGTCGAGGATGTTTGTCGTCAGGGAGTTGTCGGGACATGAGGCTGTTGCGAATATCTGCAGTCTGGATGAAAGCAATTTGCTGATCCGTCGACATGAAGTCACCCTACACTCTTATACTCGATCATGCATCATCCGTTTCATTGTCTACAAATCCGCCATCCAAAGTCCAGCCTTACAAACACCCGCTACACACCCATCGCCGCGTGGCCCGACACCGCCGACCTCTCAAATACCCAAGACTTCCATCCACGCTCCCAAGCACCCGTTCCACCCGTTCCCATCTACTTCAACGGCCCAGACCCCCCGCAACTACGAATCCACGCCGTTCATTGGCCCCCAAACATCGGACCAACAAGTAATCACCGGCGAACAAGCAAACGCACGAAACGCCGGAAGCGCGTGACGAGCCGCAGGATCGCTGTACACAAATAGCATTGTGGGTGCGGGGGGTACCGAGCGTGTTTCTAGACTTTTCTGACCCAGGGTCTTGCGACAAAAAACAAAGAAAACTTTTGGACGGCGAAGTGGCGCTAGGCTTGTACTACTTGTTGGCGGCAAAGACTGGCATACGTGACATACTCATGGTGTAAGAGGGAGCTAAATTGTACTAGGACACTTGAATGCGAATGCGCTGTGCATCATGTTACTGTCATGCAGGTCGGGAGACGGGGCTGTGTGAGGTTTGGGTTACGATGATGTCGTGGTAGACTGCTTGGCGGCCCATGGTAAATGTTTCTCCGGACAGGATTAGATGGATCTAGATTGCGAATCTGGAAAGAAACGTGATGCTGTGGTAAAACGTGTTTTACGTCTGTAGTACTATGGAAGAAGTAAAAGATGAAACATGAACCGGAGAAGCGCAGGATCTATAGTGAATTCTACTTGAACCCTGCATAGGTCGAGGGTATACCGCAACGGCAGTATCTCACTCATCATGTGTTGTAGCTACATTTTGTCCCGATACCTCAGCCTGGTTGCATGGTACGATAGCGCCAACACTGAAGTAAACCAAAATTCAAAGTCAGATGGCTAAAGATAACCTGAAAGTAAACTAAAAGAGATCGTATTCGCTTTATGTAGAAGTACGGGCACCTACCTCTCACTATCACTACACTGCTCACACGAAACGATCGATCAAGACTCGGATTAGCAATACGAACTGAGCAGCTCTTGGTTGACACAATCATCACTGCATCTACATCCTTCTCAAATCCACTCCCCTTTCTACGACCCAGCATCTCTAACCACACTCCTCCACACTCCCTCCCAGTCAGCATCCCCCCCTCCATAGCGCGCTTCAAAAGCATTCATTGCCATGGCCCCCAAGAACGGCCTCACAACTCTGTCCACGAGCTCGCGCCTCGCCATGTCGAGAACCGCAGCACCTTCTTCTTTCTCTAGCGCATTGATCAGTGGATCCAAAAGAAGCGTTCTCTTCGGGTCGTCCGTGTTAGAGTATGATTGTGGTGGTAGAATCAATGCTGCATTGGGACCGGAGGTATACGCAAGCACCTCGTTGATTTCGTCCGTGAGGGAGAGAAGTGGGGGTGCGACCGTCGGCTTATAGACTGCGTCTATTGTATCCGTAATGAAGAGCCATTCCATGAGTTGGAAGTCGTCCGGATCTAAAACAACCAGTTGATCAAGTAGTTTGCATGCTTGTACGATACTAGCGTTGGTGTAATGCTCTTTGTTGTCGGCGTCTGGAAGAAGTGACGACAACGCCGAAGTTAACTCGCCATTAATTACAGGCCACAGTGGCGCCAGATGCACAGGCGAGGTTCTGAGGATGACGGCGCGCAGTAAGATGAGCACGTCTGCGCGAGTGGCTGATGAGGGAGATGATGCCGGAGTTGCAGTTAGCAATTCAACAGCCTTCTCCATGATCTGTGGAATGTTAGGTGTAAAAGCATCTTCTGGGCTGGCGAGAACAAGGAGCGTAATGCGTCGAAATGTGAGCTGAGTCCTGCGATCGGCTTCTTGTCTCGCGGATGCAGCGCCAACACCAAACATAATCCCGGCTGTCGTTGGCGCAGACAGACGCGAAAGAAGTTCTGGCACCCGATCTTTGTCTGACTGCGTCCATTGCGCTAAGATAGGCAACCACGAGTCTCTGAGAAGTGGAAGTGGCGTGTTGAAGAATTTAGGGTCGTTGAAAGAGTCTTGTATATCCTTCTTCAGGAATTTGTTCCCTTGTGCTATTTTGGTCAAGCTACGAAGCAGATTCAGCATGCTTTCGGTGACGTTGTCTGGGAACGACCTCGCGCGGAACGTAGGACCGATTACGGATGTGGAGATGTCGGATATGACCTTTGTGACTCTGTCGTTCTCGACAAGAATGATTGGCAGGTTCGGAACGATCGAGATTAGAATGGAAACAACGTCGGTAGCTCTCTTCTGAGCGTAACTGCCGTTTGTAGTGGCCGGAACCTTCTCGCCCACTAATACCTGGTTTGGATCCTGTAGATAGCCCATCGAGCGTGTCGTGAACACTGCGGTCAGAATTCGCGCGAAGATATCCTATGAAGATGGTTAACAAAGTCCACACATGAGGAGAAACAAACATACTGCAAGCTCTCTCCGCATCTTTCGCTGTTCGCCAAAATGAGTGTTATCGACTTTTTGCCCAATGACAGCCGTAAACTCAAGAAGAGTAGGCAAAATCTGTCTATGGGGAAGTGGATTTGCAAGGACATCACGAAGAAAGAGGGTGCAGTCCTGCCATATCTCGTCCATAGCGTCATCCTCTAGCGACTTCGTATACTCGACGAGAAACGCGACAAGATCAGTGTCGGACAAATTAGAAGTCAATGTCGACATGCGGTTGGTATCGAGCGCATTAGGATCTGTCCGACTGTACACTGCGTTGAAGATTGCCGGGATTGTGTGCTTAGGTTTAGAGCCGTTAAGAACGTTGAGGAGACCCATGATTGCAGTCTCCTGAATATCGTCCTTTGCAGCATGGGTCCAGAGGACTGCTAATGTCTCTAGGCATTCCAGCGCTTCCGCAGCAAATAGATGCTCCAAGATTCTGCGAGCTCGATTGCGCATACGCAGGGACGTGTATCCGAGCGATAAGGCTGAGGTTGGATCCTGATGTGCCTGCTTCTGCCCATAACCTCCCCACGACCAGATCGCGAAGCAGATTCGCACTGTATCCTGGAAGCACAGTAGAACTGTGAGTCTACTGTTGGCAGTGGGAGTTCGTGTCTGGTTGATATCTGAAGCAAAAACTCCAGAAACCACGTTGCTGAAAAAGCCTTGAGGCTGCTCGGGAGACCTAGTGGCAGACGTTTTTGTCTCTTGTAGCATGAGTCGATCGTGTGCCTTAGCCAGAATTTGTTCCAGTCCGTTGATCAATGAAATGAGCGTTGATTCTGGTGATTTCCCTGGTGTCGCTATGTGTTCTTCAAACGTGGACTTGAGGTGTTCAAACGTAGAACCAATTTGCTTACAGAAGCATTCCACCAAAGGTAGAAGGTTCTGAAATATAGTATCGGCAAACATAGGCAGAACTTCGATTAGAAACTGAACCCAGTCATCCAGTACCAAGCGACTGGCGGGCGACGAGAAACCATACTTCAAACATTCAACCAGTTGCGGGGGTGGAGGAATGGATGTAGGACCGGTGTCCAAAGACGCCCTACTTAATGCCATCGACATCCTGGCCAAGTGGGTTGGTTGACCGGGAGTCTTCGGTTCTGGGACTGGTTCCTCTGTTGGGCGAGTAAGGCGTAATTTGAGCGCGGAAAGTATCGCACCCAGGAGAAGTCCCTGCAAAGAGGGGCCAGCTGTTTTTAGTCTTGCCATCAACGGTACCTCAAGCTCCAGCTCTCTTAGTGGGAACGAGAAAGGACTCTGGTAGATTTGGGATATGAGAGACACAGAGGTTTGATGGAGCTGCGATATATGAAGCTGGGTAGGTATCTCTGCACTTCCGACGTGGACTGAAAGTGTCCTCAGACACGTACGTACGAGCCATTCTTGCAGTGACGTTCGTGATGACGATCCCTCGGCCGGCGCCTCAGCAAGTGTTGCCCACATCATTTGCGAAGGATGTTTCAGGATTTGGAGGAAGTGTCCTAAGTAATACAAGCACTCTTTGCTATCATCTCCTCTAGATCGAGGTCGAGGTGCTTTCGAAGCTTCGTCAGGAATCAAGCTCTCTGTTGCATTCAAGCATTGCAATGACTGCATATGGATTGCAAGAACCTCGAAGACCATATTCAAACTCGGCAAGTCCTGTAGCCAGCTTCGGATAAAAGTTGAAGTTTCAGATGCTTCCTCGGTAAGCGTATCTAGGAGTAGGAGAAGTGGCCTAGTCAAAACGGCATGGAATTCTCCTGGCGGGAGTGAAGGATGTGTCACATTGTTACCGCTGGGTCGGCGTATCAAGGCACCACGCTTCTCCGACTGTAGGCTCATCTCATACATTGTGTGCGTCCACAGAAGTGCAAATCTTTGACCACAATCTGCGGTATTTGCGTTGCTCGAGGTCTGTGAGAGCTGTTCTACGATGATCGAGGAGATTGCAGCCTCAACCATTCGACTAGCAGGAGCAACTGTGTGTAGTTGCAAGATGCACTGCGCAGCTTCCACATGATATTTCGGCATCAGTGGCGAGAGGTAGTGCCAGAGAGAGGCAACGAGTGGATGAAAGATTTCCGATAGTTGTGATGGAGCGATGAAAGGTTCTGAGAGTCGAGATGTCTGCAGTGCGAACAGTACACCAGTCATGGCACTTAAGTGAGTGAAGGGGAGGTTCTCGCGAGTCTCTGCGAACGTCGAAAGGACGCGTTGCAAGACAGTAGAAGGATCGACCTCGCTCACAGCCTCCATGTCCTGTACCTTTGATATCAAATTGGCCAAAATTCGGGAGGGCATCTCAGCTGAAACACGTGCGATTTTGTGCTCCATAGATGCTGCGAACATGGATGAAGCTTCGCGCAGAACCATTTGGCCCAATTCAGCTGAGTTGAACGGGGCATCAGTAGCATCGAGGCTGCCCTGAGATTCGTCGTAGAATATCTTTATCTGCTGAAGTGCTGTCTCTCGGAGCGCTTTGCCTGCCTCAGACATCTCTAGCTTAGTGCCTTGGTCGGGTTGGAAAGCTCTGTCTGGTACAATCTGAACGAGAGAGTCTGTGATTTCGAAAGCTATATCAACAACTTCAGGGTCGACACTTGAATTGGTAGTGTCCGCAAATGCCTCGTTCAGTGAGACCAATGTAGAAAGAACCATCAGAGGCATGTGATGCAATACCATGTCCTCTTCTTTCAAATTGAAGCGAGCCAGTACGAATTTTGCCAGCCTTGATTGCTGAAGGGCTTCATCGCGACTGACGGCTTTGACGTTCAACGACGATGTAACTAGATGTACCAGCTTTCCCCAGATGAGGCCACTGTCCACGCCGTCGAAGAAGGCACTGGCGCTCTTCATGACTTCCTCCACCTCTTCTTTAGAAGCCACTTCGCTGTATGACTGAACACTCTGTAGAGCTGGGAGAAAGATCTCAGGTACGATCAGGCCACCCACCTCCCAACGATCCATCAGTGAGAGACATACTCGGAAAGGGCGCGCTCGCTCGGAAGGGGATTTTCCCCGTCGATTGATCATTTTCAATACGCTACTGCTGAGCGCCTCCAGACCGTAGTGGGAGAAATAAGCTGCTTGGTAGGCAGAGGGATCTGCGACGGCGTTGTGTTTGTCCTGTGTCGGTGAGTTGAGAGCAGAACCTACGTTCCCGTCGTTTTCAATAGCAGCAGGTTCTGGACCAAGGAACCATGCCCACAGTCTACGATTCAAACTCATGTCTCGCCGCGACACAACACTAGACGCAGCAGCAACTAGTCGCTCAAGATCCCCCTTATTTATGCGTTGTTGCAGGATTGGAGAATCGAGAGGTAAGTGGCTGACGAGTAAATCAAGAAACCCTCGTTGGATCAGCAGCTGGGAGTCCAAGAGGCCAGATTCAAAGCAGCGGACAAGAAGCCCAGGCTCTGGAGAAACGGCAGCTTCAGCTTCGACAGGTAAGGTTTCTATGGGTATTGTACTATCATTTGGATTCAGCGTGCGGCGACCGGGGAGGCCAAATTTAGGCAAGCGGCGAACAAGGAACGCCAGGGCGCCTTGTCTCCGGGATGCGTTTGTGATTGTTGCTAAGAAGAAACACTGCCAGAAGTGAGACGACTCGCTCGCATTTCCGACATCAGTGACCTCGTCCGAATGACTTTGAACAGCTTTGCGTAGCTTGTCGAGCGCCGAGACCATGCGCTCAAAGTCCTCACTTGTCTCATCTTCTAGACCTGGCAGGAGAGACAAAATGATAGCCTTTAGGGCTGGTCGAAGTGCAGATCCATCCAGTTGTAGTATGTGGCTCTCAAACACGGAAAGGAAGAGCGGACGGACCGAGAGCGACGCAAAGGAGAGTACGGAGGCAAGACCAGGGAAGTACAAATTCAAGTCACGGGCTAGGGCATGTTTCTGGGCTCGAGATCAGTATCTATCGACCTATACGTGGACCGCATGCATACTCCAATGGTCGAGAAGACGTAGCCGTAGACTTCGAGGGCCTTCTGATGTACGCCTGAGGGCAATGCTGGATTCAAGCATTGCGCTAACCGCAGTGCGACTGTGTCGCTATGTGGAATGACTGGTATTTCGGGCGGATGCGATTGCAGGGCCTGGACACAAAGCCATATGAGCGTGCTGATCGCATGACCGTGGTGACGAGGAGTGATTGACCTTTAGCAGCCGCCCCAGAAAAGATATATAGTCGGCCCATTCTTGCTGTGCAGTGTCCCAGAGGGCGAGCGCGCGTTCGAGTCCAGCAGCGTACCTGCGAAAGCTTTTGTCTTTCTTATACAAAGCTACAAATACCTGCGTCAGCTCATTTTCAAGCTCATCCAGTTGTTAAGCGTGACGTACACTCTTCTGTAGCGTTGCGGTAGGCTCGTGGTGCTGGACTTGAGCGCCCCGAGGCTGGTGGTGAGTATATCTGCAGGTTAGCAGAGGGATCCATGGACATGCTGGGTGTGTCTGAGGTTGAGGTGTCCGGAAGGTGATTCCAAGTCACTACACATGCTGTCGTAATTTAGGTACGCGTGTCCGCATTTGCTGCCTGCGCATTGAAGCTCGACGACGTCGCAACTTGACGCGACTTGCTGCGCCCGTGCGCTCCTTCCGCAATCCATCACCATCACATGTCAGTGACGCGTATGGCGCACGACATCAACACCAAACGAGCGCCATAACACGCTTTTGAGGCTATTCGGACAACAGACAAAGTGCAATGAATACCTTTTCGTCGGTAAGTCATCTGCATATCGTCTATTAAACTGGCACGGCTAACGACAGCAGGCCTCACGCCACCCACCACCAGCGACAAGCCAGCCTTACTCATACGACAGCATCCCACCAGACGAGCCGCCACCTTCGTACGACGATGCAACTCAGTCGTCCACTGCCCCTCTGCTTGTTGGCCCCCCACCAGATTACGGTACTTACAGAGCATACTCTGATCCCGATCCCGACCTCGAGGAATCGTCCGTAGCGAGCAGCGACACAGGGCGAAACGATGGGTCTCTCCCAGTGTGGGTTGGACAGGCCCTAGTGGTGCTGGTCTTTGTCAGCATCATGTATGGATTCTGGAGGTTCATTACTGCTCCAGACGACCTGCACAACGGCTGGCCTGGATGAGCGGAGAGCCTCACTGGAGATTCGAAGATATCAAGATTGGTCTATGGTGCGCTCTAAACAGACCTCACCTACACACACTCCCATAGTGTGCATCCTGCCCGACTACTACGTCACACTCCAATTTATATACCGCAAAGTGTATTGTCCGATACTTTCAAGACGATTGCTGGTAAAGGAGTATGGCAATGCATTACACCCGGTACCTACCTCCATGTGCGAGATCAGGGCGGTGAGGAAACCAAATTGCACCTGCATCGATGTCATTCACAATGACAACACATCCAACTAGCAAAAGAAGTCGAGCCTGAGTTTGGCGAGAATTGTTGTTACGCATCTTCGACGATATACACAACGCTGATCCAAACGTGTGCCCATGCTCATGCGTGAGCGTATAAACGGGAAATGCCATGGCTTGTCTCAGGTGGTACACAAGCAATCAGAATACCTCGTGATTGCTATGCGGGTCGCACCATAGTGTCTACAACTGTAGATGCATTTCTTCGCGTTGCATGATCATGGAGACCGCACGTTGAAGCATCGTTTCCAATACGGTACACCCGCAAGATCTACATGCAGAGTGTGTTTTTTTCGAAAGCTATGTGATTCATGGTCACATCCATTCTGCACAGCTATGCAATTCCGTGGACAAATCACTGCGACTTCTGAGCCAACATCCTGAATCAATGTAATTTGCGACAGTACTAGCACACCACTACACTCTCTCAGCTTACTTACTTTGGGCGATATCTTTCTTCTACGAGCAATAAAATCGCCATCTCACAATGCATGACTGTTTTCGTCGAATTGCACTGACCGGTCATCCTCACCTAATCGCAACAGGGTGGTCCCCGCACGATCGACACGAAGGATTCTAGACATGGTCAAGACAGCTCAACCACAAATGTTGACGAAACCAGCAAATGTATCGCAAGTCACTCACACCGGAAAACGACGATCACTGCCGCGACATCTCGATGGGATACGTCCAGCTGCACTATCCCAAAGTGTCTCCCTAGATTATCAGTTTCACGCCACAGCCGACTGGCGTGTTCGGGCTGTCCGAACTGCGATCTGCAGAGTGCATGTGCTTCCTATACCCCTTTACCGAGTTCCGAGTTGGCAGTATCGCCAGTTTTTGGATGATGGCTTTGCGTTTCCTTTGTTGGAGTCGTCTGCAGTTATGAGATCATATCGCAGTAATCACATGAAGGGGTGAAGATATTTGGTTACCGCGTCTGATGTCAACACAAACCAACACAGGCAAGGGTTGGGGTCAGGTCAACGAATCCTTGAGGTTCTAGAAGTGGTATCCAGTTGTCGTGGGGACGGATGGAAGGATGAAAAATTGGGGGCCTACTGTTGGTAAAACTTTGCTGGTGCTATAGAAATAGCCGGTCAGAAGGGATATTACACGTATGATTGAATATCATATTTAGAAGTTCTGCTACGTTTACGATTCGTAGTGATTTGTATGCATAAATGTTGAACTAGCCCATTATAAACCAAGAGATATTACCGGGTAAATATTAAGTTTAACCCTACATTAATCACTCAGAATAAAGATGTGTCACTACTACCTGGAAATTGTAGTATATTTAATAGCCAGCGTCGCGTCCACACCAGGAACGCACACTTACTATGTGTGTAAACAAGCACCACTGCCTTTCACCGGGTATACGTTGTATCCACGATCTAGGACCGCGTGTGATAGAAAACATATAACTACATGTTGTGCAATTTAGATCAGTTGTATGAGCATTCAGACTGAGGTGTTAGAGAAGTATTCGCTCTAACTTCATTATGTTATGGAGTTGCTTGAGTAGTCGCAATATAGATATATGATGAGCGTGGGTGGTACATCAGGGGGATATTTGTAGATGGAAATTTGCAAATCAAGGAAAATATGAGCAAGCAGAAACTGCTACAGATCAAGAAAATACGACCTTCATGCTCAATGTTGGTTCAAATAAAACATATCTCGAGATGGCTTGATCCCTGCTTTTCCAATGTTCTAAGCAAGTGAAGACAACGTTCTCTTCGTCCAGCAATAAGACCGTAGAGGGCTAGTTCTTATCCTAAAACAAATACAACAATTGTGGTATTGTTGATGTTGGTATGACCCGCAGCAACGGTACGAGGCGAAGTACGTACTATTATTACTATACAGAGAGATCATCACAGCCACTGGAATCTACTTATACATGTACTAGTGATGGTGGCTCGGGAATAAATGTCAAGGGCTGTGCATAAGCGGGCGTATCGAGTTATGGAGAGTTGGGCCTCCAGTAAATTTACGTATGGGATCTAGTGAGACTGCGCTAGGTCTTACATGCTTGACGTAGATATCTAAATAGTTTGTGTTTCTGTTTTTATCTAAGCATCTTCATGCTCGGAATAGGTACAAATAGGCGCAAGACAAAGAGTTGTAGCGACGATGTATAGAACACAGCACAGAAGTTATAACCCAGAAGCCCTTACGCACAGTGACAGCAACTGCGAAGCAAAGATGCCCAATCGTCTGCCAACTTCAAGCTGTGTTCAACATGGATACATTGGAAGATGGTTGTTGAGTTGTGTTCTAGTATACTTGGTTGAAGTAGCGGAACGATGCAACATGGATTATACATGTAAGCTTGATATTGTAGCATGACGCGTATGCTATGATTCAACATGTTTATGTATATTGAAAACCAGAAGGATTACACAGGGGATCTGAGTAGAGAGACGTACTGACTCGTCGTAAACCTTCCTGAGATGTGCGGGAGATTGGAGTACCAAATCCTGGGGATGACCAAAATTTCAAAATGAGGCTGTGTACTTGAGGAGAGCTATTTCCCTGGTGGGGCTGTGTATCTGAAAGACATCATACAGGCGCACTAGTCAGCATGACGTGCCAGTGATTGTTGGTAACTAGTGCACTCACCAACGCACTGTTGCATCAGGCTTTCGTTCAGGTACGTCCTTTGAGTAGTGACGCGGTATAATTCATCGCGCTGTAGAATACCTCACGATGTATGGTATCTAGCCTATATATACCTTGTGACTAAACATATGCCAGGAACACTTGTTCGCCCCTGGGGAGTAAATATGGCTGCCTGACCCTTCTGCGGGGCGTAAAGCCTCCCTCCCGCATCGGAACATCTCGGGAGTCGGGCTGGGGCTTACGCCCACAAGAAGGATTGTGGACGCATGACTATGATGTGGAAGAAACTCACGTCATGTGCTGTAAGAACTAGGTGGCGTTGACTCAACTCTGAGCATCGAGTTGGTAAGATGATTGGAGCTCAAGGTTGCGTCATTGCACCTCGATACACGCTTGCTGCTGTCTAGTTGAACTGTAGTGTGTGGGGGCCGCTCTGTGTTGTCGTGTCCTTAGAGCCTTTGTCGATTTTACCATGGGGTGCGAAAACCTGTCCTGTTGTGGGCGTCTAGAATCTTTCCGATCATACAGCCGAACATACTTTATGTGATGGTCTTGGTTATCTTCTTTGGTCTTATCTGGTTGGCACTACCTCTGACCGATATAACTGTCTTGCCATCGAATCATGGAGATATAAGTTTATTGCACTCTTACTCTGGTGCTTCATGACAGATGAGATGTACCATGGGGGGTTGTGAATGGGATTGCTCAACAAATTCAATGGGGGATGAGAGAACAACCGATGTCTAGTCGGCTGCAGTCGATACTCAGGGGCCAGACCCGAATTTTGACAAGGCATATGCCTGGCTTTATCATACTTTCCTATCGACCAGTAAAACTCCGTTGTAGCTCCATTACATGTTACTAACAGTCATCGATGTATGTTCTTGCTCTCGGGAGTGCTGATATTGATATAGGTCAGTGTTGTCCGGACACGGCAACGGCGATGGCAACGGCCATCCGGAGTGTATCCTGGTGGTGGAATCCTTCGTTCATTTATCGGGAGAAGAAGCCGTGTCATGAGCTGATCCTTTCGTTTGAATCTGCCTTAGAAGACAGGGACGAGGTTTGAAGCATGCACCCGCAATCTCTCCGATGGAAACGTGAGGTAGGGATACCACGAGTCTCGATCAGCCAAGCCATGATATCAAAAAGATCCCAGTCCTCTTTTGTCTGATCAAGTTAACCGCCGGGTCTGGTAACCTTGTAACCTTAAACATACAGTACATTGACCATCTTACTCGATCTGATTGGCCATGTTTCTTTATTCGTTGTCAAGTTTTGTCCAATGTCGATGAAGGAGGTTGATTAGAAATGTAATTCTACTCCAGGCACCTGCATCATCATCGCAAGCGCTCTCTGATTTTGATCTCGCCGACACAGTAACACAACCAAATGGTCGGCACATCCTCGGTGATGTGCTGCACAGCTGCTGCAAACAAGATGAGAGACGGTAACGGGACGGAGAATCTATCTCGACAGTGTTGACAGTCTTGAGACTTTTCTGACTCCGTCTAACCGTTGTCGGACCCCACATCGCTAATTATATCCGTGCACGGTTCGTTTACGCCCGGCGCTCTCATCTCCACCCACTCATCTCCACGAACAACGCTTGTGCCGGTTGCACAGTGCCGTGGGCTCTAGCGCAGCATGCGACAGACAGACTACATGCCGCCCATACCATACCACGATCGACTGTCCATCATCCCCAAAGCCATGGATGGCTCATCTTTGCCCCTCATGCGCTGCCGCCTCTAACGTTGTCTTACCGCAAGCCAGACTAGTGTCAATTGTGGCTTTCAGTACGTACCGGCCGCAAAATGGCTGCGGTTGAAGACGGTTGCTACGGCTACAAGAAACGAGAAAGAATTTTAAGTCACTCGGCGACTGATGTGCTGTTATCGATCGGCACGCGGCATACATGCCGCTGACAAGCAGGCTCGACTATGCAGCGAAATGCTGTTACTGTCTGGATCTTTGTTTCTGGAAGACCACCCACCCCTGCACGGCTGCATGAGAGGTCAGAGCTAGAGACAGGGGGCTTAGTACCACCACCACTGCGGTTCCTACACTGGCAGGGTTCTTACTAGTCTGGCGAGGCTCACTTGAGCGCCCACCGCACTTGTGAACGGGTTATGCACCTTTGCTCATGTTGAAGGCAGCAGTGTGGAGCGGCAACGAATTGGGAAGCCAGCGCAACAAGCGCTATCCAAGTGATGCCGCCTTCGCCCTGCTTACGTTCGCCGTCAATGGGTATTTGGAGAAATGCTTCTTTCTGACCACACATAAGCTTCCCTCTTGCTCTCAGCCCCCGATCTACAGAGGGAAACCGTCTGCTTAGCTGCGCATTCTCTCAACTTCTAACTTGGTCACATCAGGCCTTCTGTTACAGGCCAATATCATCTTGGGTACTACTACGAGACATCACAACACCGCCACTACCCGCCACGCTTGGTCCTACGGGTCTAAGAGTATCAGCCTTACTAGGTGGAGAAGCTCCTGACCCTTTCAGACTAAAGTTGTACACCCTTACTAGTCTACGGGAAGCCCTGCTATCAGTTTGGGTCCGTACCTTAAACTCGACTGTTCTTACCCTTGGTATTTCCGCTTTGAGTGCACTGGCCTTCTCGCGCGGTATACAATACTCATATACTTCGATTACTGGCGCTTGATACGAACTCTATCAACTGCACCTTCTTCGATTCAACCACCCACCACCCCTAGCATTTCCTTACTCTTGCACACATGAGGATGTCCTACTACTCTCCTGAGGCGGACTTGGTCCTTCTGACGCCTGACGAGAGCTTGGGTCACATGTACCCCTCCAGCACATGTCAATCGCCCCCGAGCATCATGTATTCACCACCACTCCACCATCTGACCCACCCAATGCCCACGGCCATCCCAAGGACGGAGTCGATGTACTCGCAGCATCACAACTACACAACAGTTATGGACTCTCCATACCCTCCACCACATACGCTCTGGTCATCACAGCCATCGCCAATCCTGCAACCACGACCTCAATCGTCTTCATACTCGTATCCTCCCTTCACGGGTATGATGCCTGCGTCAACCATAGCGCACGATTCTAGTCTACTTCCCCAATCCTTTATCGAATCGCGATCATCGCGATCGCACTCAGCGTCGTCTTCCGCGGGCTTAGGCATACCTTTGTTTCCTGCCTCCGAAACATCCCCACCTCCACTATCGCGATCTCTATCACCAACTTCTCCAGATCTACGAGCCTATGGATTTCCTAACCAAAATGGAACCTGGAGCTGTGCCTATCCAGGTTGCACGTCAAGAGCGCTCTTTACCCGAGGATGTGATCTCAGGAAGCATCACAAGAGGCACACAAAGTCTTTCTTTTGCCGCCATGCCGAATGCCCGCAATCTTCAGGAGGAGGATTTTCAAGTAAAAAGGATCTCGCAAGACACGAGGCCAAACACAACCCAGGCGTTTCGTGCGAATGGGGAAGTTGTGACCGAGTATTCTCCCGGGTGGACAACATGGTAAGGCTCATACGATTCCTTTTCGACGAAGACATCAGGCTAACGCTCTATCAAAGAGAGATCATGTGAAAAGGATACATCTCAAAGCCTCTCGGAAGTCATCGGTGGCTTCATCATAACGCCCTACACTGAGCTCTTTGTTCGCTCTCTTCGCCTAGCGCATTCACCTCTACGGCCATCTTCACGCTCACATAAGACGTCTTGACCGTAATTTTGTTTATACTTCTTTCACACCTCGACAGACAGCGCCTATGTGCTGCCTCGGAAGGACTACCATACCAAGGTAGCTGGTCTACGACCCTTTCACTTTCGCTCACGATACCCTTGTCATGCATTTTCCCTCGTTTGTCGAAGCGTAAACCTGCTAAAGCGGACGCCGAGACCGGGCATTTCTATTCAGCATTGCATTTTCACGGCGTTCAAACAGAATCATGTCATATGGAGACAATGTTCATCCATGGGATCGAGTCACGATTATAACTTTGTTGGGAAATCGATTGCATATAGCCGCAGTACTGCTCTCTCGGCCAGCACAAATAGAATATCCATCATGTATGCACTATTCTTCAACAAACAGTCTTGATGTCTTGCTGGTCCCTGTTCTCTTCTTGTCAGATGCAGTACTCCACACTTGCGTCATTCAGTCACAAATCCGCTATATCCGACCACGACGGAGCAACGGATTCAATGTTATCGAGTTTGTTCCGCATGAATAAACGTCATGGCGAAGCGCCCAGGGGTCTCTAGTTGGGGGCCTTGTTCGCTTGACAGGGCTGACATGGCCCCTGCGTGTCGAGATCAAATGAAGCTAGTTTTGGGACTATCAACTTTACCTTGTCACCTGGTTAACAGTTCGGAAGAGCATGTTTTGCGAACCAGGGGGCCGCTGGCCCGCTTACTATCATACGAGAGTACACAGACCACTACCACTTCTAGCAGGTGCCATGTGTTTTCATCGAGAATTGCGGACTCTTGTCAGAACACGCGGGCGACGCAACACTGCGGCGCGGATTCCCGCGTTTGGTGGCGTTTGGCTGTTTCAGTGCAATCTTGTTTCATTGTCGGAAAGCAGCATAAGTGCAGTTGTGGCTTGCATGTGATGGATGGACAGTTGCATTGCATTGGAAACGCCCGTCGACCCGATCTCTGTGCAATTTGCTCCATGTGCGTGGATGCAACGCTCAACGGGTCCATCCCGAGAACTCAGATCATGCAACGAATTACAGAGGCGACAGTACTATCGCGACATTTGCTTTTATTTCGTCCGCTGGCACATGACAGCCGCGTCTGCGTTGGGCCATCATAGACGCCGACTCTGTAAATTTTCGAGCGCTTGCACAGCCTGTCAAGATCCGTAACGACCCGGGCTCAACGGCGTGTCTTCCGAACCGGATCGTTGATGCAGCCAATTTTCAGCCATTTAAGCATGTCCCAATGCGCGGCATCTGCGTTAGGGCAGTGCACATCCTTCAAGATTCACCACTGTTGCTCCCGCCACGCGTCGTAACTGCAGTTACTGTGCTGATTCCAACTTCAACCCCTTGGGCCGCAAACCATCACCCGATGGTTTTTTCATCTTACGTCCTGATTCAGTCAGTGTTGAAGACGAATCCTTCCTGTATCCCGAGTCCCAGTTATTTCGCTTCCCCCTGCAAATACCGGTGAACTCAGAATGACTAGTGTCCCAACTTTTGATCTAAGCGAACCCGGACGTCAAACGACCCCACCCGTGTCGATAATTGGGGTAGATCTCAAGGTTCGCTGGTTAGTCGGATCCTCATTTATTCACTTGTTCTTCCTCGTGCGCTGTGCTACTCCACTCTACGCGCCCTTGATGTAGCCCCCATTTCTGGATTACGTTTAATCTCCCTCCGCTTTCGAGCCACTGTTTCTCGATCTGCAGGTGCGCACGAATGCCAACCTAGGCCGATTCCAGTATGGTTACAAGCATCCAGGCGCAGCTCCCACCAAAGCTTGGGCCCGGATAGCTAACGGCATCTGGGACGGAACGTGGCAGTTCCGAAGTTTTGCAATCCCATGATTTTATTGCTCGATTATTCCCGAACACGCAACCTTCATGGTTTATGATCATTCGACTTCAAATGCTGGCATTCTTAAGGCCGGATTTTCAGAACTTGACGATGACCCATGGCTCGGTTATTATTGTCCGAACTTACCATCTCCAATCGCGAAGTCGTGTGTGCAGGGCATGCATGCTATGTCGCCGACCTTAGGGCCCCTCGGCCATCGTCAAACACCGAAGTCTATGAGATTTTGGCAAATCTAAGGACCTAGCACATCCATCGTGCAATTCACGTCGCCGACACCGAATTTATGGATACAATTTCCCACGAGTCAAAGCCACGCGGCACCGTTGTTCGGAGACCCCGTCTAGATACCATGGGTCCATCAGTCGCTTCTGGAATCCATCGAACGATACGCCTCGACTCAGCGACCGACTGATTCAGTAACGACTCCACCATGTTGGCTAGCACGTATCGCGTGCATATTGGATGATGTGTGACGGCAACAGACGGCTCAAGGTAGAGCGAATGAATTATCCTGTAGCCGGATGCTGCCTGACCAAACTCACTTCGCTGATATAGGTCAGTTTCCGCCCTTTAAACAACATGCTTCAGCGAGGCTAGAGGTCCAAGATCAACTCGAAACTGCGGATACCATCTTAGTGCTCAGGAAGGCATATACTCAGGGTGTCCCACTCACAGTTGCTTATCCATCTCTCCAGATTCTTCCTATCCTCTCGAATGGCTCTCTCGCGTACAAACATGATGCCTTGCAGCTGAGAGACTTATCCTGGTTTGCTCGATGCTTGGTGTTTAGACGACTACTGACAGTACAACCTGTCTCGAAAACAAGATCTTTGCCAATTCAAAGTCGCATGAAGTCGACGTAGGCACCAAGACTAGGTGGTGCAATATGAAGCTAGGTGTAGCAATGGGAGACTGTCGTAGTGGCCAATAGGATGCCAGAACTTTAGTGCACGGTTCATCTCGGCCGAAACGGGATGGCTTCAAGACTGGCCGCGTAACTCGATGCTTTGCAAACGTATCGCGAGGAAATGGACGCGTATGCCATGGTCAATTTTGTTTCCTCCTTTTATCATGTCTTATCTTTCTCTCGTTCTGCAGAAATCTGAATATCTTTCCAACTTTCCATCAATTCCTTGAAGGTGAGGGCTCGAGTCGAGTTCTTCTATGCTCTGGGAATGCATCTCACAAAGCTAAATCTGTTGTTCTCCATTACCATCTTCTTTCCTTCAACTTCTGCATCATTCCAACAGACTAAAACTCACAACGCGAACCATATCTTCAATGCTATCCACTCGTCGATGCGACAATGGGGGTCTTCCCTCAACCACAATGGCATGTCGGTATTTCTTGCCACGGTCCCAGCTGGGACACAACTTTACCATGGAACCACTGATCCAGATAAGATCGAAGGCATACAATGGCTCGCTTTTGAGCCTGAGCATGCGCTGATTTTTGCACGGCCAAAAGGAGGACCTCCACCTGGCAATGGAGGTGAACCCCCAAAACACAAAGAAGAATCAGCATTGGAGGACATGTCGTACGAAGAGCTTGAGTTCGGGTATCCATCTTTGCCACATCACGGAGACCGTCCAGGACCAATACCAGCACCTCACCACCCACACGAGCCCCCATCTCACCATGGACCTGCTCCTCCACCGCCTCCCCCCGGCCATCAACGTCCGCCACCAGATATGTATTATCCTCCACCCCCGCCCGATCACCCTCATGGCCGACCAAATCATCACGAACCTCATCCTCCTCCACCACCACCACCACCACCACCACCACCTTCTCGCCATGTAAGAAACCGCAGTTCCCAACAAACTCTCAAGGCACCTGTCCCAGCAAAGAACGGCGACACCGGCTATCTTCACACATATGTCCCCAAGCATCCCTTACGCCTCCTCTACATCGATGGTCTCTCAGCGGGGAAAACCGCCAACGGCACACTCGACACTCAAGACATGCTGCTTCTGAACCAGACCTCCACCGAACCCCATGGTCCCATGGGTGGCGAGTACGAGCGCGCCGAAGGGCTGTGCAATCTGACCAGCACGTTGTGGGAGGGGGAAATCGACGGTATATTGCGTCTGGAAGGCGGCTTCGAGATCATCTTGTGCGACTTTGGAAAGCACCTGAAGAGAGTGGATGTCATCAGTGTGACAGGAGATGAAGGACGCGGTGGACCAGGAAGAGGAGGGGTTATGGGTGGATGGCAATACATCAAAGCATTCACGTCGCGATACCACGGCATCGGTGGTGGAAGGGTGACCCTAGACTACGAAAACTTCGTGAGCGTATTCGCATACCCCGAGATCGAAGACTTGTTCTCCAACGACGTACAATCCGACTACGCGATGCCGCGCCTCCAAAACGTCAAAGAGGAAGAAATCCTACGCATCCGACAAGACATCACAAATATGGTTTTACAAAAAAGTAAAAACGCAGGACAAGAGGACACAAACTGGCAAGCCGTCGCAGACCAAGTCATAACCCGATACAGCAAATCGCTGCACTACATCCACAACACGCCACACTTGCGCACCAACAAACTCGCCCTCTCAAACTACCTGACCGCCCTCCTCCGCCCGTTCATCTCCCAAGCTCGCAACAGCACCCTCGAAACACAGCGCTGCGTCGCGCAGTTCGTCGCTCCGCTCACGCATCCGCCGCTACTCGTCTCCTCTCTCGCGCACCGCACGCTCCACGATGTTACGAGCCATATCTGCGATACGCTCTTCACCGCGCTGTCCATATCGTCTGCCTCGGTGTCACACGCGTCGTTTGCGGAAGTATACGCCACACATGCGGTGGAGGTTATTGATGAGTTGGTGGCGTGGCTGCAGTGGACTAGCTGGAAAGAGTGTGGGGTATGTGGGGACGAGGAGGTCTGTTTTATTCCTGTTTGGCCGATGGGATCTCATGCGGATCATGAGAGGCCGCAGTGTTTGGATGAGCGGGGTGTGGAGGGGAGGAGTGGGTATTGGGGTATGAGACGGGGTCCTGGACCTCCGCCGCCGGGGAGGAGGGAGTAGATGGGGGATATCACGAGTGTTGCGGTTTCTTGATTTTGATTTGATTTTCACATTTTGAGGTTGTTGGATAATTATACCATAGAATTAGATGTCCTCGAGGTTGGGTACCGTGTTTAATAGAAATGGAAGACTATTACAAATATGACACAATAGCCTGGATGTCTTCAGGTACACTTCCATCTTCCAACAACATTTAGACAAACGCTTGGAGATAACCATACTCATCCCAACCGCTACCAAGAGCGTCGAACCTTCCATCAATGTTACTAAATCTCACCAATGTCACTAACCTTTACCAATCTCACTCGGCTCCCCCGACATCAGCCCCAGTCAACACCGCATCCTACACGAGACACACCACCCCGCAAGATCCCGACCCACGTATCGTACCACCACCGTTTCTTCATCGTCATTCTCATCTTCCGCCTCAGGGAGTGCCTAGCCACCCTACATGATAGGCTGATTTGCCAGGGTCTGGCGGCTCTCCGTCCTCCATCCTGCGGCTAACCCTCTCTCTTCCTAGCCGCGATGACAGGAAAAGTGGTACGATATATTCTGATATCCATGGACTGTGCACTTCCTAGCATTTCTCAGCAGAAAGCTTGTTTACTTCACTAGTAAGTTGTCGTCTCGGTCTCTTCCCCCCCTTTCCTGGCCTGTGACTGTTTCTTTGCTAGAAAGCCGTTCGTTTTTCTCTCCAGTATCGTCTTTTCATCGTGTCTTTCCTTTCCTTTCGTGTTCGCTGGTTGCTGGGATTAGCCCGTGAGTTTTGTCTGTGAGGATCATGTGCGCGAAGGTAAATGTAGTAGCAAGTGTGCTTGTCTCTGTAGATACTCATCGCGGTGTCAGTTTTGCTTTGAGCTAGAGGTTCTGCAGTACCACGCCCTGAATGTATTCAACACTGTTGTCCTGTGATAGAGCAATGGTTAAAATGGGTAGTTACTTGTGCATCAGGTCCTTTGAGGCTGAGCTCGACGATTTCGAAACTTGCATGCTCTCGCGCAGATTCAACAAGAAACATAAAGGAAAAATTCCAACAACCGATTGTAAAGTCATCAGAAGACATGTTCTAGCAATCTGTGCTGTTAATGCAGCCCTTGACCATCACTAATTTCACATTCCACTTGTTAGATGTGAGTAGATAGTCTCGAGTTACGCACTATCGACGCATCAACAATATCTACACAGTAGAAGAGTCCTCGCTCTACTTTTAGGCTACGCTGGTACCTACCACTGCTTTCCAAAGTCTACACATATTAGAGGTTAGCCGGTCCACATCTCTCTTTAAACCCAGGCACACCTTAATTGGTCTTCACTCTATAGCCACATAAACCACATAAACAGCTCAATCCACACTTTGGAGGCGGAACTCGGACAGCCTGGTACGTGACACTGGTTGCGCGAGTATGCGGGGTGTTTGCATGTTTGTTCTCCGGCGGCACGGATTGATGACGGTAGGGGAACTGTGTTTTGGGACGTGTGGAGGGCGAGGTGTGTGTATGTGCGTATTGCGGGGTGTGTTGTGTGTGGGGAGGAGGGGTGCTGAACTGAGTGTGTGGTATATTCGTTAGTGAGTTAGTGCAGGGATGTGTTGTAAGAGTTTCTCATATAAATAATACAATGCCAATCTCCTTCTCGTGTTTCTCGTCGGGCCGGGCCATGTCCACACAGGTGACGCTTGTGACTTTTTCTAAAATACAGCTGTGCAGACCTACCGCATCTCGCTCTTGTACATACAACACACAGCGCACCAAGACGCTTCTTCTCCACGTCGATATCCTCAATAATCGTGCCTCATATTCTTCGTCGTACATATAACATACAGTCCCCCCCCCCACATTGCGCCCCTCATACCCCCCCTCACATGCCTCTCGCCAGCAAAAACTGCTTGACCTGCCCCGTACAATGCCCCTTAACAATAACATGCCCCGTCAGCGCATTGATCCGAACATCCTCATTCTTCTTGTTCAAAAACACCCTCAGCTCGTCCCGCAGCGCCGACAAGTCCCCCGTGATCTTGCGGATGGTGGTCAGGTGCAGGTTCCCGCCGCGCTTGTAGTCGGTGTAGATGGGCAGGTTCTTTGTGTTTGTGCGGGCGATGTGGTAGGTTGGGGGCGGGAGCTCGATGTGGGTTGCGGGCTGGAAGGTTGTGGTGGGGGCGTCTCGCTTTTCGCGCGCGGTCGTTTTGAGCGTCTTGGCTTTGGAGAAGGGCGGGTGCTGCGAGGGGAGGGCGGGCTTGGGGGAGGCGGGCTGGGCGCTGTCCGACTCGGTGATGGCTTCTGCTGCGGCGAGGTCGGCGGCGCGTTGGGCGGACTGTGGTTGGAGATCTGTAGGGGTTAGAGTGTGTGGGTTGCTTGGTAGGGCGTGGGAGGGCGTACGCTCAACTCGCAGTCTCGTCGCGGTGGAGAAGCGCAAGTGGTGGCATGTGGCTGCTCGGGGGGCTGCCAGGGGCCGCAGCAGGGGAATCAGGGGCTGTAACCGGGGCATTGTGCGGGCTGTGAGTGCAGTCGTCAACACAGCTAGAAGAGAGGACGAGGGACGGGCGCTGCTGCTGCTACCGGCGATGCGACGACATGTGTGACGGTCAACACCAAAAGTTTAGCGTTGCAGGGGTGCTCGCTACGCACAGTCATTTTAGATTTCACGCGGCGACCCCACCACGCCGCCGACGACGAGGAAATTCGCGCCCGCGCACCCACGACCGCCTCACCCACGCACCATGGCCGACTCCGACTCCGCGCCCGCCAGCGGCAGCATCGCCGAGCAGTACAGCCTCCTGCCCAAGCTGATGCCCAACCTCGACCGCCATCTGATCTACCCGCTGCTCAACTTCTCCAGCGACGAGGATGCCGAGCAGACGCTGGACCAGAAGAAGCTGCTGATCGAGCTGCTCAAGCCCACCAACATGACCGACTTTGTCGGCCAGCTGCACCAGGACGTCCACGGCCTCGACGACCTGCCCGACGAGTACAAGCAGAAGCGCGACCAGGTCCTGCAGCGCCGCAACCAGCTGGAGGAGGACACGAGCAAGATCTCGGGCCTGCTGGATGATGAGAATGTCGTGACCAACCTGCGCAGCGACAAGACGCAGAACTTGGCCTACCTCAAGGAGAGCCACGGCGTCACGGTCGAGATGGTCGACCAGCTGTACGAGTTCGGCCAGTTCCAGTACAGCTGCGGCGTCTACCCCCATGCTGCCGAGCTGCTGTACCGCTTCCGTGTGTTGGTGAGTTGTTTATAATACATGCCGTTTTACGATACGATACAGTACCGTACTAATCATTCAATACAGACCACAGACGGCGACAAGGAGCGCGAAGCCACCTGGGGCAAGCTCGCCTGCGAGATCCTCTCCGTCAACTGGGACTCGGCCATCGAGGAGATCAACAAGATCAAGGAGCTCATCGACACACGCCTCTTCAACAACCCCCTCGCACAACTGCAGCACCGCACCTGGCTGATCCACTGGTCGCTCTTTCCCCTCTTCAACCACGAAGCCGCCCGCGAGTCCCTCACCGACATGTTCTTCTCCCCCTCCTACATCAACACCATCCAGACAAACTGCCCCTGGATCCTGCGCTACCTCGCCGCCGCCGTCATCACCGGCCGCAGCCGCGCCCGCAACTCGAACCAGTACCAGAGGCAGCTCAAGGACCTGATCAGGATAGTCAGGCAGGAGGGATACGAGTACACGGACCCCGTCACCGACTTCATCAAGGCCCTGTACATCGACTTTGACTTTGAGGAAGCACAGAAGAAGCTCGGCGAGACTGAGGAGATTCTCAAGAACGACTTCTTCCTGCTCGGTGCTGCTGATGCGTTTGTCGACGCGGCGAGACATCTCATCTCCGAGAGCTACTGCAAGATTCACCAGAGGATCGACATCAAGTGAGTCTTCTTTTTCCATATCCCACAGAGAATAATGCTAATCTGTGAACAGGGACCTCTCCACCCGCCTCGGCCTCTCCCAAGACGAGGGCGAGAAGTGGATCGTCAACCTCATCCGCGATACACGCGTCGACGCAAAGATCGACTACCAGGCCGGCACAGTCGTCATGAACCACCCACCGCAATCTGTCTACCAGCAAGTCATTGAGAGGACAAAGGGCGGCTTCTTCAGGACACAAGTTCTGAGTGCCGCGGTAGCGAAATGAGCGTGGCCGCGAATCCAGCAGCAGGGACGTTGCGTGTGGGGATGTGAGGATGGGGAGATGGCAGACGGAGATGCCGTGTTGCGTGATGACGGATGATGAAAAAGTAACGGCTCCCAATTTAGCAAGGTGGGGGGGGGGATTGCATGCATGGCCATCGGCGTCTATTTGGGCTTCTCGAAAAGCTCTTCTTTGATGGATGGATGGATGGATGGAATGATGGACGGGAATGAATGGATGGATGGGGATGGTCTGGCAGCGATGACTGGGCTGTACTTTTATAGACGCGAATGCCACTTTTGAACAATCACCTCGTCTCGACCTCGATCGAGGAAGAACAATACAGTGAAAAATCATTCTGAGACGTCTTTCATACTCACAACATATTGACATTCACATCCATATTCACACCACTCCATCAAAACCAAGACAGTAAACTCCGTCCGTCGCGTACCTCCCCATCAGGCTTAGCCCGCACCGATGCAATGCAATGACGACGCGCCATCCAATCACCAAACAAGGATTAATTTTTTTGCTTGCCTGTCCCGCCGGCCGTTCGTCAAAACCAACTAACTAAAACAGAGAGAGCGGAAAAAAAACCAAAATGGAAACGTCACTTTTCGTCGTCGTCGTCGCCGAAGGCAAAAGTACTAGTAATACATGCACACATACACTTACATACACACTGATACACACGCCGCTGCTCTGCTCGACGTTCCTTGTTCCTCTCGTTCATGTCTCCCGCGGCTTTTGTTCTTTTATAACGATTGATTGATTGATTGATCTGACGGACGAATTCGACGGATTCGATATATTCGAGGCTCGCCGGCTAGTTTCGCGCGGAATTGCAGTGTTTGTGTGCGTGAGCAAAGAGAAGGAGGAACGACATCCCACGCGATGAAGCCACGGCCGCTGTTCTCGACATTTGCGCTGTGTGCGCGCGGGAACATGAGGGTGGGGAATCGGGGTCTGGGTCTAGGGATAGGGAGTCGTGTGTGGAATGACCGGTTACAGCACCGGATGTTCTTGTCGACATCCACAGCAGGCGTCAGGAAGACAATCGCAGAACCCAGCGCGAAGACCAGACACGCCTCAACAACAACGACAACGACGACAATAGTCCCCACCAAACCAACCCTAACCAGCGTCCCCGCCAAACTCACCACAGCAGCAACCCCCCAACCATCCGTCCCAATCCTAAAAGCAAAAGCAAACCTCAACCCCCCACCCTTCACCTACGCCCCCGACCTGCACATCCCCGCGCGCAAAGCCGACCAATCCTTCGTCGGCTACCTCTGGACCACAGGCCGGTCCTACATCTCCTTCTACAAAGCGGGCATATCCCACGTACGCCAAACGGCGCAACTCGCGAAAAAACTCCGCGCACGCGTGGGCAGCAACCCCGCAACCGAGGTCCTCACCCGCGCAGAATGGCAGGTCGTACGTCGCAGTAAAAGCGACATGATTCGACTCCCGGGGTTCGGACTCCTTGTGCTAGTTCTGGGTGAATGGCTCCCCCTCGTCGTGCTGTACATCACGCCCATCATCCCCGAGCCGTGCCGCATACCGCAGCAAGTGCAGCGCGCGCAGGAGAAAGCGCAGCGGCGGCGCATGGAGCGACTGCGCGATGTGAGTCGGCGGGGTATGAGTCTGCAGGCTCAGGAGCGGCGGGTGGCTGGGGCGCAGACGCAGGACTCGCTGTATGAGCTGCTGCTTAAGTCTGCGCGGTTTGGGTGCCATTCGCCGGTTTGGGATACGCTTGGGTTGACGCCGCCGAAGTGGTTGCTGAGGCGCAATGTGGGCAAGGTGTTGGAGTATGTGCGCATGGATGATGGGCTGATTGAGAGGGATGGGGGGTGGGCGGCGTTGGAGAGGAGGGAGGTGGAGCGCGCGTTGGTGGAGAGGGGGGTTGATGTGTTGGGGAAGAAGGAGGAGGATATGCGGAGGGAGATTGTCGAGTGGAGTCGGAATCGGAAGTTGTGAGGCTGGGGAAGGGGGGAAGGGGGGTTGAGGAGAGATGTATGTGTACGATTTTTTACTGTAGGAATGAACCTGTGTCGCTTGTGAAATATCTGCTTCGCTATGGATGTAGCTATTTCTACTGAATGTACTGTAAATACACACACCCCCCGATCCAACCCAGCCAATTTCCACCCCACAGCCCAAGAACAACCCGCTACGACTCAAGAGAGAAAAAACGCCCCCAGTACGCATACGCATGCTCGTTGCATAAAGCCAAGAAACCGACTTCAACCCAAAAGCGCCACGCCAGAAAAAGCACAAATACCAATACCAAGAACGCATGTCAAGTCAGACCGCGCTCGTGACCAAGAAACCAACCCGAGCCCGCTGCTAACAAATTCCCCGTTCGAACTAAAGGCGAGAACTCCAAAGATATACACGCCCCCACCCATTAATCCTGTACTAATCAGTCAGTGAGCCCGTTGTCCCTACAAGTCGATACTTCGTGTTAGCAACCTACGTGCCCCAACACATCAGCGCTGATACTTCTGCAGCTGCGCCATAATCTCACTCATATCCACATTGACACTCGGTGCCGCGCCGTTCTGGCCTGGCGTCTGCTGTTGCTGCTGCGGCGGCGGAGCAGCAGTGCCCGCCTGTCCTTGCCCCTGGCCCTGGCCCGCCAGCAACCCCGCAAGACCGGGGAACTGATTTGAAAGCTGCTGGGCGGCGAATCCCGATGTCTGCGGCGGCTGCTGCTGGGGCGGTTGGAGTGGCTGGACAGGATGCTGTGCCGGGGGCTGGGAGACCTGAGCCAGCAAGCGCGCGATATCGACGTTCAGACCCGAAGGTGCGGGCGCGGGTGCGGGTTGCGGGGTCTGGATGGGAGTCGTCTGGCTGGACATTGCGCCTAGTAGTTGTGCGAGCGCGTTGGGGTTGAGGGAAGCGAGGACGTTTGTGAGGTTTGGCTGCGGCTGGGCGGCAGGAGGGAACATAGCTGGTGGTGGTTGCGAGTACTGGTTGTAGCCGTATGTCGGCGCGGGTGGTTGGACGGGCTGGGATTGAGATTGTTTGGCTTGGTTGACGAGCATGGATACGGTTGTTAGGTCGAGGTCGGCGTATTCTAATCAGGTATTAGTAATAGGAAGTAGAGTCGAGGCGTTTACGTACCGTTGAATTGCACGTTGGTTGCCCCACTCCGTCGATCAAAGACCTGCACGTTTACATTGCCTTTGACTAGGGACGATGTGTCGAGTCGCACAATAGCCAGTACACCTTCGAGAATCTGTCTTCTAACAATGGCTGGCTCGGGATAACGACCGCTCATGATAAGTACATCGCAGCGGAGGCCTTGGGCGCGGAACGAATCCTCGACGTAGCGGATGAAATCACTGTTCACACATCAGTACAAAAGACCTTAGTCAAGTTCAGACACCAAACTTACCTAGGCAATCCCTGGTTAAGAACAAGGACTTGGATCTCAGGCACTTCATGTGGCAGTCTACGAGGCAGGCCGTCGAGGTCGTCCTCGGCATAATCCCGTCGTGGAGAACGACTCCTGTACCGGCGAGGCGGTGACCGCGATCGACTCCGGTATCGGGTGTCGTACCTGTCGCGACTCCGATCCCTTGGTCTCATACCTCGAGGCCCACCACGTGGTGAGGGCGATCGCATGGGTCTGTAATCGTCTCGATCGCGGAACCGTCGATCCCTGGGAGACATGGAATTCTGGCCCCCGCCATATCGACCATCTCTTGTAGGCCCTGGACCACCTCGTGTATAATCTGGCGATCGTGAGCGGCGCCGTGCTCCGTTATTCTGCGGGTCTGCCTTTTTCGTGTTACGCTGAGGTTTCGAGATTTCCAAGTCTATTCTCGTTAGTCTACTGCACGGGACTTGACAGTGGCGGCTGCACTCACGCATAGGTTTCCCACGTATTGTCTGTCTATCTTGCGCCTGTAGTGCCTGGCGACACGACTCTGCGTCCAGGAACTGAACGAACCCATATGCCTGCTTTATCGATATCTGTGCGAGTCTGCCGTAACGATAGAAGCGGTGGAAGACGTCTCGCTTGGTGACCTTCTCACTAGGTAGATTGCCTGGGCTTGTTAGAAGGGGAGCCTTACATATTGACAGACTGCCAACTTACCGATAAAGAGACGAGAGCCCACAGGGAACTGGTCCCATTGTCCTTCTGTCACAAACTTCCTCTCCTGATCCAGAAACTCCTCATACTTTTTGTTAATCTCTGGCGGCCACCGCGCATCTTCGTCGTCGGGAGTCTCACTACGTTGACCCGCGTGTCGCTGGAAGGTACCCGACGTGCTGGGACTCTGAGCAGACGGTCGCGGCGCTGAAGAGAAGTCTTGCCCTCGCACATTTAAAGACTGCAACTTGCCATTGCCCTCCTGTTGGGGGTTGGATGGCTTCTGGCTATGTGGGTGAAAGGACCTGATGTCATCGTTCGGGTTATAGTTTGGATGTGTAGCAGGCTTGTCTTGCGCAGGAGGTCGGGCGGGAAGACTGGGAGCCGCGGGGAGTGACGAGGCTGATGCATTGGGCTGCGGGTGTGCAGACTGGGTAGGCATGTGGGGAACAGCATATTGGCCTGAGGGCGCATGGTTCGCAGAGGGTGTCAAGGAATCCAACAAGGCCTGTATGTCAACACTGGCGCCGGCGCTGGCAGCCTGGTAGTGAGCACCTGGGGCAGGCAGGGCTGGGGCATGCTGGGCCGCATGCGCATTGTCATGAGCAAATGGATACGCAGAGTGATGGTCTGTACCGGGTGGCTGCTGCGCATCACTGGACGACGGAGCGCGCGACTGATGCTGCGCAGAGAAAGTCTGAATTGATGAGGTATCCTGCGTCTGCGCACCCATACGGCCGCCGCCGAACGCCGACTGTGAGATTCCTGCTGGCATCACACCACCTCCAGAGCCCTGCGCTCCTACATTCTGATTTTGATAGCCAGCTGTGGATGCCTGCTCGGCGTAGTACGGCGTGGTCGAAAAGGCGCTCGAAGGCTGCGACTGCGAGGCGTATTGCGCGGGTGTCGACGCGCCATGGCTGTGGGGGGAGTCATTGAAGACGGGGTCCATCTGTTTATCTAAGATGAGAATGGGAATGTTCGAGGGCGAGGGATTGTTCTGGGGGCGCGGCGATTCTGGTGTCAATTGCTGGTGGCGGATGTGCTCTGCTTCTTGAGGCGGGCTAGGACTGAATCTCATGACAAGGACATCTACAAGCGCACGTCGCGACACGGCGGAAAAAAGTTGGCGTCGAGACTGAAAAGATGCGCCGCAAGGAGCTTACAAGGTATGGCGGGGTGGAGAATAGGTAGAGCTAGGTGCAGATGAGGAAGGTTAGAGCGCAGAGTATCCAGTCAGCAGTCGATGGGCGCAAGCACGACGGCAATGAGGCGGGGATGGACGCGTATATAAGTTTTTCTTGGTGGACGGTGAGGTCAGGCAAGATCATGCAGTAGCTGTCGAGCGTTGTGGAGAATAGAGCTGGAGCACTGGCCGCGGAAGGATTCTGCTTTTCACGTCGTCACGGTCCAGACCACACGTGACTGTCAGTTCAAGTCAGGCATGCATCTGCTCACAACCGCAAGGCTACACGACATACTATGCATATGCTCCGCCTTCGCCTTGTGCACAAAGCTCTTCGTTCCATTACCAAATCCCCGTCAGCAGTGCAATGCCGCTACTCTTCTGCGCGAAGTAACCTCAGCAGCGCAAGCGATGAAGAGCTCCAAATAGCGCGGTCCTGGCTCGCAAAGCTGCATGCAGACGCGATCCCCCTTAAAAGTATCGGCCAATTGAGCTTCAGCAGATCCTCTGGCCCAGGCGGACAGAATGTTAACAAGTACGACCGCAAGTCTGCATAGAAAAGTTTGACATTCACTAAGCATGCACAAGAGTAAATTCCAAAGCTACATTACGCGTTCCCCTAGACACACTTTTACCACACATCCCCACTGCTCTCCACGGCGAGATTAAACGCTCCCGCTATGTAGCTGCAAAATCCAGTTCCATCATAGTCCAGGCGGATGATAGTCGCAAGCAGAGTGACAATGCTCAGAACTGCTACAAGCGCCTGTTTGAAGCAATTGTGGAGGCGGGGCACGACGCAGTGCCAAATGAGACGTCCATGGAGCAGGTGCAGCGTGTCAAGGATCTGTAGGTTGCAATGTGTTTCGCCTATAGAGCGAGTGTGCTGATGGGATTCCAGGCAAAAGTCTGACAATGAGCGTCGACTGAAGACCAAGAAGCAACACAGTGCGAAGAAGAGCTCGAGGAGGGGGGGTCGGGGTGATGATTGATATTGTTGCGGCTACCGTCGACCGTATGTGTTGTAACAGCTCGAAATTGGATGTGTGAAGTGATGATATCCAGTTGACCAAGAAATATCAGAGTCGAATCTTCCTGATTCAGTGCTCAACATGCTGACGGGTCGTCTTGAATCCTTCATGTCTCCAACGCCTTATGGAGACTCTGCAACTCCTCACTTTCGGCCCAGTACTTGATGCCCGACTTTACCAACGCCTCTGCATCGTCTCTTCTTCCCTCTTGCCGTAACGACTTGGCTAGAGTTGCCACCTTTTCTCCAGACTCCAATCCTCGCACATGTTTCCGAAGCGCAACACGCAGCACTTTCTGCAGGGCTGGATCTGCGTCTGCGGATACGCGTTCGAGAGACAACAGTTGACGGACGGCGACCTCGGAAAGACGAGCAGCCTCGCTGGGATGCTGCTGGATGGTGGATTTAATCGAATCAAGCGCATCTCCCAAAGCAAGAGGAAGCTCTGGGTCGAGGGGACTGCGACCAAACAGCTGCATGCGGAACGTGCAGATGGCAGTTTCTACAGCCTGAGGCGAGTTCTGCTGCAGATGGTCGAAGACGTGCTGCAAGATGCGCGGGATGCAGGCGAGCTGATCGAACTCAGCAAACATGTCGAAGAATTTCTCTGTGACTCTGGGTTTGCCTTGGAACTGCTTCATTGCCGAGTCAAAGACGGCAAGCGGAATGGCGCCAGTCAGCACGGGTGCAGAAGCCAGATTTTGCAGAGCCACCTCGTCTACGCCATCGTCCTGCTTCAAGCTCGGGTCGATGTCCTCTGCTGTAACTTGCGGAAGCGCAATCATGTCTGTGTCCATATCGTCTTCGCCCTGTTGGCTCTTTGTGCGATCAATGTCCAGACCCAAAATCTTCCTTCGACCCGCAATCTTTCCGACATAGATGGTCTCCAGCTTTGCATATTCCAGCCACAGCACTTCCGAGTTCTTGCAGAAGCGCAGTCCACGCTGCATGTAGCTCCGCGCATTGGTTATGTCGGCCTGGCTCTCCATGAAGTAGTTGGCTGCCAGTGTCCATATCTCGGGCTTGGTGGGATGGAGACGGGCCACGGAGGTGAAGATGTCGTTCAGTCGCTTGTATGCCTTGTCCTTGCGCGCAAAGTCGATGTACTGCATCCATAGCGTGAGGTCTCCCGAGAACTTTCGGGTGGCGCGGTTGTATATGAAGTAGATCGTTCGCTGTGCAGCGCCCTTGTAGCGTATCCCCAACCGTTTGACTCGCTTGCGGCGGAGAGCATCGACGTTTTTCTCGAACTCGATGTATCGCATGTAGTCGGCGGGGTGAGAGCCACGTGCGTTGATTATGTGCTCAAAGTCGGAACGTTTCTTCGCGATCGACTTGATCTCGTCCTGCGCATGGTTGGCGTGATTCTTACAGTTGCTTGGTGGGATGCTGGCTTACTCGTGTGAAGATTTTCTTGCGCTCAAGCTCGTTGAGCTCCGTCGCCGACTGCTCGAGGTAGAAGCGCGCCTTGTCACTGGGGCCTGACATGTTTGCGATTGCGGTTGTGGTTGTTGAGTGCAGCGAGCAGCCGTCGCAAAAAGTTGGAGAAAACTCCGCCTAAAGTTGCTCTCCCACAGGCACGGCACTCCCCGTCTTGGCCTACGAACCTGGGCTTCAGGGGACAGGACAGCTCGTGTCCGCATGTCAACGACTTCATCTTGTCGACGCTCCTTCGCTTTCTTTCGTTTCTTGGGTGAGGGGCTTTTCTCCAGCCTCTCAACTTGGCCATTCAATGGCGCCTAAATTCAGAGACAGCGACACTGTCGCGTCGGTGGGCACATGCAAGACCTCACCCCCGAGAGCTCCGCACTCACAGCTTGCAGTTCAACGGCAAATGGATATCTCACGCACACACTGGAATGGCCTACTGTAAGTCGTCTCTGCCTTCAATTGATGCATGCTGACTCTCTCTAGGCGCCTTCGTCGGAGCCCTCGTTGTTGGAATGTATGCGCATCCCCCGCCATGCCGCCGTGAGCACAACTGAGCATTCGCAGGTGGCTCCACTACCACAAAATCGTGCAGAATGAATTCTATGTCAGTATTCATGGTCGCACAATCTCCAATACATACCGACGATGAACACAGGGCTATCCAGAAGAGTGGTTCCCCTCCGTGTCTGCCACCATTGGCGACCGCTACCCCGAGCGCTCCGTCTTCATGCTCTTCATCGCCCTCACGTCCGGTACGACTAGCCCAGCTGACAGAGGGAGCAAGACTGATCACAAGTCTAGGGCCTCGATTCGCACTGGTTGGACTGTGGTACATCCTGACGCGCCGACGGAACTCGTCGCTTCCCAAGTTCATCGCTGCCGTGGGCGCGTTCCGAACATTCACATGTGGAGGCTGGACATACGTGACGTCGACTGACGACCACAACTGGCACGACATCTTCATGATCTCATACCTTGTCGCCACACTTCCCTGGACACTAGGCTGCCTTGCCCTGAGTCCCCAGAACCCAACAGCCATCAGGTACCGCAAGATCTTCGCTGGGTCCTTCTTTGCGACCCTGGTGCCGCTTATCTACTTCTTCATTCAGCATAAGGTGCACCGTGTAGCTGGAGGCATGTCTTCTTTGCAACCTTCACTAGGTCTATGCTAACTCTAGCCCAGCATACACCACATACGCCTTCTTTGAATGGGCACTCGTCCTGCTCGACGTAGCATTCGACTCTGTCACGGCCATTGAGTTTGCCAACTTGGAGATTGTGATAAAGGACGTCCAAGGCGTATCACGCGGGTACGTTCCGTGGCTCCCAAAGTAGATAGACATCCTTCCACCAATGCAAACATTTCACGACCACTTTCTGATCTTTCGCGTATTATAGTGCTGGCAACAAAGCCGTCTCTGACGCCGTCCTCGAGAAGGAGTACGTTCTTGCGGTTCCCCCTCCGCACCAGAATCTGACAAAGTCGCAGAAAGGAGAAGGAGATTGGCGCCGTCTTTTCTGGAGCTTTCTCATGGATGGGCCTTATTGATGCCGCAGCTGATGTTTACAATGGGGTTCGTTTGTTCATATCCCTCCCCCACACGGCAACTAACCAGGTTACAGTTCGTCTTCTGGTCCATGTTGACTGCTCTTGGCCTTTGTGTCTGGTGTAAGTTCCCCTCTTCGACTGCAAACTTTTCTAACGCCATCCAGATTTTCCCCTGTGGTACATGGGCATCTGCGGTTATGAAGTCTTGGTTCTGGTCACCATATCTCCTTTCCTGCTGGTTGTGAAATCGTTCCGTTACCTTATCGTTCGCCACGTTCGGATCTGCCATTTACTGTCGCTCTCAGGCCTACTGTCGTTTCTCGCCAAGTCTCCCAAATGGCGCTTGTTCTCTGCTGCATTCGGTGTGTTCATGGCTTGTCTTTCATGGTCTGCAACATTCCACGCAGAGAGATCCCAGCCACGCCGTCTCGAGGCACGCATCTCGGCATTCTGTCTTGGACTACTAGCTTCCAGTATTGCCAAGTTTGCATTCTACACGAACAACCCCATCTGGCCAGTCATGCACGAAGAAAACGGCGGATGGAATAAGACTGGACTTGTTGTAGCCGTCTTTGCTATTCTCATCTCGACTAGGTCCACGGCCAGCTCTGGTGCGGACCTTCCTGCGCCGGGCCCTGCTAAAGGGTCAGCCGTGTTTGCAAGCTTTGGTATTGCGGGATTGTTCTTTGCCATGCATTCATTGCTTTCTGACTCCAGCACCATGATCTCCTGGGTCTGGGAAGGCTATCCTGTCCGTGGCCCGTTGGCTGTTCCCCATGGAGCGTGGACTCATCTCGCCATGGGCTTTGGGCTTGTCATCGGGCTTTTCGCACCTAATCTCTCCAGGTCGTGGGCTTTCTATGGCGTGGGTTCAATTGGTGCTGCTCTCCTGACTACCACCAGCCACTGGACTGGTTACTATGGTGGACTTGTCCTCGCTGTGTACACTATGGCTGCTGCTCCGGCACTCATTACTCACGCAGCTCGCTTCTCTCCAGCCAAAACATTTGGTCTTGGGTTCTTCGTCTACAACTTGATGGTTCTCTTCCACGTCTGGATCGTAGCATATGCATTTGTTCCTGGCGGACCTCTTGTTCGCGAACGTACGGATTGGGTCATGACATCCATGATGCTCCAGATTGGTGCAGGTGTCTTCAGCGTCTCAGCTCAACCACCAGTTGCGAAGAGCTACAAGGGCAAAGCAGTTGTAACCGCAGCCGCCAGCCGCCAGCGATCCTACTACCTCTACGTTCTCGGCGTTCTCGAACTTCTCGCCATTGCCACAGCATACCTGCGCTTCCCATCCTACAACTACACCCCCTACCATCCGGAGACCAAGTCCATCACAGCTGGTATCTGGACTATTCACTTCTCCCTCGACAACGATATGTGGTCTTCCGAGCACCGCATGCGCGACCTGATCAAAGAGATGGAAGTCGACGTAATTGGCCTCCTCGAAAGCGACCTTCAGCGCATTATCATGGGCAATCGCGACACGACTCAATTCCTTGCCGAAGACCTAGGCATGTACGTCGACTTTGGCCCAGGCCCCAACAAGCACACCTGGGGCTCCGCCCTCCTCTCCAAGTTTCCCATCGTCAACTCTACACACCACCTCCTACCGAGTCCTGTCGGCGAGCTTGCGCCTGCCATTGAAGCTACTATCAACGCGCACGGCCGACTTGTGGATATCTTCGTCTTCCACTCCGGCCAGGAAGAGGATCCTGAGGACCGCAGGCTGCAGTCTGAGTACCTGGCCAAGCTCATGAAAGCCACACCACGACCGGCTATCCTACTCAGTTACTTGGTCACGAAGCCCGGCGAAGGCAATTACAACACGTATGTCGGTGAGAAGAGCGGAATGAAGGACATCGACTCGAGCGACTGGGACAGATGGTGCGAATACATTCTCTACAAGGGATTGAAGCGCACAGGATACGCTCGCGTGTCCAGGCATACGATTACGGATACGGAATTGCAGGTATGATCTTTCCCTTTGTTCTCTCTCGTCACCCAATCTTTTTCTTATCTTGTCTTGTTCTTTTTCTTTGCTTTTTGCGATATCGCGCCCTCCCCCCCCCCCCCCCTTCTCCACACCCATTCCATCTCGTTAGTTCCGGAAAGGAAAGTAACCTCGCAATCGCTAACTCCACAACCAGGTCGGCAAGTTCGTCGTCGATCAGCCTGAAAATGGAAATGAACAGATTCCTGAAGATCAGGTCCCGCCTGGACTACGCTTCCCGGACTTGTTCAAGCGCGATGGCGTTAGAGGGCATCGCTACCATGCGTTTAGTGATCCGCATTACTCGGAACCGAGGTATTATGCTTAGGTTGGGATGGCTGCGGGAAAGGGGAGGAACGCAAGTGAGGGGATTGGCAATGGGGATGTGGAGAGACGGGATGATGTGAGAGTTTGTCAAAATTACGTTGCGTTGACGTTCGTGCGAGGCTGTATGATATCTTGTGAGAGAAAGAGGAATGTACATGTTTGGTCTAGGTCGTCTGCTACGCGTGCAAGTACGTGAACTGTTCAAGAGACGTTCAACTACTATCATACTTTTGTCGGAAACATAACGTATCATCTCACAGCAACCGTTTTCTTATACTTTCTTACTCTTCCTGTCTGTGTGGCATAAAGCAATCCACTTTTGATAGTAGATAGCAAAATACAAATGCGAGCAGGAATTTTGTCCTGCAATGTGATAGTCTCGGTTTGGATATACATATATTGAAGTTAACTGAGTGATTGGTATCGTGTTTCTAGGACGAAGAATGGAAGAGTTTGAGGACTGAATGTGTAGTATATCAGATCGGAGTATATAATTAATTGCCAGAAAAAACAGCAATCAAGGGGTAAGATTCAAAACGAATGAATCAACGTCATGAGCGCAAATAATAGTCAAACAAGAGGAAGATAGGAGAGATGGTATGAGATACGTGAATCATGTCTCTTACTACAGGCACTTACTGTCTGGCACTGTGTGTAAAAGGGATTGGGCCATGGTACCTGTACTGCATTGAGGAACTAGGTTTATGACTGCGTTGTGTGCTGTCTGCTTTTAGGTCGAGTGTGAAAAGGCTGAACCTTTGACTTGAATGATAGTATATATGTACGTATGTTTCTGTGTAAGTAGTATATAGAAATAACGGCCTGGGATGGAATGAAATAGGCAAAAGACAAAGCATAAGTAAGAAACTGAGATGAAATGGTGCGTGATTCAAACTCGACTTGCTACCACATTTCAACACACAGCATCACGATACCAACAGGAGTACAGCAAAGCATCAGCAAATGCCACACTACAAGAATTCAGAACGAGAGATGATACAATGTTCGAGGAAGAAGCGTGCTTAGGGGTTGTATTTCCATTTCGCAACTCGGACGTTTATACGTCTTCGAGACCCTCCGTGGAGTACATCCTACTTCACCGCCACTCTTGCCCGCGTTAATGGAGAAAATCTCGGAATGTAACACATATGTGTTTAAACGATACGCGATACTGGACACTTTTATGCAGGGATGCGTGTATACTCCAGTAGTACCGTGACGGTGGCGGTAGCTGTACAAGGACTGTACATGACGTTTCGTTGCTCTATCTTGTCCTAGCCTGGACTCCGAGGAAGAAGGGTGGTACAGGGGGTGTAAGAAAGCGAGATGTTTGGGAGTATACTGTGGAATGGGTTGGGGAAAGGGGTACTGGCAAATAGTTGGGGATATTGGTTGGCTTAGGGGATGGGATTAATAGTAGTAAGGTGCTTGGTTTGCGCATGTGTTGAATAGGAGATGGAGTTAAAGAGGTGGGGACGGATATATCCTTTTCTCCGGATGAAGGGGTAGGGTGGAAGGATGGTGACAATTATTGTGCGGTCTGCGTTTGTATCTGTGCTTGCGTTTCATTAACAAGAACTGTTTGAGGAAGTGAGGGTATACTGGACAATAAGCGGGGGTGGGGGTACCGCATAAACTGGTGTAATGGACGGATGCTCGGATCAGATAGGCAGGATTGAGCTCCAATCAAGTCACCTAGATACAGTCTAATTTAGCGGTAAGCCCCACAAAACGCTTTTAACCACGCTGAGTTAATTAATTAGAACTGAATTCTGCCTATCTAAGCCTAGCATCCGTTAATTACATTAATAATGCGGTACTGCATAAACTAGTAGAATTTTACTAAGCTAGGCCCAATTAGGCAGGAGGTTAATACTAATTAGATAGTAAGGAATTACTCCTAAGATAAATATAATATAGCTTAGCAGTAGTTTTAAACTCTAAAATATTGTTAAGATACCCTTATTATGTAAATTTATTAAACTATAATATCTATAATACCTCTAAAGGGTAGAGAGCTGCTTTTATTTAATATTTATTATAATTAGGCTAAAAATTATTAAAATACTACTTATTATTACATCCTAATAGTATTACTACTGCTACTACCTATAATACTACCTCTATCTATACAGTAAGCTAATGCTAGTAGAGAAGCTATATACTAAGAAAACAGTAGCAGTAGTTTACTACTTATATAAAACCTTAAATTATAAGGTTAGTATTATATTAGGGCTATTAAATTAGCTACGCTGTCCTAAGTACTACCTAATAATACTTTACTAGTATAGTAATAATTATTTAATACCCTAAATAAGTAGTACTTTATTACCCTAAAGGATCTTTTTACTAGTAAGCCCCTAACTATACTACCTAAATTAATAAAATATAAGTTTAGGACTAAGTTAGATTTAAATATTAAGTTTCTACTAAAATAAAGAAGAATAGGGCTGTAAATAAAGATGCTAGCTAAAAGGAGTAATTAGTATATAAAGCTATTAAAAGTATATAAAATAGTATCTTAAAAGAAGAAGATTAATATATATAAATTAATTAATAATTATAGTATATAGATTATTAATTACTTATATATACTAATTATATATAAGGAATATTAGCTAGAGGGAAATTACTAACTATTAAATAATTATAAGGTTAAAGCTATTTAAGAGATCCTATATTAGATAATAAGAAATTAGTAGCACTAATAAGCTACTGTTATATAAGCTCTAAAGACTAGTTATTAAGTAGCATTTCTAATTCCTACTTTATATTAGCTAGCCCTAAAGGAGGCGTTATATTAGAGCTTTATTAAATAATATTTAAGTAATTAACTTATTTCTAGTAACTAGTTCTAGTATACAGCCTAATAGTTATTTTATAAGATATATAAGGTTAAGCTTAAGTTTTTTTTTACTATTAGTTAGTTCTTAGGCTTTAAAAAATAATAGGGTATCTTTTATAAAAGGCTTACTAATTAAGCTTAAAAACTTTCTAAAAATTAGGTTAATATTATTAATTTATTCTTAAGGTTTATTTAATAGTATTTATAGGTTAAAATAGGTAGTAATTAGTACCTAGCTACCTATATTTTAAATATAAATAAGATACTAATTTCTTTTAAGTATTTAAATAGTTATACTTATACTTATACTAGTAATTATATAGTTTCTAAATATAGTATTAAATTAGGTTAAGGTAAGCGCTAAGCTATATTAATACTATATATCTTTACTAACAGCTCTAAGCCTATAAAGCTAAAGATAATCTTCTATAGCTCTACTAAGAGAAACCTTAAAAGTTAAGAAGATTTTATATATAGTAATATAGTAACAGTAAAGTTTAATAATAAGGTATATAATAATAAAGAGAGTTTTTTAAACTAGTTAAAGGAGGAGTTTATACCCCTTTAGTCTACTAATAGGTATAATTTTCTACTTATATTAGACTAGGTAAGCTTCTATTAAACTAATAAGGTACTTAACTTACTTTATATAAATTAGATATTACCTACTATTATTCCTTCTAGCTATACGTTTCTTATTTAGCTACTTAATACTATAGTTAATTAAGCCTTTAAAGTAGTACTCTAGTATTAGACTAAAGCTCTTACTACTATTAAGAAAAGCTTTAGTAAAATAAAGTTAATTAAGAACTAGCCTCTTTAGTAGTAATAAAGGCTTACTATATATACTATTAGTAAAGCTTAAAAGGCTCTTAAGCCTAAGCTTATAGTATAATTATTTTAATAATATAAAATTTTATTACCTATTAATAGCTTATATAATTATAAGCTTAAAATTAAGAATCTTAAGTAGGTAAGCTTTAATAGCTAGTAAACTAAAATAAATAATTATTTAGTAAAGCTTACAGCGCTAGAAGCCTTATAGGCAGTAGCTAGGTAGGATACTAATAATATAGAGGGTAAGTTTATATTAGATAAAGAGGTTAAATAGAAGTTTCTAAAAGGTAAGGGTAGTTAGTATGTACTATATAAGTTAAGTTTATAAAGTACTAATAAGATTATACAGCCTAAAAGAAAGCTTATAATAAGAAGGCTAAAATACCTAATAAATATAGAGGTATAAACTATAGTAGACTTATAAGAAAATCTTAAACAGCGTAGCTTAAGAGGCCTACTAATATAGAAGGCTAAGCTTATTAAGCTACTAAAGTTATATAACGCTAAAGAGTAAGCTTAGTAGGGTAAGTAAGGTAAAGTAAGGCTTAGAGCTAGTTAAACTTATAGAGTTACTATAAAGTTTTAAAGCTTTTAACTATATAAAAATCTAGCTAAATTAGTATAAATTTATACTACTCTAAAGTAATTTACTAGGGACGTAGGCTTTACTAACTTATTTTACTACTACGTAGATAATAGCTCTAAGTTTAAGTTTATATAAGCTAAGTTTAGGTATAAGGTTAGGTATTAATTAGTGTTATAGATAGAGTTAAAATAGCTATTTAAGATTATTAAACTCTAACTCTAGTGCTAAGGCTTATAATAAAACTCTAAAGTACTTAGTTTTATATTAAAACTTCTAAATCTTTATATCCTAACTAAAAAAGTAGCTTACTTAATAGTAATTTTTTTACTATAAGTTTATAATAGTTTATACCTTACCTAAAAGCCTTAGCTATAATAAGAACAGTAGTAGAGCATAGTATTATAATAAAGATAGATAGGATAGATATAAGGATATATTTACTAGCTAAGCTACTAGCTAAGCTTATAGAACCTTATAGAGTAGTTAATAGAATAGTAGAGCTTAATACCTAGATAGGTAGTAGTTACTATAATTTAAACTATCTTAACTTCTTTAAATCCTGCCTAAAAATACCTATAACGTTACTAAAACTGTAGCTATATACTTAAGAGTACTTAAATAGTAGTAGAGTTATAGAATAGTATTTAAATAGTAGTAATTTTAGCCTATATAGATATATAACTGTATATTAATAGATTAACGTTGCTTAGTAGTTTAGGTTCTGCCATCTGATTAGTATTAACCTCCTGCCTAATCAGGCCTAGCTTAGCAAAATTCTACCAGTTTATGCGGTAGTACAAGAGAAAGAAGACCATCGAAGGGTGTATGCAAAAGCGACTGATTTGACATGGAAATGCTTCGAAATTTGGAAGACGCTGCTCGCACAAGAAAAAGAAAGATGGGCTTCTAGCCCTACTTCACCAAGAGCTTTTGCTTTGTCTGCCCCTATTACCACCACGTCGAAGAATCTATTTCTATTAGTGATACAGAAACGAAAGCGTGGTTAGAAAGCTTCAGAGCTGAAGGTAGACATTGTTTTGTTCTGTAGATGTGTCAGGATACCCACACCACATCCTACGTGTTCGAGCTTGCGAATCCAAAAGGAAATAGGAATTCCAGCCTCATTTATCGCATATTCGCACATCTGTACTCAAAAAATTGAGTTGTTTTTCGATGGCGCATCCACGTGTCGAGTAATCTATCCATTTCCAGCGAAAATGTGCAGCCTCATTCCTCAGGCACAACATGAAAGCCTCAAGCCACTCCCGGAGCTTTCGGGTCTGGTAGCTGGGTTGCAAAAGGAAATTAGACAGCCACAAACCCCTAAACGATCACTGCCGCATTACCAACTGAGTGGTGTATGTCCATGCGTGCGGCGCGCTCAGTTCGCCCGTCGCCGACGGGTAGAAGGAACCATCTCCGTTTTCTCATCGCCCAGCGCACAGCCTAGCGTTGTTGAGCAACAATGGTCTGAATACAGGTTTCTCTACTAACGGGTAGCTAGTGCGTGTGATGGAAGCGATTACATCAGTCCCAAGCTTTAGGTGCGTGAACTGAAATGAAAGTTGGGTTGCTAAAACGTGGGTTAGAAAGTCGTTGGATGGATGCGTACGCCGAGGTTCGAGATTGAGAGAAAGACGGGTGGCATGTCGCGTGGACGGGTAAGATCGGAATGCCGTTGATAATTGCCGGGAGTCAGGAACGGGCATGGGAGTGCGCGTGTCGCTAGCGTTGTGACATTTGGGGAGAAGAACGACGATAACGAAGAAAGATTGCAGTGGTTGATGTTCATAAAGTTCAGAGCATATAGTGCAATGCATGCGGATATCGTGTCATCAGCCTCTCCACCAACGAAACCATCCCAATAAGTGATCTGGTCAATCAACAGATCTACGCACAAGGCACCGTATTCCCGTATGGCCATCTTGCTCTGCGTTGCCCTATTTGAGGTTGGTTGTCCGTTGAAATGCTGCACGTTTAGCGCACGCCATTTGCAGGCTGTGTTCGAAGAAACCCCAGAATGGATGTGCCAACTGTCAACAGACAATGGTGCCATGTACGGCTCGGTAGAGACCTTCCACCCAAAGAAACAAGAACCCAGACTGTCGCCGTTGAATTTCAACGGCTAAGATGACCGGACTAGTTACAAGCATCGGGGGCGCACACATAAGACAGGCCTGGAAGGATTAGCAGCTAGAAATGCTCCGAAAGGCGTACCTAGGGCACAGTAGCATCGCTCCGTACCAACCCATGCGGTCAGCCAGTAGGTTTTGGCGCAACCAAGGATTACATGGTATGGGGAGCCTTGCTCAGGTATCAGACTGGAAGTCGGTAATATCAACATAATAACACAATTTAGCACAATTCTGAAAATCGCAAAAACTCCGACAGCTCATCCTGGGTTTACTAGATACTCTGTTCTTAGTTCGTGTGGATACAGCGTTGTTATGGAGTTGCTTGTTTGGAGACGGGTTTCACTTCCGATCTTCATTAACGCCAGGTTGTGTTTGTGTATGCAGCTGGGAGCTGAAAGTGCGGATACTGTGTAAGAATGACAATGTCTGGAAGCAGGTGATTGGTTCATAACAATGTTGTGAAGAACCCTGTCTGGAGTAACATTGTGGATTGGCTCGAATACTGGTTTGTTCCACGTCAGTTTCTTATCTCCACGCCAGAACGACACCTGAAGAGGTAGTGCCTTGCAAGTCTTCGTATGACATACTCTTCCAGCTCGAAAGCGCAATATTTATTTGAAGCGGAACCCAAGACGAAGCCATGGCAACGTTGCCGAATGACGAGGCCTCATGTTGCTTAGATACTCCGCGAGCTGGGCAGGCTTGCTACACTTCCGAGACGGGGTAGTGCTGAATAAAACTCGATTTCTGAAAAGCGAGGCATCTGCGAGATTGTGTAACTAACTCGGAAGGTTTCAACCTAAACATGAAGCCTTCCTCTTTGGGCCTGGTCGGTAGGAACTTCCGCTGGGACGTCACTCGTCGGTGATAGTTTCCGCACAAGCGCGGTACGTTGATCGATCGTCTGTTAAGCGAAAGAAGCTAGGCGATTCCAAATGATCCAGAAGGCACGCATATACAAGACACCTTGGCAGTTCAACAAGCGTATTGTGAAACGTGTGCATGAAGCTGGATGGAGAGAAGCAAATCGAGGCGGAAGGTACAGCTCGTGGTCAACTACGTAGTTGTGAAGCATGAACACGCGGAAGACGTTTCTAGTGCAGGCGCGGCGCGGAGAAAATGCTCAGGATTCCATACAACGGGCGCAAACCCCAGTTAATTGCAGTGCCAATGCTGTACTAAGTCTTGAATTGACAAATAGATTGCAGACAGCGTGTCGAAAAACGGTACAAAGCCGTCAGAATCGGATGTCAGGGATCAGAGAGGCTCAGGCTTCAAGACAAGCATCCCCTGATCTTAAGATCGAGGCCACTTGTACTATGGAGAGTGGGTGCCCGTCGGCCCTTTGTGAGTGGCTGATGGAGGCAGATATCGATGGCCCAACGATCTGGCAATAGATGCGGAACGCACAGACAGCGGGGCGCAACATTACCAACTGCACCACAGGTCTGCTTGTGTGACGTAGATTGCCATCTGGAGAGAACTACCTAGGCGCGACATGGGCAAGGGATAGAATAGTCAGATACCGTACGAGATCTGTGGTTTCCAGAAGTATGTCCTTTCCGGTTGACAGGCGCCAACAGACGCGTGAGGCTGCACGAGACGACAGACAAATAAATTTTGCGATCGTCCTAGCCATAGAATCTTGCCGTAAGTATCGCCAGTGCTGGGTTGAAAACAAAGCAAAATGACGCGACGGGCATGGGCTCCGGCGATCTGACCAGTCTAGCTGTGCTCTGACAGATCTGAAAACAGGGCGGGTCGAGTGGATGGGAAGAAAGTTTTGATGAGATCGAGGCTAATCTCAGATGGAGCTCGCGTATCTGGGCGGCGATGGACTCTGATCGGGACTCCCCTGCTTCTGTGAAGGGGTTCCGAGGGCGTTCCACCAGTATGGCGAATCTGCTGCACGATGGATCTCGCAGTTATCGTAGTAGGCGCTTGGCTTGCGGGTGAGACGAGCGAAAACACCCTTTTGACACGGCGATCTAGCACTCGCAAGGGTCTGTTTCGATCGCATGCAAGGCTTGACTCAGCCTCGCTACTGTAGGGATTCGGTAGCGTAGGTCGTAAGTAATCACGGGCTACAGCCCGCGGAGGAGGACGCGCCCGCACACAACGGTAACTCGAGTAAGCTGTCTCCTCTTCTGCCTTTGCTTTTACTGCGAGTGCACGCTTACGGGCGGTGTCTCGTGTCGGCCAAGGAAACAGCGAGGCCCAACGGGCGAGCAGGCAGCTTGTCAGTCCCTAACGTTTGGCGTGGTCGCATTCGGTCGTTGGCGTCCAGAATGAGCCAGTTGGTCAGCCAGAGGTTAGTGGCGAGGTTCAATCAAGATCAGCATGATGCCCTGGCGACGTAAAAGTGGGCTCGAGATGCTCGAGATGTCTTTCTTACACATCTCGTTTATCGGCGGAAGGTGCCACAAGATCTTAGTGTCCTGCGGGGGGCCATGTTGACCAAGCAACGTGAATGGTGGCCTGGATCGCCGAAGCGTGCAGAGCAGTTAGCCCAGCTCACTAGCTCCTCTCACCCAAGTCGCCGACCCGCATCTCAAGTCCTTGGAGGCCTCGGAGGCGAAGGCGCGAGATCCCGTTGGTTGGCCCCTCACGACGCCCGCGAAATGCCATTTATGAGCGCCTGCCCCTCTGCTTTGCTTTTGGTCGAAATTCGCATCTTCGGTCTTTCAGGACTGCCAACTTCTTCTCCCTTGTTATTAGACAAGACGACAGCAAGACAGGCACGCGCTTCCACACCTCACATACTTTCCCGCCCCCTGCAGCAGATAATCGTCCGCGACACATCAAATACAAATACAAATACCTAGTACTTGTGTGCCCTGGCTCCCTCTCGGCTGTTCGATATCCGCCACCCAGCACCAGCTGCGATTATCCACGTCAGTTCAGATTAGGATAAATCCGGCTTCTTTCTCGATCCTCCGATCGTCCATCTAAGCTTGCCCTGCCCCGATTCGCGAGCATCTCTAGTTCCATCGCCGTCGGCCATCAGTAACACTAGTCCGCCTGACGATAGTCGCCGTTTTCCCCTCTTTAGCACTCATCAGTCTTTCCATCCATACATCCTACAGCCATCGCCGCTGTCTATTGTAATTGCTTAGCCGTACATTCCACAGCCTGATTTTCGCCATGCCTGCGGAACGTCGAGCCGTCCCGTCGTTCAGGCCAGTCAAGACTGAGCGCACGCACGAGGAGAACCAGGAGCGGTGCGTCCTTCTTCCTGCTTTCTAGTCTGCCCTGTACTGATTCAATGCAGTGCATACATTGCCGCATCGCGACGCAGCGACCGTAGTCTCGAGGCTCGCATTGAGTCTGCCCGCAGAGCGTCTGAGATCCACAAGAAGCGAACTGGTCGCGCCCTGCGTGTTACCGAGCAGGATGTCATCAACGAAGAAATGTATGAGGAAGAAGATGACGACTTGCCCACTCAATACCAGCGACTGAACGCCCACCTGCATACCACGTCGGTCATGTTCAACAAGAAGCTCCACGACTACATCGCCACCCAGCATGGTGTAAGGAACATGTTCATGTCACAGTACCAGAACCCTTCCTTCCAGTCCCAGCCATACAACAACCAATACGCAGCCAACTCTAGCTCATACCCACAAGGCAACAATTGGTTGAGCCCGTCCATGCTTCCTCCTCAGCAATTCAACTCCGCCATACCACAAGGCTTCAGCCAACACGTCCAGCCTCAACCTTCCAGCCCTAGTATTGCCCAACCACACGGCTTTCGGCAGTCACCTTACCACATCCCCCAACGGTCACCGCACCAGCGGTCCGCTTCCATCCAGTTCCCTCATGCGATGCCTAGCTACGAGCCATCCACGTCGCAGGCCACGAACGGTACAAGCACATCTCAGGCTGATCAGATAAGGAGGATGTCTTTCCCGCCACAGGCTTTTGAACGTTCACGTCAACGACCAACACCATCGCGAACGACTACCTCCCAGTCGACACAGCAGCCCTCGTCGCCACAAACTGTAACATCTGGTGCGTCGCCAAGTTCTGGTCGAGCTACCCCTCAACACCAGAGTGATGTCGACACGCCAGCATCGCTTGCATTCAGTCCATCCAGCTATGTCATGCACCCACAAATGCTAGGCACAAACCCTCTCTCACTGTCTTTGCCTCCTGAGTCACAGCAACTCATTGGCTCGGCATTGGATCCTCATGACCCACGTACCGCCTTATTCATGGCAGGCAGTGACAATCTCCCTCAACCGTTCGCTCCCACATATACCTACAACCCAAATCATTCGCCTAAACATACAAAGACAGTCGATTCGGGTTGCGCCACTCCCACAAATGGCATCAAGTCTGAGCATCCTGTGGCCATGCCGTCCACAACTACACCAATTTCGGATGGCTTTTTCTCCAATGAGGCATTCCTCACACCTGGGAATTGTGATTACAACGGCTTCTTTGACTTCCATGGGGACTACGCATCGCACGTCGATGAGCATGGCGCAAATGACCAGCTAGACGGTAACAACTTCGTCAACTGGGATTAGCATCCGCGTCGTTCTTTCTAGTGCTTAGGCTGACCGCAGTCTCTATTCTTATTCACTTTCATGTCGGTGCGAGCGCCTTGCTCGCCGTTCTTTCCAAGTTCTTTGACATACGTTGGTGTTGTTGAGACCTTGTACTATATGGAGACGGATTCACAAGATACACCCGTTATTTTCTTTCGTTACGACGTTACGACTTTTCGCGTCATTCATGGAGTTAGAAGGTGCATGGCCACGAAAACTATCGCAGGGATTTTGGGCACACATTGGATAAGCATCCCAGTACCGGCGCTATAAGTCGCCTTGACGGTGGCAGTTTTCCCCTCAGCGACAGATGGCTGAGGTGTAGTTATATAATAATAATCACAATGGCCAAACCTTCTCTTGTCCAATCTCTCCTTACTCCCAAACTGAACGCTGTTTTGCATCGTCATTGTCGTGGATGTTGACTTCGAAGTCCTGCTTTACCTTTAGATCTATACATGGTTTCATGAGTCTGATTGGTGATCACACACGCAACGTTCGTACAGCGTCGGGGTGACTACCGAACACGCCGTCGCGGAAGTGTAGCATAACGCAAGGGATGACAGATGTTTCGTATCTACCAATCACACTTTCTGGTTTGGATTATCTGTGTGACAGACCGTAACTCAAGTACAGACGATCCTACTTCATAACGTACACATACTAGTTTAACTGTATACAATGACTTTCTGGCTTGTGGCGAACTCGCACCATTGCGAACCATCGCCCTTCCTCCTACATCACCCATCCTCGATAGTCAACGCACACGTGTGGCCTCAGCTATTGTCAACGCACTACCGGCTGATTGCTCTGGTGCGATTCACACTCACATCCGACACTCTGCATCGCAATCGCGATCACTGTGCCTCCTTCCAATCTATCGTAATCCTTCTGGTGCGACGCGGCGGCTCGAACACCGATCTTGTTCCTACATTTGTACATCATAACTTACACGCTATCGAGGCTTTATCCTCCGCGTTTGGTGCAGTATATTGGCAGTGAGAGTGCTCTTTCCTTTCCCAGATCGCTCGAACAACACAGTAGAGTGTCTCAGTTCAAGCCTCCAAATCAAGATGCGTGCACAAGACCCTTGTACCTACACAGGAACAAGCATCGACCAGGGCTACAAGGACTCCGAATTTTTGTTGCTCATGGTTGGCCAGCTGAAAAGATCAATCTTCTGATCTTTCAATTTATGTATCTGGCCAATGGATACGTATGGATAGGCTTGCCGTAAAAAGCAACTTGAAGAGGCGTCTGTCATGCAAGTTGGCAGTCGCAATCAAGGATGCCATACCACCTTTACCAAGTACCTGGAATTCAAAGCTAGAGCAACACACCAACCTGGATTGCACAACCTCCTACTCGAGCAAAGTCAGACCATTGGATTGTAACACATCCCATGTTCTAAATGAGAATATCGTAGGGTTTGTCACCCTCAACAATGGTAAGTCAGGTCACTTTGACAGTGTTCGTAAGTTTTTTCCCTCAACCTTCCTTTTTCCATACTATGCTTGTGTTACAAGTGGCGGCAGTGGTGCGGTTGTACAACGTCTGTAGCCGAACGTCATTTTTGCTCCCGCAATTGTTTTCCTAAACCAACCTTCAAAGTCTGCCTCCCGCGTTACACCCTCCACCAATGAGAAAAGATATCGTGAAGAATATTTCACGTATTGCTTCATAATATCTTCATTCAACCACTGGTTGTTGCAGAGCTACACTACCAATCGTTGTTGCTAGCCAGAGGATATATCATCTCGAACATGCTTTTCCGGTGCAGCGTCAAGAATTCCAGGAGTGAGCAACATGACACGCAGGTTCGGGATGCCGGGAAAGACGGAGACTTACTATGGAAAGCAGGATACCGCACCGTGTCTTTGTGTATAGTTCTGGTGAAACGTTATGTATCATCGCGGTATAGCTCCCAATTGTCCTTGGACGACACTGTTGCGGTGTGTATGAAGAATCATATATAAGGGCCTTTGTTCTCATCCTTCAGGCTCCAAGCTCTTCAGAAGTAGCCGTGTCCGTCTTGACACTTTCCCTCATTTTTCCAGTCACTCGCTTGCTTATCCTCTCGGATCTGATTCTGCTGTCGTCCGCCGACCACTATGAAGCTCATCACCCTCATCCCTCTAGCTACGGCTTTCGTATTGGCGACTGCTGAACGCGCACCATGTAGGGGTTTTCCCAGCTCCTAAATTTCTAGCTTCTTCAGATTCACTAGAAACGTCTCATTGGCATCATACCTTCTCTTGAACCTTACACCTGCAGATCGCTAATCATAACAATTAGTGCGCCTCCCGAAGCACGTCAGACCTCGCTACTATTCCCAACCTCCTCCACACCATCCTCCTTATCCCATCTCCAGCACGACCAGCGGTGGAGTAGGGCCTTCTTCTACTCTCTCTCACGGTACCGGTATATCACTATCGACTGGCGTCTCACTGTCGACGGACATACCTCCTTTCACGGGTCCAGCAACCGCTACGCTCCCAACATCTACTGTTGCATCCAACTCAACAACCAGGCTTCCCACCACCATTGTCGAGACCAGTTATGTTTACATAACGTTCACTGAGCTGCCAAGCATTGCCACAAGTGTTCCGTTAGTCACCACCCGCTGCAGCCTCAATAACTCAGGTGTCATCAAGTGCACTGACACTCCTTTGCCTAGTGTCAACTCTTCTTCCACAACGAACACCAACACGGAAGCCACCCTGACCAGCTTCCCAGTTGATGGTCCGTCGAGCTTAGTCTCCTGGACTACCGGAGTTCCACTCACCACCGCCGTCTCTTCTGGCATATTGCCATCATATCCAGTCGATCCCAGCGCTCCCTTTGCTAACAGCACGACATTGTCTCACTCTACTTGGGGAACTGGTACCACTTCAAGATCCTTGTATCCAACCTCCACTGCGACAGACGCTTCGAACTCAACAAGCTCAGGTAAATACTACAGCGTGCCAACAGGATCTATTCGGACAAGCGCCCTCACCAACTCCACCACCGTGAGAACACTCACCACGACGAAGTTATCTACGATCATCTTGACCCCGACTATGACGGCTACTGGGAACTTCTCATTCACGCTCATCGACCCAACCGCTACATCGAGCGGTACCGAAACGGCTCCAGAAACAACCAAGACAACGAGTGGATACTGGGGCCCTTCTTCGTATATATCCTATTCTACCGGCATCGAGGAACCGTCTAGCACCGATACCTGGCCCAGCTCATGGGATTGGCCACCAACCACAAGTACGGAAAGCGAAGTGTTGACTCCGACTGGTGGATCGTCAACTTCGTACGAGATCGAACCTTCCACTATTGCCGAACCAGAAGAGCCATCTACTTCCAGCGTGCCAATGTCCAGTACCAAGTCCTCCGAGTGGCCGGGCACAACTGACGAGCCATCTTGGGTCTTCCCCTCCACCTTCGTCCTACCACCGCCCACCTTCCGCCCATCAAGCATCAGCAGCTCAACCATCACCGGTACCGAAGCAGTATCGGTCTCTTTCCCTGTCGACAGCCCTCCCTCCTCATACACCGACTTCTTCCCCTCGGCCTCCTCAGGTTACTATGATGGCCCGTCAACGGCATCTAACACCGAAGCGACGGCAACCAGCTTCGACATCCCTTCCGAAACGCCGACGAGCCCCCCAGATGTGGACACGACCCTTATCTGGACCAGCTTCTCGCAGACTACCTTCGAGACGAGCGCGCGCTCTACAAGCAGCGAGGAAGTCGAGCCGAGCTCCAGTGACGAGTATGGTCCGGCGCCAACGGAGGATGCGCAGGCTGAGAACTCGAAAAGGAGTCTGGTATGTTGTCGTTCTCCTGTGATATACGATTCATGCTAACACTGTGCGCAGATGGGTATGTGGTTCATGTGAGACCCTATCATCCATGGAGAGGAGCATGTCGTCATCTAATGGAGGACGGAGCGCAATGGTGTGTAGGGCAATTGGGCAATGATGGGGAAAGGGGGTGTCTGTGTGTGTATGGGTTTGTCTGTCTTCTTTTCTCCACCCTCCTTTGATCTTAGACGCTGTTTTGTCTTTCTTCTATACATCTCTTCTACTTTTTCCTCTTCTCTCCTCCAGGGTCGAGCCTTGTTCTTTACTGAACGATTAGTCGAATAATTATCACAGTCAACCCCTTCTTCTACTTGCCTCCTTCGTCCATGTGATCGTTCCACTAACAGTTCATGACAATGCAAGAGATCTGTGATGATGCAAATACAAGTCCCACCTCACGTTTGCACCTTCACTCCCTTCAACTCATGGATCTCGAAGTGACATTAATCATCATTCATTTCTGTTTTGATATCGTTTAAGTTCTATCAATTCCCTGGCCCTGTGAAGTTCCCTATAAAAACCACCAAGATCGCACAATACGCCGCACTCGCAGCGAACAGCTCGTGTCTCGCCGCCTTTGTCACAAGACTCATCGCGGCGCTGAACAACAAGGTGAACACGACAAGAACACCCACAGCATTGAACGTGTCCCTTGTATTAACATTGGTCGTCGTCGTAGAGCTTGTCCCATTTGAGGACGGATCTGTGACGATGTGGTCCGTAGTGCTGGTCAAGTGATACATGGTAATGACCGGGATAACAAGCAAGATGAAGATGACAAAGGTAATGAGGATGTTGACCAGCGTGTCGATGCGCGAGCTGCTGTAGAAGGAGATGAATTCGTTCGCTGTCTTTTCTTGGAGCTCGGGGGTGCGGAAAAACCTCTGCGTATTCGTCAGTCCTGCGAAGCTTTACTCAAGGAGAGTAACGGACCTGTAGCGGCGGCTGAGCGGTTCGGAATGTTTTCTGCAATAGGCGATCAGTCTGCCCGATGAGTGTCTCTACGCCACCATCGAACGTGGCCCATTCGCGGCCGTTGTGTAGCGACACAATGTCTTCCTTACTCCGGATCGAGTCCATTTCGGCATCCATGAGTGGCTTTGCATTGTGGTGGTAGCGTCGCAAGCTGCGGTAATTGCGATCTGATGGCTTTTGGAAGGACTCGAGTGTTCGGGCCTTGATCAGAACCTCATCTACACCCGTTAGCCCTTTATGTCTATCAGAAGTCCTAATGACCACGAACCATATTCCATCAGCTTCTCCCTAATTTCGCGAAGGATGACTCGTCGAGTACGTGAATCGCCTTCCACACTGGCCTTGTCTACGTCGAGTTCTCGAGAGCGGAGTCGATCAGGGTCTTCATCGAGGTCATCCCAGTCGATCTCATCGAGCTCTTTCTCCAAGCATGTGATCTCATCTTGCAGATCGAGCAAGATACGCGAATGTAAGTAACTGAACGAACGGTACAAAGAGAAATTTGCTTCGCTGGACTGGAAGGCAGCGAGTCGAGGGAAGCCGTTGGGGGTGTTGTCAACTGAAGGGCATGAGTCGCGATTTGACGTGAGGATGTGGAAATTACATACGCTTCCGCGTCCTGTTTTCGAGAACGTCCTCGGGCTCGGGCTCGGATCTAAACGAGCCTGTGATCCGTCGCAAAAACTTTGGTCGCGCTTTTTCGTCTTCTGTTTATGTCTTAGTCTTTGCTCGTGCTCATCACAATGCACCGCGTCCAATTTGTGGCTTGCTTTCTGGCGGTTAGGCTCATGCGAAGGATGGCCAGAAGGTGGGATATCACAATGATGCTCTTACACCGTTGGGACCGGGGTACTATTGAGTGGAAATTTGGGGGCCAATTGTGAGTATTGGGGGTTACCTACGGGGCTGTGCAGTCTGACCACCGTTGACCGATGAGTTGGAATTCGAAGATCCTATTGTTGAACTGCTGTCGTCTCCAATCTCGATGATGGCGTCTCCTCTCAGCGTTTCAGCATTACTGGTCGGCGATGTTGGTGATTGAGAGGGCTTTTCGTCTGAAAACGTGACGCCGGTCAAGCTGCGAGGAGGGGCCATGGTAAGGCAGCAGGTAAGCGCGACCGGTACAGTGTCCAATCACTTTGAAGTTCTTGTACAGCGACGACACTGGGAAAAATTGGAAACTGATGTCAAAAATCAACTGTGGCTCGACGTTCGACTGCGCTGTGGCGGGTATAAGAGCTCTACGTATGCGAAGAAGAATGAGGTGTACAAAGGAGCGCTCAGCCCGGACAATCCCAGCTCAAGATGCATGAAAGCACACGACTATTGGCTATGAACACAGCTCATCCGGTGAACACAGCCACGCATAACGAAAGTCTCAGCCACGCCTCTCCAATTTGAGGTCCTTCTCACGTATCCAGGCACCATTCTTGTGCATTCCACCCGTCAGATAATCAATAAGCTGATACTCTACGTATCCACCTCTTACGTTGTACTGTGCCTTGTAAACTGTGAAGACGCCCTTGGTCCTGACGCCGTTCGAAATTTGCGACATGTGGACGACATCCGTCTTTCTGAAGCGCGCGCTTTGCTACAAAGACGTTAGAAATGAGAGTGAGAGGAAACGGAAGAGCTCACCATGGCTGCATTTGGGTCTACACGCACGCCTGATTTGACATCTGGAACGGCGTCTTCAAATGGCTCTTCCATGTCCAGGATCTGCAGCTGTTCGTCAGCCTCTGTGAACAACGCCTTACTGTTGCGCAACTGACCTCAGCAACCTGGACAGGCTGAACTTCAAGCTCGAGAGCAGACATTGTTTGGATAGATGCTTGGGTGGGCGGGGTAGCCTTGCAAATGGTGCCCTCGAGGGCGAGAAGGCTGTTGTTATTATACTTGCGCTTGTTTGCTATTGCAGGCCTCCTCAAAATACTGGTATGCAGCCCAAGGCAGCCAAAATGTGACTGGTGTAGTTGGTGGAGTATTACTGGCACAGCCACGTGCCAAAAATGGCTTCTTACCGTTCACCAGCACAGCCATCGGTTCTCGCTGCCAGCCATGGATGGACCGGTGTGATTTATTCCCGTCATTGAATCAGCCCACATGTGCCGAACGGGTCGGATCGTATCAAAGGGGAAGGTGTTTCGGCCCCCATAACGGGCGGGGCTATTAAGCGCCCTAAAATCTCACGGTGTAGCGCCTCTTACCACACATGTCCCGCATAATTGGGGTCTGGAAGATGGCTGAACCAAGCCCTTATTATGGGTGGCTGCTGCGAACACCGTCAGCCTCAAAGCCTTACTTTCACCATTACCAATGGCTCTGCAGTGGGAGGGCACATCGTCGCGCATCGTAGACGCAAAGGAGACATCCATCGCCCCGCGACCCACGAACACAAACCCTCTCAAGAACAAACTCATCCATGCAAACATCCAGGTCTCATCCATAGAAGATATTACGGACCCTAATGCGCAATACTCGCTGAACGACGATTCCATCGAACCGAATAGCCCAAGTGCCGACGATGTGGTTTACAAACAGCGTGCTGCAGAGATGCAGATGTGGTGGGACGAGGCCATCGCGAAGAACATGAACTTACCAGATGGATACTCAAAAGTAAATCAACTGCACTTACTATGATCAATACGAGAACAAAATAATACTAATAGTACGCCTCAGGTTTCAGTACTTCTGATCAAGTGGACTTTCGACCTGGACGAATTGCAGACAGAGAAGGAGGTACGTCGATGAGAGGGCGCGTCACACGAACACAAGACCACCTACTGACTAGTAAATAGGTCGAGGAGCTTGATGATGTATTCCGAAATGTCTACCACTTTGACACAGAGACGGTCGAACTGAACGTAAAGAGCAAACCGCAGCACCAATTGAACCGTCACATCAGCGAGTTCATCGAGAACCACGACGGGCCGCACAACCTGCTGATCGTATACTATACTGGGCATGGCCAGTATCGTGAGGACAGCAAGTTTTTGGAGCTTACAGCTAGCATTAACCCTATCAAGGGCAAGGGTCTTAGCAAAGACGCTCGCGCCAATTGGAATAAAGCAGAAGAGAAACTTCGCGCAGATGAAGTCGAAGGCGACGTTCTAACCATATTAGATACATGCTACTCGAGCAACCTCGTGAAATCTGGGAACCAAGATACGAGGAAATTCGAGTTACTCAGCGCTTGTGGTTTCGACCAAACCACGGCAGCACCTGGCAATCTTTCGTTTACTCGAGCACTTATTGATGCCCTGAAGGATCTGGCTAACGTGTACGTCGACCGACCTTTCTCAACCTTTCGTCTTAACCAGTGCATCCTCCAAGACAAGCGCCGCCACGATACACCTTCAGCACTTTGGTTTCGCCTATCCAACGAGCAACACATCCTACTGGCGCCTCTCAGGCCAGAGAAAGAACACGCTCGCCAGAAAGCAGGTCTCTTACACACACCCCGAGGATTCCTGACGCTACGATTTGCGCTGAGAGACGAATCTCTGGACCGCGAGCAGATCGAGTCGCTGACGAAAAACCTGTCGAAAGCATTCAACACCAAGAGCTTGAATGGGAAAGGTCTTATTCGTTTGAGGAGGATCGACTGGCTTGGCATCAAGCCAGCTTCAATCACACATTTCGAGCGCGTTGCGCTGGTCATGTTTGTCATCACGCAGTGGAAGAAGGTCGTGCTTAAGAGGCGTGAGCAGAAGGGAACTCAGGAGGGTGTGGGCATGGAGATCAAGACTGCTAAGCCTCCGCCAACACGGAAACGCACACGCGAGGACGTGAGTGATGATACGAATCCAAAACGGCAACTTCTTCGCATCGACCAACCTCCATCGCCGCCTGTTTCCACCTCGTCGCGTGTTCATGACGAAGACTGATCTTAGCGCGAAAAGTCATATGTTGTGCTTTACTTCGTTTCGTTTTTGGTTTTGATTGAACTGTTAAGATACCCGTGGCTGTACACACTCGAACGTTTCTGCATATCTATGCGTTGGCTTTTTCTGTAACACGTGTACCCACTGGCCTTCTAAATCCATTTGTAGAACTTCACGGTAGTGAGACCCTATCTAAGTATTGTAAAGATTTCTGTCCAATGCTAAGCTCTAAGCAGTGCGTGACCAAGCTTGCTCACTATCTGCAACTACCTTAGGCAACGGCTGCTAGTGACCTTAGTACCCCGCTGAATTAGTCTCTCCCCGCTGACTAGACGTACAGCAGATCCCACCCCGCCTATGAACCATTGTTCGACATCCGGAACCTGACTCGAGCGCAATATTGGATCTTCGATTGTCCTCAAATTCGACCACAGATGCTCAGACAACGCTATAGCATGATATACTCGAAGACGAGAAACATATCAAGATCAACATTCGGGTGCGCTACATCAGTAGTCTCAACGCTGATGCCGATAGGTCGACTCGCATCTTGTGTAATTATAGGGTAGTGACTGGGAGTTGGAACACAAGGACCCCCAAACAAAGCCAGATATTACTACGAAGCGGCCACAGTTCCAGGAGGTTCTAGATGCATACAATCAGGCGATGTCTGCAGTTGCACGCTCAACAGTATCTAGTTGATAGAGACGTTTTCTTATCGAGCCTTACGAACGGACCGTTCCCTGGCACGACCACAAAGAAGTTGAAGTACCCACACACGCCTGGACACGTTCGACATGGTTCCTGAATCAATCACACATGCTCAAAGCAAAAGGCCGGCTACCTATCGGTACCCTGAAAACAGGGACACAACCGGCTCATGCCATAAATGCCCAAAACCTTTTGAAGATATGGCCAATCACAAGATTTCTGCCATTCGATACCGCAAACCAAACCGGGTAGACCGGATATAGTGTTCTTTATGTAGGAGGGCACCCCCTCACACGGCCCACCGAAATTTATTCAACCAGAAAAGACGCAAGGTGATAGACGTGACTTAGGTACGGATCATGCAGTTATATCGCCAAGTTTTAGTGTTAGAGGGAACATGCCAAAGAAGGGGTAGTGCCAGGATGAACAGTTGGAGACAACTCCGACATCTACGGTAGGCACGATAACTCACCCCGCCTCTAAATAGGTCTCCGAGGAACCGTGACGTCGCCATCCACGAGTCTACACAAACCTTCCTCTACAACATGTGAGGCATGGGGTGTACTACTTACACCTACATGGGACTGGACAACACAGACAAGGATATCTTGCGATGACACCACACATCCAATTGATCTCGGCCGTGTAAACATGTAATTTACGCGGTCTTGCGGTTCTACTTGGCATCAAAATACAAGCATTTTCGCTCGCGCCTAGTCGTATGTCCCGTCGGTAGGCGGGGACAATGTCAGTTCGTACGATTCATCGTCTTAAATGGGGTTCTCTTCTAACGAGATTGACCTGTGGGGCACGTCCCGTGGCATGCGTGCCGAGTAGGTATTTAATAACTCGACTAATTATGCTTGCTAGGTCCAATAGCCGCATGGAGAACTTTCAAGGCCAATGAACTGTGGGACAAATCAGGGTACCTAGCTTCCTGCGATCCTTTCGACTTGCAGCGTGCCATGAAGAGCCGCCGAGCCCCGCCTCACTAGTCCTAGACCGAGTAACGACAAGTACCGAACAGATGACACTTGCTGGCGCGTGGGCTGGAGGATCTCGCGCTACTTGAGCCCTTCGGCTCACCGTCGCTCGAACTTCGAAGGAAGCTGTCGTGGCGCCAGTAGCTACATAAAGATGGCATCTTCGACGTTAGTTTCGTCTGAAGGCTACTCGAACTACCGCTCCGTCACGGCGACAAATCTCGCGGACAGACAGTTGTCTCACGGCAACATATTTTCTGTCTTTTGTATCAATCGACCATCAAGATGGCGCAGCCTATGGGACGCATAGAACTCGTTCACAACAAAGCCCTAGTTGCTGCGCTTGGCCTATTCACCCATTACATCCTCTATGCAAGCGAATGGGATACAGAGATTCCTCGATTTCTCGCAACCTGGTTGCTTGCATTCGGCGGTATTGCAGCCGCCGAGTACACATATAACCCACATGTTAACACCGTCGGCGATGTCTTTGTGATAACTAGCACTACAGCTGCTATCTATTTTGGCGCCCTGTCGGCAAGCGTTCTCATCTACCGAGGATTCTTCCATCGCCTTCGAAATGTAAATGCAGGCTTTGAAGCATCTTGCGTGTTTGCTCGTCGCTGACTTAATCGATGACAGATTCCTGGTCCATTCCTGGCACGTTTTTCCAAGTTCCACAGCATCTTTGCCGGAGTCATTCCAACAAACTTTCGATACTTCAAGTCAAGCGAGGCGTTACATGAACGATACAAGACCGATGTCATCCGAACTGGCCCACGCGAAGTTACAGTTTACTGCGCAGATGCCGTCCCACTTATCCACGGTCCCATGTCAAGGTGCAGCAAAGGCCCATGGTACGGTGCGGTGAACTATCTCAGCGGTGTATCGCTACAGACAACACGTAGTAAGGAGGAACACAAACAACGACGGAAGATTTGGGACCGCGCCTTCAACGCCAAATCTCTCCGCGACTACGAGCCTAGACTAAATCGACATGCACTTGCACTGATGGAGAAACTAAAGGAGCAAGCTAAGAAGCCATCTGTACGCATCACAAACTGGGCCAACTTCTACTCTTTCGACGTAATGGGGGACGTTGGTTTCAATCGCAGCTACGGTATGGTGGAAAAGGGTGAAGAGGATGCTAGCATTAAACTCCTACACGAGAGCATGGAACCTCTCAGTGTCTTTGGCCACGCCAACTGGGCGTTGAATCTCGTATCTCGTACAGCAGTTGGATCAAAGAAGCTGTTAGACCATATTGAATGGACATCTAAAGCTTTGACTGAACGAGTAAAGGTTTGAGACTCTTGCTGAGAATGATGATCATTAGACTTGGCTAACAGTATTTATCAGTCCACGCCTAAGGAACACGATATCTTTGGCTACCTTATCGATCCAAATGACCCGAAGGTTACGATAGAGATGGTTGCTGATGCGCGTCTGTTGGTAGTAGCTGGAAGGTAAGTTACCAGTTTCCATCCAACACGACTTGTGCAAGCTTGAATGCTCATATGATCTCAACAGTGATACCACAGGGGCCACTTTGAGTTTCATCTCTTATGAACTCTGCAAGAATCCCGAGGTCCAGATCAAACTTCGCAAAGCCATTGATGGAATCAAGCCTGAGAAGTCGTTCCTCGATGTGGAAGATGTTGCGAACTGCGCATTCCTCGACGGAGTCATCAACGAAGCTCTGCGATTGCACCCTGCTGTACGTTTTCGGCTCACCGTACACATCTAACCCATGCGCTAACAAATCTATAGGTACCATCGGGCGTCCAGCGTGAGACACCACCAGAAGGCATCACCCTCCCCAACGGCACATATATCCCCGGGAGTACCTTGGTTTGGATGCCCATCCACTGTATCCAGCGAGATCCACGTTACTTTGAATCCCCACTCGAGTTCATGCCTGAACGCTGGACTGACGAGAAGCCCGAGGCTATCATGGACAAGCGTGCTTTCATGCCATTCGGTACTGGTGTGTACAGTTGCGTTGGCCAAAAACTCGCGATGGCGGAGTTGCGTAGCGTTGTTGCGAACTGGATGCGCCTGTTTGAGATGGAGTTTGCGGAAGGCGAGGATGGCAGCACAATTGTGAACGAGAGCCGCGACTGTTTCACAACTAACGTGGGCAAGGTGGATGTCAAACTGACGCCGAGATACGAGACTTAGACTGAGCATAGTAAGGCTTGGTATTGCCTACATGTAGACGATGTTCAGTGGTATGAGAAGAACTTGCCCACACTTCTCCGTCATGCGAAGTTTCAATGTTGTCTATATTCTTGGACTCATTTGTTTTTGTATGTTTATCATGATTAAGGTGTTTATGATCTGTCAATAACGAATCAATGCCAACTCACTTTCAATACGTGCAACGATAACATGGCACAACACTGTGACGAGCACGAAGGCCAAAAACAGACAGTAAAGGGCCACAAGCTTGCGATCAGACCTGCTAGGGACGAGACAGTTGTCTGGGTTTGTGAAATATTCTTTTTGATTGGCAAATAAGTCCTGTTGTTCTATGAAGTAGCCACAATATTGTCAGTAGTCGCCCTTGAGCTTCTCCCTTCATCTTAAAATACTCGCTCGTTTTTGCAACTCCTTCGCGGCTGCCGTTTTCTTTGTCTCAGTATGCTTTACGACGACGTTTTTGTTGATCGTATACGCGATTGCGCTTCTCCCTAGTCATAGTGACGAAACAATTCAGATCATGGATCTCAGCATATATGTTGTCACTTCCTACTATCTTTGCGCGCGATACCTTTTATTGTTCCTAATTGTCTTTCATCATGTCCCAATAATGTAGATGTCTCATTTTAGCAGCTATTGGATGCATTGCATTGTCTCGACACAGCCTCAGCACTCGGCTATCGTAAGAAGCGATTTGGTGCAAGTTCGTCGCATCTACTAGTACCAACAGATGGTGTTTCTCAATCCGTGAACTGCGAATAATTAGACGATATGTTGCTTCACCAATCGTTCAGGACAAGTAGCACTACTTTCGATGTAGTCTGACATAGAGATGGAGCATTCACTCACTTTTATGTAGAGTGACCGCCAGATGAACACTGTCAACCAGAAGACCAGCGTGCTGGAAGGCCTTCACAGGCTCTATAGCATGTCCTATTTCCTATATCTTCCTACCTTCTGAGGCCTCTCCAGGTCTTATAGTACAAATTCAACTCTACACAACCCACCAGCTTCTACCAAATCAAGTACACACCAAACTACGAATGGAACACCAGCCCAGAGCACCACTCAAGCTGCGACGATGGACCTCCGAAGACGAGCAAATGCTCCTGAACCTTCGAGACCGGGAAAAGAAAGACTTCACCGACATCGCAAAGATTCTAAACAGAACCACAGCTGCCGCCATCCAACACTACTCCGTCCTGAAGCAGCAGAGCGAAGGCAGGTTCGTGGAGTGGACCCACGCCATGGACGAACACATCATCAACGGCCGTCGCCGTGGTCTACACATCAAGACCATCAGCGTGGAAATGAAGCTCACAGCACATGCCGTTGCTGACCGGTGGTATACGCTTCTGCGCGAGAAGAAAGTCCCGGAAGATGTTCTCGCCATCTGGCGGCGCAAGAATGACGTTGTGTTCACGCTTGAGGAGGATGAGGTTATCTTGCGCTTGTGGATTGAGATGGAGGATGATGAGCAGCTTGTGCGTATGGTGAGCTTTCGTGGGAAGTCGCAGAGTGATATTCGGGAGCGGCGTATTGAGTTGGTGTATGGTTCGTCGCCGCTGTATCAGAGGTTGTTGGGCATTGGGGATGGGGGAGGGAATGCTCCGCATGCATTGGACAAGGCGTTGGGTAAACCGAGGTATGGTTGGATGACATAGATTTGTATGTGGGAGTGGTGGCATATAGTTATGTGGCTCGACTCCATGTAGTAGTATGGCACATGTTGTGGTCGTGGCTTAACTAACTTGGTGTGCTCGATCTCGGGCAGTCCAAGTGCTAATCGGTCTTTGTTGTCATGAACCAAGAGATTGGTCTGCCAGTCAGCAACACTAGTTCTGTCTCGAATACCGAGTCAATGGCATTATCTTCTACTAGAACCATGCGATGAGAATTAGTGACTGAATTCTCCTAGAAGGGCGGTATTGTGTGTTAGAAACAAAGCGAATGAGCTTGTTCAACTGTACATGGTCGTGTAGGTAATTGAATCATCTTGCCTGTTAGCTTTTCGCTATAGCAGAAATCAGACCCAACAATGCACCAAGCCAATCCAACATAGTCGTTCAGCGATACGTCCTCTCCTTTTTGATTCTCCCATCCTCGCAATCTTTCTTGCCATCCACACTCCTCAATGCAATATAACCCACATCTTCACTCTTATCCACATCCCCCAACTGCACCTTCATTCTCTTCAGCAAGCGCGCTCGCTCCACGCCGTCAAGCCCTGAGCCACCCACCGGCGCCGCAATATACGGATTATCTCGTGTAAAGGACGACACATAGTCGAAGATATCGGGCGCCACAACTCCAAGCGACAAAACCAAGCTGGCAGCGCCAAACACCAGCAGCACAAGCGAACACGCGATCAACGACACCACCCACGGGATATTCGCCTTGTAGATGGTGATCTGGCGGGTGAAGACCGCATCCGTGCTCTTCATGGTCATGCTGGGGAACGGCTGATGGGTCGTCGTATTCAGCGACGACGTCCCGTACGGGTCGTTCCGCGTACTGGCCAGCATCCAGCGGCTGGAGTCCCAGTACGTATTCAGCACTCTGGTCAGCCGCTTGGACATATCCTCTGCTTTTATAGTGGTCCAGTTGTGGTACGACGGGGGAGAAGTCGCATCGTGTGCGCCCCAGGAACTCCATGGGTTCTCTCCGTAGACGTAGTTGTCGATGGGATGGTTTTTGTATATGGATGTCGTGCCTGCGATGCCGGGGATGTGTCGCGTGAAGTATGTGTACCAGTGTCCGACGTTTACAACGTCCCATGGGAGGCCTGCCGTAGCGTTCCGATCTGCCCTCGGTATTGAGAGGCGGCGGAGGCGTTCGACGACACACGAGGCTGAGCGACAAGTCACCTCTGCTTCTACCAGAACGCTTCCCAAAGAGCACTCGTAAAGAAACGCATCGCCGTTGAAGTTATTAGCGCCGTAGAGAAGCTTACTTGGTATCTCTCCAGTTGTGTTGTCTCCTTTGGCGTTGACTCCGTAGATGAAGAAGCTCGTCTTGCTAAACATGCTTCCGGCTGTGATGACGGACGAATCCGTCCCATTGGCTAGGATCTCATAGTAAGGATGGCGAGCGGTTCCTAATCCATTCAGATAATCGATAGTGTCTTGCGTTCCCGGTCCGGCAATCTTCAGTTCACAGCCCAAATGCATGTACTCGGCCGGAATTGTAAAATTGGAATCACTGCCTTGTCGTAAGTTCATCACGTTAATGCCAGTCAACGAAGCATAGCCCAGGTTGGTGTTGTCGGCAACGGACATCCAAGGGCGTTCAGTGGCGTTTCTCGCTTCGTCTCGTTCGATTTCTGCAAGACGGGGTATCTTGGGGTGGACCCAGGCGTCTGTAGTCGTGTTGTCTGATGTGTCTGCAGTCGCGAGGCTCGCTGAAACTACTGCACTGACGAGATTCACCGCATCGACGTTGTCGGACTGACTCGGAAATGCGCTGGCTGCATTCACGTCGGCATAGTAGACGGGTCCCACATCGGACACGGTGGAGTTGGTCTCGTGCATCAATCGCAATGCACTCTGCCCTCCGAGGGGAGATAGCATCCATAGCACAAGAATGCTGAGCGAGAGGATGTCCACGGAATGAAGGGCTACCGCATGTCCAAATGCAGCGACTAGGCTTTGACTCCCAATCAGATGTTCCAGAGCCTGTTATTGTATCAGTATGGTCTTTTCGAACTGAAATTACACTGAAAATCCTCACCCCCAGTGTAGTCCCCCTCTCAGCCTTCCACAACGCAATCTTCTTCAAGCTCCTCCCACCCAGCGCGGCAAACACAAGAGGAAAAACCGTCGGACCCAGAGTCGTTGCAAACTTGACTGCCTTGCCATGGTCTGAGATTGGCTCGCGGTCCAGTCGATAAGCCAAAACAGCCAGCACTACAACGAGCGTCAGCGCCGTACTCGGAGAAGGAGAGAATGCAGTCATTCATACCTATAAACGCGATGGGCATGAGTAGTAGAACCAAGTCGGCGACTATCCACAACGAGAAGCCCCCCACGCGCCTTGGTACCGTAGGCCAGCCAGCAACTTTGGGCACGCGGCCATGAATGCTGTTGTTTGATTCATTGGGATCGACCTCGACTTCACAATAGATAACGTCTTCCTTTTTACTCGAGCCGGGCAAACGAAGCGGGAATCGCATCGTGAACACTACAGATGAGAGGTACCAACTAAACCCACAAGTCCATGAGTAGCCTTATGGTTTTAACTCTGGGTGGCAGTGTAAGCACTATCCGTCTATGGGTGGTCTGCCCTGCCAAGACGCCACAACGTTGTCTGATGTGAGTTGTTTGGACATCGCTCCATACTACATCTGCAGGGATAGACGTTGTTGTAGGTAGTCCAGAGGTTCGTCGAGCAAATGCACGAGTGCGCAAATCTCTACCTGCTAGTCTACAAGACCACCGTCTACAAGCAGACAGCACTCGGCATAAAGGAAGGAGATGCCATAGTCAGAAGAGACACCAGAGCCATACATACCAGCCCGCGCAAAACCTCCATACACCGACAAGCACGCAGCGACCAAGGCAGACCAGACCAGCCCAGTAGTAAAGATAAAATAGATTGGGGCTGAAACCAAGCACCGCCAAGCAGTGATTGGCCAGTCCAGCGCCCCATGTTCCGTTCCGCACGGCGCGTAAATTTAGCCCCCAGACAGCCGTCCCGCAGCCCGAACCTTGCAGGAACAAACACGCCGTGAATCCGCCGCCAACATACCCGATACATAAGGATTTACACACGACCAAAGCCGCAGAACCGCGATGAACGTCGCAGAAGCAAGAATTGAGATGGATATGGATAGACTTTCGCGCTAGCGCACCACAGCACAACACGCCATATTAATCGCCGATTGTCATACTCACTTCCATCCTTCATCCCCACAGCTACCGGTGTATCGGTACCGCGCTGCTCTTGTTTATGGATAAGAATGATGATCTCCCCTTCCCCCTTCCCCCTTCCCCTCTCCCAGAAAACAATATCCTATACAAACCTACAGGCTCGAAGCAATCCTAGCCAAACACACCCCCACTGTGATCCGCAGAAGGAAGCAACCGCGCCGCACCCTTACATAGTAACTCAACACCATGACCGCAACCCCCCCGCCATAGTCGATATACCGATATAGCAAACCAAACCCTCGCTCCCCGCCCATCTGTCTATCCACCCAACTATTCATCATCCCATCCATCCCATCAACCTATCCATCCATCCATCCCCCTCCCCACGATGGCGTTCATCGGCACAATCTACGCAACAGTCTTCCTCCACATCGCCGATATCTCAGCGCGACTTTTTGCGCCGCCGCCGGAGAGGGTGGATTGGGATGCCATGCCGAGCAGTGTGTGGGCTCAGTCTGGGGGTTTGGAGAGGTCGGGTGGTGGGCTGTAGGGAAGTGGGTTGGGGTTGAGGGGCTTGGGGGCTTTGTTACGGTGTTGGAGATTATGGTATGGCGTGTTACTGGGTATTACTGGGTGTTACTAGGTGTTACGGCTTGTCATGCTTTGTTACTACTCTTTTTATGCTTTATTATTCTACTTCAACCTGTGTTACATACTTATTATGCTTTGTTATGTACGTATTTTACCTTGTTACAGCCTATTACCTGCGTGTTATACCTTGCTGTACTCGCTAGACTTGTATTACATGCTTGTTATGCCTTGTTACGTGCTTATCATGCCTTGTTACGTTGTGTTACGCTGTGTTACGCCGTGTTAAGTGCTTGTTACGCCTTATTACTGCTTGTTACATACTTGTGACGTGCTTGTTATAGCATGTTATGTGCTTGTTACTGCTCGCTATTGCTTGTCATGTGCTTGTTATAGTGTGTTATGTTATGTTATGGCTTGTTACGTCTTGTTACCGCCATCTAGGAAGTACATACAACCCAAGTCCCACCCATCAGCAAGCCCGTCTTACATAAACAGCATTGACCCAATAACCCAGCAGTCTTGCCATAAACGAGAAACACCCACACCCACGCGCCCAACCTAACACTTCATACGAATACCCCTCCTCTTCTCGCTCTCCCTCCACTCGAACATAATCTGCACACCCGTAAACAGCGCCGCACACGCGCCGCCCAAGAACGTCCAACCAGCCCAACTCCCCACAATACCCCTAACCAGCTCGCCCAACCCATCCAACCCCAGCGCAAACCCCACAAGATTCGCAACCATGAGGAGAAGGATCTCTCCAACGGCACCAACGCCGCAGAGCCAGCGATACGCATCGGGGCTATCCTTCCACCTGCGCGCGGGAAACACGTAAGCGGCGATGATCTCGGGCAGCACGAACAGCGTGACGAGCCAGCCCCACATGAGCAGACGAAGCTGGATGTCGTGCCAGATAGCGATGAAAGTGAAGACGGCGAGGTAGTTGAAGACGGAGCGGGCCTTGCCCCAGGGGCCGGGGATGGCGCTGCCGCCGAGGGGGATGTACAGGTAGCGCAGGCTCCATTTGTTGAAGCTGCGGTGCCAGCCGCGCCAGAAGTGCATGACGGAGTAGTTGTCGCTCATGCAGCGGACCATGTTCTCGGGGGGGTCGACGCCGTCGAGAAGCGACCATAGGCGGAAGAAGCGCCATGGGATCAGCAGCTTGAGCCAGATGTGCTTTAGGTTGAAGAAGCCTAGCATGCTGAGCTGGGCGGGCGTGTAGCGCGACCAATCGGGTTTGGCGTGGAAGATGGCGACCATGTACATGTAGTGGATCATGATTTCCATGGTTAGGATGACGATGGCGAAGCGGATGGCGTAGAGGGTTGTGCGCTTTCGTGTGATGCTGTGGGGCCGGTGGCGCGACTGCGCGATGTAGTCGTTGAAGGTTATGATTGGGCCGGCGAGGTAGAGCGGCGAGTACATTGTGTAGGCGAAGTAGTTGCGGAAGGAGAAGTCTGTGGGCTTTGCGGGGATGGTGACGCGGTCGCGCTCGGAGAGGTTGGAGGGGTCGAGCTGCTTCTTCTTGGGGTTATTAGCTAGACTGAGGGGGAGGGGGAGGGGCGACCTACTTCGATGGAACTGCTGGCTCGTGTGTTGAAGCTCCAGTAGTAGTCGAGGTTGAAGCTGATGAGACGCAGGACGGTGAAGTTGAAGAGGACGTCCCAGCGTGGGATGAGGCCGCCGTAGCTGTCGAGTGTATGGCCGAAGTTGGGGGGCAACTGCTGTTTCTCCGAGACTGGCGTGGGGAGAAATGTACCGACGATGGACTCGTATGAGTATCCGTCCGAAAACTCATTGGCGAACAAAACCCCGACATTAAACACCCACGTCGCACCTGGTACATACGACCTTGGCACCTTCATCGCAATATTGTAGTTTAGATACAAGATGATCAAGATCTTGAAGATGGACAAGCCATGCAACGCCGCAAGAAGCACAAGAGCAAAGATCACGTCAAAAGATACGCGCTGGTTGAGACGAGCATCCGCAGCAGCCGAAGGAGTCAAGCCCATGGTGAGGCCTCCGTTCCCGAATGATGGCCGAACTTGAGTGTACGTGTCTGCTCTCCAAAAGACATCGTATGCTCTGCGCAGGAGAGGGTGAAGCAGCACAACAACGAAGAGGTACGGAATGTTTTCGCGGAATCCAGAGTACTGAGCATCGGCATTGTCCTGGCAGTCTGAGCAATTGCACGCATGTGACAGTGAAGACAACGTACAACTTTGCGGCCCGGTATCCAGCCATCAGACAGGAGATGGGAGAATTTGGAGTAGTTTGGATGTGATGCTATGACGATGTCAATTAGGGTTTTTTTGAATATGATCTCGGTTGTATTCTGACCACTCGATACATCAACCACGGACTTCATCATGAAGAACAGACATACGACGACGACAACGAAGTAAAAGTAGAACTCGGGCGTGTTCCATCGTGAGGGCTGGACATTGTCGTTTGGATCCCTACTCTTTCCCTTCCCGTTCGAAACTGGTAGGGGGCCTGCTGGGTCAAGTTTTGCTTCCTCGAGGGCTTCTTTGGGGGGCGCCGTGGCCGGTACGACGAAGCGAGTGTCGAGGGTGTCGAGCGAGTACAGCTGGCGAACATATCTGAGCGCCATATTATCTCCCAATGCTATCTCTTCATTTCCGAGCCCAGGGAGGTTCGGATGGGTGGATTCAACAGGCGGTGCGTGGCGTTGTGTGGGGGGACGACCTCGGAGGTAAGGTGAGGTGAAGCTCTCTTGCCCAAGCTCGCGACTTTCCCTTCAACACCAAAACGCCCACCCCACGTCAACACGTCCGCACCGCGCCCCACGACCCGTCATCACGCGTCAATTAACTTGCTGGACCACAATTAAACCCGCTCGAAGCTTTGCGCATTGCGACTCGAGCGCGCGATGAACATCCCCAACTCGTCGACAGCACCCGCTGCGGGCGAGTACGCCGGAGGTACGCACAGCTCCGCCCACCGCCCCACGACGCGCGCATGCTAACACAAATATATAGACGAGGTCTCTGCGATCGTGCTCGACCCCGGCTACTCGTCGACACGCGCGGGTTTCGCAGGCGAGGACGTGCCCAAATCCGTCTGCCCTTCCTTCTACGGCCAGCTCGACTCGGACAGCGGCTCGCAGTACCTGTTTGGCGAGAACGCCATCCACGCGCCGACCGACGGGCTGCAGATCAAGAACTACTGGGGCGCCGACGGCATCGTCGAGGACTGGGACACGGCCGCCAAGCTGTGGGAGTACACCATCACGAGCAGACTGACGGGCGCGCGGCCCGGCGACCCAGCTAGGAACGGGCTCAACGACGACCCCAGCGCAGAGCCCATGGATATGGATGTGGATAAGGTGGTGGAGGGCCAGGAGCGCCCGCTGGACGACAGCCCGCTGCTCGTCACAGAGCCGGGCTGGAACAGCGCAAAGGCGCGCGAAAAGTACATTGAGATCGCCATGGAGGACTGGGGCACGCCAGCCTTCTTCCTGCAGAAGACGGGCGTGCTCGCCGCCTTCGCCTCAGGAAAAGCATCAGGAATTATCATCGACGTCGGCGCCTCGCACACATCCGTCACCCCCGTCGTCGACGGCATGGTGCTCCGCAAAGGGGTCCAGAAATCCCCTCTCGCGGGAAACTTCGTCTCCTCGCAAATCCGCACCCTCTTCTCGCAATCCAACCCCCAAATCCCCCTCACGCCCCACTACCTCGTCGCCGCGAAATCACAAGTCGACGCAAACGCCCCCGCTACCGCGTCTTACAAGTCCTTCCCGGTTGCCCCTACCCCCTCCTTCCGCCTCAACGAAGAAGACCGCATCCTCACCGAGTTCAAAGAATCCGTCGTAGAAGTCTGGCCAGGCCCCGGCCGCTTCAGCACAGGGAACAACGAGGACCTCGCCAAGAGCGCGCCAGGCCGCCCCTTCGAAATGCCAGATGGGTGGAACACCGTCTTCACGTCGCCGCGCTTCCGGCTCGCCGAAGGCCTGTTCGACGCCTCCGCCGCCCTGACATCCGACACCGTCCCCCGCCCCAAAGACGAGCACACGATCCCGCGCCTCGTGCAGGCGGCCGTCCAGCAAGTCGACGCCGATATGCGGCCGTTGCTGCTGTCTAACATCGTGGTTACGGGTGGGAGCACGCTGCTGTATAAGTTCAATGAAAGGCTGAATTGGGAGATGAATTCTATTTTCCCCAGTACGAGGAATAAGCTTATTGCGCCCGGGAGCGTGGTGGAGAGGAAGTATGCGGCGTGGATTGGGGGGAGTATTTTGGCGAGCTTGGGGAGCTTTCATCAGTTGTGGATTAGTCGGAAGGAGTATGAGGAGCATGGGGCGGGGATTGTGGAGAAGAGGTGTCGATGATGATGATGATGGGGGGGGGGAGGTGTTGGGTGGTTTAATACAATAGATGGGTCATGGTCGTTATCATATTGCCTTGTATGCGGCTACTTGAGTGTCTGCATGGGTCGTGGTACATGTTTTTGTGCCACGCTTTTCCACCTTCCGTCTCTCTCTACATATCCTTGCCCATGTCCACCCCCTACGTGTCTATGTCCATTGTCTCGGCCGTAGCTGTAACAGACTCGTCCTTCAGCTCGTGCACCGTGACGTAGTTGCTGATCTGCTCCTTTGTGATGATCTTCTCGTTGAGCACGGCCGTGGTCCCGCGCTCGAACCTGTAGTTGCGCTGCTTGGGCTGCCTCGTGTTGGGCGTCTTGTGGTTGCGCATGAGCGTCGTCTTCTCCTCGGTGATGATGGCGACATCGACGTTGCTACCGGATCCCAAATCGTTCCAGATACCAGCCTCGATGGCGTTTGAACACAGGCTGATGGCCTCCTCGCGCGTCAGGTCGGGCTTCCACTGCGTCTCGAAGACGGACATGGCGGCCAGCGAGCCCGAGCCCATGGTCACGTAGGGCAGCTTGTCGGTGGAGCCGTGGGCGTGGACGGTGAAGAGGTGGGCGCCCGTGGGGTCGACACCCGCGACGACGAGGTAGGCGCCGATGTGGCCCTGGTGGCGGAACAGGTGCTGCTTCAGCATGGTCATGCAGGTGACGACGCGCGGTTTGCGGCCCGTGGAGAGGGCGTGCAGCTCGAGGTTGGACGAGATGATGGCCGTGGTGAACTCGGTGTCGGCGGCGGTGCCGGCGCCTGCACACCAGATCTGCGGGGCGATGTAGTGCAGTTTCTCGCAGTTCTGCGGGCCGTGTCAGCTACCAGTTTGCTGTGTTTGGATGGAGTCTCTCGGGCGTGGGCAGGGCAGGGCAGGGCAGGGCGGGGCGCACCTTGTCTGCGACTATGGGCCCGCTCGTGGCTCGTGTGTCTGCGGCAATCACCACGCCGCCGTCGAAGAGGGCGCCGACAATGGTGGTTCCGGTGCTGGTCGCCTTGGGCAGAGGCACACCCTGGGCGTGGAGGGCGGCATTGCGGTTGTGGTTGGAGAAGTCGAAGCCGCCCATGGTGGCGTGGGGGCGTGTGTGGTGTGTGTGGGGTGTGTTTGGGAGGGTGAGGGCGTGCAGCTGCAGAGGGAGTCGTCGAGGTGGATGGCGTGTGGTGGATGTGTTCGAGGCGGCGGCGTCGTGGACTGGCGGACAAGCTGTCGTGCCTGCCGGAAGCTTGGCTTGGCGCGTGGAGCTCGCTGGGGAGCAGACGTGCTAAGCTGCACGAGCGCCAGGCCTACGCGACTTTTCCACCGCCCCGAGCAGCTCAAGCAGCAACCCCCAGCCGGCCCACGCTCTTTTGCTTCTGCATCTGCTGCTGCACCTGCGCCTGTGCCTGTGTCTGCTCTACCTCCCCGGCTTCTCATGCCTTTGTGAGCCTTCGAATCGCACCCGTCGCGCCAGCTCGGCCTGAACCTGCACTGCTCCTCTACGCGACCTGACCGCCCACGCGCCAACATGGCTTTCGCAGGCAATGCGCCGGCTGCCGTCGTGGCCAGCGAGGTTTCCGACATCGAGACAGAGGTAGCCACGCCTGCAGTCACGCCTGTACCATACACAACTAACCGCTCCGCAGCACATCGCCCTCAAAGCCCTCGCCCAGGCCAAGAAGCTCAAGCTGCTGCCCACGCCCTGGTCCTCGGCCAGCGTGCCCCCTCCGTCGGCCACCCTGCTCTCCATAGCCTCCAGGCCCGGTCTGCTCGCTGCCGCCGGCCCCGACACCCTCGTCGTCACGTCCACCGAGACTGTGCGCAAGGCCTTTTCCAAAGACGCAGACAACGAGGACGTCATTTCAGACTTCGCGCCTGATGTCACCCTGCCCGTTCCCACCCTCCGCCATGTCGTCTTCTCTGCCGACGGCGATTTCCTCGTCATCTCAGCCGAGACCCAGGGAGGGCTGGCTGTGTTTGAGACGGCCAAACTCATGGGCCAACAAAAGAACCCCGAGCGTCAGATCGCAACCGACGGGACCGCAGTGCGCGCACTTGTGCCCAATCCAGCTGCGACAACAGAACACTACATGGCCGTTGTCCTCGACTCGGGCAAGCTCATCATAGCCAACATTGACGATGGAGTGTCAAAGGCGATCAAGAACGAAGGCGTGCACTGCGTCGCATGGAGTACGAGGGGCAAGGCGGTCGTGGCTGGTCTGCAGGACGGGACATGCACTATACTCATGAGCAGCGGAGATGTCAAGGGGACCGTCCCTCGTCCCCCTGGCGTGGAGCAGGGCTGGATTGGTATGTCACGTCGCGAGCCATCATCGTGATTGTAATCGCTAACCTGCGCAGTTTCTGGCCTGTATTGGCTGAACAACGAGGAATTTCTCACGATCCACTCCCCCGGACGGTCACACTTGCAAGACAACGAGGATAGCAAATACCACATCGTCAAGAGCAACAAGGGCTGGACTTCGTTCGAATTCCACCAAACGCCCTGGGACCCGCTCCTTCCTTCGCAAGACCTGCCGCCCCGTACTTTTCCTCCGCGATTTTCCTTCTCAAGGTTGCGGAACTGGGAGCCGGATCTCGATGACATGATCATCTTGACTTCTTCACACACAGAGTCGGTTACTTTGTTCACCTCGACTAGCAAGAACATATCACCATATCAGGAGACCTTGGGCGAGTACATGATGACAAATCTCGACGAAAAGTTTCAGGCAACGCTGCCCCGGAGGGTCTTTGGCGAGGAAGGAGACAGTGCCTTGATTGGAGCGGCTCTGGACCTTTCTAGCACAGAGAAGATACTGCGCCCTATTGCATCACTGGAAGAGATCGAGCAAGCGCCCTGGCCGTTGCCTGCGTACATGACCCTCACCCATCAGGGCATCCTCTCAGCGTACTGGGTTGCATGGAATCGGTCCATCGAGGCCGGCACACGCTATCCCGGCCTCATCTTTGGTAGTGAGGAAACCAAGCCGGAGGCTGTCTCCACTCCAAAGGCGGCTCCTCCTTCTGCCTCGCAGTCCAGGTTTGGTTTTGGCCAGCCTGCCAACAGCTCTCCATCCACGCAGGCGGGCGGTTCGTTCGGCAAGCCAGCAGCATCTACATTCGGGACTCCTTCCACGCCCAAGTATGGCTCTACGGGATTCGGCTCCACAACACCAGGTTTTGGGACATCTACAACGCCAGCCTTTGGGCAATCTACAACACCCGCCACTTTTGCAAAGCCCGCTCCGCCAGCTTTTGGGCAGTCGACAACACCCGCTTTTGGAAAACCTGCTCAGCCAGCCTTTGGTTCCGCTTCGTCGATTGGCGCTGGAGGCAACTCGTCCTTTGGCACAACCGGAGGAGTGGGCAACAAGCAGTCTCCGTGGGGCGCAGCTCCATCAGCTTCGCAGACTCCTCCAGCCGCTGCAAATCCCTTCTCCAGCGCTGCGAACGGTTCATCAGGATTCGCCAAGTTCGGCCAGACCAACGGAGGCTCCGCATTCTCTAGCTTTGGTAGTCCCAGCAGTGCTCAGTCAGGGTTTGGTTCATTAGGGCAGGCCAAGCAGTCCAGTTTCGGCAGTCTTGGTGGTGGCGCTCAGTCAGGGTTCGGTGCTATGGGACAGGGTCCGCAAAAGTCCGCATTCTCAGGAGCACCCAATGGGGCTAAGACCGAGCCTAGCTTTGGCTCTACAGTGACTGTGGGCTCCAGTACTGGGTCTACACTCCCGTCTTTCGCCAACACTCCCTCGCAACAGGGAAGCTCTGTGTTTGGGAAACCTACGTCCTCGTTCGGATCCAACAAAGCGTCAGATGCGAGCGACGAGAATCGAAAGAGGGATGGTGCCACGCCAACCGCGCAGGCTCCCCAGCCGCAACAATCAAAAGGTCTTTTTGGTCTTGCTGGAGGGTTCAAGCTTGGGACTTCGTTCTCCAGCGACGGAACTGCAAAGGACGATCCAGCGAAACCTGCGGCTCCCTCCAATGGGTCTTTCTTTGGAAGTGACTTCTCCTCTACCCTCAGTGGTACCTCGAAAATCCCAGCGACCCCAACGGAGCAACCTGGGAAGACCTCGCCTTGGGATGTCTCTACTACACCTGCCTCGCCGCCAAAACAGCAGAAGTCGCTCTTCTCAAGCGCCACGCCTGCAAGAGAGAGCGCTACGCCTAAAGCACCACCGCCAGCCAAGGAGAAAGCCCCTGCTTCGAACGATGCACCGCTTCCACCGGATTTCATTACCACCAAACCATCGAAACCTGTCGATGACGATCTTCCGCCTATTGCTGGAAGTCCTCCCGTTAATGTTGAGGCCCCTAGCTCCTCGCCCGAGGCATCACCGATTGGCGATGAGGATGATGAGGAAGAATTCTCGGTTGAAGAGGCGGAAGACGACGAGGAGGGTGAGGCAGATATGGATGAGGGGTCGGAAGAAAGCGGAGATGAGGAGGACGAAGACGAGGAAGAATCCCCTTCCAAGGTGGCACCTGTCTCTCGACCTTTGAAGCTCGGGAACTACGCAATCCAAGACAGTGTCAACAACTCGCCGCATAGCTACCCACCTGCACCAACACCTCCAGTCAAGTCAGAAGCGACGTCTCGGTCTGGGAGGAGTATATCTCCACCTAGACCTTCACTCTTTGGCGAGGTTCCCAAGCCCAGCAGTAGTCAATCGCGACCAGGCTCATCACTGTTCGGCCAACAGGCGCAGAAAGCACCATTCTCCCTTGGTCAACCCAGCAAGGCGAACCAACCTTCTGCACCAGCGATGCCAGTATTCCCACCTCCAACGAACCGCGTCAAGGAGGACCTTCGCTCACCTAGTCCCATGCGCTCTTCCTCGACGTCTGCTCTCCGAACGCGAAGAGAGCCTCTAGCTGCTCCCGGTAGCTCATTGAGTGCTTCCCTTCTGAACTCGAAACCACCGACACCACAGCCGCAGGTTTCTGATCTGGAAGACGACGAAGCTGAGCGTATGCATGCTCAACTAGCGCAGGAAGTTGAGCCAAGGCGGACGCTGGATCAGTTTGTCGCCTACCAAAACTATGCTGGCGGTTCCAACAACAAGACTGGGTCCGCTGCACAGATAGAAATGGTGTACAAGGACCTCAATGGCATGGTTGACACGCTTGGCTGGAACGCACGGTCGTTGAAGGCATTCACACAATACCACAAGCAACCTCAACAGGGCCATGAGGTCAGTCGAGAAGCGCTTGACGAGGTGGAGAGTGACGGCGTGGACGATTCATGGTTTGAGAAGTGGAATCTCTGCGAGATCGAGGACCTGAAAGCGCTCGAGGATGAGCTCGAACGAGGATTGGATGCCGGTCGAGTAGGCGACGTCTTCGCAAAGCTGAACCTGCTCGGCCGTCTGCTCAACGAGAAAGCAAAGTTCATGACCCGCCTCAACGACATCCGCCGGCAGATCGTCAACCGCAAAGACCCGGACAAACTCGACTCGCTGCGCAAAGCCCCCCTCCCCAAGGAACTCGCCGACAGCCAAAAAGCCCTGCGAAACGACTACGCGCGCCTGCTCACCCTCCTCAACCAAGCCGAAGAAGGCGCCTTCGTGCTCCGCTCCCGCCTCGCGTCCCACAACGCAGACCAGGGAAAAACAGCAGCTGTCCCCACCATGGACGCCGTCAAGAAAACAGTCAACAAAATGATCGCCCTGGCGGAAAAACGCACAAACGATATCGCTGTCCTAGAAGCTCAGATGCGCAACCTAGGCCTCGCGGATCTGTCCTCCTCCCGCGCTTCCCTCTCCTCCACTACCTCCTCCTCCCGCGCCCCAGGCACTACTACACCCCGTCGCGGACGCACACCCGCGCTCCGCAATAGTACCGCGGCAGCTACGCCCTTCGCCACGCCGCCCACCAGCCGCGCGAAAATGAGTCTGAGCGAATTGAATCGCCGCGCTATGACGCCTGGTGTTGACGACGATAACGACAACGACGACGCGACGCCCACGGGTAAACCGTACGGACTCTTCTACACACCACTAGCTGGGGGTGGGCCGGCACCCAAGCGCGAATTGGCCGGCTTGGCGGATCTGGTGGATGATAATCTTGACGCGCTGAGGGGGAAGGCGGGTAGGAGGAGGGTTGTTGCGAGGGGGTTGAGGGGCGCGCTGGTTGAGAGGGGGGTGAGGTGTTCGGGGGTTGCTTAGTTTTAAGTTCTTTTTCTGGGGGGTGGGGATCGGGGTGGAGGGTAAGCGGGGGAGGGGGTTGTATGATTTAGCCTGTGCTTGAGTGTGTGGTTTTTACGCTTCTGGGTCATGCGGTTGGAATAGCGAGGTCTTGCGCGGAAACAATTGAATCGGATTGAATTGCAATTTTTTACCTGAAGTGAATTTCTATGCCGATGGAACAGATTTAGCAGTTTGAAATGATGGTTTTTTTCCATTGATCTCATAGGTAGCCATCCAGCCAACAAACCAACTATTTTTCCCAGTCTATCCTTGGATAATTCACACTCCACCTTCCTTTTAGACTCGATATGGTTTTTGGACTGTCGATCCATCCATCACGCTGGAGAAAATATGCTAACGTAGGATGGGGATTGGGAGCGGAGCGGAATGTGGTCGTTTTGCTGATGTGGAGGATGGACGAAGAGTGGAGGGGATGGGATGGGAAGAAAAATGGAGGATTTGAGGGGCGGTGAGATAGGAAGGATAGAAAGAAAAAAACAAAGAAAAAGCAAGGTGATATAATTCAATTAACCAAACTTCACATTCACATTGTGTTGTGTCATATTGCATTCTACTTATTCTCCCCAACACCGTCCCCGACCGTCCGTCTACCACCCCCAGAACAAAACCTCAACTCCCATAGCTCACCACACCACGCCCGCAAAAATCCACGCCCTACACCATTAAAACCGCCTGGTTTGGTAGATTCAAGGAGGCAAAAATCAAGCAAAATCGAGATGGCAAAATAAATGCGTCGAACCCGCGCTGGGTTGCGGTAGTGTGTTTCCAAAGATTGAATCAGTGCAGTGTTGTGCGGGACTCGCGGTCACTTCTGGTAAAAGGCAAGAAATGAGTTCGTACAAATCCTCGCACTGCACAAGATGGATTGAAGAATGTGGTGAATATATAGTTATAGAATTATTGACCTGGTGAGGTGAGGCGGGTGAAGGTGGTTTGGGTGTCTTGATTCAGGGTGCGGAGGGAGTGGTGTGGGGCTGGTGATGGGGCGGGGCGGTGTGTGTAGGGTGGTCCGAGCGGGTGTTACTCCTGAAGTGTGGATCCTGGACATTCGTTGCTTTGGTAAAGCCAGCGTCTTCGTTATTAGAGGTCTTCTTTTGCGTGTACCATGTGCGTTTGAGGCATTCATCTTTGAACTTCGGGATGACATGTATGCCCTTCGACTACTGCAGCGTATATGGAGTATATGTGTGAGAGGCGCTGCAGCAAGCTGGCGAACACTTTTTATGCAATTATCCATAAATCGTCTTATGCCTACGCGATTGCTTTCTCAATCTCCGACAACCCATCCATACCCTTCCTCACACTTATTTGCACCGCCTCGCCCACAGGTAGATACGGGCTCCGGGGCTTCAGCTTCTGCTCTGCATCCTCAATCCCAGCCGCAACGGCGCTGTACTGCGAAACGCCGTACTTGACCACGGCGATACCGGCTTTGGCTGGGCTCTCCGCGAGCGCCGCCTTCTGGTGCAAGTGGAGTGCCTCCTGTTTCTTCCCGCTCGTGTATAGATCGTAGACCTTGGAGATCGTCTTGGGGAAGATATTCGAGAATGCAGACACACATCCCGCACTCCCGACTGCGAGCCCACCGACCAGGAAATCCGCTTGTCCCGCAAACGTAGCAAATGTGTCGGATGGAAGTTCGGCAGCAAGTCTGGTGATCTTGGCTACACTCCCACACGTCAACTTCACACCAACGATCTTGCCAGGGTTACGTTTCGCGAGCTCGGCGATGGTAGGGGAATCGAGATCCACACCGTTGCACACACCGGGGAAGTTGTATATGACAATCGGCAGATCACTCTTCTGCGCGACCTCATTGTAGAAATTCAGAACCACCTCTTTCGACGTCGCAGGCCCGTAGTACGCAGCCGGGAGGAGCAGACCAAAGTTCGCTCCACAGCTCTTCGCATCCTCGATGTTCTCCAGCACCTGCGCGACGGAGAACCCCGAAACGCCCATCATCAGCGGGTAGTCGGGACCAACGGCCTCCCGGGCGGCTTTCATCAGGGACAGTTTCTCATCGCGTGTCAGGAGGAAGGCTTCAGCGTTTGATCCTAGGATTACGAGGCCTGCCAGCCCGGTTGTGGAGAGGTAGGAGAAAAATTGCTTCTGGGCGGCCAGGTCTACGTGGCCGGTTTTGGGGTCGTAGAAAGTCACTGCTGGACACCAGACGCCTGCTTTTGGAACGGCCATGGTAGTTCTTCTGGGGTGTGGGGTTGTACTGGCTTGTGACGGTTGGATGGAATCGGGGAACTGGTGGGGACCTGAAGAGCTTGGAGCAATGTCGAAGTAGATATTATGATCTTGTGTTTGTTACGTTGACAGAGAAGATGATGAGCATCCCGATGTAGGAGGCTGTGAAGTAGTCTTCCTCGGTGAGCCGCTGATAGCCGTCATTGAAGCTTGACGAGTCCGGTTCTCGCTCGCTTAAAACAGCTTGGACGACCATGAAACCTCACGTCCTTTGACTTCATCCATATATGTATACCTCGAAAGAGTGATTTATCATGCTCCGACGGAAGCACGAGTTATAGAGCGGAAGAGTCGTAACAAGTTGTCGAAGTTGGAATAGATATGACTATGATACATCGCACTGACTTGAGATATACCCTACGCTGAGGTAGGTTCCAGAATTCTCCAAGTCTCGAGACTTGTGCAATAGTGTTTCCAATATGTAGACATTCACATGACGTTGTCGTTGTGCGCGGCCAATTACCTGCTTCCTACGCAGTCTCAATATGGACTTCTCCAATGGGGGATGAACTCCAACCAGGGTTTACAACGCCACTCACCGGAATCTCGTGTCAGCGGCAAAGCCTCTCTTTTGAGACTGCCTTGTTCTTACGTATCGCTTACCTCACTTTCCACGTTCTGCTCATAGCTTCAGACATCATGCCTTCGTATAGCCCTCCTTTTGTCATGTTCCCATGGCCTGAAGACCTGATTTGTGGCGCGCCATATATAAACTGGCCATCAAGTAAAGACATCTTCACCTCTCGGACACTCACAACGGAAGTTGCGGTGCCAGAATCATGGATCGAAGTCGGCGAGAAGACGAATCGAACGAAACAGCCTCATAGCATGATCTTAACGCGACAGCGTACCATCAGAAAAGAGACGACAAAGTTCTTGCCCATCTACTGTCAGCTCTCAGATCTACACTCGTTACAGCACATGCTGACTATTAGTAGGCAACAAGGGTTTCGAGACCTCAGACGATGTATACACTCAGCCTGACACTTACTACCTCGAATATCTGGGCCCACCCTCTGCGCACTCAAGGCGGAACCAGAAATTCGACTGCGACGTGACTTACCATCTACTATCGTACGACTACATATCCTCTACTCTGGCAAACTACAAGCTCGCGAGAGCTGAGGGCGACGACTGGCTCTTCCAACTGTATACGGGTGATCTGAACACAGACAAGCTATACGAGAAACCAACGACCGAGCCGGTCACTCAAACTGAGCTTTTGAGGGCATGTGATGCACGCGGAAAACATGTGAAGTACGAGCCAGGAAAGCCGTTAAGATGTGATTTCGACAAAGTGACACCCACGTCTACGGCTGTACCGACACCATATCCCAAGGTAGGAGGATCTGAGAAGGAACCCAACTTAGGAGTCGTGATAGGGCTTCCACTTGGGATTCTGTCGGCTGTGTTCTTGATAGGACTGGCGGTACATTTTGCACCGCGCTTGCGGCGACGGTTGAGAGGTGATGGTGCTATACAGTTGTGATGAACATGTCTTCTACCAAGAGTGTCAGTAGCCTTTCCTTGCTTGTTATGGAATGTTCTGCCAGCCAAGTTTGCTATCAAGGTCTGGTGTATGTGACAGGCTACAGATCCGTCAGAACGCCCACTTCTTTAGAAAGTTGTGATGAGTTTGCGCCTTCAACAGTACTCTCTTGTGAACCCATGCATTTATTGAGTGTTCAAGGTGTAAGGAGAAGGTACATTACGGAAGAGCATTACGCAAGGTGAAGCGTATTGGGTGGTAAGCAAAGTGGTGCGGGTTGACCCCCATGATAGGTGGGAGATCTTGAGTACCCGGTCAACAAACAACCGAACACCGAAATAAGGCAAGTCGACAGATGTTAGGCGTGTGATGTGTGCCGGCGATGAGCATCTTCGGAGCGTTGATGATGTCTTGTTCCTGGACGATTGCAACACCGCGCTACCGATGCACTAGCTTGCATGGGCAAGAGATCCGTCATGTCCATGGACTCGCACCACAACGGTCAGCTGTTTCCTTGGCAATTACCGAAAATCCCGTTAAGAAGATGAAAATAAAAGAACAGCTCGCTCCCGGCTTCTTCTTGGACTTGGAGAAGGTATTCGCAGATAACCCCTGTCGATTCCTGGAACACAGCAACCAGCGAGCCTTCCATCCCATTACCACGGCCGACATCACCTAATCCAACATGCGCGGAATTTTCTCCTCTCTATTCTCGGTCTTAGCCGCGACGGTCACCGCAGAGACACTTCTCTACCGCAACACCTTTAACAGCACCGATGCCCTCGCCGGCTGGGTCGCCGAAGGCCCACTGACCTCGAATATTTCGAATAACACCTTGACTCTGGGAGGCGCCGGCAAAATAGACGATTACTTCGTGTACTGGCTTCCAGAAGAATTCCCAGACCAAATACGTATCACCTGGGAGTTCTCGGCCATTCAGGAACCTGGCCTCGCAATGTTTTTCTTCGGCGCGACATCAGTCAACGGCACCAGCATTTTCGACCCGAGTCTCAAACCCCGCAACGGCTCGTACCCTCAATATCACTCGAGCGATATTCGCATGCTTCATGCGTCGTATTTCCGTCGTCGATGGCCCGAAGAGCGTGCGTTTAGTTTGGCCAATCTGCGCAAGTCGCCTGGGTTCAATCTTGTTGCTCAGGGTGCTGATCCGCTGCCGCCTGTGGCCGATGCGCAGGGTGCATTCTATAAGATTGAAGTTGTCAAGGACAAGCGTGAAGTGAAGTTCTCGATCAATGGGCTGCTGGTGTTTTCGTTTGACGATACCAAGACGGATACCGGACCTGTCGTTCGTGGAGGTCGCATCGGGTTTCGTGGAATGCAGCCACTGATAGCCCGGTATCGTAATCTTGAGGTCTGGAAGCTTTAGGGAAGTAGCGTCCGGGTATAATAGTTGAAAAGAATAACTGGGCATTCTCGAACGTGCAGTTCGGTCTTGTATAGCAACCAGTATCAACTGTTATGCCCATCTTTTTTGTCTACCGATAACGCGTATGCCCAGAAGTCGGAAAAAGGTTCGAATCTTACTTCATGTTATTATCCATTTTCGCTCAGACGTCCTGAGACATCATATCTTTGCTGGGATCAGTTCAGTGAAGGACCTTAATCTGACTATTTCGGGGACGAACGAGAGAAAATTGAGAGGCTCCTTAGGAGCAAAACCTGAAAGAGCGACACGACTGAGATTAGTCCTATGCATGTGTGGTGTCTACTAGACTCTTGAGCCAGCGTACCAGTGTTCAGTCCGCATCCCAAAGTTAGAACGCGTTGGAAAATAGCTGTCTCGATGGCTCAACCTCAACAATCAGTACCCCTTATCGTTGCCATTCCATCTCCACGAAATCTTTCTGAAGTCGTCCCATCCGCCAAAAGCGGTCGCTCATCACAGTCTTACCTTTGCCTACCTAGCGTATGCAATCCTGCATGTCATCTGTGGATTGAGTTACCCAACGCCGGTCCGGAAACCTTGCCTTTACTCGCAAGATATCTCCATCAGATCTCCTTTACCTGGGAACTTTACCAGCTATGAGTTGACAAGCTCCGCCTCTAGACCGCATATAAACCTACCACAAGCCTATATCTCCCTCTCTCGTCCATCGCACTTGCAGCTCTCAAAACCGCTCTCCAAGTCAACATGAACGGCAACCACGATGCCAACGACCTCATGGTCCAGGCCGCCTCCATAGGCGTGGATGCGCTATTCAGCGGCAGTAGTGATTGGTTGAGAAACCAGAACAAGGTGTGTGGGCTCTTCTTCTTTCTTCTTGACTGCATCTGACTTTCAGTAGCTTGAACAACTTCATGAACTGAGAGTTATGGCACTTGGCAATGCCAAAGTCCTATATGGCTCTGAGCGGTTTAAATTCTACGGTATGTAGTGCTCCTTCTCTTTCCCGACTGTACACTAACGTATCGACAGACGTAGTTGTCGCATACAGCGAGCCCGACGCCAAGTTCGCTGCGATCCTCATGTGCAGTGCCAATGAGGCTACCAAGATCCTCCGCAAGGAAGTCCACGATTGCCCGCTCGCCGCAACGCGCACCCTAGTCCATGGCCTCCACAAAGACACTGGGCTCTTACTTTGTATATACCTTTCTATTCTCAGCTTCTACTGCTCAATGCTGACTTGGGCGGCAGGCAAGTACACCACCGGTGATACGCTTCGTGGACCTCAGGGCGAGACAATTCGAGGTGGAGAATTCGCCCTTTATGACTTCAAGAGGCCGACGAATAATCCAAGCGAGGCCGAAGACGATATGAGAAGTCTGAACCGCACGGATTTCGCGCCTCCTCGAGGGCCTCGGGTAGACGAATCCAATCCTCCTAGAGGTCCTCGAGTGGATAGAGGGGTGGAGCGGGGTTTGTATAAGTACCCTCGTACGGAGTCGATGGGTTGGCCAGTGGAACGCCCGATCGAGTCTCTCAGCTACGAAAATGACCGTCTCAACTATGACGAGTAATAGTAAGAGCGGGACAGTGGTGAGACTTGGGCTGGTTAAAATGGGCTGAGCTTCTGGGGAGGACTATGCACAGGCGGAATTGCCTTGGAGGATCGAAATACTCTATCGGTGTTTTAGAAAGCCTGATCCATAGACAGATCTACCTACAATATACATTGTCGGAACACTACAAAACATTTTTCAGAATCGATGGACGTGATACAATGTACCTGAGAGGTCTCCCAGTTACCACATCACATACGAGGAGTCGTGGATTCGATGCGAGATCGTTAAACTGGATACGCGAAATCGTTTGGTTTGGTGGTTGGGAAGTTGGCGACACCGATCGATGGAAACGTGACGGAGTAATGGCCGGGTTGCGTCATCGAAGAAACAACGCGTCGGCGCGCGATCACGAGAAACAGTCCAAGCACCACCGCGTTGCGTCATGAGCCCCCGACATTTCATCTCGAGTGCATCTTAACATTCTTTGATCTGTTTCCAACATGAGCTCTCCTACCAAACGCCGTAAGAAGAATGATGGGTCGAGCCAAGCAGTACGCAGCTTGAACTACTTCTTCGCGAAGCAAACAGCCAAAGCGGCGACAAACGACGCGCCCCAGGCCAAAGTTGGAGGAATTGAAGCGGTGACTGAGGAAAACAAACATTTGACGGATGAAGAATTAGCTAGGAAGCTCCAAGAAGAATGGAACAGGGAAGATCAGCAGCGAACACAAAACCAGGAGCAAGCGAGCTCAAACGAACTCTACGAGGAGCCAGAGAAACCTGCCTTTGATGGCGCGTGTGAAGGCGATGCAAACTCCAAGCAATCTCAGCCGGTAGAAGTGGAGGAAATCCCGAAAGCGGCAGTGCCGAAGCTGACGAACACACTTACTCTGCAATCCACCGCGTCGGAAGAAGACACAATCACCGCAAACATCCCCTTCGACCAGAGTCCACTCGAATTCGATCCCTCGAACTACATTCCCAATCTACAGAAGCATTGGGTAGCAGATGGAGGGCATGCGACATACGCACTGCTGACGAGATGCTTCATTCTCATCAATGGCACGACGAGTCGCATAAAGATCGTAGACACGCTCGTCAATCTACTGCGCACCATCATCGAAGGCGATCCCAACAGTCTTCTCCCTGCCGTATGGCTCGCTACGAACTCGATATCGCCGCCGTATATCGACCTCGAGCTGGGACTCGGAGGATCAGCTATAAACAAGGCGTTGAAGAAGGTCTGCGGTCTGGATAACGCGAGCTTGAAAACGCTGAATAACAAGTACGGTGATGCAGGAGATGTGGCATTCGAAGCGAAGAAGAGGCAGTCATTCACGTTGCGGAAGCCCAAACCCCTGACGATCAAGGGTGTGTTCGAGTCGTTGGTCAAAGTTGCGAACAGTAAAGGAAACGGCAGTGTAGAGACCAAGCAGAGGATCGTTGAGAGGCTCGTTCAAGATGCGCGAGGTGCAGAAGAAAGTCGATACATTGTCCGGACACTGGTACAGCATCTACGCATAGGTGCGGTCAAGACTACCATGCTGATTGCGTTGTCGCGCGCGTTCATGCTATCCAAACCTCACAACGCTGACTTCGAAACGCGCGAGCAGAAGGACTTGGCGAAAATGAAGAAAGAGGAGCTGGTCGAGATATACAGCAAGAATGAGGAGATCGTCAAGGCTTGTTTTGCCCGGAGACCAAACTACAACGATCTTATCCCTGCGTTGTTGGAGATCGGCGTCTGCGACGAACTGCTTCTGCGCTGTGGACTCGCCCTCCACATCCCTCTACGGCCCATGTTGGGCAGCATAACGCGTGATATGGGCGAGATGCTCACCAAGCTGCAAGGGCGCGATTTCGCCTGTGAATACAAGTATGATGGCCAACGCGCGCAAGTCCACTGCGACGAGAAGGGGAAGGTCACCATCTTTTCACGACACTTAGAACTCATGACCGACAAGTATCCAGACCTCGTTGCTCTAGTACCAAAGATACGAGGCGAAGGCGTCTCAAGCTTCATCCTCGAAGGCGAAGTTGTAGCCATTGACCGCGAAACCGGCGAGCTGAAGACCTTCCAAACACTTGCCAACCGTGCAAGAAAAGACGTCGTCATAGGCAGTGTATCCATCGACGTTTGTCTCTACTCCTTCGACCTCATGTACCTGAATGGAGAGGAGCTCATGAGCCGCCCATTCAGAGAAAGAAGATCACTACTACGCAGTCTCTTCGTCGAGATTCCACACCATTTCACATGGGTCAAGAGCCTCGACGCTACATCCGCAGACGCCGACATAGTACAAACCTTCTTCAAGAGCGCAATAGACATAAAATGCGAAGGCATAATGGTAAAAGTCCTCGATAACCTGCCCAACCCCGACCTCCTCGCCGAACTAGACGATCCCTCGGACCTGCCCTCCCTTCCCCCAACCCCCAAGAAGAAAAAGCCCGCTAAATCCAAGACCAACCCGAAAGCGAAATCTACAACCACACACACCCCTCCCAACGACCCCAGTACCGAGCCCCCAAAAACCTCCGGTCGACGAAAAGCCCTCCTCTCCACCTACGAACCCGACAAACGCCTCGACTCATGGCTCAAAGTAAAAAAAGACTACCACTCCACGTCCGAAACCCTCGATCTAATCCCCGTCGGCGCCTTCCACGGCTCGGGCAGAAAAGCAGCCTGGTGGTCCCCGATCCTGCTCGCCATCCGCGACTCGTCGACCGGCTCTCTCGTCGCGGTTACAAAATGCATGTCCGGCTTCACCGACGCCTTCTACAAGGCAAACCGCGCAAAGTATGATCCCGATGATCCTGAAGGCGTCAATGTGCTGGAGGCGAAGCCAAGCTACGTCGAGTATAACGGCGGGGCTGGATGGCCTGCGGTGTGGTTCGAGCCGCAGGAGGTGTGGGAGGTGGCGTTTGCAGATTTGACGCTCAGCCCGACGTATACGGCGAGTATTGGGCTGGTGAGTGATGAGAGAGGGTTGAGTACGCGGTTTCCCAGGTTTTTGAGGGTGAGAGAGGATAAGAGCTTGGAGGAAGCCACGGAAGCTGGAGAGTTGGCGGATCTGTACTGGAAGCAAGAGGCCAAGGCGCCAGTCAAGAAGGAGGGTGCTGAGGATGAGGATATTGACTAAGTTTGGTTAGACGGTCGATTATTGGATATCCCTGCGTTCAGCTTTCACAATTTACATTCAGAGTGAACGCAAAATTTGAGAGTTATCGAGATGAATTCATTATGAGATATGATTCTCTACAGTCATCCTCTCACTTCCTGTGAATCCTGCAATGTCGTAACTCCAAGCACTTGCAATGTTAAAAATGCAGTGTAACTTCTTCCTCGTCCGATCTGCAAAGCGATGACAGAATGAAATATTCGTAATCGTCCAATATGGGGTATCTTGATGTCGCGCCGTATCCTAGCCTCGCCGTGCGTTTGACACGCATGATATATCCGCCCTTCAGCAACCATCTGACTTGGCGCGCAGGACGTCCAGGACGGTCGAGGCAGCGATGCGCAACGCCTCGACACGTCTAGAAACCGTGGACCTTGATGGTCTTGACGTCAAGACCGAGGCCCTCCTTCTTATCGGTCAAGAAGTCCTGGACATCCTTCCTCTGGTCACCCTGGAGCTGGATCACCTCGCCCATCTCCGTGTCGGTGACGATGGTGCCATTGCAGGCAAACTGCTTCTTGATGACCTTGAGGATCTTCTTCTGGTCGAATTTCTTAGGCAAGCCTTGGACCGTCGTCAGGGTCTTGCGACCATTGCGCTCTATGGGTGGGTCAGCCTTGTGGGGGCGGTGAGGAGGGAGTAAGAGCAGGGAGCGCAGGAAAGAGCGATAAGAAGGACCGTGGCAAGATATGAGGAGGCAAAGAAATATGAAGGTACTCACGTTGTATGCGGATATGGATGTAGTTGGCCTGGTTACCGGCTTTGATCTCACCAGCGGCGTCTTCGGCTTCCGCGAACGGATCGAAGCTCTTTAGGTTCTGGATGTCCGTGGTCATTAATCTGACTTGAGCGCTCTGCTGTGACAAGGTGTGGTCGAGTGTAGTGGTGGGCTGGGTGAGGTGCAAGAGCAGATATCTGGGGCGTGTTGATGGTGTTGGAGAAGGCGAGGGGCGCGATATGAGCCTAAGCTGGCCCCGCCGCCCGCCAAGATGGTCATAGCGCTTCCGTCATCCGTTGCGTGATGGGGCGGGCGCATGCTGCGGAATTACACTCTAATGCTCCTTTCTCACTTCGTACCGTTGAGAGGTCTTTGACACGAATTGCCATCGGCTGGAAACCTAAGTAAAGGTCAGGTCAAGGTCAGTTGAATAGGCACACAGCAAGTGGTGACAGAGAGCCCGCGCTGGCAAACACCATCCAGCATCAACCACACTCGCTCGATCGAAACGGTCCTCGTAATCAGAGACGGTAAAGACATGTACACGAGCAACGATGACCTACCAGCACCGCACTCCTGAAGTTTTCGGCCAATTGAGTCGATGTTTATGCAATCGCCAAAACTCAAAGATGAATCCGTTCAGTTACGCATGTGAAAACATCTGAAATTAAATTTGTTGACATTCAGCTTAGTTTCTTGGAATATACGTGTATACACGTGGTGTACGCCTACATCGAAACGTGCATCTGGTGTAATGGATCGGGGCCCTAGGTTCACAGCCACTGCTTGGTTCCCAAATGCGAGACAAACCCACCACCATACCCACTGTCGATGCTGATTTTCTCCCATAATGCCCTGTTGACTCGGACGGCTTCGTCTACAGGAGTTGGGCCCTTGAAGTCAGGCGCATAGGCTAAAAGGTTGCCCATGAATCCCATCAAGCCCTGGGTCTGTTCTGGAGTGACTGCGGGTACGCGTTAGTAGAGTGTCCAGATGTTTCAATCTTAGAGACAGGGATATATACCATTCGTAAAGTGGCCCACTTCCACCAGTCCCGGGCTAATACTCACGAAGAGAACACCATCTTTCTTGTATTGCGCGTTGAACTTGGCTACAATGACGTTCATGGCCGCCTTGGAGGCAGAGTACAAAGCACTTACCTCAACCCCAAGATCATTGATAAAGTCGAGGTCAGCATGACCGCTGGACATTGTGATGACTTTCTTGACCTTGCCCTTCATGACAAGAGGGAGGAAGAGGTTAAAGAGGTGGATGTTACCGAGGACATTGGTCTGGAAAATCATTGATGAAGCATCCTCCAGCTCCTCGACCTTGTCGCCCCTAATGAAACATAACATTAACCATATACTCCAACCCGGACAGTTGCAAGAGGGAAGTAGACTTACAATGTACCGATAGGACCGTAGGCTTCGAATTGGGGCAGAAAAGCTCCGTTGGCAACCAGGTAGTCAATGCCACGTTCGCCAACAATCGTGGCAGTATCGGCAGCGGCTTGCTTCAGGCTGGAGTAATTGGTGAGGTCTCCATGGAGAATATGGATGTTGGAATGATCGCCCAGCTCTGCCGCCACCTTCTTCTCGGTCGCAGCCTTGTCGCGGACCAGACCAATGACTAGGTTCTTCGGGTCTTCTGAGATCTGCTTGACGAGCTCGAACTAGGCTGGGGTTAGCAAAGGCAACCCGTAGCACGACATAAAGCAAACTTACCCCAATTCCCTTCGACACCCCGGTAATAACGTATACAGACATAACGATTGTTTTTCCTTGGATCAATTGGTGTGGAATGCGATGTGAGGCTGGTCTGGACTACCATGAGGGTTCGAATGAGTAATATAATGTCATCTGTAAGTTGCTTAATAATAGAATGGAACAAGAGTCTTTCTTAATTGATTTACAATCCACATGGTTAGTCTCGCCGCAAAGTTGCCTTAAATCTCACTCAGCTTACCATATGCATATTCATTGTACATGGATTATCAGCACAGACCTCATTCGCCCTGAATGAGGATATAGTTGTATACGGCTGTCATCTGAGAACTGACTACTTAGCTATACACTTACAGAAGTTATTGCGAATGTAAGCTGCTACACTGAACACGGTGGTAAAATGTGCTATCAACTCATCGGCCACAACCGTGTATGCTACCTAGAAGCTGCATGACTTGCTTCCCCAGAGCTCAGATTATTAATTGCCCCGCGATGCTTTCCGATCTCATCTGCATGATGCAAGACGTCGAATCATTTCACAGCCTAGTCCTGCAGAGCACCTCAGGGTGGATACTCATGTACAACTACTGTACCACCTAGCATCGAAACGTTTACGGCTGGCTACCAGTCGGAGCCCATCATTGTAGATATATACCAAAATTCTCATACAGTAGGAGAAACCACAATAGCAGATGATAACGCTACAAGCAATCTATGGTGATTGCGTCAGCTAGGCTAACAACTGCAGATAAGAAGAAACAAGTATACACCGACCGCTCACGTAATCACTTTCCATGTGAAACATCGAAGTAGAGTTAAATTTCCCGGCGTTTGAGTCTGAAATCTTTCTTTAAATAAGTTTTCTACTGCTAAAAGTGTAAACTTGAAACTACCGTTCTATGTGCATCTCCGACTGGTCTGGAATATATCACGTGATATACGGAGTGAGCTGACAAAACACGAATCCTCACTAGTCCCCATTACATGTAAACCTTTAGTTGGTTCTGCAACCGTTCTACGCGCCGCGTCTCGTCTGTTCGAATGACACCTAGTCGCTTTCTTCTGCATAATCTTTTATGACTGTTTGACACGCCAGACTTCATATTTGGAGGTTTAGTGGTCCGAGTGTGAAGTTTCACTCGGGATAATTAAGCAGTACCGACGTTGCTTTGGAGAACCCATCACCGAATGTGAACACTTGAATTCTTTCGCATTTTCTTGGTCGACACACAGAGGACTGCATATAGTATGTGGTAGCACCGGATCACTCTATCTGACCTTGGCTCCTCCCTGGGGCAGCGGAAGGGTTTCGGTTTTGCCAAGACTTAAGCAAATTTGATTGAGAGGTTGGGAGCTAGCAGCAGTGACGCACATTTGTTTGTCTAACCACTACTTCATGTATCCCTGCTACTGCGTCTGCTCTCTCGTTTCGTTTTGTTCTTCCTTCTGTCTGTTGGTCAATGCTCTTGGTGCTACGACTGCGACTGTGTTGCTTCGTTGTCGCGTTCGAACGCGCGAATCGCGTCTTTTTGCTTCGAGAACGCGTTTCTGAGCGCGTCAACGCTGACCTCCACTCCATCGATGTCACAACGACCTGAAAAGACCAAGGAGGAGAAACGCAGCTAGTGATTGGTTCGCACTTCCTACCAATCTAGGATTCATCCACATTCAATCTTCATTGACTTCCCGTCGCTGTAGCCATTTCACACTTGGATCATCCACCTGCCAAATCCTTGTTCCAACCTAATTCTGTTCTGCTCTTCGACTGGACTCTCTGAAAGGGAGGTCGTCCATCTGGTACCATAAGGCGGGTCGAATCGATGCCGACTGTGCCACTGTCTCCAATGGTGGAATCATGCCTGCTCCGAATCCTGTTCATGTCGGAAACAAAAGCGGCTTCCGTATGGGTCCCAAGTGTTGTGGTAAACTGGGCACGTCTCCTGTATATAGGAGGACTACCTACGCCATCAGGTATCTGTGGACTGCCTTCTGGTCGCCGGTTGATTGGTATCATGTTTCCCAGTTCTTCACGCGTGTCCATCCATCTTTTCTTGGTTTCCCGATACTTCTGTATGAAGCTCTTCCGATCATCGGTACTGCGAAATGTTAACTCGAACTGCTCAGTTTCGATCCAGTCAAGGTCCTCGTAGTATTGGAGTACTTTGGGACTTAGCGGTACACCAGCAGGATAACCAGCATTGAGTTCTTCTTGCGTCGGTCGGATCCAGGATGCATAAAAGAGACGGTTCTGTCCAGAAGGATGGGGCTTAAAGAAGAGCATTCTGTTGTCAGAAGGGCTCTCTTCTAACACCCAGTTGATGTCTATTTTGATGGTACAGATGAAGCGATGTTGGTGGAGGTATATAGCCACCCTGCAGGGGGGTATCTTCTGCTGATCTCCCTGATAACGCCGTACAGCTCGCGTGGTTGATGTCGTTCGTGACGCGATTGACTGCCGGCGCGTCAGTTCTCGAGCTACACCATCTTCCTCTTCCGTCCAGATCTGGACTGTTGCCGAACCGAACTCCATGGATTTGCCACCATTACCTCTAGTCGCTTCTCGTTCATTGTGCGACAATTTTCGCATGAAGCCTTTTACTACACCGCCCAACGTCATCGACTTGTTCAGTCGCAGACAAGTCAGCGAGAAGCTGCCCACAATGTTTTGCGACGTCAACTTTGACTGCAACACACGTGCATCTCCAAGGCCAGCATTACCGTCGAAAGAAAACAAGGCATTAGAGACCTCTGAGTGTCTGTCTGGACTCAGAAATGAGAACTCGATCCACGTGCGCGAGTCGTATGTATTATTCGGATCCCAGAATCCATATAGAGGAAGGATCTTAACATCGCTGCGACGAAAACTTATGTTGGTAGGTTCATGGCCTCGCGACCAGCAATGGAGACGGATGAAACCAGCTTCGTTCTCGAGTGCTTCCAGAAAAGAAGACTCCCACTCCTTTATTGTTGCCGACCAGTGCCAAACCTCGATCTGATTGAGTTGCGACCCACCAAGAACGGTTTCGCCCTCTGCTACTACAACTTGGTGCACATTGGGTTCCGAGGTTCCGGCAGATGCACGCCTTAAAGCACTGGACAGTGTTTGAACCACTCTGGAAATGTCCACTCTGTCTACGACCTTCGGTTTTAACATTCTACGGATGAGGTCCAGAATCTTTTTCAGGAACGCTTTGCTTTCTTCACTGTTGTGTCTCGATCCAGCATGTCGGTTCTCAAGATCTTCCATAAAATCTTGAATCTCTTTTTTGACGACATACTCTCCATCTGGTGAGTACTGACAAAAGAACCGTTCATCAGTGTGTTTTGACCAGGCTGGCATGGCTCGACGCGCTTGATCTAATCCATTGAGATCATGAGAGCTCTTCAGTCCGGCATAACCGTGAACCAGAAAGGCGGTAACTTCCAGCATGATACATCCCAGGGACCAGATATCGTAAGCACGTCCAGACTCTGCATCCTGATCTTCGATCTCGGGTGGTGCGTAAGCATCGGTACCAAAATGACCAGGCACACGGGGGGTTGCGCCGCGTCGACGCTGCGTGAGCGCCGCTTGACCAAAATCTGTGATCACCCAGTTGCCATGTTCGTTTTCCACGAGGATGTTGTCTGGTTTTAGATCGAAATGGATGCATAGGCGTTCTGGGACATTCGTAACCCCCCTACTATCGGCTTCATTACCAAATCCTTGGAATTTCTTCAGTGCATTGGCAATCCCAAGCAGCTGCTTCCACGCGTCAGATAGCTCCAGCTTAGCGCCTCTTTTCTCTCCATATCGGAACGCTGGATCGCGGAGGAGGTGATCTAAGTTGGTCCAAGCTTTTGGGAAGATGAGATGAATACTCTCGCCGTGACCATACGCTTTGATCAACTTCACTATATGGTCATCATTGAACCGCTGGACGTGAACGATGTTAGAACGCTCTAGGTACGCTGACGCGTCAGAGGTTTCGATTTTCTTCCTGGCAAACTCGGTATATGCATTGGTATCCTACATCCGTTAGCGTTGTCCATAATAGTGGCTCCGATGTGTTAGACTCACTCGAAACTTACAATACTCCGGATGTATCTTGAAAGCAAACACCTTGCCATTCGCTCCTTCGGACGTCCAGTGGCCATCTTCCTCTTTTCTCTTCCCTATCTCCCGTTCTTTCACAAATGGAAGGATTACACTAGCGTCATAGTGTACGAACTTGCCCGAATCCATGTGTGGTACAGCAAACCGCCGAATACTGTCCTCAAACTTTGTGGCGAACCACTCGAACTTTCTCGCATCTGTTTTGTAGCTGCCTGTGTACCGCTGGAGTGTTTCTCGGGAAAACAATGTCGCGTCGGTCGCCCAGGACTCAAGCTTGAAGTCGCTACAGTCTCTGTCCGCAAAACCGATGATGAACAGTGGATGTTCTACAGAAATCAACAGTCCAAAAACACTGAATAGAGTCTTTCTCGAGTCGTATGGGTCGAAGCCTTCTCCTACTATCTCCTTGACATACGTCTCGGGGTCCGTCTGATTACCAAAAAGTCGAACATCCTCTCGACAAGTTTTACAACTACAAGTCAGGATCTGCTTCACTTTCTCTGGCGTAAAATGATCCCGCAGGCGGTCCAAAGGGTAGAAGGAGTTGGCTCCGTTCTTGAGCAGCAAGTGATCCATCTCATGACGCGCATCTGTGCACGTCTCCGGCATCTTGGAGGACTCAGCGGATTGTGTCAATCAATACCAAGACGGGATCGCTGGCCGGTGGAGGCAATAAAGTTCATTTGCTATCGAAGGCTAAGAACAGTGACGCTGATCCAGAATTTGTACAGTGGCTCTCGAAACGATGGCTAGGAAATGAACGAAACAAGAGGCGGGAGTGCAAAGCACAAGACTAGCATTACCACCATGCAAAGGACGAGCAATCTATCTGCCTACAGCAACGCACGAGAATGAGGCAACGAGGCTGAGAGCTCGAGGTCGGGCACAAGCACATGCACGTGGTCTTATCAATATGCGCAGTTCCAATCGTCTGCAGAGCCAAGCAATCTCGCCAATAGGCAGCAAATGCCTTTTACTCAGAGCGGCTAGTCTGCATAGCCTTCTTCGCTGCATGACCGGCTGGATATAGCTTTAGTCTACACCTTCTCGTCCACTTGGCGTAAGCCTCTACGCCACCACCGATTTCCTTTGGAACAATCCAGCAGGAGCCACACCCCGAAGGTAACCACAAGGAGAATGACAGTGAAAATCACAAAGATCCACATCTCAGACGCAAAGTTTAATGAAGCAGGCATGGCGTTTGAGTTGATCGTGAGGTATCCCATACTCAGAAATTGCTAAATTGTGTCAGTCTATCCAGCATGTTGTTGTCATCAGTCTGGTACATACTGAAACGAATGACGCCGGAAGATAAATGGACGTCAACCAAGTGATCTTCTTGAGTGTGGAAGCGTCCTTTTGCGACTTCGCCGTTAGTTCGACCATATTCTTTGTATCAATGTCGGCTAGTTTAGCCATCTCTATCGAATTCTCAGCACTCGTCCTTAGCGCATCCAGTCCACGGAAAGAAATGATGTTCTGCATCTATATGTTGGTCAGCGGTAGATCTGCGCGCATGGTGGAGCATACACACAAGACTCGATCCGCTCCTCGCACGTTCGAGCAAATTATCTACACGAGACAATTGCAATGCCAGCTCTCCCATGAACAAACCTGCGTCGGCGCTCCTGAGAACGTCATTTTTCGCGCTTGAGCAAATACTGATATTGGAACTCAGTATGTACTTCGCAGCGTTCATACGGTCATGAATAACTTGGACATCTTGGAAGTCCGAGTACTCTATCGTCAAGACTGGCATCTTCTCGAGTTTTCTACGACCTTCTACTCGAGATACGTGCGCTTTCGTTATCTTTGTCCATGTCAGCAAAGCCAGCTGTCTGTGCTTATTGAACAACTTACCAAGTCATTCAATTTGGACTCCCAGAAGGTTAGATACCACCTCCATTGCCAAGTGGAATGAGAGAGAACGAGATTATGTACATCTCGCGATGACGACTCATGCCCAATTCTCGACTGTGCGTTCTTCAACCGTAGCTGCAAGGACATTGTTGGATTGAGTAGTATAAACGTCTCGTTTCCAGTGGCCAAATTGTGTTGGTGGTAAACACCAGTTTGACGGATGGACCAAGGTTCTTCGGAGTCGTCACGTCCATGCTTCTCAACATTCTTGAGGAGGTAGCATCGCTCTGGAGGTCATGAGCACTCGATGCTGATCGATCAGTTTGCCTGCTTGACACTTACCGGAAACGTTGTTGTTCTGCCAACTGTAACATCCACCAAGCGAATCGCTCCATTCCGTCGAAGACGTCCCAAATGCGCAGACTACATCAGTGAAAGCTGGGAAAATGTTGAAATGGCGAATGAGGTTACGCAGAGCTTTCTCGGAAATGGTCAGGTAATCCCAAGAGTAATCTTGTGGAATGAGTCTGGTCGCGTCAGCTCAAGATGATAAGTCGACAACGCGGCAACTCGCATTATTCGTGTGCCTTGAAATTCGGTCGATTCCAAGTACTCGTCGAGGTCGCCAGCGTTCTTGAAAAATCGGTCTCCAACGCCGACTTCGATCAATTTGATCTGAACCTGCTCGTCTGCTACAAATACTCGTTTCGTATTTTCGTTCAAGAGATGCTCAAAATGACTTGTGTCAAAAACATATGGATCGCAAAGCAGTTCCGTCCAGGACATCATACCGAATGCAAGAGTATAGGTAAGCAGCGAATTGAAGAAGATTGGATGCAAGACGAATTTGGATTAAAGCGACTCAATTATAAAGTGAAGCATACCAAGACTTCGATTCAAATGGTCAGCCCACCAGTGTGCAGCAGCCACAACATTTAGCGCGCGACAAGGGCGCAGCCTGCTCAGGCTACATTACTGCTGCGCCTTTCACATCTCTGCGACACTTCTCAACGGCCCCATATTCTGCATCGCTATGCGAACAAGCTTTGGTTTGGGGATACCTGGTCGCTGTAACTGCTCCTTTGTAGCTGGTCAAGCTCGTCCTTGCATTCGTCAGTTATTCGACTAGAACGAAAACGATAGGCCATGCATGCGACGTACATGGGTCAACTTCCGCAAGGCTGTGAACGTTATCCTGTTGTTTCGAGTGATCTATATGCGAGTGAGCGATTTGCTGGATGAGATGATCTGGACGAGTATAATACTTCGTATCTCCACTCGCGACCGAACTCTTCAATTTTGGAATTCACGTAATTCTCGAGCTTGACTTTTCGAATGTATCTTGATGGGGTCAGTTGCATCTCGCTCAAAGACAACTTCGCCTGCACACCTTGAACTGATCACCTGTATATCGTATTTCTCGGCCGATGAGTCTGCCATGGTAATGCGCGTGGTCCGCAGAATAAGCCTGGGCGAAATCGAGACAATGTGGCTATCAATACTCGACTGACTTTGCTTTTAAGCAGATGCAGGACAATTGGTGGAGCCTGATGTGGAGGACAAGTGAGTCAGTACAGGTGAGGGATCATACGTGTGGCTGATAGTTGCCTACTCACGTTGGGCACAGTGGGGCAGAATCCGTGTGTGCAAGGCAAATGATGAAGGCAGTGCTTGGTGGGGGCTGAGTTCGCGGCAGGCCCTGGGAACGTGGAACACATGTGAGTGGCCCCCGTATTTCCGCATACAGTTCAAGACTTGCTCATAAACCCAGGCTGTGTCTTGGGTCATCTGAGCCTGCATCTGTTTCAAAGCAAAGCCTGATAGCATGCTGTTCAAAGGCATGACCTCAGCACTCTATTGTGTTTAGGATTACTTCCCTGACCACCAACCCTTAATCGAAGGATAAAACCATGTCAGCCTCGCCGTCCAACCAGCTTCTGTCACCAGATAGTTACAAGCTAAATCGATTTTCTCGTCGGCCTGTCGCGAACGCCTCCTCGACTCGTTCAAAATCAGCCCCAGGTTCACGGGATGAAACACCTCGAGGGCGACACAGCCCGCATCCAAGTACACCCCTACACTCTTTTGATTCTTCTTCGCAGACAACAGCCACATCTACGGGAGCAATCAAGACAAACGCCAACTTGCACGTTGCGAATGCTCCCCAAGTCAATCAAGTCAACACCAATGCCCGTACCGATTCAAACCCTACCAGTGATGCTTCACGTGGGGTTGATCTCGGCGACTGGGATGAGAGGCAGGTAGTAGTGCCTCGAACCAACCTCACTGTTTTAGATGTTGCAGCTTTGATACTGAACAAACAGGTCTGTGAACCCTGTAATATGTGGAATGTTCTTCAGCCTAATACGAACAGATTGGCACAGGCATCTTCACAACCCCAGGGGCAGTCCTACTCTCTACTAGGTCCAAGGGTCTAAGTGTAGGGCTTTGGGCCATTGGAGGCATGTGGACAACACTATTGTGAGTAGCACTTGATCTGCACCAGGATAGATGCTGATGGTCGAAAGCTTGTTTGTCTATCTAGAGTTCGGGAACGCACTACCTTTCAATGGCGGAGAGTTGGTATATGTCAGTTTGTGTCTGTGACATAGAAGCTATGTGAGACTGATACTTGCTGCAGCTAGATGAGATCTACCGCCGCCCCGAACTTCTCGCTACGATTCTATTCTCGGGGTTTTTTCTAACCCTTGCAAACTCATACGGCAATTCTATTCAGTTTGCTAAACATGTTATTATCGCCGCCGTCCCTCGACTAGACAACACTCGTGACCTCGACGATCGCTTGGTTCGTTACCTCGCGGTGTCTGTCGTGACGCTGGTTTGCTTGATTCACTGGCATTCAAGCAGAGCTGGCTTGTTCTTGAACAAACTCGTGGCTTGGTACAAGATAATCCTGCTACTCATCGTCTTCATAGCTGGCATGGTATACAGTGGGAAGGAGGGGAATTCGCATTGGAACGACTCTGCCGACAGAGGGACGACTGACGGTATGACTGGTATGGTGCTGATCTTCTATTCGTACCAAGGATGGGAAAACGCAAACTATGTGAGTGTTCGAGAATTCATTTGACCTTGTACCCTTGACTTACGGTACATGCAGGTTGCTGGCGAGATTCGGGCTCTAGAAGGTCGAACGCCCAAAAGGACTCTCAACATTGGTGCTTTTCTTGGTGTGATTACCGTCTGGATGCTCTACGTGATGGTTAATGTCGCTCTAGTATGTGCTTCTGGAATCCTCGACAAATGCGTTTTCTGATAACCTACTAGTATCGAGTGTTAGACTATGAAACCCTCACCGGACCTAATTCTGATCTCGCTGTTGCTCTTCAGTTCGCACCGCGTGTCTTTGGGGCATCGACGGCTTTCAAGATCTGCATGTCGATCTCAGCTTTTGGGAACGTATTAGCCGTAACATATACCTCCGCCAAAGGTGAGCTTCCATATGCGTCCGTCGGCAATGCTAACATGTGCAATAGTAAAGCAGTCTATCGCCATCCAAAGGATTCTTCCTTTCTGGAAGTATCTGCAACGAGACGAAGATACCCCCAAAGGAGCTTTGTTCTTACATTGGCTCACCTCTGTCATCTTTATCGCTGCGGCCCCCACACACTCCGACGGTTATGCCTTTGCCATTGGCTTGTTCACATATGGCCACATACTGGCTAGTAGTATGTATATCCTCCACTGGCATACCTATCCTGCACCATGACTGACCATACCTCAGCGTTGGTCGCCCTTGGCCTTCCGCTCCTTCAATCACGCATGCGCTCGCATACCCCCAACTACAACTTGAATTTCTTCCACTTCAAACCCCTCCTTTACATCCTTCTTGCCATCTTCGTCCCTGGCAATATCCTTATCCTGATATTTTCCGGCAAGACTACCAACCCAGGTAAGATTCCACGTTGGTGGTGGCCCACCACGATCGTCTTTCTCCTCTTCGTGAGCTTCCTCTGCTGGGCCGCGATACGGATTAGCATGATAGAGATAAGTGTATTAGACAGATCGACTGGTGAGATGAAGACTATTGGGGATTATATCGGGTTCAAAGTGAAGGTGTACCATCTGGACACAGAGGATATGCCGTCAAACATCAAGGGCTCTATTGTGGAAGCTTTTGCTGCGAAGATTGATGGATCGCAGCGAAGAATACAGGTCAAGACAAGTGGATGGTGGGCGAACTGGGGAACGCGTTATGACAAGACGAAGGATTTGCTGGGGAAGTACTTGTTCTGAGAAAAAGATACTTTGATTTTCTGGGCTGTCATTATTTAATTTCGGCGGTCACTATTCGGTGTAGTCAAAATTCTGTTCAGTGTAGCGATGACCGTCACTAAGGTGTAGAAATATTCAGCAGCAACCCTTGCGCAGGCAGTATTACAACTGTTTAGAGGGCAAACATTTTGCCTAAAATGCTACAATTTCTTGGATTAGTAAGGCAGAGATATTAGGCGCAATAAAAGTGTTGCAACGAGACTGCGTTAGCAGCTGCAGCAGGAGTTCTAACAAATAAGCTACTCAGCCCCTTCCGGTTTCGTCGAAAAAGTTCAAGAACTCTGCACGGCCGGATTTTTCAAATACCGAGCTTGCGAGCCGGTAAGGGCCGAGTAATGTTTTAGAATTTTAAAGTTCCTACTGGCGCTTAGGGAACAGCGGGCAACAGGGGCTAAGCAAATTGCCAAGTGCTAAACCTTTCTATCTAGCATACTATAGATGAAAAGCTTGTTTGTACGCCTCAGTGACGGGCATTGCTACACCAAATAGAATCTTGACTACGCCGAATAACGCGCGCCTTCATTTGATACTTGAAATGTATAGCAAAGCTCAACAGTTGTCCTCGTAGCCACTGTGAGACTCTGTACGAACGTTTCTCTGGGCATGGCTTGACCCGAATACATGTTTCATGGATAGTTAAGTGCTCAAAAACTCTCCAACATGCGCGAAGTACGCGTAACCAGGACGCGTAAACCCTGTTGTAGGATTCTGTGACGCCCGCATATAAAGTGTTGCATGCTCATACCGACTTACTTCTGCTCTTGGACGAGATTTCGTTCGATACTCACAACCTGCGTACGCCCACCTTTTCCTTGTACTTACTCGCCCAGACGCCCCCTTTTTGACGACCTTTTCGAGCGATAGTGGCGCCGTTTGTTGGCTTGCAAGCGGAATGGCACCTGTGTTTCAAAAACAATCTGGTGTTTTTCGACATGCTGTCGAAGGGAAGACCTCAAGAGTCAAAGGACGCGGTCTAGCCATGCGCCGCTCATTTGCTTTTTGTGGCAAGGGCGCGACGTTGGTGGCGGCCCCCGACGAACCGGGAGTTTGGGAAATCCGAGTGGCAGCCGGCTGTCACCCAAACCTTATTCCATATTGTACCTAAACGCTCATCCATCACCACTACCGCAACTCCACATCACTCCATCAAGATTCGGAGCACCCACTTATCATCATACCTCGCAAGCAACATTGGATATCGGAGTTACGTGCTTACCGCTCTGTCCAGAAGCGGCATCTTGAAACACGCCCGACGTCAAGTCCAATCTCGCGTCCCGCGCAGGGCTGCGGCATGCCGGAATATCTCGACTCCGCCATCCACTGTCAGACATGTCATTTCTCTACCCTCCACAATTATGGGGGTAGGATTCCAGTCTCGGGAATTCTTGCAGTCTTTCTACACGCTGTTGCGGCGCCTACAGGTCTATGACTTCTGGGCGGCAACTGTGCCTTATCTTCCAACCGCTACTAATCACGGAACAGATGACCGAGTGATTCAGTAGAACTGACGCCCGACAGTGTTTGAAGTTTGCCAGTGTTTCGATCAACCGGAGGGTCTCGACCTCGGACGATGGTTGCCCTGGTCGGACATCACGCGTTCTGAATCGCCGTTGGACGGGATTCATTCTCGAACAGATCGTAAACAGGGGCGTGTATTCATGTTCTTGTTCCCCGAATCAGTATCTGGGATCTGGTCACGACTCAAGCTCCACTCTTTGAGATCACGCCAACCTCGTTACAACGGGGAACAGCCGCTCAACGGCGCCTCTAGCCTCTTCGCGGCGGTGGCCGCTCTCAAAATGAGATAGGCGGCGCTCTTCTCTGACCGCCACAAGCCCAGGCGTTGCTTCAGTCGGGACGCCGTGCATACAGGCAATCACCAAGCGAGATGGGAGGCATCTGGTACCTGCATGAAGAGGGTATAAAACTCCCAAGTCACCCATTGTGAAAAGGGCACGCTTGAAGCTCACATTCATTTTTCAGTCACTCATTTACTGACCTTTGCCTTCTACATCTTCATTTTTGTCGTTCTTCACATATATCACTCTTTACAGTCAAACACTTGCTCAATTTCGAATTCAAAATGAAGGCCTCTACCGTTCTCGCTCTGGCAGTCGCTGGTGGTGCTCAGTTCGCCGCCGCGCACACCACCGTCTGGAACGTTCTCGTTAACGGCAAGGACCAAGGTGTTGGAAACACCCAGGGTGGATACATCGACTCTCCTCCCAACAACAACCCCGTCAAGGATGTCTCCTCCCAGGATGTCCAGTGCAATGTCGCAAACATCAAGGCTACGCGATCAGTGACTGTTGCTGGTGGTGATGAGGTCATTGTCCAGTGGCACCACGACTCCAACTCGGCTTCCGACGACATCATTGACCCATCCCACAAGGGCCCCATCCTCAACTACATCTCCAAGGCTGGCTCGTCCATGTCCTGGACCAAGATCTCGCAGGACGGCTATGATGGCAGCGAGTGGGCTATCTCCAAGCTCCAGACCGGAGCCTACACTGGAACTCCTGGCCAGCACAAGGTCAAGATCCCCAACCTTGTCCCCGGTGACTACGTCCTCCGCCCTGAGCTCATCGCTCTTCACGAGGGTGACCGCATCGGTGGTGCTCAGCTTTACATGGAATGCATTCACCTCAAGGTGACCGGCAGCGGCACTGCTGCCCTGCCCGCTGGTGTCAGCTTCCCAGGAGCGTACAAGGACACTGACGCTGGTATCCACTTCGATATCTACAACGGCTTCACCAGCTACCCTCTGCCCGGCCCTGCCGTCTGGAACGGTGCCAGCAGCGGTGCCGCCCCTGCTCCCGTCACCACCAAGGCCCCGGCCGCGACCCAGGCTCCTGCCACAACCGCTAAGCCCGTCACCACTGCTAAGCCTGTCACCACCGCTAAGCCCGTCGCCGTTGTCACCAAGACCACACTCGCAACTATCGCTAAGCCTACTGCTACCGCCGCCGCCGGTGGTGCGACCGCCCAGAAGTACGGACAGTGCGGTGGACAGGGCTTCACTGGAGCCACAGCCTGCCCCTCCGGCTGGACCTGCAAGGTCAGCAACCCTTACTACTCCCAGTGCATCCAGTAAGTATCTGTCAGGAATGACTGATGTGCTGAGACACTTTGTGCTCAAAGGATCATGTGTTGTATGATCTAGTGTTGCAGGTCTTCTTTTCTTTTCGCATATTTAGAGCATATAGTGTTTACTGCTTAGTGGGCTTGCCCGCGACAAGCGCCAGCGGCTTTCATAGTTGCTATTTCGATTCTCTTGTACATAGCATGTATTACGACAAATGGAGTCTAGACAAAAAGTCATTGCTTCATTGTTTACTTTTGCATCCCCCTTTTACTTTTGTGCATGTTTGCAAGTGATTTCATCTTTTACTGTTCGATATCAGCCGTCGCTGTCGCGAAGAGCGCTTACGAGGAACAATGAACCCGGGTTAAGAAAAGAACCCCAACCAAATCACGCAAAATCGTCGGGGGCATCAAAACATACCTGCTCTGGAGCGACCATACGAAACACCGAAAAGGGTTGAATTCCGCTATTATTGGTAGATATAAAGAAAAAAGCTGGTGCTGGATTCTCTCGACGTTATTCTTTTGCTCCAATCCTCTCAGCACTGCTCACACCTACCCCAGAAAGGTAGAGAGTTTCAATATGCGTTCTTTTCTTTTGGAACCGCGTGGATACTCACACGGTCATACCTCCGCGGTCTCAACTACATCCTGATGCTTTCAGCTGACTATTGAGAACATGTGGATAGGTGTGTGCTCCACACGTGACCAACGTCATCGGATCCAAAACACGTGGCATAGCGTGCTCGCAGACAGCGTGCGTGGCGCAATGTTAGTCGAAATAGCCGTGCTAGTAAGTCCTCAACAAAGCAATAAGATCACAACAACAAATACTGCATACATAGCAACGTGGGCCCTTTGCCTGGAATCGGTAAACTCCACAAGTTTTGACAACAACCCAGCGTTGCGTTGTTCAAAGATGGCAAGCTTTTCCTGGTAGGTTAAATATGAGCCGGCTCGTGCTCGCCCCCTGGACCCTGATTCACTTTCATTTGACGTTCCGAAGCCGAAACTCGGGATCTAGTCCGCGACAGATGATAGTCACCATCTCAACATTTCACTTGTTCTTCTATTTCTTCTTCTTCTCTTCCCCACCCTTTCTCCGCACTCAGGATTGATGAGAGCTCATAAACCGCCGTCATGATACGCACCTCTTGCGCCTGGGCCCGCGTGAGTTCACGGCGCACTGCGAACACACTTTCTCGAAACTCGAATACCCATACTGGCGCACGCTTCCCAGCCTCTCCTTCACATGTTGTCCGTCGACACCACGCGTCGCATCCCCCTGTGGGCCACAAAGCGCCGGACTCGACTAAGACGATTCCTGGACCTAGCTGGTTGTGGCTCGAACCTATCTATGGACCTTTCCGTGCCTATGGGCGCGTGCAGCAGAGGAGCCCCTACCGGACGCAGTTCATCTCATCGTTGGTGATATACTTTGTGGGCGACTTGGTCGCGCAGAGTCTTACGTCGTCACCTAAGGAGGAGGTGGTTGCGCAAGCAGACGAAGAGGTCGAGGAAAGGGGCTGGATGCAGGAATGGAGCGACAATCGCGACTGGCATCGCACTGGACGCGCTCTTATAATAGGGGGTATCTCGAGTATCCCAAGTTACAAGTGGTTCCTTTGGCTGGGAAATAACTTCAACTATTCCTCGAAGATATTGTCTTTGACGACAAAGGTAAGTTCTCCTCATCTCTGTTCGAGAGCGCATGCTGATGATAATAGGTCCTGGTCAACCAAGTCTTCTTCACCCCACTCTTCAACTCGTACTTCTTCGGCATGCAGACCCTCCTGGTTGGCGCAACCCTCCCCGAGATCATCGAGCGCATCAAAAACACCGTCCCTACGAGTTGGATCAACAGCTGCAAACTCTGGCCCGCTGTCACAGCCTTCAGCTTCACATACATACCCACACAATACCGAAGCATCTTTGGCGGCGTTATCGCTATTGGGTGGCAGACGTATTTGAGTTTGCTGAACCAAAGGGCTGCTGCTGTGGAGGAGGTCGAGCATGTCGCCGAACACAAAGCCTCGGCACCTGCGCGAATCATGGAGAGGCGCCAAGAGCGCGAGCCAGACCGGCAGAAGTGTGCTGTTTAGTTGGAGAGGGAGAAGTTCGCATTGAATACGGCGTCTGGGAGTTTTCTTTTTTGCTTGCCGACTGAGCATTGCATATTTTCCGATAACACCATAGGCTTTGACAGCCAATTTCTTTTGTTAAGCCGATATACATTGGGAATGGGTGGGATGCATAGCAGACTGGCGTTTGTTGCTGAGTTTTGGGGCAACTTCTTTTCTTTCTGTTAACATTTTCTCGACATACAACCATCAATTCTTATTATAAATTCCACCGCTCTAAGTCACTCGCACACCTCTTTGCTTTCCAATTGCTCCGATTTGACTCGAATACCTCTTACCCCACATGGGCCCAAGCCGATTTTTGGCCGAGGACATATACTGGCTTCATCACATGAACGTCATATGTGGACAACATAGACCGAGAGTCCCACAAATCCCGCGGCCAGCGTTCTGAACTCTCTTAAATAGGCAGCATTCTTTCTAAACAGAAGGAAGAGCTCATATATTTGGACCTAGCGTCTGTGGACTACACGTTCTCCCTGATGGAAAACATCAGTTCTTATTTGAGCGCGTCCTGACACAGACACTCTCTTGCTTTGGAATGTAATGAATGACAATTGTTACAAATACGTCGTGGGAAACTTGCAGTGTCTTTGTCGTCTTCAGATGTCTTCCTAGACCTTGCATGAAGTTGACCTCCGTACACTAGCTCTATGCCGTCCTTAACTCGTAGAATACCAGACGTTCACGACGGCTTTTGGACGCTTCCTGCAGCTATTTACTTTGGCAATGACCACTTCACAGCACACTGCGAACGAGGAAGCCGAAGAATAACTCAATAACTATCTGTCAGTCAAGCATTAACGAAGCGTTTGCTGCTGGTGGGGCGTGTATCACGACTTCTGGCTGGACGATTTACACCTTCACACTTTGCTCACACGGTGGCACTACATCATCTCCAAATTTCCATTTTCATAGAGGCATAATGGCGTACCAGGATTCCCGTATTCTATGAAACACCATGCTTCGTCTCGACATGTTCTCCGAATGTCCCCATTTTAGTTCGTTCCACTGCACGCCTCGCACTTCCTCTCTACATCCCGATACAAAGTCTCATCCAACTCTTCCAACTTCCCCGAACACCTCGCACCACGATGGCACGCGTCCTGACATCCCTCGACAGTCGTGTCGTTGTGCGTCGGCCATTCCGTGTCAAGGTTTGCTTGTTTAGCATCTTCTGCCGGGCTGGGGCGCTGGTAGCCGGCAGGGTGGAGGGGAGACGTGTGAGTGGGGTTGCAGGAGTAGCGGGTTAGGCGGAGGTAGCACATATTCGGTGTCTTTGGGGGATTGTTGGGAGAGTAGTTGAGTGATGGGGTTGAGGGCCTGAGTAACGAGTGTGAGAGCTTGGGGCTTGAGGATATATATGGAAGGAGAGGACGTGAAGGTGGGACATAGTGTATCTTGAATGTGAATGAGCATTATGGAAACGGGATTGGGTTGTGAAGGTGATCGAATCAAAGCGCGTCGATTGATGTCTGATTACAACAATGAACCACAGGTATTTCACTCACTTGTACTAGATTGAAGACAAAGAGCAAGACTGCGCGAAGCGATCGCGTTGATATTCGGAAATCAAAACACAAGTTTACCTAGATACTGCCTGAACGCCGACGCAGGGCAGTGCAAATTCCCAACCTTTCCTTCAAAATGGTTTTCTGAATCGCACGTTTAGCGAAACTCAGTGATTCATGTACGGTACGCTCTACATCGTGTTCCAAAGAATTGAACGACGCCGCTCCTGTTTGGTGGTAGTAGGCCCACTACCCCTCACGGACTGGCCTGGGCTGGCCACAACACATGTGTTCATCTTGTGACTGCTCTTTTACTTAACAAGAATCGGGGCGGCTTTGCCGGCCTGCCCTGCGGCGATGTTTGCCAGTTTCTGCAGCTTGTCGGCACGGATCTGGCGGAAGTATCTGAATAGGAGGATGAAGGAGAGCTCAATTCTGCGTGAGAAGTCAGTAAAAGCTTATAGACAGCGAAGAAGCTGGACGTACCTCTCCTTGGTCATCATGAGGAACCCTTGCACAAGCAATCCCTTCAAGATCTGGGGTCCGATGCCCTTGAAGAGTCCCCATGGGCCTTCGTGTTGGATGATGTATTGCATGACTTCTGTGAAGGATTTGAATGGCACGCCATTCCTCACTGGTGGTGGCTTCGATTGAAGGCCGACTTTGGCGACGATAAGTGGCTGTGTAGCGATTGTGGCAAGTGTCTTCGACAGCGATCCAAGGACTGACTGAGTTAGCAACATGGTTCTCAAACTATGACATGAAGTAACATACGGAACGCTTGGGCAGGCTTTAGTGTCTTTTGACCAGGGTACAGCGACTCTCGCAATCGCTGGTAAGCGCCGTACGTGATGGACGGGTTGATGACAAGCACCAGACTTGCTCTCAGACCTCGCCAGAGACCTGTCCACCCATCCTCGCTGTTGACAACGTCCATGGCTGTAGCCATCATGCCTTTGCGATCCGCCTTTGCCATGGTCTGTTGTCGCGTGGTCACGACAGCCACAGGAATCGTGAAGAGCTGGGCGAGCGCTCCAGCTACGGCTCCCAACGACAGTTCGGCCGCCGTGCTAGGAGACCCTGTGATACTACGGTTGGCCACATACAAACTGCGAACAACAGTATACCAGTAAAAGTAGGCAAAATTGGTAGATGCGACACCAAGCAGTGAGCCGAACATGCCAGTGTAGAGTCCCGCGATACCCTCATTTGCTACTACTTTCTGTAACGCATCTAGTGCGCCATCGTAATGCTCGCCGTCAGCGGGGTTCGCGTCGTTTGAGGTTTGGGTGCGCTTGATTTGGACTTGGAGTCGCGTCTTGATCCTGCTCGGCGATTAGCTCGGATCCTATGCGTCCAGCACAGATGGCGTCGCAACGACAGCTTACAAGTCTAGAGGGTACACAAGCGTGTTCGCGATAACAGCACCAGCAGCGCCTGCAACAGCGTTACCCCATGGAGGCAACGCGTCAACCTTGGAGTGTCCAGCCATTATACGGTTGTTCGACTTGAAGGCGGAGTGGGAATGATGCCAATAGCTTCTGTAGCCGGCGGGAGTGTATGTTATTATCAGTTAGGGCTGTGCAGCGTACTATTTCATGGTCAGGACGAATAGGATGTTTAAACTATCAGACGCTACGAGACACACGGCAGTCTGAGGGAGGAGAAAACGGCTCCTGGACTGATGCTGGACAGTCGTTCGCTCCCGATAGCGCAATCAACCACAACCGAGGCCGAGGTTGTTCAGAAGCCATGCCTGCAGTAGCCTATGACGTCTGCCCGCCCATGCGATTTGACTGCCATCTCTCTCGCCGTCCTGCATCTTGTGTGGGATGAATGAACTGGTCTGTTGGGATCAGAAGACTCGAGTTGCGTCCCGTCGTAGCTGTCATGGGTAGCTGGACAACCGTCCGAGGTAGTCGCGAAGCAGCTTGACGCACGTGATCTTATCGATCGCCTCGTACCAAACACAAGCTGTGCCCTAGCCTCGACCACAACGTCTGCCTCACTATGGCACGCAATATGTAATGCTGCTACACATCAGCCATCTTGATCAGCTCTTCACTCCGTAGCGCTCGCTCGGCACCACTCACCATGGATACAGCGGCCCAATTTGAAGCGTGCAAAGCTGCGGCAAGTGTACGTGACACTGGCATCGCAGCTCAGGATCCAATCACGTTTTTAGCTTTCCTTACTCTCCACTTACACGATTGACAGAACTATCGCTCGCAGTTACAGACTGCCACGACCAAGGATGAGGCGCTCACGTCTGCGATTGGTGTCGCTGAAAATCTCATGAAGGCGCTCAAGCTGTCCTCAAGTGTAGAGGAGAAGAAACAGCTAAAGGCGCAATGCGCTGTCATTATGGATGTTGCAGATCGCATCAAAAATGCGAAAGAGTGGACTCCATTAACCAAGCGGCAACCTGAGAAAACTAAGCACGAGCAAATTGGTCAATGGGCAGTGAACGTTGCAAATACAGCTCAGTCTGCCGTTACCTCTGAAGACGCGACTTCCCAGTCAAACTCCTCCTATCGCGGTCTCTCTTCAACTACTTTGCCCGTAGAACACGTTTTTGAAGTGTCGGGTAAATCATCAGCATCTTCGGCCTTCCTTGCTCAACGCGAACGCGCCAATGCATCAAAACAGCCAAAGAACGATACCCCTGACGGGTCTGCGTTGCTCACCGATCTCTCCCACCAACAGTCACCCTCTTCGTACAATGGCATATCGAGTCCGCCTGCTAACATCCGTGACCAAACTGGAACCCAGATTACGGGCGAGCATACATTTATCACTAGAACACCGCCTATTACATCACCCGAAGCACTCCCATCACTAGCAGCTACAGCATCTGGCTTGAGACAGGGCCGATTTGACGAGCAAGCAGCACCTAAACCTCCTTCGACTACTTCATACTCTCATGTTCGTAAGCTGGCAGAGCCCATCTCGTCCCGCAAACGTTCTAAGAAGGAGGATATCATCCTGCTGAAGGCATCAGTGGTCAATGGCTTCAAGTGTCCGCCTTGGGACAAGAACCCGTCACCAAATGAGTTCGCGCTACAAGAAGGAGTTAAACTGTATACGTAAGTTATTTACAAGACGCAAGATGTCTCTTTCTAATAGCAGCAGCGACACACGAGAACTCAGTCTGTCACCGTACCAGCAGCAGTACTTTCAGGGCTGGATGCGTGCCCAGGATGCGATACCGCCACCTTCGATGTTTCCAGAGGGCAGAGTTGGGATAGGGCCACTAATGTCTAGCTCACGCTCGATCGACCTCGTACAGGACGCAGCGGCAGACTGCTCGGTGGTAGCGAGCCTATGCGCCGGAACTGCTCGAGCGGAGCGTGGTCATGATCAGGTCAGTGATCTCAAATACAGTGGCTTCGATACTGACTGCAGTAGATGCTTCCAAACAAACTATATCCTTTTGACAAACAGCTTGGAAAGCCTGTAACTTCGCCTAATGGGAAATACATCGTGCGACTCAATTTCAACGGCTGCTGGAGAAAAGTCGTGATTGACGATAGGTTGCCTGTGTCTAGCACGCATCGGCTGCTCCATGTGTTTGATCGTCGCAATCCGGCATTACTATGGCCCGTGCTACTCGAGAAAGCGTACCTCAAGGTCCGTGGAGGTTACGACTTTCCTGGCAGCAATTCGTGTAGTGATTTATGGACATTTACAGGCTGGATACCGGAGCAGATATTCTTACAGGAGTAGGTGTGATTCTGTTTCTGCGACGCATTCGGCAGGCTGACTTTTCGTAGGACGGATACGGTCCCTACCCAATTGTGGGACCGCATGTACAGGGCTTTTCTCTACGGCGACGTCCTTGTTACTGCTGGTACCGGCAAGATGTCCACTAAGCAGGAGCGTGAATTCGGTCTTGAAGGCCAGCACAGTTACGTTGTGTTAGATATGAGAGAGACAGATCACGACCGCCTTTTACTCGTCAAGAATCCATGGGTGGAGGGCAAGGGGTGGCGTGGACCACGTCCAGCTGCAGTATCCGTTCTCGGTTCGTCCACAAGTAGCGGGGACTCCAAGAATAGTCTGGAAACCTATCATCGAGACAGCGTACCGACTCAAAATCGCCCGCATCCTGCCACATTCTGGATCGGACTTGAGCAGGTCATACAACACTTTGAGAGCCTGTACCTAAACTGGAACCCTGGCTTGTTTCGATATCGACAGGACATCCAGTTTGAGTGGACAGTGAATACTCAACAGTCACTTGGTGGGTGCATTGTCAATCACCCACAGTTTGCGTTTTCTTCAAAACGCGCCGATCTCGTTTGGTTTTTACTGAGCCGTCATTTCCGGGACGCACCCGCAGATACCAAAGACGCTTCCGATGCTTTCAACGATGGGAGCGTTCGCGCTGATTCTCAAATGAACTCGTCGGGGGAGTCACCAAAAGGATACATGAGCGTGTATGTGTGTAACGGAAACGGCGAACGCCTATACATCAAAGACACCTACCTAGAGTCCAGCGATTATGTGACGACTCCACAGTGTCTCCTCCGGTGGGACATTGATGCAAACTCAACCCACACGGTTGTGATTGACCAGGACAATCTACCTCCGTCATCATATACCTTCTCCTTGTCGGCATTCTCGAACTCGCCCATCACACTGGAACCAGCCATGCAGAAGTATCCGTTGCAAAAGGTTGAGAAGGGAGCTTGGACACGACAATCAGCTGGTGGAAGCACTAGCTCCTCGAGATATTTCGAGAATCCGCAATATACACTCGAGGTTCGCGAGCGCGGTTCACTTGCAATCTTACTTACCAGCACGAACCACGAACACCCGCTACATGTCAAGCTTGCGCTCGGGCACGGCAAGAGACTGTCTCGACTTCAGAATCGCGACGTCATGGTGGACTCTGGTGATCATCGCAGCGGCTGTGCGTTTGCGGAGATGAAGGATCTTCAGCCAGGCCTGTATACGATCATTTGCTCGCTGTTTGAGGCTGGGCAAACTGGCGATTATACACTCAGGATCGACAGCACCAATGAGATAGGGTTGAAACAGATTCCTCGCGACGGAGCAGGGCTGTTATCGATGAAGCTGAACTCGGCTTGCTTTGGGCCCAACATACACAAAATCGCTGCGCCACTTGTTCCTCACCGTTTAGCCTCATACACGATCATTGCCAGATTCTCAAAGGCAACAAGCCCTCGCTCAGCGGACCTGGGGATGCTCGCTCGTAGTCCATTACGGCTTAGCGTAGAACTGGGACGGGGCCCAGAGCGGAAATTCGTGATTGCCAGTGAGCGTGGAGAATATGCCGACTCGGCAACGGTTCGGTCCGAGAGTGTGAATATAGAACCCGGATTGGGAGGTGATCTTTGGCTTGTTCTTGACAGATTGTCAGGACCTGGTGGCCCCGTGGAGGAGTGGTATGACGTGGAGATGTACCTGGATACGCCTCAAGCATGTACAGTTGGTGTTTGGCGGAATTGGGATGACTAGTTTAGACGACAGGCTCATGATTCAGCGTTTGCATCTCAGGTGGGACGGCGTTTTGGCAGGTGGCGCGACGATCACAATGGGTATGAGGCGGGGGTTTTGTATCCGGGATTCTTGTACGTAGATAGCTATTCCAGGAAGATGACTCTAGCCACAGGTAGGGGTCGCGTTTCTTGTATGAAGCAGCATGGAGCAGCAGGTATGCTATGACATCAATCCATCTTGTACCGACTCCAAGCGTTGAGGAGAGCGTGAAAGGGTGGTAGGGATGGTCGTGGCGGTGAAACGGGGTCCAATCATGGCGACACGAACCGCGGAGGTGCATGTTGCAGGACTCGTCGATTGCTGCACGTCGGTGTTATTGACGCGTGCAGAAGTGCATGGCTGAATTTTTGACTTGAGGCCACCTACGGGTTTCACAGTTTCAGCCTCTTAAAGTGTGTTGTATATTGGTTATTGTATCAGTCTCTGTGGTTTGTCTGGTACCTCTCGCGCTACCCCGCCGAGTATCCGTTGATAAGGCTCCGCGAGCGCTCGGTCGACGTCAGAGTGCCAAGCGAGCAACTCGAACTCCAACCCGAAGCGCCCTACGCCTCGACGAAGTTCACACTTTTGGCCTCTCTAAATATCCAACCCACGCACCTAGCATGGCAGAGCTGGCCGCCGACAATGCCCGCCCGGGCTCAGCTACCACGTCAGTCACGTCAAGAGCAGCAACGCCGACAAATGCGCCCGTCGAGAAGCCCCCGGACGATAGCTCCAAGTTCAAGACCTTCTTGAGCATTTTGAGGAGGTAATACTGCACTGCGTGGCTGCTGCATACACACACTGAGCTCTGTGCAGGTTTGTTGGCGTCTCCGACCTCGCCGCCGTTCGATTCTCCCTGCCGGCCCAGCTGCTGGAACCCAGACCAAATTTGGGTATGTGAGGGTGGAGTTGTGTCCACGCGATACACGCGCTGTGACGGAATGTCGTCTGACGGCTAGCAGAGTACTGGCACTATCTAGACCGACCCGACACTTTCATTAGGTTAGCACTGCCTGGACGCGAGATCAAATTTGGGGACTGGTGCTGACTGGCGTAGTATCGGTGATTCGGACGATGAACTGGGGCGTATGCTGGGATGCTTGCGCTTCTGGTTCACCAAAGACCTGGTATGGTGCGCCCACGAGATGCGAATATGCACCGCTAACACTGGGGCAGAAATACGTCAAGGGGAAGCCGTGCAAGCCCTACAACTCGACTCTCGGAGAATTCTTCAGGGTATGTATATGTCCTGGCTATGTTAGGTGCAGGCTGACCATTTCAGTGTAACTGGAAAATCGAAGAGACGCACCCAACCTTCAAGACATCCACCTCGGCGCCCTCGAGCAGCGCCAACAGCCTCGCAGGCGACAACAAACCCATCACAGTCTCCTACCTCACCGAGCAAACCTCCCACCACCCTCCTGTATCCGCCTTCTACATCGACTGTCCTGAGAAGGGAGTCAGCGCAAAGGGCTTCGACCAGTTGAGCGCAAAGTTCACGGGTACAAGCGTGCGCGTGCAGCCTGGCTTGCATAACCTAGGCATATTTGTCACGTTGAAAAACCGGGACAATGAGGAGTACCAGCTCACACATCCAGCCGCCTATTTAAGCGGCATCCTGAGAGGTGAGTGGTTGCATTTGTTTGCGCACAGATAATAGACTTACATATATGACAGGTTCTCTCAGCGTTTCCGTCGCTGACTCCTGCTACATAACTTGCCCCAAGACCGGGCTGAAGGCCATTCTAGAGTATCAGGAAGAGGGCTGGCTTGGCCGATCGCAGAACAAGGTTCACGGTGTCATATTCAAATACGATACGAAAAATGACGGTATAACGAAAATCAAGGAAGTGTCAGACAAAGACATACTCGCGCGGATAGAAGGCTGCTGGCAGGACAAAATCTACTACACTCTTGGTAGCAAGCCTTTCAGCAAAGTATCCGTAAGCACCTCATTACCGTCCTTCTGACGCGAAACGAATTAACCGGTCGCAGGATAAGCACCTTATCATCGACCTCAACCCGCTCTTCCCCCTCCCTAAATCTGTACCTCCACTCGACCAGCAACTCTCCAACGAATCCCTCAAGTTCTGGGAAGGCGTTACAAGTGCGATAGTAAACAAGCAATTTGGACTTGCCACAACGCTTAAGCAGGAGATTGAAGAGAAACAGCGTCAGAAAGCTGCAGAACGCAAGACGGCGGATAAAGAGTGGAAACCGCGGTTCTTCACCGGCACTGTAACGCCTGCGGGCAAACCAGATCTCACAAAGGAGGGCGAGGAGGCGTTGAGGGGACTGCACGAGGAGAGATATCAACTGCAGCCTGGTACAGAGAACGGGGCCTTTTGAGGGATATGCGGATACTTGATTACGACACCGTTATGCAGGATGAGAAGACGTTCGCTTGGATAAGGCTGCATGCACTGCATTTGTTGGATAGAGATGGACCACGATCTTGGTTGGAGTTTGGGTGTAGGAACTTGATTTTGGTTACGCATATACCGTCGAGCTTTTGAGAATAGATTTCGATTTATTTACCAGCCCTGGGTCATTTTGCGGCGGACTCAAGACAGGCGGTGAGGCAATTAGGGGGTTGTGAAGCCAATGTTGGTATTGATCTTATCATCATCCGTAAGAGGTAGTCTAGCATTCACGTCGAAAGTCACACCCTTCGACCCCCCTGTGGCTCATTCTCACTCCCTACCTCCTCGCCCTCAACCACATCTTCTGGAGCCTCCATTTGTGCCGCGGAATTCGACGCATCGGCGTTCTCAAGTGTCGATACCACAGCCGTCTTCTTCTCCAACCTCGCATCAACGCTCGCCAAAAGCACATTACAAATCTCCGCCACCACGCCGAGAAGAAGAAAGATGGCAAGAATCTGGCCGAACGTCCACCACCGCTCATCAGCCCCAAGCTCATTCCGGACAATCGTCAGCTCGAGCATCATCACGCCGTACACATTGATCATAATCCACAGCACCATAACGCCCAGTTGGTGCTGACTCGGCAAACACCTCCGCAGCGACCTATTCCTTCTCTTCGGCAGCTGCCCATCCCTAACGCGAATCCTCCCCACAATCCCCTTCGCCATCTCCCCATCCCGCCTCCCCACCACCCCCGTACTCCGCCTCACGCCCACCACCGCGCCAAACACCACAGACACCATCCCGAAAACCACCATCCCAAACGCCGCCGAAACAAGCCCCACAACCATCAGTCCCATAATCGTATACCGAAACACACCATCCGTGGCCCCAACACTGACGAAAAGAACCACATCCCGCGTCTCCGCATTGCACACCGGCCGGCTCCCAAACCGCGGCGCAGTACTCCAGGTATACGCCACGAATGCCACGAACACGCTCTTGATGCCCCACAGCACGTACCGCCGCGCCCGCCCCTTGGGCCCGTAGGTCCCGCGCGCTGTTAGCCCGAAGCCTAGCAGGGAGAGCAAGTGCAGGGCGCAGATTGCGTGGAAGAGGGTCATTTGGGCGCGGGTTGTTTGGTGGATTGCTGTGGAGATGAGGGCGAGGCCTTGGATTTGTAGGGCCGAGTCGAGCGCGTGTTGGAAGTCGTGGGTTGGGGGGTGGGAGGTGGAGGCTCGGAGGTTGGAGGTTAGACTGAGTACGGAGATTGAGGCGCGGATCTGGAGTGGGTGTGTTAGGACAGGATGGGGTGCCTGGAGGGAGGAGGGAGGAGGGCTTACGCCGGTCCGTGTTACGTCGGGTTTGGCTTCTATCACGCGTGGGTTTGTCATGTTTGCGGTTATCGTCGTCGTCGTTGTCGTTGTATCTAGCATAAAAAACTCCCCACTCACTCACTCACTCACTTGATATACATCCTACCCTCCTCCCCAAACAAGAATTCCACCCCAGCTACACACTTACCTCCTCGCACATCATAAGTTTACACGCCCACAGACATGCCCATCAGCAGCTACCACGCCGCCGCAGCCGCGGGCGCTGTGTATAGCACCGTGACCTAGCTCGCACGCGTGATGACGGGGATCTGCGTGTGCATCCAGTACCGGCAGGGCGAGACGCTGCACACCGTGTTTGGAAGGTACAAGTTCGTTGACTTGGAAGTCACAGTCACGGCAGGACGAGATAGTAGCGATGCAGAATACAACCGAGAACATGTTCACGCAAGCGACTAAGCGCTTCGACCAGATTGAGCGGTTTGTTGAGCACAAGGTGCTGAAGCGGGGTTAGCTTTCGCGGGAGTTTCAACGATCTAGTGAATGGAAGTATTAGCTGTTTCTTGGTCCCTTGTGCATGAGAGATGGCGATGAAGTCGTGCGGATTGGATTGTATCACTCGAGTCGGCTGTTATTCGTGACTACTTAAGCCTGGGAGAGTATGGAACAAGGTCTTCCTCCCTACATCGATCCTCCAATGGCACCTGAGCACAGTCATCGCAATGTACTGCTGGGTATATCGTGAGCCTCTACGCTCGTCCATGTTTGATTGCTGTCGAAGATGCTGGGCATGTCTCATTTGCATGCCGATGCTATATCCCCGTCAAACGCCGGATGCCACCTTTTTGCTTCGCCTCATACGGGCTGTGCCGACCGTCAAGTCGTCTTATCATGTCTATCATGTCGCTCATGCGGGCTGCTCATACGCCCTCTTGATAACCCTCGAGAATTCTACAAACACATTAGCACTTGATTACGACAGCTTCACACGGCAGTACTCACGGTCAAAGTTGACGTTCTCCCTCACAACCGTACCCTTGGCCTCGTTGTCCTTGTTGAGAGGAATCTTGATCTTGCCGTCCTCGACGTTCCAGCCACACACGCTCCCAACGAAGTGCTCAAACTCGCTGCCCGAGAGGTTCAACCAGGACTGCAGAATGTTCTCGTCGACCTCGCGCACGGCCTGGCTGGCGGTGGCGGCAATGCGCACGCGCATCAGCTCCTCGAAGCCAGCTACATCGGCAATCAAGTCGGCGTAGAGGTCGTCCGAGTTGAGGGTTTCCCAGAAGGCAGAGTAGTCGGCGCCCTCGAGCAGGTTGCGCAGCTCATTGAGCTTCTGCACAGCTTCCGCTAATGGGGCGTCGCCGGCGGCTGGGTTGTGTGCTGCAGAGGAGAGGGGGGCTAGGACGTGGCTGGGGAGCAGAGAGAGGCCGAGGGAGAAGTCTGGGCCAGGGAAGAAGGTGAGGGCCTTGACGAGGACGTTGGTGATGGTCTCGTCGCGGGCGAGGTGCGGGTTGAACTGGTAGCTGTCGCGTCGCCGTTAGCACAGGACACTGGAGGAGATGGTGGTGAAGTGGATGGGATGAAATGCTTTCAGATAGAGCTAATAATAGACTTCAGCGGGGGAGTGATTCATGCTCCATCCCTCGGGTAATAGGAAACGTTGTGGAACGGATCATCATGTAGCAGCAACAGTCGGCGGGGGTCAGAGGGGGCAGCACGTACAGCTTCAGCAGGGCCAGGTTGGCGTAGCAGTCGTACGTCTGGCTCTCGCACTGCTGCATGACATAGTCCTGGAAGACGCCCGTCGTCTCGGGGTTGTAGCGGTCGAGGCCATCGAGGATGTTCTGGATGTGCTCCGGCCGCTCCGGGGCATAGTCGAAGGGGGCGCCCATGGTGTCGTGGTGGTGGATGGACGTGGTGAAGGGCTCGCCAATTTGTGGGATGTGCGCGTCTTGGCTGCGCACCGCCACGGATTGACGCCACGAATTGACGCCACTGGACCCCGCCGCAACATTTTTTGAGAAAAAGAGACCCCGCCAAACATCCAGATCACCGAATCCTCGCACCAGAGAGAAGCCCGCCAGCATGCCGCCCTACGACAGCGAGTCCTCGGACGAGGGCGACGACTACACCGAGACCAACGTGCTGCTCGGCTACGCGACACCAGACGCCACCGCAGACGCCGTGTCGCATCTTGGAGGCGCGCCCGTACGCAGTCCAGTTCCCCACGGCGCATTCAGCACGCGACGCTAACCGCCGCGACACAGTCCTGGATCGACGGCAAGACAGCCCCCTCGGGCGCCCTGGCAAAGTGCAAAGTGTGCAACGGCCTGCTCAGCCTGCTGCTCGAGCTCAACGGCGACCTGCCCGACCACTTCCCCAGCCACGACCGTCGCCTGTACATCTGGAGCTGCCGCCGTAAGACATGTCGCCGCAAGGACGGCAGCGTGAGGGGCGTGCGTGGCGTGCGCGTCGCCAAAGCGAGCTCCAAGCCGGAGAAGAAGGCGCAGAGGGATGAGCCCAAGCAAGACACGCCCCAGCCCCAGCCCAAGATGGGCGAGTCGCTGTTCGGCGTGAAGAGCGCCTCGACTCCCTCCGCACCCGCGAACCCCTTCGCGAACCCCTTCTCCTCCTCCAGCAACGCCCCCGCCAACCCCTTCGCCCCCGCCTCGACAGCCGCAAGCCCCTTCGCCGCCCCCGTCCAAGTCACGCTGAACGACCAACCACTCCCCAAGCCAGACTCCCCCCTCCCCGAAACCTTCGCCTCGAAACTGCGCATCTCCTCACCCCCCGCCTCGCCCCAGCCCGCGCGCCCCCACGAGCCCTGGCCAACGCCCTCCGCCTTCCCCCCACCCTACCCCTACTACCACCTCGACGCCGAGTACGAAACCCTCGACACGCCCTCAACCCCACAACTCCCCTCGAACGCGCGCCTCGACCTCGACACCGACGGCAGCACCAGCACCGGCGGCGGGAAGGAAGACAAAGAAGTCTTCGAGAGCTCGCACGACAAGACGTTCCAGAAGTTCGCCGACCGCGTCGGCCAGAACCCAGAACAGGTCCTGCGCTACGAGTATAGAGGTAAACCGCTGCTGTACAGCGACTCGGATGCCGTGGGCAGGCTGCTCGCGCCGTACTCGGATAACGCCGCTGGGTCGGCTTCGCATGGGAAGGTTACGACGACGGGCGCGAGGGGCGACGCGGGGATGCCGCGGTGTGTGAATTGCGGTGCTGAGAGGGTGTTTGAGGTACAGCTCACGCCGCATGCCATCACGGAGCTCGAGGCTGACGATATGGGGCTTGATGGGATGGAGTGGGGTGTTATCGTCATGGGGGTTTGCGGTAAGGACTGTAAGCCGAGTGATGTTTCCGAGGGCGAGGTGGGGTATGTGGAGGAGTGGGTTGGTGTGCAGTGGGAGGAGGTGGCGTCCAAGAAATGAGACATACAATACAATACACGTCATATCATCTACTGCACTATCCCCTTACCACCCCGTATCTCCCCCCATCATTCCTCCCCCATACTCACCCCCTCCTCCCCCTCATCTCCTCCGCCCGCCCCTCCACCCTAGCCCTAGCCTCCCCCTCCATCTCCCCCCTAAACCTCCTCTCAAACTCCCCCCTTAACTCCTCCCCCTCCCGCAGCCGCCGCTCCCGATACGCACGATACTTTGCATCCACGCTCCCGCCCCGCGTGATCTGCCGCGTCTTGAGCGTAACCAGCGCTACGATCCAGCCCCCGATTAACACGTACATCAGCGCCTCGATGGCGTGGAACATGATGTGTGCGCCTGGGCCGTGGTGGTAGCGGGGTGGGGAGGTGGAGATCAGGAGGCAGTTGGGGGGGAGTGGGAAGGGGAGGGGGGCTACCATGTTTAGGGGGAGGTCGGGGGGTGGGAGGGCGGTGCGGTGTTGAGGGGTGGCGCGCGTGGGGATTTGGGTGAGCGTCGTGGGTGGTGTGTCGGGGAGGGCGGGGTGGGTGGGCGTCGTGGGTGTTGCTGATGCGGATGTTGTGTTGGGGGCGGGGGTTGCGGAGTGCTGGCTGAACGGGAAGGACGTGGTTTCCTCGAAGAGCATGCTGTGTGGTGGAGATGGAGGCTGGTGTGTGTGTTAGCCGGGCGGGTATAAGCTGGAGGAGTCGTTGGTTGGGAACATACATGGATCGTTCAACGGGTTGGCACACTCTGCTTGGTTGGGCTGTTGGTTATGGTGCTTTTAGATTGTGGTTGTGGTTGTGGCTTGTGGTTGTTGTTGTAACTGGCCAGTTGAGGGTGTCGGACGACATGAATAGATATATATGGCTGCAGGTGCGAGTTGGGCAAGAGACGGACAGAAGTTGAAGGAAGTGCCAGCACGTCGAAGAGAAAGTACTACTGCGAAACAGACAGGAGACGGACAGTGAGCTGGAAAGACCTGCCTGAGTGTAGCATCGTCACTGCAAGATGGATGAACGTCGTTGAACTCACATAGACTAGACACGGTGGAAACAACAAATTCCAACTTGACATAGCACAATTTTCATTCGTGATAATACTCGCACTTCCCAAGTCGAGGTATCGTGAAACGCCAAACGTCCCAACCAGCAAGACGACAACAGCAAGCAAGCAGGGCATTCATCCAGTTACCTTTCTAACACACCCCAAGCAAGATTGAAAAGGAAGACAGACGTCGGGGAATCATGTATAGCAGCAACAACCCACACACCAACCCGCGATTAAAAGTTCTCCTTCCCCCACACAAAACTAAACCCCGGCTCAGACCACTTATTGCACTTGACATGCAACGTAGACCCCAGACCCTTTGGCCCGCAGAAGAACACACCCGCCTCGGCCGGCGAGTGAATCTTGCGGATACACTTGAAGATCATATCCCAGTTAGGGCGGCCGAAGTTAGTAGGTGCGCGGAGGCCAGTGATAGCGTCTTGCTCGCTATTTGCATCGTTGATCATGATATTTGTCGCGTCGTCCGTCTTAATCTTGGCTGTGAGGTACTGCAACATAGCATATTAGCCCAAACCCGCCCCCCGCTTATTGTACAAAGAATGAAGAGGAAACTCACAGTATGTATCTCAATATGCTGCTCCAGATCCTGCGCCTCGATCGCCAGCAGCAACGACCTAAACCACTCAAACGAGCCGAAATCACGACAGATCCAGAAGAAGTAGACTTTGCGCAGGCGCGTGCGGCCCTGCGGGTAGTTCATGCGGTACCAGATGCTCTTCAGGATCGAGGCAAACGGTGTGACGCCGATTCCGGCGCCGACCAGCACGGCGACTTCGAACTTGAATACGTCTTCGGATGCGGAGCCAAAGGGCCCGTCGATGTAGACTCGAGGGAGGATCTGGCGGAGCGCAACTTCCTCGGCGCTTGCCTTGTCGCCCTTTTCTCCACTACCGCCTTTCTTGTCGAGATCGCAGCCTAGCGCTTTGCCGAGCGCTTTGGTGAAGTCGCCGACCATGCGGACGTGCACGGAGATGTAGTCCTCCTCGGGTGCGCTGGTGAGTGTGAAAGGATGATATTGCCAGATAGACACTTCTGGGCAGCACAAGAAGATGTACTTTTGACTGTTAGCACTACGCATTTCATAGACGGAGGATTGAATGATCCCTACCTGACCAGCCCGAGTCTTAGTGTTCTCCTTTTTGATCTGGATCTCACAAACATTGCTGGGGTGATGAATGACCTTGGAGACATATGTTTTGTGTCGGCCTCGAATCTCACGCGAGATACGCTCGGCCAGGTATACGAATCCGCCGTACATCCAGTATTCCCAGAAGACGCCGATGCCATCGCAGAACGGCGCAAAGTCGGGCGTGATCATGCAGAAAGCCCCGTGGATGGACCAGAAGATGAAGAAGACGATGAAGAGGTGGTGCGTGTACCAGAAGCGCTCAAAGTTTGCACGTCGGGGCGCTTCTGCAGCCGTAATCGCAATGGCCATCAGTGCAACCAACATGACGTACCCGCTCCAGCCAGGGCCCGTGGCGAGGTTGGCTAGGATGAAACCCATGAAACCCAGATTGTTGGACGCTGAGAACCTGGCGAGATTGTTCCAGTGGGCGATTGTGTGGACCCATGTGAAGAAGACGATGGACCAAGCGACAAGCTTGTGGAAGGTGATGTTCTTGTCAAAGGGAATGATGTCTCCTAGAGGCGTGAGACGGGCCATGGAAATCAAGTTTCTGCAGACGGGGAAGAGAATGAAAGCCACATCCACGTGTAGGACCAAGGCAGCCGAACGAGCTATGGGAAATGTCAGGCCAAATCTATCTCGTGCTCCGGCCGAGTTGTCCTGAAGATTGTAAGTCAGGATTTTGAAGCTGAAGAGATTAATAGAAGCGCACCTTCAGCCCATAGTTCATCATGCCAAACGTGAACACCATGACGTGTAGTATCAAGAACACAGAGACAAATCTGTTTACGTCAGCTTTGTCACTTGGTGCAGAAGCAGACATCGTACGCCCTCCGGTAGCCTTCGTTGACCATCCACACGTCAAATCTCTCTCTTCGGGTCAACTGCCGCGATCTCTCGTCTGTCAACTCGCCAGACATAAGCATTCGGGTGAGTGGCGGCCATCTCGATCGCTCACGGCCTGTGAGAGTGCTCATGGTGAGAAGTAGGTTTAGTGTAGTAGTGGAAGAAGGTCTCAATTAGGTGCTGTGGTTCTTCAGAGCCTGCTGAAGTGAATAAATTGTACGGTGAATTCAAAGAATGCCCAAGATATCTGCATACTGATTAGACAAGAACCTTTAACAACGTCCAAGTCAACCTACTAGTAAACGTGCCCGCACAGCAGAACGAGAGAAGAAAATGCAATTCAATCAGTCGGCTAAAGAAGCACCGGCATGAAAACAGAAAACTCTCTAAACTTAGAGGGAAACAGATGTCTAAAGGCACGCGAGTGAAGGCACAGCGAAAAGGTGGTACGAGAATACGCAACCGGGACGCGTTAGCAAGACGGCAAACCCTAACAAAAGCATCGAAACGATTGCAGGAGTCGAACGACACTGGCATGTTCACAGTTCAACGCTGCGACACGCTGGGATGTGTCGTCGTCCAGCGCGTATCGCGAGGGCAAGGTGCGGCGTTCTGAGCCGCACGCAACATAGCATCGACGAATGAGAGGCAGCACACGCCCGGGCTATGGCGATGCAAGTGCAGAGGCAGTGCCTTGAAACTCAAAACGTTCTGGTAGTCTGCTTTCGTCGTGTAAAACGGCAGAAGGGGTGTTTGACAGCTGTCGGAGAAGACGGCACTAAGACTCGGAGTGTTTCGGCATGCTTACGCTTACCATCTCCTACTACAACCCAACACACAGACCTGCACGCTGGAGTGCGCAGTTGAATTGTAGGCAAATGCCGAAGGATTCATGCTTGTAGGATCTGTCGGTGAGGCTTGGAGTGACAGCTGTACTGATTTAGCGCATGATCTTCTCGAGCACATTCAGCCTGACTCGACGTAGGATTCATTCTAGTTACATCTATCGCCTAAGCTTCATAATCAAACTCCCTATTCCCAGCCACCGCCGACAAAGTCGACGACACGGCTGGTGATCCACTTAGAGCATCAGGAACCCACCAGACGCAGAAATCGTCTGTCCAGAAACCCATCTCGATTCCTCACTTGCCAACCACGCCACAATCTGGGCGATGTCGTCGTTGGTTCCTACACGATGCTCTACGGCCGTGCTCTTCAGCTGCATATCAACGACCTCCTTGGGAAGCAAATCCAACATATCCGATTTGACAGCACCCGGTGCTACTGCGTTGACCGTGTGTAGTGCATCACCGAGCTCATGTGCCAGGCTTTTCGTCATGCCTTCCATCGCCGCTTTAGACGCTGCATATAGGGAGTATTTGGGAGGCCCGAAATGTGCGCCTACTGAAGATAGATTGATGATTCTGCCCGGTGCTCTCAGATGCGGTACTACGGCCGCGGTCATGAGAAAGGGCCCGCGAACATTGACGTCGAAGGTTTTGGCGTAGTCCTCTGTCGTTGTCTCTTCGATGGGGTTGGCGAACAAAACTCCAGCGTTGTTCACCAGGATGTCGATCTTGTCACCGAATGCTTCTCGTGTCGCCGCCACAATTTTCGCGGGTGCATCAGTTTGGCTGAGATCTGCTTGCACGATTGTGGTTTCACTGCCGTTGTCTAGAGTCGCGACCTGCGAAGCAACATCCTTGGCCAGCTTCTCGCTTTTGGTTGACGTGAAGACAATTGTAACCTGCATCATACATGAGCTATTGGTATCCAGTAGTATGGCCTCGATTGACTTGCCTTTGCACCTCTGCGCGCTAGTTCTAACACTAAACCCGCTCCGATGCCTCGTGATGCGCCAGTGACTATGGCGACCTTATCCTTTAGATTTCGAGGAGTCGAGCTTGTTTGAGAAGCCATATTGTGTAAAGGTGTGGGAGTGGAATTCTGTAGTGTGTGCGAGATGTTGGATTTACAGTTACCTCTACAATTTAGAAAGCGAACAGCTTCGTAGAAACATTGACGTAGACATGAGCGTTAATTTATGTGGTACCTTCCCACTCTAAACGAACCTTGATAAGCCAATCAAGCGTTACGTGTAGGGCGTAGTCCCGCAAGGAGCTCCAACTCCGTGCGATTGAGTAAGCTGTGTCGTAAGTGAATAATCAGCTTGTATTGGTGAGATCCCAAAGTACGCCTGGCAGACTGATGTATGAATGTAGATCCATACGTCATTGCTCCTTTGGTTAGCAATCACGGCGGATGGTACCCCGAGTATGCAACATCAAACCAGGAGGATTCGACTTTTGCCTTGTTCAAAATCAGACGAAACCAGTGTTCCACAGTAAGCATCGGCTAGTATCAATATAAATGTGTGGATTGATTGAGAGAATTGGACATCCACGAAAAGAAAGACAGCTGTCTTGTGAAACCATGCATGGAGCATGTTACTGACCTTCCACATTGCTCCTTGTCTGCTTCATGACCTCAGGGATCTGATCTCTTTTGGGGAAGTTGATACGATATTACATGGCATGAGAAGTTGTGGAGGAACGGTGTGCATGTTCTTCAAGGAGGTCGTAAATTTGATAGGAAATTGATCGCAACGCTCTTTATCGCACAGCCAAAATATAACTTCTCCTCGTGTTTTCTGACCTTTCCAGCCCAAGCTAACTTTTCAAGAACCCTAGCAGACCACCCTTCTTTGCATCTTTCTTCTTGGGATACGCCTTCCCTGTGACGAAGCTGATGTAAAAGCAGAGGCCGGTCATGAGTGAAAGTCCGATGATGACCAGAAGTAAGGTCAGCAACGGACTTGCATCTGCTTGTACGGAGCGGAGAGCGGCTGGTGTGAGAATCGGAGAGAGGAACTCCCAGGCCATTATGTTCAGTGTCGGGCGATGCTTGTTGTGAAGTTTTGCAGAAGGATGATACGAGTGTAAAAGATTGACAACAACTCGAACTGATTGAAATCAAGTGTGGAGATGACAGCCGGCTGCCGCAAGAGTTGTAGAAAGAATCAGAGTGAGAACACGAAATATGTGAGAATGTCAATTTGACGATGGAACGAAGACATATGTTCTGCAAAGGATATAGTTTGTACTAGGAAAGAAGGAAGGAGCATGCCATGCTGAAGTACCGTGAACACGCTGTCCCAGATACTGTGGATGCGGCGCGTTCACAAACAACAAGTGTTTGAGGTGTGACCACGCGGAGAACCATGGTGAGACACTTCGGAAGACTGTCAACTATCTGGCGTGATGAGAGGAGATGATTACGCCGTGCCGAACCGTGCTGTGCTGGTGAGGTGGATTTAAGGTACTGTGTGCTAAGGGCGCTACAGACAGAGTAAGGCCTGGGAATTAAGGCAGGACTGAGATAACCGGAAAGCACGTGATGTCGGCTAGAACTTCCACAAGTCCGAGCCTTGGCTGACGATCAGACTCGAGAAAAGTCCTTCCAATCGCGCGCACACTTGCTTACTTCCACCTGTTACTGTTGAAATCTCTTCTGCTCGGCTAGATCATAAACCATTGCTCTTGTGAACTGGTGTGTATCGATCCTACAACTGACATCGGACCGTATAGGACTTAATAATCAATCTATCCGCGAATCCCGGACCCCTCACCAACCTCTGTGTCCAGTCGTGAGTTACAAGACAAGAAGCTCTTTCATCTCTGTAACTTTTTGTGTGGTCCAGATCGACACTTATCTATTCTCAACATGGCCGGACCTCTCAAGCCTGAAGCCTCTCCAGAGCGCCCACCGTCCCGAGATCATCCCGAGCGCGAGAAGAAGCGTGCCAGTGAGTCTCCAGCCTCGTCCTTTGTTGCACCACGTCCCCCTCCCATCCACACACGATGGTGTAGACTGACACATCCGTCCAATCCACAGGGACGCAGTCGATGCCCCCACCAGAGTTGCCAAAACTCATCGCCGACCAACATGTGCCCATCGCCAATAACGACAAGGACACGCAGCGCATGATCGTCGTACTCTGCAATGCCACTCTCGAGACATACAAGGCCTCGCACGGTGGCGGCCGGGGACCGGGCGCTAGAGAGGACAAGTACAACTTGCTCAACAGCGACGACCACATTGGAGTGATGAGGAAGATGGGGCGCGATATCAGCGAGGCCCGTCCCGACATCACCCACCAGGTGCGTGCAAGGAGGCGGTCATGGGGTCAGCGTTCAGCTAACATGATGATATAGTGTCTGCTCACCCTGCTCGACTCGCCAATCAACAAGGCGGGAAAACTCCAGATCTACATCCAGACCGCGCACAACGTCCTCATCCGCGTCAGCCCGACAGTCCGCATTCCGCGAACCTTCAAACGATTCGCTGGTCTCATGGTGCAGCTGCTCCACCGACACCAGATTCGCTCAACCTCGTCCCAGGAGAAACTAATTGAGGTGATCAAGAATCCCATCACGGATCATCTCCCACCCAACTGCCGCAAGGTCACGCTCAGCTTCGACTCAGAAGTCGTGCGCGTGAGCGACTATATCTCCGGCCTTGGCAAGGACGAGAGTATAGCAGTCTTCGTTGGAGCCATGGCCAAGGGAAGCGACGACTTTGCAGACAGCATCAAGGACGACAGCATCGCCATCAGCCAGTTCAATCTCAGTGCCAGTGTTGCGTGCAGCAAGTTCTGCCATGCAGCAGAGGACGTCTGGGGAATCTTCTAGATGAGCCATCAGCCAGGACTTTCGCCAATTCACGTCGGCCATGCCGTCTAGTCTACGCGCGACTATTGGTTCGCCATTTCTGAGTTGAACATCAAGAGGAGGACACAAGTGGCACGGGATCCTTAGGCAGCAGGACACGCACATTGGCTTAGATCGCAACATCGACAGCCTGTGCGCTACTGCTATCGTTTTTGAGCGTCTGCTTGAGGTTTTTTTACAACAAAACAATACTCTGGCTCAACGCACTAAAACTGTTCTCATTGTAGAACCCGTGGAGCATTTCAACCTGCTCCACACTTCCTGTGTTTCCTTTTTCCGTCCTCTCGCGCCACACTCGACATGTGTGCAACTTGTAGGTCTCTTCTTGTTACTGGCTATCACCATAAAGGCTCATGATGGCCTTGGACGTCGCTTATCGGGTCTCTTTAGCAACTGGGTGTGAATCTCATTGCGGTTTTGTAGTAGTTCTTAAGCATTAGCGTAGGCACTGTCAACGTCAGTGGGTTTGTTTCTAGCAAATAGAAATTGTCGTACCGTATTGTCGTTAGCACAGTCAACATCTATGGTTCTATAGCAGCTAGTATATTCCTAGTATCTTGTCGCTATACTCTACAAGGCTAGGTGGGAGGGGCCTCTACGTGCAGCGCATGCGGCGGGAGAGCGACACCGAGGGCCCGACAAATGGAAAGACGGCAGATCTTCTAAGATGCTTAGAGAGCCTCTTGAAAAGCGTCAAGGCGGCATAAGCCACCCGATCTACGAAGACGGTATAGTTGCACGGGGATACCTTCGACTTCGGCTTCACTACTGAGTCGTTTGAGCCTCGTTCCAAGGCACTTTCGTAGGTATGTAGACGTCACGCCATTCTAGTTGCGCAGTGCGACGACAGGCTGGCAGACCCAGACCGCAAAGTTTTCGGCTGCACGCGTCAAGCGGCCAAAATCCAAGGGCGCGGTGTGTGGTGTTGTGAGACATGAGCGGAGCCGGTTCTTCGTGCGGATGCGGGCCGCCTACAACATCCAATCCGCTTCATTTTCGGCGCTCGCTTCGTTAGCTGCAGCTGCAGGACATGTGGCAGCATCAGGATAATTTGACAACGGACTCCATGGTAGTCAACAGCATGGATTAAGCGTGCTAGTGACGGCTTTCCCGCAATAGTATGGGCTGCCCTACTATCTCTTCCATCACGATGCATCGAGGCGCTGCAGCTTAGCGGGGTGAAATATATACTTCCACGTCGTACCACTACTCCTACTCTCTCATCACCACGCCTTCTCAACCCTTTCAAATCAGTCGTCTGCTGTGTCCTCAAACACAGCTTTGTATTTGCCATAATACTTGTTGATTGTCTATCTTCGTCCCTTCGTTTCGTCCATCGTTTAGCGATATTCGGAAAATGCCTATTGCCCACACTGGTCTCACGGTAGCCCATCTTCCACATTCGACATCGTTTTTTCTATCTGCCCTTCAGCCCCTTGGATACCGTTACCAAGGACAACAAGGTCACCAGGTCGGCTTTGGTGTCCGCGAAGCCGACTTCTTTCTATGCCAAGAAACACCCGGGTAAGCACTTCCGCACGGTCTTTTTATACACCGCAACTGACAGCGATGCAGTGTCAAAGCCGGTGCCGCTCATATAGCATTCAGCGCTCATAGTCGTACGGCTGTTCGCGACTTCTACGCCGCTGCTCTCAATGCTGGAGGTCGACCCAATGGATCACCCGCTACCCGATGCGAAGAAGATGGCCACTTCAATGCTGCTGTACTCGATCTGGACGGGAACAGCATTGAAGTCGTGTTCAAGAATGGGCCTGACATGAGGGAAGACGGAACCATAGTCGAGTATAGTAGGGTCATCACCTGGACAAGAACATCCATCTCCGGAGGCATTTCAAGCTCTCGCACCACAACTACCACACGACAAACTTCTACTCCCATGGCGACCGAGACTCTGGTGAAAATTCCATCCATAGCTCAAGCACCCAGCATGCCCAGGAGTAATTCTGAACCTGTTGCTGTTCCACAGATACCGGCAACAAACAACAACAACAACAACAATAACAACAATAACAATAACGGAGTCAACAAAACGCTTTTTGGAACACTCCTAGGTGCTGCAGCAGGTGCAGCAGTAGCATATGCCATGGTACGCAGCGAACGGGACAGCGCAAAGAAAGAAGCGGAGTTCACCGCATTCATGGACGCCAAAGATGCGGCGAGAGCTGCCGCGAACTTCGCTCAGACCGCCACCCAAACCATGCCCCCTGCGCCAGACCCACAACCCACTTACGCCGCGTCTACAACTGCAAAGTCAGTACACCGCAACAGCGACGCGCAATCGAATCGTTCACCCTCGCCGCCGCCCCGGGCACCCACTGTTTACGCTCAACGACAAATCGACGTTGAGTCGTACCATTCAACCGAGGTCCCGTTGGCTAGAAGTGTTTACGCACAGCGTCAGATCGAAGCCCCACCCAGCTATCACTCACCGTCTTACACTTCAGCGCCCCCTACCGAGATCGCGGACAATGAATCGGAGTATGTACCTGCCCAGTCTGTCGCGCCATCAAAGGCACGTTCGCACTTCAGCTCTCACCGCTCAACGACTAGCCCCGAGTTTGTCACTCTGGACCAAGCCACGAACACCACGTCATCTTCCGACAAGGCCACGAGCACCGTATCATCTGGAAAGAAGGCGAGGAGTAGTGGATCGTCTGCGGACAAGGCGAATAGTACTGTGTCCTCTGCATCAACAGCGAAGCCGAAAGAAGCTGAATATGTGTCGAAATCTCGGAGTTCAGGCCAGAGCATGGCCCCTAGTACACTGATTTCCTCCTTTGTGGCGGATCATGATCAGGATCATGATTCCAAGAGGAGCAGTGTAGGGAGCGCCCACTCCAGCAGATCCAAGGCCAGGTCGTCGCATTCTCACTCTTCGAGGCACCCTAAGCATAGCAGTAGTCGCAATCCAACAGTCGAGTCTTCAACCTCGCCCCCGCCACCGCCACCGCTTCCCGTTCTCAAGACACCGCCTAAGGTGCCCTCAAAGACAGCCTCACTCGTGAACCGAGTCTTTGGCCGTGAGCCAAAGCCCGCCACTAGCAAAGACGAGGATTTCATCGACGACCTTGATATCGAGGAGCTGACCGAAGATGACTACGACAATTGCACTGTTGCACCCAGTGACAGCATCTCCCAGATTGGCTCTTCTCATCGTAGCCGCAGGCACCGAAGCAAGCGCAATGATGACGATGACACTGTCGTCAGCAAACAAAGTTCCTCCTCCAAACAATCCAGGCGCTCGCATCGCTCCCACAAACAGCGCTCCAACGGCTCCGAGGACTCGAGCGATGACAAACCAGCACGCCGAAGTACCCGCCCTCCCACCAGCTCCGAGCTGAGTGAAGCGAGCACGGTCAGGCCCGTCAAGGGGGGTAGCCGCAAGGACTCCGTTACGGATAACAGATACGATGGATTGTTTGACAAGGTGCAGTATGGAAATGGTGATGTGGCGACTAGGGGTATCACGCCCAGTATGGTCAGCGCGGCGAACAAGAATACGAATCGGACCATGATCACGCATTCGCTAGGACAGAAGATGAATCTGTTTGAGTAGGCGGGTATGTGTTCAGCGTTGTTTAGTGGTGGTTGTCTGTTGGATGCTTTATTTGGATCGTCGCTCATTGTCTGTTTTTGGGATTGCATTGCTCGGCGTTGGTGCGCTTGTTTCGCTTCTCTTCGCTTCGCTCGCTTTGTTGATGAATGGTAACACTTCATGAATTATGTATATTCAGTATGAAAAATAAATCATGAGGAACGAAGAGGACCTTGGAAGTCCATCACCATGCTCTTGTGTTGTATGTCACTCTCTGTCCATGCGATGTACTCACGTTACTCGACTTTGCTTCTCTCATATTTGTCTCTTCTCTAGATCTTATAAATATTCTTCTTTTCCTTTTTATCCACTTGACTAATCTTTCGTCTACTACTCATCGTTTACTCTTCTCTTCCTCGCATCTACTTTTGTCCCTGTCCTCCTCCATCCATCACGTTGTTGTTCAATCGTCATACTGCACTCTGTAACCCCGCAATCCTGACCTCGTATTTCCGCGAAATATTGCAAAGTGCTCGAAAGGATACAGTGTTCACAGCCCCCCGTCGCCAATTTGTTTGCGTAAGTATTTCGGGGGTTCAAAGAACCCACATTGCAGGATATGGTAGGTGTTAGAATCAATAGCTCGATCAAAGTTGATGTACTTGACATGCATATTCCCAGTATGCTTTTTGATCTCGAGGACAACATTGACGTTCTAAAGAGAACAGAAGTTCACTCTAAAACCCCATATAACTCATATATGTCACCGAGGTTGGATTTTCGACCAAAATGTTCAATCTTGCAACCTACAAGCGCGAACAATTTTGATACGATGCGCCATGAGCCCTTCACACCACTGTGATGAGTTGAAACAAGTCGAGCACCCACATCAAGTGGATTCGGCATTCTGGGCCGATTATGTGTAGGTAAGCTTCGCGCTCTGACCTTGTTATTAAAACTCTGCGTACACTTTCGATTGTGCACTCCTTGTTGTTTAATTGTCATTTTTTTGGTCATCTTCAACCTCATCCTTTGCCATGGGAGAGGTTTCTCACAGCTGCCAAGGGACACGAATGTGGATCTTTGGACTCTTCCATCTACTTACCAAGCGCTTTGGAAGAGGTTCCGCGGAGGCAATCAATTTCGTCACAATGACCTAAAATTGAACAATCAAAGGATGAGGAACGACACCTAATGTTCACGTTACAAGCCGGTATGAGACGAATTGTGTTATGAGACGAGGCTGTATCAGGTGTGAGAGAACAGTCGATGGAAATGGCAAGTACGAAAAGTAAGCTAAAAAAGAATGGTATCGGAGATACTAACCGAGCGAAAGATTGCCATGGTTTCCTTAATAGGATTGCGAACCGTACGTTCGAAAGAAAATGGCGCCCTAGTGGCGAGTAATCCTAACGCAGATCCCTACCACTACCCAGTGATAATAAACCAGGTGTTACGACAACCATTTTGCCACGACTGAAATATAGATGCGGCTCTGCTCTTGTATAAGATAATCCGTTGCTTCCCTCTCTGTTGGACACAACAATCTCGGCTTGGTTTCAAGTGCTCGTTCGGTAATGGCCCGGGGATCATGGTAGTTGAACGTTACACCGCGGAAACCCTGGCGGAGAACTCGACCGTACGTTTGTGTGCGGAGGAACACCATGAGAGTGTGTGGTTGCGATGTTGGAAGGGGTACATGTTGTAAGTAGAAGTCATCTCTAGTGGCTCTGTCTTGAATCAGAGCAGAACCATAACGGATTACCTGCACCTGGGTATTTAAGCATGCAAGTGTTCTTCGTCCAGCGTCTGCGGCGATGTATCCATTTACCATCACAATGACGACATCTTGAGGTTGTGTCGCCCTCGCGGTCTATGCGATCACAACGAGCTGGGCGGCAATGTGCCTAGAAGAATACGTGCTGACCAGTTTCTCGTAGGGGTTTCACACAGCCTGCTCGACGAGTACACGTAGGACCGTATTCCGAGAATGGTACGTTTTAGGATTTGCTCCGTAGTAACTAGAGGTGTAGAAATACAAACCGTAGGTAAGTCACTGCCCTGGCATGATATTAGTTCAAAGCTGTTGTGTCAATACACACAAGGGTAAGTGAGAAGGAGCGACCACGTCAGAAGGGATCAAATCGAATCTGAGATCGACCTGCCAGTATTGCTGCGAAATGTAGCAATCCCCTGTTCCATGCGTTAGTCAAACACGATCAGGGCAGCCATCTGGACCATCTCACGATAGCAGACCATGAAGCAAGAGTAGGGCCTGAGAGACATGCGCCAGAGAACGTGTCTGGAAGTACTGTTCAACCAAGGAGCAGATTACGGTGACGGTGCAATCGGGATCGCAAAAGCCGTTACTACGTCGCTCGGGACTCGTAAGATCGAAGAAGGGTGTATTCCAGGCCTTCGAGAAGAATAGCGAACTGACGTGGCTGAATGCACGTTATGACGAGTTGGGTTGGGAGCGATGGAACCTGACAGACCACCTGAGCACCGCCAAGCCTGAAACTCTATGACCACACGAAAGCGCCATTGTCTAAAATCTGTAAATCGAGACGAGACTTTGCCAAACTGGCCATCGATACGAGTAGTTCCATTCTGCGAAACTTCTGGAAAATATATGGATGGACGATTTTCTCAAACGCATCCCAAACCGGATGTCCAACAAATCGGGCCAAGTATAAAAGGACCTTTTCCCCGTCTGCCACATGCCAACACCCTTTGCTTATGAACTACGTGAGCTGAGGCTCATGTTCGCTTACTCGGATCCACCTAGGAAACGAAAGCGCAATACTCTCGGTACATCGAACCGAAGGAACGCTGCATGATCAGCTCACATCTAGCAAATAACAGTGAGTACGGAGGGCTGGGCCGAAATCGTCAGGGAGTCGTACCCGCCCTCTAGAGGCCCAGTCCTTTGCTGGGCAGGAATGATGAACAGATTCTTGTTAATCTGTCGATACGGAATACTCCTCCGGGCAAGGTAAGAGTGACGCACAGTCGAAATACGCATCATGGATCCATGTTCGAGAACATCGGGACTCCCTTATTCACTCATGCTGCTACACGCAACTCGGCATTTCTTGGTTCGTCTCGTACGATTACGATAGCAAACGCATCGCAGCCCAAAAACTTCGATTCGAGTAGCTTTTTCTCAATACCGACCTTATGGGAAAATATCGTTCCAGGAGCGGCTGGTAAGTGGGTCTTCTGAGTTACTACCACAAGGCTGATGGTGTCTATATACAGTCTGACCTGCCGTGCCCGTCGCGTCAAGTGTAAGTTGCCCATTGATAGATGACTCGCCTTACTGACTCGGTTGTAGGCGACGAGACAAAACCCATCTGCAACGCGTGCAAGAAGAAAAATCGTCCGTGTCAATGGGAAGCACCGCACACCAAGTTCAAGGACTATCAACCGACTGAACGATCACCCAGCACGGCTCTCACTAACGGTGATGAAGACGAAAACATGGAGATCGATAGCGATGGCATCGATGGCGACGGTGTTGATGGTGGAGACAGTCAGACGGTCTCAAGTGGATCGCAATTGGTCCGGGACAACAGCCGGTCCGACAGTCACGTGGCAACATCAGCAAGCGCTGCTACTCCATCATCATCGGGCATCCAGCGTTCACCAAGTTCACCGTTCTTGATTACAGGCTCGACAAGCTCAGCGGGTGGTGTTCCAAGTGGGAACCTGCAGTTCTTGCGGCTTGAGGAGGGGAGACGGACCTTCAAGGATCCCATCACCCTCACACACGACGAAGCCTTGCTTGTGCATCATTACACAGAACATCTTGGCAGGTGGCTCGACTGCACTGATGCGACCCGTCAATTTACGTTGGGGGTTCCGGAGAAGGTAAAAAAATGCCCAGTTCTGTGTCATGCAGTCTTGTCGTTTGCAGCTCGCCATCGCAGGGATGATGTGACGGCCGAGGCAGCATACCAGCACTGTATCGCACTGCTCATCGATCGTCTCAATGACGATACTGCCAGTCACGACGAAACGCTTTTGTGTGCTATCGTCATCCTACGTTTTTACGAACAGCTCAACGGTGAGATTTGTCCAAGTTCTTGCCATGTGCCTTCCACCTAACTCAAGCAGTCCCATCGAGTACGGGCTCAGACGACGAGCAGCATCTGGCAGGTTGCTCAGCCATTCTACGTGCGTCACAGGGTCACCATTTTGTTGACCCTTCTGCGCCTTCGTTGCGCGAAGCTGCCTTCTGGGTCTATGTCCGCCAATGTCTTTACAACGCCACCATCAATCAGCAACCGCCAGACATAGACTTTTCGCTGCAGCTTCATCCTGCTCCAGGTTCTATGCAAGACTCGCACCCGCTGGCTCGATTGAGACTGGAGACTGCATGGGCCAATCAGATGACATGGTATACAGCCTGTGTCGTCAACTTTTGCTTCGAAGGCAATGAACCACAGGACGAAAGGACCCACAAACTGGGACGATGGCAAGAACTCTGGGATTCCGTCCATACATGGGCTGAAGAGAGACCTAATGGATTTGATCCAATCTGGCAAGGTCCAGCTAGCGACCATGGCATATTCCCTGAGATATGGTTCACGACGGACTGGCATGGTGAGCAGCTCCAACCCACATGTAACATTTTATGCTGATGGTGACAGTCGTGTCGTTCGGTTTCTATCACTTCTCGTGCATATTATTGCTTAGCTATAAGCCGGGTCCAAAGTTTGCAATTCGTAGTTCTGGAAGGCTGTCAGAGGTAGACGTAAGTTATCCAATTTGGCATTCAAGATCACTTTCACTGACCCAACTAGCGTCAGATTCTAGAGCATGCACGAGCCATATGTGGCGCGTGCAAAAGCTCGCCGGAGACTGTACCTATATCGATAACACTGTGCCACACCATTTTCATCTGGGGACCGCTCGTAGCCGATCCACAAGAACGGACTGAAGTGTTACAGCTTCTTGTCAAATTCGAGAGCACTCATCTTTGGCCGACTACCTGGATCATCAATGCGCTCAAAGCAGAGTGGGGAACAGATTGAATTTCACAGACTCAGGCTGAACTCGAGACATCAGCATTTTCGGGTCGCGGGTGTACGTGGCAAAAGTTCAAGTCGAACGTGGATATGCTCCTTTGTTTTCTCTTCATCAGGACTGGAATGCGTGACAGGAATTGCATGGTGCTGCATCATGATGCGAGCAACGAAGGACCGCTCGCTGGTGACAACTTACCTACGCCCTGACGGTACGCATGCTTTCAACATGAGTATTAAGGGTAATCCGAATCCTTAAACCGCCATCGATATTAGGCGCTTGGCCGCACAGTCTTGGAGAAATGCGATTACTTAAGATGCATGATATGTTTTGCTCTTTCCAGACGTTCTTGTTTTAATTGTTGGAAATACACATCCACATCCGCACATATTCCTTATGGCTTCCAGAAGTCTGCCGAGAGACCTTTCCCAGAGGCGAACAGTTAACTGGCCGAGGCGATACTACTGTGGCCGCAATCCAGCGATGTGTTGGCTTACCAAACACACAACGGTGGTATCCTCGGAAGTATGGGCCGTTCGCTGTTTATTGGCAGTTCTTAATAGGCCTACCGATTGGTCAGAACTGTCTTGATCAGCAATCATGACGGATGGAAGCTTGCCACATAAAGCGGATAAGGGCTTATGCTTCCAAGGGGCACATCATACATACACACGCCCATGAAGATATGATACCGTCAGTTCGAGCCTGGATATATGAACAGGCCAGCGTTCATTGGCTACAACCGGCGGACCGACCCTTCGGTAGACATTCCCACTGCACAGGCTTTTGGCAAGTCGAGAGAGACAGGGAATAGGATTCGCAAGACTCAGCCTAACCAGACGAGACAACAATCACTACAAAGCCGAACTACTGCAGGAACAATCAACATGTGTGTGCAAGGCTAATACCGTTTGTACCAAAGTGCAATACCCTAGCACTTGATGCAAGGTGGCGCTGAATGTCTCGGAAGGTAATCCTTTCCCGGTTTCACTATTTGCCGAGAGGCAGGGCCTCTACCGCTGTACTGTACCTGCATATCGGCAAACTGGCCCAGTCGATCTCGTGTGACGCCACCCTTACCTACTCGCTTTTATTTTCGTTATAACACGCCTTTGGAGCTGGAGAATAATCCCGTTCTGCATAGGGAATACTTCCCTACGTCATGTTTTCCAAAGATCTCGTCGCGGAACTTCGTTTCGATGCATCCTCATGGAGTAATTCGTCTCGAATTATATCCACGTGACTCATTGGAGTAGGATACCTGCGCAACGGGATTGCTTTCCGGGCGCTAAGGATTACCCCGACCATCTTGTCTCTGGCGAAAAGTGCGTAATAGAGGCTCATTGCATGGACATTTGTCCCGGTGAGTCGGACGAACGTCTACATATAACATGTCACTAACGCACCCTCGTTTTGATTGTCCAGCGAGCATATGCACGGCTAAGGTAATGACCCGAAGCATCCAACCAGGACTGCGCCGCAGAGATTCAGTCATGAGCGCCAGGGATGTTGCTCAAAGCCAGGGAACTATTGTCGACGGGAACACAAGAGATGCTCTTGACCTCAAGGTCTTGGGGGTGTGCAGTGGAAGTGGGTTGACCAAGCTCTCCCTTGCCTTAGTACGCTACCGTCGAAGAGCACACGATGCTCCATTGCGTATCGAACTTCTACAGGTCAGTGACCTCCTCCGTTCTATCCTTGGCTCACTGCTAATGACAACAGTATACCGAGATCGCCGTCGCGCCTAAAATCAGAGCCCGTATCCTCAATTTGCTGCGGGAAGCCCAATACAAGCCGTTGGTCGCGGCATCCACCAATGCCGCACTCGGGCAGCTCTTTGCCAGCGGCATCAAGACATTCTGCCAGAGTCTCAGAATACCACATACCTCCATCGACCTGGTGGGTACGCACACCCCTACTCTGAGACGATTCCATATCTCTCAGACGAGCAATGCGAGCAACCATCCACTCGGCTGGAACGCTGTGATCACTGCTGAGACAGGAATCACCGCCGTCTTTGATTTTTCCGTGATGGATCGCGCAGTCCAAGAACACCAAGTGACTTCTGTTGCTTATATTGACAGTCTGTTGTTACGAGACCCCACAAAGTTCCGCGCCTGCCTTGACATCAACGAGCTTGCGACCCTCAGCTTCATTCCAGCATCCAGCGACAACACCTCCCACGCACCGATATCCCGTTACTGCGGCCCAGGAAGCCTTCTCATAGACTACGCCATGCGATATTGCACCTCGAACAACCAGGTCGAAGACCACGACGGAAAGTTCGCGGCGGACGGAACTGTTAATCAAACCATCGTAGACCGTTTCATTCATACGTACGACTACCTGCGCACGGCACCTCCTATGCACATAGCGACAGAAATGTTCGGCGACCACGAAGCCCAGCGACTCATCGACGAGTGCATCTCGCTCCGCATGTCCGAAGCAGACACCCTCGCCACCATCACGCGCATCACAGCTCAGAACGTCCTGATGCGATACCGCAAGCTACTCCACACCTTCTTCCCACAAGACCAGAAGGTCGACGAGCTCTTCATCTGCGGTGCTGGCGCGAGAAACTCCAACATTATCGACTTTCTCGAAGCCGAGCTCCCCGAGAGCGTCATCACAAAACCCTTGGACGATATTGGCATACCGGGCGACGCGAATGAGGCCGTGTGTTACGCGCATCTGGCACTCGAGGCTATCCTTGGACAGGTGGCACTACCTACTACACCTACGACGGCAACGGCAACGGCAACGGCAACGGCGAGACAAGCAAACAAAGACATAGTGAGAGGGAGATTTGTGCGTGGTATAAAATGGGATGGCTTGGTTGAGCAAGTTGTTCAGTTCAGTGGAGGAAGACCAATCCCTGTCGCAAAGGACATCAACGTCACCGGCAACTTGGAAACTGCGGTTCGAAGACTGGAGTTGTAATAATGTTACGAGGAAAGGCTTAATCTTATTGCGGACACCACTTCTTCCACGTATATCGGAAAGTAAAGGAAAGAAGATTGACACGGCGTTGAAGGGATTTTGGCAAAAAAATCAAATGGGCAGGCAGTGTGTACCGGACAACGACACGAACGGAAGGACATGCATCACATGACATCACGAAGCGATTCATATACCACATGCATAAGGGCGGCGTTACGAATTGGGGATATTGCGATCGGGTTATGAATAAAGTTCGGCTTCATTAGCATCATTAGTCATTTTGTCTTCTATTGCAGTATAGAGACTCTGTTATAATTTACATTTCCACCTCCAACTCAATGTTCAAGGGGTGTCGATACACTCGTCTCCCTTCCCCTCTACTATGTCTCGCATGATTCTCGCCTTCCTCTGCTCTTCTGCCTCACTACTAACATCCTTGAAGACCTCGTCCATTTGTTCCAGGCTTTTCCCTGCAGTCTCGGGTACGCAGAAGAACGTGAAGAGAAAGGCAAGAGCGCAGAAGACGGCGAAGAATGTGTAAGCACCGAAGCCAGTGTTTTGCACAAGGGGCGGGGTGATGAGACCCTTTACTTTGTTAGTCATTTGAAGTTTGGATGAAGATGGGGGCAGAGAGACTTACGATGATGAAGTTGTTGAACCAGTTCGAGCAGGTCGAAAGCGCAACACCCTTTGCACGCAACGAGCTAGGGAATATCTCTGAAGGCATAGCCCAAGGTACTGGGCCCCATGTTGCGCCGAAGCTGAACATGTAGAAGAACAAGAAGGCCACAGCAACCCAGCCTTCCGTAGCATAGTCCTCCCATCTTCCACCATACTTGCCAACCAGAACAGCGATGATCAAGTGGCAGACAAACATCAGCCCGGCGCCAGTAAGCAACAATGGACGTCTTCCGAATCTGTCCATGGTCCAGAGGCTCGTCGCCACGCCGACAAGTTGCATACAGTTGATGATTCCAGATAGCAGAAGTCGCATTTCGTAGTCTTGGCCGAGGGTTTCGAAAAGTGACGGCGCGTAGTAGATGAGTGCGTTGATACCAACAAACTGCTGGAAAAACATGATGCCCACACCCACTACTGTCCGTTTCCAGCAACCGTGTCGGAAACAATCCATCCACGACGCAACCTCGAGCTTGAATCTATTTGCCCTTGTAGGCTCCTGCAGGTCTGGATGTCTCTCGCGATTGACTTCCTGCGCAAAAACAACTTCGGCACGGATCTCGCACCATTCCTGGAGGACTCTAGGATCCGTAGCAGGAAGGCTGCGCAGCTTGGCGAGAACGTTGAGAGCCTCATCATTGCGGCCTTTGCTTGAGAGCCAGCGGGGAGAGAAAGGCAGGAAGACGATGCCTGCGCCGAGGATGAAGCCAGGAATCATCTGAATGAGGAAGGGGAGACGCCACGACCATTGGCCGGCCATGAAGCGCGTACCGTACGTGGTCCAGAAGGCTATTACTATACCGAGGACGATGCTGAATTCCTGGAGGACAAGGAGGGCGCCACGAATTTCTGGGGGTGCGATCTCCGAGATGTAGAGTGGAGCAATGGTTGCTAGACTGTGAGCTGTTAACATTTCTTCTTCATTGTGCGAAGTTGGAGTTAGTGGGAGATGGGGAGTGGCTTACGCTCCGATGCCCATACCACCGATCAACCGTCCAACGGTCAGCATCGCGTACTCGACAGCCGCAGTTTGCAAAACACTGCCAACCGTAAAGACTACGACAGCCACGACAATCGAGTATTTCCGAGACAACTTATCCGCGAGCCATCCCGCAAAGAGCGCGCCGATCAAAGCTCCAAGCTCAAGCATGGCGGTCATCAGTCCCTTCCAGAACCCAGCTCCAGACGCTTGGGTAGAAACTCGAGGAAAGGTCCCTAGGAACTGGTCCATCACGAGGGTGACTGAGATGACTCCCTGATCATAACCAAACAATAGGCCACCGATGGTTGCAAAGGCAGCGCACATTGCAACATAGTGGTTTGAGAAGAGACCCTTGAATCCTGGCATTGTCGTCAATTTTGATCTCATAGTACTCCAAACCTTCTCCAGAAGATATGAGAGAAAACTCACCACCCGGCCCATACGGTTCCCTCGCTACAAGCGACTGATCCACATGACCCATCTCCGCAACCTCCCGATGGATCTGCGATTGTGCCGGGGCGATATCAATCGCTTCTTTCTTGTCTACAGCTTTTCCTGACATCCTCAGACTTTCCTTGTATGTATCGTCTGGTCAAGCACTGAGGAAGGGAAAGACTACAGAACAGCAACTACCGACATACTTATACCTGCTGAAAAAGCCGGTTGTTACATTGGAGCCTCCATCCGTCAAGGATCTGTCATGTTAGCGGTACCCGTTTTTCCGATATCTTGGAGCACGATTGGTCGTAGGAGCTCACGTGAACTGCAGCGTGGTGTTATGTCGGTGTGTCGAGGATGTTGAGGCTCCATTCAAGACGCTTGAACGCAGCGGGTCTTGGTTTGCGTCGTATGTCGATGCTTTGCGAGTCATTTTGTGAGGGTTCTGTGGGACCTGGCGAGACTGGCCGAGCAACGTTCAACTCTGAAGAACCATCGTTGCTTGAGGGAGGTGAAGAGGAAGTATGGAAGCAAACAAACAGATAGTAAATGGTCATTCCAACAACAAAGACGTGTTCAAATGTACTCACACTCCCGTGAACGATACTCGTCCCTTCCCTCAAGCCACCCGCGTCTACCAGCCGTTAAGAGCCGCAAGCTGTAGCCCCGCCCACCCATGTCGTCATTTCCTCCGACACTCCTCCTGCACATGGGAACCCCATATCCACCCCCAAGATCTCCCCAGACTCCGCGTCGCATCGTCCCGCTTCTATGCAGAGCCCCAAGTCTAATCTCATCCAATTGCGTCGTGGCCGTTTGACGGCAATTTCCAAGTTGCTGGAGTGCTGCGGAGAAAGTTGCCGTTTGAAGTGCATTTTGAGTAAGCTAACAGACGCTAGTGAGTTTTGCCGATGATGAACCGCCTAGCGAGGGTCGCATCGTTCTAAAGGGAGATTTTGCCCGCTCGGATCTCGGCAGCGTCATGTCGGAGCATCATGTCGGGGATTAATGTTGGGTAAAGGCATAGATGACATAGTGTTGGAGAGATCAGCAACATCCTTGTAGGCTATACTGTTTCATTGCATATTCTGCGTAAGATAGTATAGATGTATACGCAAGCAAATGCGGGGATAACGCCCTAAAAATGCAGTTCATCATGAATCATACTCTAACACCAGGTGTAAAACGCCAAAATAACACCAACGTCACATAAGACAACCACATCTACATGTTATCCATACCATCTCCATTCAACCACCCTCACGTAGGCATCGCCATGATTGAGGCCCATTGCCCACCTTGGTTCCCGCCTGCACCGGCCCCACCTCCCTTCCGACTGCCTCCCCCGGTAGGCCTTCTGGTCGGTCCCGAGCCTCCTCCAGACGCTCTGCTACTGGAGGATTTCCCCGCTGTCCGCTTCCTAACGCCAGAAGGCTTGCCAAAACTTCCAGATTTTCGAGCAAACCTGCCCTTCTTGTATCCAGCTCCTGGTGCTTTCGAACCTGATCTCGAGGCAGGCGCTTTGGTAGTCGAGGCGCTGGTAGGAGCTTGAAGCTGTGTCATCGTTCTGTTGAAAGCCTCAACCTCTGGATCCGCATGCTGGGTGAAATGATGGCTTGTATGCACAGCACCATCATCATCATCGTCGTCGTCGTAAGAGTAGTCGCTTTCGTCTTCCACGGCGGCCGGTACTTCGTCTTCGTCACTGGCACACAAGTCAACAACGACGCGGTGATTTGGATCTTCGGGTTGTCCATATTCGTCGTCATCGTCATCGGATACTTCATGTACGACCTGTGTACGCCGAGCCGGAAGATATTTGCGTACGGGGGCTTCGTCTCCATAACACCCTCGAGTGTTCTTGATTAGGGCGAAGAATCGCCTTCCATACATATCCACCATTTCCGGTCGTATCCCGGGTATAGCTCGCATCTCATCCAAGTCGCTAGGAAGTTCGAGACCCATTTCTCGCAGTACGGTATCGGTGAAGATCGGATTGCCACGATGGCCCTTCTCGTTCATGATGTAGGTCCTCGTCGCCTTTGCACCTTCCATGAAGTCCCTGAGGATGTCTCTTTGGACATCGGATAGACCGGTCGTTCTTTGGTCGACTGTGATGGGAACACCAAGGCCCTTTGCTTTAGTAGCCTTTACAGGCTTCGCAACGCGTACTGGTGCAAACTCAGCAACGTCGGAATCGTTGTCATTGACCTCGCGAGCGCGAGCCTTCTGATTGCGAGTAGGATGCCGAGGCTTGTCGTAGTAGGCTTCATCTTCCTCGTCGTCATCTTGGTTGTACGTGTATTGGCGGATTGTCTGCTTCGGTGCTCTGACTGGAGACGAAACGTATGTTGATGGGCAGTCCGACCGCTGCTTCTTCGGTTTCTTTGCGACCGGCTCTTTGGCCTTAGTCTTACGAGGCGAGGCACGGACTTGTAGTTTCAGTTGTTTGCGTTTGCTTTCATATTCGTTGCGGCTTGAAGCAGGCTAACATTATCAGCGTTGGATCTGTACGGAACGGAAGAAGCTTACATGAAGGTAGTTGGTTGCAAAACCAACCTTGTTAGTAATACTCGTCTCTTTGAAAGCTCCAGCATCGAGCAGAGACTGGAAAATACGCTCATTGTCGCCTCGTTCCAGATCTTCTCCATAACCCCACCCAACCTCTTTCAGACCAGTCTTTCCAATCTTGGCGCCCTTCGCACCTCGGAAAGCGTCGACGCATTGATGCATTGTGACGTTATTCTCGTGGATTGCGCCTACAAGTTTGACGGCCATGGCAGCATACTCGGTGAGGTCTTTTGTGATAAATGTAGCATCAGAACGGCAGTTGTCGCAGGTCGATTTGCAGTTCGCGGGATCGAATGATTCACTGAAGTAGCCCAGCACCTGAGCACGTCGGCAATCGGCTTTGTTCTCGCAGAACTGAATCACGGTTCGCAGCATGTCAAATAGTCGTTGCTTTTGCTGCCAACTGCCCTCTCCTTCTTCAATCATCTTTCGCAACGTTCTCGAATCAGAGTACTGGTAGTACAAGTAGCACTCCGACCGTTTGCCGTCACGACCAGCACGGCCAGTCTCTTGATAGTAGCCCTCCAAGCTCTTCGGCAAAGTGTGATGGATGACATATCGCACATCAGCCTTGTCGATACCCATTCCAAAGGCGATCGTGGCAACGATGACTTGATATTCGTTCTTCTGCCACTTGCGCTGGACTTCCGATCGCTCCTTAGATTCCATACCTGCATGATAATGGAACGCGCGAATGCCAAGATCCGATAGCTTCTTCGCAACTTGCTCGCAGCTTTTGCGAGACAAGCAGTAGATGATGCCAGATTTGCCGGAGTATCGCTCTTTGATGAGATCCGCAAAAGCATTTACTATGTTCTTGGACTTGGGCAAAACCTCGTATGACAGATTGGGTCGGTTGAAACTTTGCGAGAACTGGCAACAATTCTGAATACCCAAGTTTGCAACTACATCGCTACGGACCAGCTGCGTTGCAGTCGCTGTAAGGGCGATGACGGGCACACCTGGTAGTTGACGTATGACATCTCCGAGCGCTTTGTAATCCGGTCTGAAATCGTGGCCCCATTGACTAACACAATGTGCTTCATCAATGACAATCCTGGCTAGAGAACCACGAGAATGCAGCTGCTGGAAGGTTTCGATCATCCTCAGATTCTTGCTGAGCATTTCTGGTGTAACGTAAAGCAACTGTATGAACTTTTGGGGTTCTCGTTTGTTCAAAGCGTTCATGATGTGTTTCTTTTGATCCGCCGTCGACTCGCCGTTGATCAAGCACGCTTGCATGCCGAAGCGTTCGCAAGCGGAAGTGACTTGATCCTCCATCAAACTCAGAAGCGGGGAGACAACGACAGTCACGCCTTGTGTTTTCCCGGAAGTGATAACCGATGGCAGCTGGTAACACAGTGATTTCCCGCCTCCGGTTGGCATCAAAACAAAGCAATGCTTTCCGGCTAACGTGGAATTAATAGCGTCCAACTGTCCTGGTCGAAAGCCCCGGAGGCCAAATTGGTGGATCAGAGCTTTCCTCAGATCCTGAGACCATGGGAAGTTCATGCCGGCAGTGTTCTTACCGGGCATGTTGAACTGTGCTTTCTTTGGCGAGGCTTGCTGGTTTCTTTGCTGCACTCTACTCACCGCAGTTTCGCGGGGGACTTCTCGAGAATGAGCCGTCACTTGATTTTCTGCCCTTTCGCCTCTCCAGTTAAAGCTGGCTGGTGCTTGGTTCTCGATGTTGCTTATCTCGTGGAGGAAATCCTCATCATCGTCCACACCGAAATCGTCATCGACCGCGTTGTCGTCGTATTCATTGATCTCTGTGGGAGGCCCAGGTGGACGGCCCATAGTGCCGGTAAATAAGACTTCGCTGTCGTCATCATCGAACTCCATGGTTCCGAATTCGTCAGGCGTGTGGAAAGATTCTTGCCCGCTAGACTCGCGAGCATTAGCAGGCGCGTAGCGCGGTGGGAGTGGATGGCGCTGTGGGGTTTCAGGTATGCGGTGAGATCGCTCCTGAGTTCTTGGGTTGGGTCGGTTACTGGCGCCCTCATCATTGAACCCACGATAGCCCAAATTCAATGGTGGGGGTGGAGAGGTAACAACTTGCTCCTTAGCAAATCGAATACTACGAGTAGGTGTCCACACTTCTTGGACGGAAACCTGCGTCTGTCTGACATATTGCGTTTGCGGAACATGGCCAGACTCCGAATCAGAGGGAGCTTTTGTCCTCTGCCGAGCAGAGGGTGCCTGTGTTGAATTTATGACAACATTGCTCAAAGGTTTTGACTCGGTCTTTACTATAGTCCTGGGTCGTTGCTTGATGCCCGCAGTATCTAGAAGATGGTACATCTGGACCTGAATCTCACTGAGTGGCTTTTGTAGCTTGTTGATGGCTTGTCCGTCCGCTTCGATCGAATCAAAGTGCCCAATATTCAGGTCGTTCTCGAGCTTTTCCTTGATTTTCTGACGTTCTGCGCAGATGCTCACGTGTCTTTCCCTCAGAGCGATCAGCTGCTCAACAGCTTCTTTCCGTGATCGTGCGCAGGACATTTTCTCTTGTTCATCTGAAGTCGGTTTTCCGGCCTCTGCCAAATGCTCGACGAACGCCGCACGAGCCCTATCCCAAGCCGAGCTTGCAGCGTTTAGATGGAATTGCAAACGATGCCCTTCGGAGCTTAGAAATCGCTCGACAGTTTGATTGATCGTAACCAAATCTTCTTTCGACAGATCAGATGAAGGTGGAGTAGGTTTTGACTGCGAAGCAGAGATGCTGGGTGTGCTTTGCGCTTTCTTTGGCGAAGATGATTTCTTTCGCGGAGACTGCGATTTGACTGGTGTCGGCATCGAATCATGCCTCATCTCGCAAGGGCTAGGACTTCGAGTGACCTTGAGAGGAGAGCGGATTGGCAAGGGCATATGATCGTGGCGACGTTTACTTGGGCTCTTGCTTGGAGTCTTGTTGCGTGTCTTCTTCAAAGGCGATGGCGACCTAACTTCCGACTGTACATCAAGATCCATGTCATCGAACCCGCCAAAGTCATCCTCTGAATCCTCTGAATCCATCACAACTCTTCTGGATTTGGGTGTTTGTAGATGCTCCGTCCATGTTGTCTCCTTCTTTAGCGGCGAAGGGCTACGGGCCTGCTTGCCTATTTTACGAGCGGGAGCAGATGTTTCGGAGGGTACACGGCTCAAAGGTTTGCGTTTGCGACTGCGTGAGGACGGCGGAGGTTCTGTAGCTGCTGCATATCGATTCTCGTCCTCTGGTGACACTCGAATTCGCACGGCATTGGTGTTGCCAGTGGAATAAGGCGGTGGCGGATCATCTGGAGCCATGACCATATCGTCAATGTCAGCGAAGTCGTCGTCCGCGAGACCAGGACTCAATACGGGAGTAGTCCGCGTCAGCCTAGGGGCGTTTGTATGTCGAAGATCCTCCTCAAACTCGTCGCTCTTTCGCTTTTTCCCCTTGTTAACGCGCGTTCGAGCTGGTGCCTCTTCCTCTCCAGTAAGGTCGATTGCATCAACATCGACTGTTTGAACACGCTGTTTCCTGCTTGCCAGCTGTGTAGAGGTTGGCGTGACGGATGATCCGGAGTTCCTTCTCGCCACAGCAATTCCGTCTTGCCCGTCGACCCAGGAGAGCCCACCGGTCCTGCCACGGGTCTCTCCTGCATCGCCCCGCTCTCCACTTGCCGACGATGAAGATGTTCCATATGGAGGCAGCCCCGCTAAGACAAGCCTAGGCTTTCCACTCCCTGGTGTGGCCCGCAGCCTCGCCATATCCCCAGCCGTTCCTTCCCTTCCTGGTGGATTATGTATATCTATCGTCTTCGTGCGGGTAAGGGTGCGGGGTGGGATCGGTCGGGCAGCGGGTGGTGCAGGCGCTGGTTCTGGAGAAAATTCGGGCGCATTGTTTATCTCGGAGTCGGCTAAGAATGCATGTTGCTGCGAAAGTGTGTCTGAACTCGTTGGCGCGTCGGGATCGTATACAACGAGCGAAGTGGCGGGCGGAATGAAGGGCTTCGTGGATTGGAACCAGGTGAGATGCTTCTTAAGGTTGTTCTGAGGCATTAGAGCGTCGCATTGTCGTGAAAAAGGCCTGCATCGGTATTCTACGCGTCCATATGCATCGAATCGCAGCGTTGCAGGTGTCGTGGTGGCAATATCGCGGATGATGCTCGTTAGTCGTGTTGCACGACGCGTGTGTTAGCAACGCTCTACTCTAATCGCCACGACACGTGACGATATATCATCTCTCCTGTCGGATCATCACTCTGCAACTCCCTCACATATTACTTTAGCTTTGTCACGGAATAATTAGGGGACCATGAGAACATGATTGTTCTGTCTTTTGTCAGAAGACCAAATGTAACAATTGAGATGAATGATTACTCAAGCTGGTTGCCTGGATTTTCTGAGGCTACATTAGCAAGTCTGCAACGCGACTGCTCACAGCACATATTGATCTAGAAATTTTGATACCTGAATAGACTATTACCCGGCTTACTTTGCAGACATCTGTAGCTCGATTCCCGTTAGCGCACTCGAACCAGTGAGTCATTCCTACACCAGGAGTTAGCAACAGCAACAGCAACAGTCACACGACCTCCATTCTGACTTCAGGAGACGATATCCCAGTCAGTACACTACAAGAGTATCACCGACAACTTTTGTATTTTCGTAAGACTCTGACAACAGCTCATCATGACTTCTCAAGACCGAGATCCGCAAACGTCCATCATGAAGGCCGAAGATCCAGAAATCATCAAGCAACTGTCCGCTGAAATTACAAACCTCTACTCCTCTCATCCACCTCAAGACGTCCTTCCGTCCTCATCAGCAATCACCAAAGCTCAACAAAAGCTCGTACCCCATCTCCCTACTCAGGGACTCGGCCTCACAGCAACAATCCAACACCTGCACTCCGACCTGACTCCAGCCTTCAACGCGTCCTCCCGGTCCGCCAACTACTACGGGTTTGTCATTGGCGGTAGCACCCCCGTCGCCACCCTCGCCGACAATCTCGTCACCCTGTACGACCAAAATGTGCAAGTTCACCTACCCAACGAGACCATCACTACAAACGTTGAAGACCGTGCCCTTGCCCTTCTATGCGAGTTAATCAACTTCGAGCCAGGAGCGTGGAGCCACCGGACGTTCACTACGGGAGCAACTGCATCGAACGTGCTGGGGCTGGCGTGCGGACGCGAGTATATCCTCGCCGAGGCGTCGGCGCATCGTACGGATGCGGAAAACAGCGTGGGGGAGTTTGGCATCGTGGAGGCGATGCGACGCGCAGGTATCGACGAGATACAAATTCTGACCACCGTGCCGCATTCATCGTTGGCCAAAGCGGCGAGTATTCTCGGCATGGGACGCGCAAGTGTGAAGAGTATTGGGATGGCCGACGCACCGCATAAATTCGACATGCAAGTTTTGAGGAAACATCTCGAACGACCTGGCGCGGCATGCATCGTCGCCGTCTCGGCTTCAGAAGTCAACACGGGCCTATTTGCCACTTCGGGGCTGGAGGAGATGCAGGAACTGCGGAAGCTGTGCGATATGTACGGCGCGTGGATACACGTCGACGGCGCCTTTGGTATCATGGGCCGCGTGCTTGATAAACCCGAATACAGTGCTATAACGCAGTTTTGTGAGGGTCTCGAGCTCGCGGATTCAATTACAGGGGATGGCCATAAGTTACTCAATGTGCCGTATGATTGCGGGTTCTTCCTTTCTCGACATCGGAACATTGCTGAACGCGTGTTTGTGAACCCAAATGCGGCGTATCTCGCTACTTCGGGCGGAGATGATAATATCATGTCACCTCTGAATATCGGCCTTGAGAACTCGAGACGTTTTCGGGCATTGCCTGTGTATGCTTCCCTCGTTGCGTATGGGAAAGCTGGTTACCAAGATATGCTGGAACGTCAAGTTAAGCTTGCGAGGGGTATTGCGAAGTTCATCATCCAGAGCGAGGAGTTTGAGTTGCTTCCAGAATTTGAAGGAGAGGAGGATGAGGTTTTGAGTCGAGTTTTTATCATTGTGTTGTTCAGGGCGAAGGACGAGGGATTGAACAAGGTCCTTGTGGATAGGATCAAGGCGACGAGGAAGATCTACGTTTCGGGCACCTCGTGGGATGGGAAACCTGCGTGTCGGTTTGCAGTGTCGAATTGGCAGACGGAAGAGAGTAGAGATCTACCCATCATCGAGAAGGCACTTGGTGATGTCCTGGAGAACTGGAAGAAGGAGGGATAAACAACCCAGGAAAATTATAGCATAACTTATCATGTCTCGCAGCATTAATCCATGATGTCCTCCATACAACCACTCTTTGTATATCATGAAGTCACCTATCCTCCCCACAAAACACCAATACCCAATCGCTCCCGCTATATTCGTTCAAAAGTCCTCCATCCTATACACATCATAAGCCGGTTCCTCATACGGATGTGCTCTGGATCGAATCAGCCCCCTCACCACAGATTCCCCTGTCCATTTCCCAAAAACTCACTTCTTCAACGCCTCAACAACCCTCCCCACCGTCTCCCTCCCCACACAAACCGTCTCAACCCTCCACTCATCCACCTCCTCCAGCGCGCCGACCTTACCAATCTACACACCAAGTCACCTCCCCAGCACAGGCACATAAACATAGCAAAGTACACCCAAACACGGACATCACTAAGAAAACAGAATGCAACGCACATGCGGATCCGCCCCTTCTATGGGCCGAAACTGGCCCGTACCTCTGCTCGTGAAACAGCACTCGGTGTAGCCGGGGTAGCGGCCCGCGCCGGCGGAGAAGATTGCTGCTTTGCAGGGGGTGAGGGCGGAGGCGGGGACGAAGAAGATGAGTTTGAATTTTTGGAGGGGGGCGGTCATTTTGAGTGGAAGGTGATGGGTGGGAACAGGTATGCTTGGGGGGGTAGTTGCGTCTGTTGGTTGGATGGTGGGGTGTAGTGGGGCTGTTATGGTGATGGATGAGCGTGGATATGGGCTTGCTTGTTTTATTTATTTATTGATTTGAGGTAGCGTGATTGCTTGTGTAGAGCTTATGGAGTTGGATATGTCTGGGCATGAGGAAGCGAGGATGTATATGTGCTGTCCTGAATTGAAGACAGTACAGTGCATGCCAAGATCATCTGTAGTGCAAGGCATCGAGTTGATCATGTACAAGACTTGACAGACTACATCTCAACGTGCTTATTTTTCAGCGCCATACAAAAGCTAGAGAAAGAGGACGTGTGAGCGAGAATCGCGTCCTCGGGACGGAAGTGGAAGTGGAAGAAGTGACGACACGTGCTCGGCGCGTTTCCCTTGTTTAGCAGGCCCGTGCGGATAAACACCACACCACACTTCCAAGCGGGGGTCCAACCCACAGCCCACTAACCCACCAAGCAGCAACAACCATGGCGCCGACACCCAGAAAGTCGACACGCGCAGCAGCGACGCGCCGAAAAGCGCCCATTGCCGACGATTCAGACGAGGAGGAGAACAAGACAGTTGCGTCTGGAGTGAAGGAGGAAGAAGATGACGAGGCAGAGCCCGCACCAACACCCGCGCCGCTCAAGACAGGACGGGGTCGCGGTCGCCCACGCAAAGCCGCAGCTCCAGTTGCAGACGAGAATGCAACGCCCAAGCCCGCGACGCGGCGACGGCCACGCGCTACCGAGTCCACGTCCACGGCTGCTCCCGAGAGAAGTGCCCGTCTGTGCTCGCCGGCCAAGGTTGTTCCTCAGAAGCGTGGGCGAAAACCTCGCTCGTCGGTTGCCCCACAGGTCGCTGAGCCGGTGAGAGAAGAGCCATCAGTAGTAGAAGAGGAGCCAACGGTCGTGGAAGAAGAGGTGTCAGCCGTGGAAGAAGAGACAGCCGTGGACGAAGCACCGTCAGTCGTGGATGAAGAGGCATCAGTCGCAAATGACGAGGTATCGGTCGCGGACGAAGATGCATCAGTTGCGGACGAAGAGGCGTCAGTCGCCAATGAAGAGACGTCAGCCGTGAGCGAAGAGGCATCAGAGCAGGAACCCGCGGAAGAGTCGAGTGCGTCTGTTGCAGACACAGCACACGACACCGAAGACGAGCAGACAGTCGTCGCAGAGCCGCTGCCCAAATCAGAACCAGTCCCCGAGCCCCTCGCCGACATCACACAAGTCGTTGTGAACGCGCCAGAAGCGACAGCAAAACCCGAACCTAAACCCGAAGCGTCACAGCCAGACATGTTTCAACCGATCAGCTCTCAGCACACTGTATTGGAAAGGCCCATGGATATTGTTGCAAAGAGACGGGCAGCTGCGGTGCCATTGCAAGGCCCTGAGCCTCCAAAACAGCGCACAGTCATCACATGGCTGGTCCTGACCAACTTCAAGAGCTACGCGGGGCGGCAAGAAGTGGGCCCGTTCCACGCATCTTTCTCCTCTGTCGTGGGACCAAACGGTTCGGGCAAGTCCAACGTCATCGACTCGTTGCTCTTCGTCTTTGGGTTTCGCGCGAGCAAGATGAGACAGGGCAAGATCTCCGCCCTCATCCACAACTCGGCTGCATTTCCGGACCTGGAATACTGTGAAGTCGAAGTTCACTTCCAGGAAGTCAAGGATCTCCCAGGTGGTGCGCACGAGGTGCTTCCGGAAACACAGCTGGTCATCTCCCGACGTGCTTTCAAGAACAACTCCAGCAAGTACTACATCAACAAAAAAGAGTCCACCTTTACAGTCGTGACTACACTGCTGCGAGAGCGTGGAGTCGATCTGGATCATAAGCGTTTCCTCATCCTCCAGGGCGAAGTCGAGTCGATTGCGCAAATGAAGCCCAAAGCCCTTACTGAACACGACGACGGTCTTCTTGAGTACTTGGAAGATATCATTGGTACCTCAAAGTACAAGACGCCTATCGAGGAATCTGCAGCTGAGGTGGACGTCCTGAACGAGACTTGCATGGAGAAGAACAACCGGGTACAGCATGTCGAAAAGGAGAAGAGTAGTCTGGAAGAGAAAAAGGACAAGGCTCTATCCTACATTCGGGAAGAAAACGATCTTGCCGCCAAGCGAGCGACTCTCTACCAGATCAACATCTCCAACTTGGACGATCATATTCAAGTCACCCAGGAATCAGTGGATCAAATGCAGGCTCAACTCAACGAAGAACTTCAGAAACACCAGGGCAGTGAAGAAGAGATCAAGCAGCTAGAGCGTCATCACAAGAAGGTGGCAAAAGAGTGGGAGCAGGTGGAGAAGACGAGTCAGGAACTCCAGAAGGAGGTTGCGCGCATTGACAAAGAAACAGTCAAGTTTGAGGAGAAGAAGAAGTTCTTGACTGGCAAGCAGAAGAAGCTCGAGAAGACTCAGGAAACGAGCAGCTATGGCAGAGCCGAGTCGGAAACCCTCGCAAAGCAGTACACTGCCGATCTGGAGCGCTACGCAGAGGAGATTGATGAGCTAGAAGACAGCATGAAAGTCGAAGAGAAGGAGCTTGAAACTGTCCGCCTAAGCTTGGCAGGAAAAACTCAAGGCCTTTCAGACGAAATCGCGGCCAAGCAGAAGTCCCTGGAACCCTGGACTGCCAAGATCAACGAGAAGAAGTCTGCCATGGCAGTTGCACAGAGCGAACTCGACATCCTTCGTGAGAGGGAGAACGCGGGTACGAAGGGTATCGCCGATGTAGAGGCCAAGATTGAGGCATACCAGGAGGCCAAGGAGAACAAGGCTGCCGAGCTTCAAGACTGCAAGGCCGAGAAGAAGCGGATCGAGAAGGAGGCCCAGAAGATGCAAGCCGTCATCGAGAATCTAGCTCAAGAGGAGCCCGCATTGAGGTCAAAGCTATCTGGCGCGAGGGCCAAGGCTGATGAAGCCCGTGCTAGTCTTTCTGCTACACAGACACAAGGTAACGTCCTCGCTGGCCTCATGCGTCTGAAGGAGTCCGGTCGAATTGATGGTTTCTACGGCCGTCTAGGCAATCTAGGCACTATCGATCAGGTATACGACGTAGCAATCTCCACAGCTTGCCCACAGTTGGATAACATGGTCGTGGACTCTGTAGAATCTGGTCAACAGTGCATTGAGCATCTCCGGAAGAACAATCTCGGTCGCGCTAACTTCATTCTCCTGGACCGCCTCGCAAAGCGAGACATGTCGGAGGTCCAGACACCTGAGGGTGTTCCTCGCCTTTTCGATCTCGTCAAGCCGAAACAGGACAGTCTCAAGCCTGCCTTCTTTCATGTGCTCCAAAACACGCTCGTTGCGGAAAACCTGGACCAAGCAGAACGCATCGCTTATGGCGCAAAACGATGGCGCGTTGTTACCCTGGATGGCAAACTCATCGATACAGCCGGTACCATGAGTGGTGGTGGAAGTCGTGTCGTCAAGGGAAAGATGTCGTCGAAGCTGGCATCCAACATCTCCGGTGGTCTAGTCACCCAACTTGAGCAGGATCGAGACACGCTTGAACAGACTTTTGCTGAGCGCCAGCAAGAGCAACAAGAGCTCGAAACTGCGCTGCGGGGTCTAAATCAGCAAATACCTGAACTTGGTACGAAAGCGCAGAAGATTGCCCTCGAGTTGGAGAGCTTCGATCGTAACATCGCGGATGGTCAACGTCGGATTAAGGAACTGGGCACTGAGCAAACTTTAACAAAGTCAGACAAGGGACGCACTTCCTCGCTGGAGAAGAGCATTGCTTCGATGGAGAAGGAAATCGCCAAACTCAGTGCTGAGACCGAGGATGTAGCAGCCGAGATCAAGGCGCTGCAAGACAAGATCATGGAAATTGGTGGTGTCAAACTCCGAAGTCAGAAAGCCAAGGTTGATGGCCTGAAGCAGCAGATTGATACACTGACAGAGCAGTCTTCTAACGCTGAGGTGGCAAAATCGAAGGAAGAAAAACAGCGCGCCAAACATGAGAAGGCTTATAATGACGCGATCAAGGAGTTTGAAAAGCTTGCAGCTGAAGCGGAGAGGGTCGAAGCGGACATGGAGTCCCAAGAACACGATGCTTCCGGTCTCCGGCAACAAGCCGAAGAAGCGCAGGAGGTATATATCATGCAACTCAGTAACTACCATAGCTAACGCTTGTTACAGGCTCTCGAGACCAGAAAAGATGAGCTCCAAGCCGTCAAGAAAGAGCTCGACGAGAAAACCACCGAGCTAAACGAAACCCGCGCCATCGAAATCGAAATGCGCGTCCAGCTCGAAGAAGGGCAAAAGGGCCTCGCAGTGTACCAGAAAAAGCAGGCCGAATACCAGGACAGATTGAGTAAACTCTCACACCAAAACGTCACGTAAGTTCCCACACTCCGACACACAAAATGCCATCTAACGAATTCTAGCGACTTGGGCGAAGAACAAGAATCCGACTCCGGCCTCCCAACCTACACCAAAGATGAGCTCTTAGACATGGACAAATCGCAACTAAAAGCCGAAATCGCCGCTCTGGAGAAGAAGAACGAAAACACCCCCGTCGACCTCTCAGTGCTGGCCGAATACCGCAAACGCGTCGAAGAACACGCATCGCGCTCCTCAGACCTCGCCAGCGCAGTCGCCACGCGCGACGCCGCAAAACGCAAGTGCGACGAGCTACGCCGCCTCCGCCTCGAAGGCTTCATGGAGGGTTTCGGCATCATCACAGCGCGGCTGAAGGAAATGTACCAAATGATCACCATGGGCGGCAACGCGGAGCTCGAGCTCGTCGACTCGCTCGACCCCTTCAGCGAGGGCATCATGTTCAGCGTCATGCCGCCCAAGAAGAGCTGGAAAAACATCTCCAACTTGTCGGGCGGCGAGAAAACGCTCTCCTCCCTCGCCCTCGTCTTCGCTCTGCACCACTACAAGCCCACGCCCTTGTACGTCATGGATGAGATTGATGCCGCGCTTGACTTTCGCAATGTCAGTATTGTTGCGAGCTATATCAAGGAGCGCACAAGGAATGCGCAGTTCATCGTCATTTCGCTGCGCAACAATATGTTCGAGTTGGCGTCCAGGCTCGTCGGCGTATACAAGGTTAATCACATGGTATGTTCTTCCCCTCCCCCCCTCCTGCGATTCACGCCATGCGTGTTTGGCAACGGGATTGCGCAACCACGCGTACATACATACTAACCCTCACGCAGACAAAAAGCGTCACAATCGAAAACAAAGACTACATTACCGCACGCGCGTAGCCGTAGTGCAATCGTGAAGGCGCGTTGGTCCTGGATATGGCTTTGGATATGGCGTTTGGGTGCGGGAGTTCAGGGGCTGGCGTGGATCGCGGGACGGAACGCATGGTCGAATCGTTATGGACTAATGCGTGCACTGGTTGGGGCGGCGCTGGAGGGGATCGGAGTGTATGCATGCATGCTTTCAACACGATATACCGCGCATGATTCATTGATTGACTGATTGGCTAACTGGGTTCGGTATCGAGAGCCGCATGTGTGCGTGTTCATGAATTGGATTACGAACTTCACGTTGAAGGACTTTGGATGATTTGCCCGATGTTTGCAGTGGGTGTGTGTGGAGTTTGCACGCTGGAATAGGGAGGTGTTTGTGAGGAGAGGTGTTTTTGGGATATATAAGACAGGTCTGTTCGTGACAGCGTTAATTTCTCGTTATCGTGTCTTTAATAAAGTCTGATGTGATGAATCTTCTTTGGTCAACCTGGGCAGGGGGGGGTGTGGGTCCAGGGGAAGTAGTGAAAGAGACAGGGTCGGATGGATATTATTCTTATATTTTCCTTTGAGAGAAGGCAGTCGCATATCAGACACTTAGCATCTAGAGTTCTGGTTCCATTCCGTCGAGTGTATTTCAACCAACGGCAGACAGTTTCATGTATTTTCTTCATCCCTATAGTCTATTAAGAAGTACCTCAGCCCACTCCTCTCCGTTGAAGAACAGAATCAGATACTCAGTACATTCCGCCACGTGCATCTGGATCGTGTTTACGTCAATCAACCGGTCACCGCCTACCTTTGATTTCGCGGGTACGCAGTCTCTAGCAGCGTGGTTTGCGATGTCTTAGTTGGTTCGGCCCAATATTTGCCCGCACTCATTGCAGTTTATAACCTCAATGATCTGGTTCACTGTCGGCTCGTTGGCGATCGACCAAACTTCAGACAGGCCCTCAAACAACCCAATCTCCTTTGCAAACTCTTGAGCCTCGCTGAATGTAACCCATTGTTCCGTGAAAGGATAGAGCCTAGCGATGTGATATCGATGTCGCGTGTCCGGCGTAGGGTGGCGCACGTTCTTCTTCGGATAATAGGACCTGCGACAGAACCCATCTGCGGGTGTACTGCTTAGTATAGCAACTATTCCCTGGAGCTCAACAAACTTGCGCTGACGGACTTTAACAGCATATCCGTGGTGGTTATCGTGCAGGAATTGGTATATCATGTGGTCTTCTGTTATTACCGTCTTCCTACGGAACAGTAGACTGAATGGTAGAACGACAGGCCTCAACTCCGCGGCAGCTGACTGACTACTACTGCATGTTGTCCAGTGTTGGAGGGCATCAGCCTTCGTGAAGAAGGCAACTCGGCAGACGTCACAACATGAGATCCACAACAGGTTTTGTTGGCGTACATCCGAATGATGTTTGCTAGCATGTAACTGAACCTCATTTGGTCCGTCGTTCGTAGATAGGGTAACGTCTGAGCTGCATCTGCTGCAGCGATATTGCGTCATGGGACTCTGCGCGTCTGCGAATTTGAGAAGGGCGTCAACGGCTGGAAACACTCCGTGTTGTTTTGCGATCTTTCGTGCGCTGTGTGCGTGCATCCAAGCGCAAGGATGCACAGAGAGATTAAAGTTGCTGTTGAACGGATAGATAAATGTGTCGAGCGTGTCAATCGTATCCGCCGATAGTCTCGCCTGTGAGTTCTGCTCGTTTATGAAACTGACTATCCCTTTTACAGGAACGGCGTGGCCTTGATGCACGGCTGCGAGTCGATGCTTTCCTGTTTGCAGGAATACCTGTCTGATGCCTTTTGGTCTGGACTGCCGTGTCTGGCACTCCGGTCGAACAGCCGGACCAGAGTTTCTACGGAGGAATCACCTACCACTTGTGCTGAGCTCGAGGAGTGTGACACCAGCTTCCAGGTCAAAGCCCGGGATACGCCCGCAAGAGCGTCGTGCACGGGGGCGTCGTGTTGCGAATTAGAGTATGCTAGTCGACACAGGACGTCAACCGATATGCGAATCCCCACCCTGTCGTTTTCATCCTCACACGTCACGACTTGAACGCCCTTGGTGATATCGCAGCATTGGTCTCGCTCATTCTCAAAATGGAATGCACGACAATCCACCGACTCTCGTACTTCAATCACAATGTGTCCGAAGCGATTGCGTTGTGAGGTAGCGGGTAGCGCCGAGTGATTGCAGGCAAGACAATACATGTATAGTCTTCCCATGGAAAGGCTTCGTTGCAGAATAGTCGCGGGGACTGTGTCATTACAGCCTGGGCAGGTGAGAGCGTCGACTGGGACAGCTTGCCCGTAGAGTTCTGCAAACGGGTGCTGATTCATAGACTCATCAGGCCCCGGATCTAGCCACTTATTCACGTGCAAAGTTTGCAGTAATAATCTTGCCTGACACAAGCAGAACCGGTCCGGGTAGCGATTGAGAATGTTCAAAGCGAGCTGAATTGTCTGGATAGCGTAATCGACCTGAATGTCCACTGCGTCTCGAGCCATGGAAAGAAGAGAGTAGATTTTGTCGCGCGGATCCGAGCACTGTTTTGACCTAGAAATCCACAGGTACTCTAATAAAGTGTGTTCAACGTCGCGTGATTTCATGTCGAGAGAAGGTCGCCAGGGAAGATCCAGACCGAAGCGTGTATAGCTTGCTATGACAGCATCGTGAGTGCTGTTGTGTACAACGGCACTGTCAAAGTCAGTGAGACCTACTGCTTCTTCGCCTGCGAGGAGATATACGTGTTTGGCCAACGTAATCTCCTGTGTGATCCAGGCTCTCGTCCAGTACTCGTTCTTACTAAGGTCAGGAATGCCTTTGCGGAACTTGTCTGGTGGTATCAAGCGTCCGTGATGCCACTCGGTTCTAATCCCACGGAAAAGAGAAGCGAGGACTGGCTCATCCCCCATCCACGCAATTACGTTCTGCGCGCTTCCGTAAATTTTGCCCATCTGTTGCACCTGGTGGTTCCGCTCAGAGGTGTTATTTTGGTCGATACATATTGCGTCAATCCAGAGCGGTTGTTCAAAGTGGAATGCGATGCTATCGTTCGTCTTTTTGGACAAATCAACATGCTTGTTGGGCGCATTGACGATGCCAACATTCCTGGTCCTCGCCTCTTTCGAGCCTGCAACTCTTAGAAAATCCCATAGGTTGCGTCGTACACGAAAGGGGCGGTCGTCAATGAGGATTGTGTGATAGTCATCCGCTGGTCCCCATACATATGACAGACAGATATAGTTAGCATCAATCGTCGCATGGCGGACGTGGCATCGTATTAGGTCGTCTTTGGGATCAGAAGATAGGACTTGGACGAGACGTATTGAGCTTGCATCCAAGTCCAAGGGAGCATGTTCGAAAGTGTCGAGCCGCTCTCGCTTAGGATTCAAGATGGTTTCATGGCTTCCACTACGAGGTCGTTTGCGTACACACGCCAACGATGGCTCTGATTCGGTCCTGACGCGAGTCCGATTGGGAAGGTGCAATGTCGCATTAGACATGTTGTCAAGGAAATCGGGTCAAGCGCAAAAACGTTGGCGAAGCGACGGAGCAGATGCTTGACCTTGAGCTTGAGCAACAAAGTCTGGCTGCCATGGTAATTCGCCAGGCAGGGCGTCAGGCAGGGGTATTGCCAATGTCACTGGAATAAGCAAAACTCGCGGACATTATTTCGACAAGCAAACGTTGAACCGTCGCGAAGGCCGGGGAAAAGGAAAGACACGGTGCCGCACAGGTCGGGGTCCAGTTTGTGCCAGCAGATGGGCGGTCTGCAGTGATAAGCTTCGATCCGCAGGCGGGTTGCCACGTCGCAGCCAAAAAGAAGAGGCTGGACACTGCATCATCCGAGGGTCCTCGCGAGGGCGCCAATGCAGGAACAGGGCCCTTTTTCCCCAGCAAGACTGCATCCGGACATGGGTTGGCTGCTGTGATTTGCTGTATGCGAGGTTGGGCATGACGTCGCGTGGCCCTTGAGCGCGCTGGCAGGTTGCTCGGCCGACGCGCTATGTTTACCGACCAGCCTCTCGCCCAGCCACATCACCAACCTCCACCCTCAGCAATCTCGCACCCAGCAAAAGGAAACTCGAGCTGCAGACTCTGGACACACTTTCTAAGCTACCCACTTCCCACCCCTCCGCATATTCTTCACCAACTGGGGAGTTTCTGACATTCGCTCACTCACAGACTGCATTCCACACCGCCAAAGCTGTGAGAATATTACTACTTCGACATACTTTGCGCAAACTCTATCCACCGACATTCTTGCGACCAGACCAGTCGCTCGCTCAAGGGACGAGTGCGTTCCGTCGCACGTTTTCCCCGGCCCTTTGGGGGCGCAGGGACGTGAAGGCATACGTTCCAAGAGCACGTTGAGAGAAAAACACATTCACAATGGCGGGCCTCAAGTTCGCTGTTAGCATGCAGCGTGAGTACTACACGGTCATTGTGCGAAGAGTCAAAACTGACACTCACTTCTAGGGTTAATACCATTTTTGGGGTTTCACCATGTTCTCATGATCCTGATAGCCGTTGCTATTATCCTACTATGTACGTCTTGACAGCGTCTTTTCCCATTCGACAACAACTAACGGCACATAGCACTACTACTCGCAGGATGCTCGTCCACATCACCGCTCATTCCAGGCATTTTCCTCATCTCCATGTGGTACGAAAAATACACGCCTACCTACTCAATCGACCAAGTCGACCCTGGCGTCACACAAGCCATTGCCAACATCGTCGGTAATGCGCAGCTCGGCGTCCGCGTAGGCTACTTCGGCATTTGCATCAACCGAGATGGCGGTGGCTACATTTGCTCCAACAACGCAACAGCGCTCGTGGACAACGTCTCCGTTGATCAGGACCCGCTCAACCTCGTCTGGGTCGCCGCTACCTTCAAGGATGCCGTCGTCTTCCCCTACCTTCTCATTGTCGCCATCATCCTCGCTTTCTTCACCTTCATCCTGCTCGCAACGTTTCCAGGGTGGCACGAAGAGCGAGACGAGCACACAGGCTCCGACGTCGATGTCAAGCCTTTCCCCTCAAGACCCGTTTCGCAAGTCGCGCTCGCACTCATCTTCATCTCGTCCATCTTCGTCCTCGTCTCCGTGCTATGGCAACATACAGCCTCAGTCGCAGCAGCAACAATCGCTCAAGATCTAGGGAACGGGAGTGTCAAATCCGGTGTAGGCACGTCAGCAATGGTACTCGGTTGGTTCGGATTTGTACTGCTCATAATAGTAACCATCGGGTTACTTGTCATGATCCTGAGCATCATCGTCCTGGACCGCCTGACCGACGACTAAGAGCAACCCGGTACTGATTCGAATTGCATGGATTTTAATAAAAAGACCAGGTGGTAATGTGGGTGTATTGTATATTTGCGCCCAGCGTCCCTTGGCTGGTTTTGTTTTGTTCTGTTCGCTACGGCACGATTTGTTACATACCCACCTTTTGACGACGCAACTGCAGCCTGCTGCAAGGGACGACGTTTTTGGCATATTCGGCGTTGGGGGGCTCTTCTTGCATTTGGATGAATTGATCCGCGACCATGGGTGGAGGATTGCACACGTGCATGAGCAGAAGAACGCGATGATGAGCATGCAACGTATTGATGGATAGGATTTATGTAACCAACGACAGAATGAGAGAAGAATTGTTGCAATTGGAATCTGACTATGATGCTTGTGATGAATAGAATCGAAATAACCGTGGTACCTGCAAGGGTCATGTTATGGCATTGCTGCGACGTTTTTCGTGCGTTCATAGTAGATCGCAGACCTTGGCTTTTGCTGGGTGTTGAATGTGCACTGGCAGAGCCATTGCGTCTATCATCGTCGATAGCCCCTTCTATCATGCGTGACAAAGCGTGATGACAGGTATTTTACGGAGACACGCTGGTAATACTATGTATGATGCGTCCACGAAAAGAAACTGGAGCGAGACACACGTTCAGAGAAGAAGCTTTCAGTCGGAGGTCCGATGACCGGCTCAATGGTGCCACTTTGCTTGATCGGTCTTAGCGTCCAATCAAAAAAAGTCCAAGGTGAGGGGCGGAAGACCATCGAGTACTCGCTGAGGAGTACTCAAATTCTTTCTCAACTCTCCAACTTCTCCCACACACCTCCCTTCTTCCTTCACAAATATCCCCGCTAGTCAATTCATCACACCATGTCTAGCTACGCGCTCCCCAAGTCCCACCAGGACGTATGTGCCCCTCACTTCCAAGAGACATGGCCACCATACTGACTCAAGACAGCTCATGGAGAAGTCCCTGGTGGACACTGACCAGGAGGTCGCAGACATCATGGTATGACGTCTAGAAACACACCATACGACGTGTACCAACTGCAATATAGACAAAAGAGATCCAGCGCCAGCGCGAGTCCATCCTGCTCATCGCCTCGGAGAATGTCACGTCCCGCGCCGTCTTCGACGCTCTTGGCTCGCCCATGTCGAACAAGTACTCTGAGGGTTACCCAGGTGCACGATACTACGGTGGCAACGAGCACATCGACGCCATCGAGCTACTTTGCCAGAAGCGCGCCCTCGAGGCTTTCGGCCTGGATGCTGAGAAGTGGGGTGTCAACGTGCAGTGCTTGAGCGGTAGCCCGGCGAACTTGCAGGTCTACCAGGCCATCATGAGGCCGCATGAGAGGCTGATGGGTCTTGACTTGCCCCACGGCGGGCATTTGAGCCACGGTTACCAGACTCCCCAGAGGAAGTGCGTATACGCCACTGCGATCACACGGAGTACGTGCTGACTCTATGCAGGATCTCCGCTGTTTCCACCTACTTCGAGACCTTCCCTTACCGCGTAAACCTCGACACGGGCATCATCGATTACGACCAGCTCGAGCAGAACGCCCTGATGTACCGCCCCAAGGTTCTCGTCGCTGGTACTTCCGCCTACTGCCGCGAGATCGACTACGCCCGCATGCGCGAGATCGCAGACAAGGTCGGCTGCTACCTCATGATGGATATGGCTCACATCTCCGGCCTCGTCGCTGCTGGCGTCAACAAGTCGCCCTTCCCTTACTGCGACGTCGTCACCACCACCACCCACAAGTCTCTCCGTGGACCCCGTGGCGCCATGATCTTCTTCCGTAAGGGTGTACGCAAGACGGACGCGAAGACCGGCAAGGAGACACTGTACGATCTTGAGGGCCCCATCAACTTCTCTGTCTTCCCCGGTCACCAGGGCGGTCCCCACAACCACACCATCACCGCCCTTGCCGTCGCGCTTAAGCAGGCCCAGACCGAGGACTTCAAGCTCTACCAGCAGCAAGTCGTCAAGAACGCAAAGGCCCTCGAAGTCGCCTTCAAGGAGCGCGACTACAAGCTCGTCACCGACGGCACAGACAACCACATGGTACTCATCGACCTGAAGCCCTTTGCTCTTGACGGCGCGCGCGTCGAGGCCGTCCTTGAGCAGGTCAACATTGCCTGCAACAAGAACACCACTCCCGGTGACAAGTCGGCCCTCTCGCCCATGGGTATCCGCATTGGCGCACCAGCCATGACGTCCCGTGGCCTCGGCGAGGAGGACTTCAAGAAGATCGCCAACTACATCGACATCTGCATCAAGATGTGCAAGAAGATCCAGTCCGAGCTTCCCAAGGAGAACAACAAGCTCAAGGACTTCAAGGCAAGGGTTGCCTCGGGTGAGGTCGACGAGATCAACAACCTGAAGAAGGAGATTGCGGCTTGGGCTGTGACTTTCCCCCTTCCCGTCTAAATTCTCGGCTTCCGATCGGTCTGGTGCATGGCGTTTGATGGGTATATTGGAGTTTTCAACAAAAAGTTGGGTGGGATAGCATGGCATGTTCAACAGCTTACGCAATTTTTTTACGATAGATATCCGAGGCGACATGTAAAGGGCGTTGCAAGGTCCTGCATGGCGAAAGCCTCCGAACTGATGGAGTCACTGCTTAACCAGTGCTCATGAACAACGAATATTTGAAACAAACACTAAAGACAGTGATCATTGTCTTGATTGTCTTCACTCTTCTACACATCTTCTTCAAGCCCCCTGCCATTCAATACTAATCTTCTCTGAATGTCCGTTACCAGCATAGATCTTCTCCTGCGTATATCGCTTCGCAACATTGTCCGCACTCCACACCGCGTTCCCACCTACGGCCAAATTGCCATCCACGTTCGTGAACCCCGTGGCGTACGTCACGCCGTTGTTGCACGTCAACACTCCGGACACGATCCCGCATTTACCCTTGGACGATGTGAGGGTAAATCCGTTATCGACTTCCGTCGCAGTGAACGTCGCACAAGTACCCGAAGTATACCACGTCCCCTTCCCGATGACACACCCCGTCTTCTTGCCATTGACCTCGACGTTCAAATGTCCGCGGCCAGTGAACGGTTTGCCGGGCACGGATGAGTGTGTCGGACCCGGAACGCCGACAGTCGTTGTCGTCCCCGGAGGCCCCGTGCGGCGGACCTTGGGCAGATACTTGATGCCGGACTTCGGGCAAGAGGACTTTGTGCCGTCTGGATCCGCGGGGACGAAGTCGCCCGTCTGCAGCGAGCCGCGGACATCGAAGTGGTACCAGATCTCGTTCAGGCGGCCGTACTTGCATCCGAGGGTGACTTCGACGCCGGGTCTGTTGACGGCGAGCGCGTCTTGGATGGCCTGGAAGGTGTATGTTTTGTCGAAGCTGGGTTCGATACCCGCGGCTTTGAGCCAGTCGTAGCTGGGTAGGGTTTTGAAGAGGTCGACGGCGCGTTGGAAGTAGTCGACGACTTCTTCGGTGGCGCGGTGGTCGGGGTAGCACTCTGGATTCAGCGTGCTGATACATGTACCATGTTTAGACCACTCATGGGTCCAGAAAAGAAAATCGTCGCCTTGATAGTCTTTCCAGTATGTGTGCATGAAGGTGAGCAGGTCGGTTGCGTTGAACGATGTGAGGATGGAGGAGATGTTGTTGTAAGCGCGCGAGGGGTCGCAGTTTGCTTCAAAAGAGCCGTCGCAACGATCTGGCCTATACACATGCACTTGTCAGTTCGATTCCTGTGGCGATGAGATGTGTTTGGAGAATACGTACCATAGTCCGTGGAGCGTCCAGCTATCCTCGGGTCCGGTGACGGGATGTGTGTCCCAGAACTGCGTCTGCAGGAGCTGTCCACCCGGTGCGTTGAAGCAACACAGGTTCTCTACGACAGTAGTGTTGTGGCAGCTCAACTGCGGTAGGGGGCATGATTGTGTATAACCGCCTACTGCTCTCTCTCCACCACCAAGCAGCACTTGGGCGCCGCCGAGAGCGAGCTTGCTAATTGTGCGGAGAGACGGCATGGCGGATGTCTCTGGCATGCTTGACGTCGACGAAGCTACCGCATTCTGAACTCCATCCTTCACGGCCTGGAGCCATGAATCGACCATGGTCGGTATAGTGGATGTCACTTCAATCACGCGTCTTTGGTGTCTTAGTCCGCGGAGGTCAAATGAGCTACGCGTCGATGCAGAAGTCGGTTGCCAAGGTAATGATTAGAAATGTATTGCAGGTGGAGAGAAGAGAGAAGGATGGAAGGGTTGTAGGTAGAAGAGGATAAAGACCACAGCCACGTAAGGCGCAGTAGGTCATCCTGCCTGCTGTACGAGGCATGATGAGCATGTCCAGTCAGGTGCTGATTGCGCGTGCACGCCGATCTGGGGCACACGGGGGATGATGCCTGGTCGTTCCTGCGTCTTATCGCGGTGCGCTAGCATGTATTGGAGCTAGTGGTAGTGCTATCGCCGCGCTGGCTCCGCATTTCCCTTGACATCCCTTGTTGCCTCATTGTACCCATTCCCGAGCTCTGGAGATTTGTAGTGCATTTTAGTTGTCGTCGTTTCCATACGCTGGCAGTTATGACAAACTCTTTGACAGTTTGGGATAGGTTCCACGCAGGTCACGAAAGATGAGGATACGCCGGGACGAGTGATATATTGCCGATGCGCGTTTGCGTTGATACGGCCTGAGCTGTAGATTGAGGAGTTACGAAACGGTTGAAGAACACGTTGTAACGTAGATTATTCGATTGCGTTTGTGATACCGTTTGAAGCTCTCCTCGCTGATCTGAGAGGCTCTGACTCAAACGGTGATGGTAAACAGCGAGATTGTTTTGAATTACTCATCACAACGCGTAGATACCGAACTCCACGACACAGGATCCATATCAACACCTCTCGAACACCGCTTATGTTACACACTTGTGGGAACAACAAACAATAACATTTTCCTCCTACATAGACGCAAAGACACGGACATAACCACGTTCATATTAATATGGATGGATAATGAAATCCCAGTCAACAAGAGACTAAAGAGGATGTGTTTGTCGTCGAAACATATTTTATCGTAAGGTTTATGACTTTGACAGAAGAAAAAACAAAGAGCGTGATGATCAGAGGTAAAGAGTTGAGGCTTCAAGACCAACTTTCATACGAGCCAGTTTTGTTGTTCACTTCACCGTTCACTTCACTGAGCGAACTTTTGTAGTTGGCCAGATCGACCGCACGCTGACACCTATTCCTACCTGCCGTTCAAACAACTCTAAGAACCAACTCCATTGCAACTGCACAATGGCGAACGACACGAACAACACCGTCGTCTCCAACAAGAAGGTCATAAAGTAAGGTACCTAACGCCTCAGATCCGACAGTAACTAACGTACTTTCCTGCTAGCTTCAATGATATTGTACGCGTGGAGGTTGGCGTTGACGACCATTTCAAGGTATTCACCGTTCACGCCGAGTTCCTCACGGCTCGTTCACTTTTCTTCAAGAAGGCACTATCCGGCGGCTGGAAGGAAGCAGAGGAACGGATCGTGCGACTTCCCGAGGACGATACGGATACCTTCATTCTCTATTTGCATTATCTCTACAAGAGCGAACTGCCTATTGAACCCGATCCAGTACCTTCCGGATACTCGGGAGTCGAAGAATACATCAAGCTAGCCAAGCTTTATGTTTTCGCCGAGAAAATGCAAGATATTCCTTGCAAGAACGCTATCATCAAAGCCCTTGTTAGTCGGATCTACATGAAGCGCGACAGCGGTCGCTGGTACGCATTTAGCACCTTCTCTACCCGTGTCATCTATAAGGGTACACTGCCTGGTTCGCCAGCACGTAGACTATTGGTCGATGTGTTCACCTATAATGCCGAAGACAGTTGGATCGCCGGGAGCAGTGCTTGGCCAGAGGAGTTCGTGCGCGAGCTCGCAATTAGTCTCCTAGGCTTCCGAGCTATCTCAGACAGCCATCCAGCTATGAAGGACGGTGGCATGGCATACATGGAGGTTGAGGCCAAGGAAGTAGCTTGAGAGGCACACCGTGGTCTTAGTTTCCAGAACAATCCAAATAGGAGGATTGCCCAGGCTATCGAACCACAACTCGGAGTCTATGTTCGTTATGAGCCTGTTCTCAAATTCTCGCTCCATAGAATGGAACTCGATTCAACACTTTAGTTGTTGTCCGTTTCTCTTCCACGTGCACTTTTCTTATGATATCCTTGTGCAAAGACCGCTTCGTGCTATAGACAATATCTAAGAGAAAGTACAGAACATGCCTGTTCCGAAAGTGAGACACGATGAGAAGTAACTTTTCTAATCTGCTGTTGTCCGCCGCCACACCATGCTTTTCATTTGAACGTGTTGTGATAAAATGGAAGTATCATTAGCGCGCCACGTGTGTGCCTGTATATCTCAGCTCATTCCTCTCGTACATGACTCTTACTGAACACTAGCTTCAGTGAATCGATACTATCTTGGATAGGAGGCAATAAAATGGTCGCGTTGACGCCGCAAGCAAAATATGCTCCTGTCCCTCGCAAGGCGCTCATCGAGTAAGCTTACAATGAATAGTGAGCGCGCTATTATTTCCTGCTAACCTTCTACACTTGCAGCTACGACGAGTGTATCCGCATCGACGTTGGTTCCGGTGACGAGATCCGGACATTCCAGGTCCATACCCCGCTCTTGACTCCGCGATCCCTGTTTTTCAAAAAAGCTCTATCTGGCAACTGGAAAGAGGCAGAGGATCGAGTCGTCAAACTCCTAGACGATAGTCCATACATCTTCGCGATCTACACTCACTACCTCTACACGGGAAAAATAGCAGTGACACCAGACGATCGGTCTGACCTGATCCAGGCCATTGACGCCGAATATGAAGACCTTGCCCAATTGTACGTCCTAGCAGAGAAACTACAAGACGCTGAAACCAAAAACGCGACTATCAAAACGATCTTGGAGGTATGTCGCAGACATGAGATTGATGGCAAATACTACTATCCAGACGGAGATGCAGTATGCATCATTTACAACGGCACTGTGACAGGGTCTCTTGCACGCAAATTCATGGTCGACATCTTCATATGCAAGGCGACTGGAGATTGGATAGGACAAAAGACATATCCGGAGGAGTTCTTACGGGAGCTGTCGATTCAGTTGCTCGACCAACGCGCTGCTCCCGAGATAGATTGGTTGTCAGACAGCTCGCAATATTTAGAGAGCACGGCCATGTCAGAGGAACAGCGTGTGTTGGCCGATCCGGGTGGAATATAAGGAACTGTACGGTGCCATCTCGAGAAATATACATCGTCTGGATCTATCATTTCGTTTTCAACAGAAACCTACAAAATAGTCCAGTATAGGAGGTTAAAGTGCCCAAATAGGCAGATGTAGCAAACAGCGGCTCCTTGTACTTACCATCCCTCTTCTCGAACCGTTCATCACTCACCCATTCCACTCACAGTTTTCAGAAGTTAAATAACCAAGATAAACAGACCGCTCCTCCTCCCTTCTAAAAATTTACCCTCTCCGCTTTCAGAAAAAGGTGCATCAACCCACATCTAAAGCAAATGCAGGTACATCACCCTCCGTAACGAGCACCCTCCACCCCCAAGGCCAGCTCTTTCAGATTCAGTCCAAACGCACGATTGAACCACAATTTGGTGTACCTAGAGTAAGACATTACATATGCGGTATAAATCCTCGACACTGCACACATGCAGGATTCGAACACAGAGCAAAAGGACAGGGTTGCAAAATAAACTGTTTATGTAGTAGTTTGTAATGAGTTACAGAAGATAGACTAGGCTATGGAACACTCCGGGTATCTGATCGAGATAAACAGGCTATGAAAAATGCGCAGAATAGATATACAAGGCAACAGATGAGCTTGCCCGTATATCGGAGTGTAGCGGCGGTGCTAGCACACCATATCGAGCATACTGGTATGCCGAAAACAGAGAAAAACTGCTGTGGTGGCCAAGTGTCGTCGCACTCTGGTGCTGATCGAACCCATTATTATGCTAGTAGAACGCGTCAGGGTTGTTATCGTGGCCTTGCTGTCCGTAGCCTCGATCGACATCGTCCAGGCTTCTGTACTGCGACTGGCCTCCGCCACGCCCGCGGCCACGACCATGACCGCCACGATCTCCACGGTAGCCACCACGGTTCCCTCCTCTTCCATGCGACATGTTCCTGTGGTTTCCACGGCCACGGTTTTGGTTGCCTCCACGGTAGCCCGTTGGACGATGATCATCCCTGGCTCGTGGATTATGTGGACGGTGGTCGTTCTGTCGCCGGTTTGGCTCTTCCGAGCGCTGGCGATGCGATTTGTTAGGGAAATAGCTCTCATACTCGCTCTCGTTGGCCGTCTCTTCTTCGATACGCAGCATTTGCTTTTCGCCTACAACGCTTTCAAACGTGTAGGCTTGGTCGTCGGGTACGGGATGCCAGTTGACGATACGCGCTGCATCCGCTGGGCGTCCGTTTTTACGAATCGCCAACACAACAGTTGGAGTAGGGTTCTCGGAGTAGTACTTGGCAGTCTTGGGCACTGGCTCGACTCGCGCTGCCCACAACTTGTTTTCAAAGCATGAGATGCCTGTCACCTTCCATTGAAGCTTAGCGCCTATGCCACCAACTTTGTCCAATATGCTCTTTGGACACGGTTTCGGCGTGATCAGTATGCTGTTTGCGAGATACCTAATATCGCTCCTGTCGGCACCTTGGGGCAATTTGACAAGTGAGGTAAGCTTTTCTGTCATGTTTGCGGGAACCATGTAGCCGGTGTAGAAGACGGTCTTCTTGATCTGATAAGGTGGGGTGCCAGATGGAGCGTTGCCAGATTTGACTCGATTGTTGTGCGCGTTGATCATCTTCTGAATCCCAGCAATCTCTGCGACGGGATCGAGCTGTGTAGCGTTCTCAGCGACCTGTATGACTTCGGCAACGATGGGTCTGCGCGAGGATTGATTTTGTCCGGCTGCCATCAGATCCTTGTTGAACTGAAAGAAAAAGTCGCGGAAGCCCTTGGTGTGCTTGACACGATCCTCGTAGACACGAATCTCCTCTGCGTCCTTGTACGTGTACACGATGTCCTTTAGCAGTTCTTGCTTAAACTCCATGGTGCTTCTGAATTTTTGCCCAGCAGGACCAATCGCCGGCTTCAGGCAAACCATATCGAAGTCAAGCTTCCTGCTCCGCGCGATTCGCTTGATAAGGTCGGAGAAATTGGACTCGCCGCGGCCGGTGAGGAGTACGGTAAGCGCATCCTTCTGTAGCATCGATTGCTCGACGAGAGTGACGATGAGTTCGTTCCACCAGCCACCCCAACCACGCATCTCTTCTTTCTCCAGACCTTCGCCTGTCGCCGCGAGGATGTTCGAGTCGTGCCACCAGCCTCCATTCAGGAACATGTCTGGAGAACCAAGCTGGCCAATCGTTGAGCTGTTCCATAGCTGCTTGTTGGGGAGGGGACTTGCAAATACTGCTAACGTCAGTACTGCAGGACGCGCTTCACTGCAAGACACGTACGCGTGTTGTCAAAGTCGTAGATGTGGATAGCCTTGATGTCGGACACGGCAGGCAGATCTTTATCGTCGCATGACCACCGCTTGAGCGCAGTCACGGTGTGATAGGTCGCCTTCCCATTGGGCCCAGCGACTGTAGGCCTGGTCGATACTGCCTGGAATGCAGACTGCATGGTGGACAGCGAGCGAGTGAATGGTGGAGAGAGGCGCTGACTGGTCGCAAGGAGCATGGAACAATTACTTTCGTATGCTGACCACGTCGCTGATTACTCGAGATGATAGGTTGAAGAGCAACTACGCCTTCACGACCGCGCTCAGCGTTGGCCGGCAAGATGGAAGGATGGTGAACAGAGCAAGATGCGATTCTCGACGGAAGTCGCGCCGAGGCCCGTGCCATCCCATCCGCCGCATCACTCCCGAGCTATGAACGCATCATCACCAACACCACCACCAGCGCATGGGAACGCCGACTAAATTGAGCGAAGACGAGTCTGAAGACACTTGCGTGATATGTCTCTCGTCGGTCACAGAAAGAGCAATCACCGCTCCCTGCAATCATTACACTTTTGATTTCGTGTGCCTCGTGAGCTGGCTCCAAGAGCGGTCTACTTGTCCACTATGTGAGCTCCGCATATACTTACACCACAGCGTCGCTGTTCCTGACATGCATCCAAGGCAAATCAGAAGTCACTGCTGTCCAGTATGACTGGCGCTCGCCTACCGACTACAAAAGCTATCCCATCTCCCGCAGCCATCCACCCAGCAGTGTGTCTGCTCCATCTTCTCTATTCGCTCCGTACGGACTCCCAAGAAGACCAAGATCTTCCCGTCGTCCCTACTCTCCGCCAATCGAAGATGTCGCGCTGCGCAGGCGCCGTGAGGTGTACAGTAAAAAGCTCTACTCCTTCCACATGGGGAGCAACCCCTTCTCAGGGTACTGCGATGTGACCCCCCAGATGATCGCCAGCTCTGCAGAACTCCAGTCACGCGCTCGTATGTGGATACGACGCGAATTACGCGTCTTTTCTTTCCTACACGCGGATCCTGCATGCTTGTCCTCCGACGAAGCGACGACGAGCAGCAACGCCGAGTTCCTGTTGTCCTATGTCGTGTCTATTCTGAGGATGGTGGACCTAAAAGCGAGCAACGGTCATGCTGAAAACCTGCTGGCCGAATTTCTCGGACGAGAAAACAGCACACTATTCTTGCATGAGCTGAATGCTTGGCTGAGAAGCCCGTACGCCAAGTTGGAAGAGTGGGACAAGAATGTGCAGTATAGAGACGAAATCTGAACAGCTCCCGAAGAAGGTATACAGGCCTTTGTTGGGAGCGTATCTGCTACCACGTCGAGCATGTATATGCTCACTTATATATTTAAACGATCAATCAATATTACTATCCAAACTTGTCGTCTTCGCTTGTCACTTTCTCTGTTGGCATCTGGATCTACTTTCACATGTTCAATATGGTTTCTTTCGTCCAAGACTCCCTCTCAGTCAACTGTAAAAGCGGAAAAGCTACATTCTTTGTGGCTCCTACAAGCCGCAAAACTACACAGTTCAAATTTGTTTAAGTACACGTAAGGCGTATGCGGCTCAAGATCCAGGCTCAAGATTCCTACACTAACTTTAGTTGTAGTTGTCAAGCTGTTGCATGGTTTCGCTGCACCTGGTTCCTGGTATTTCGATTGGTCAAGAGACTGCCTAGCAACCAGGAACGGGAAAATTGAACAAGAGAAAGAGAAGACAAGGACACTCGCACAGGACGGTTGAGACTCGCACGTATCTCAGATCCACACGGACCGCTAGAAACGGCAGCATTTCAACAACATCGAACGCAAAGACAAAATCAGCAAATGGCAAAAGTGAAAGAAAGCCTGACGTCTGCTTTGGGCTAGTCTGTCACAGGTCGGAAACGCCCACCCGCACGGACCACATTCACCACGCTAGCAAAAAATCGCCCGTTTTGACACACCCAAGGCCGCACAGCACCCCAGCAACAACATGATTGCAAAAAAAGAATGGAAAGCCCGACGTGGGGCTCGAACCCACAACCTTGAGATTAAGAGTCTCACGCGCTACCGATTGTGCCAGCCGGGCTGTTGCTTGCTTGATGGAGAGTTGGCAATGTTGAAAAAATATATTGTGGCCAAAGAACGACATACTTCAGCTCAACGTACAGCGTTTTCATCGACCGAGTTAGTCTGAATGACTGGCTGGATTTCATCAAGTCGGTTTGTTCATTGGGGTCTGCTGATCGTTACCAGGCTTCCCCGCACCTTTGAAACCAAGTTTTTCTCCTAGCCCCTCCAATCGCTTACGTCGAACTATCATGGCAACCGTGGGCACAAACTCTCGAAATGGTATATAGGCTATCATCTTCGATCAGATCTCAGCGTGTCTCAAGATACAGTCTTCCCAGTTTTATCACATACCATCAATACAGTTGTAGCATCATCAAGAAAAGGCACATGACCGTAATCTCCGAACCGCCGAAAAGATGAGTATTATCCATGTGAAAAAAGGTATCTTAAACGATGTAGAGACATTGAAATACAGTATGCTGAATAGATTGAATAAATCTTTGACTTGGCTATTGTAATGTGCATTCGCTCGTTCAACAGACTCGTTTGACTGGCCAGATAAGTCATTGAAGAAGCGCACACCTCGCTCGTATGCTTCACAACCAGATCCAGCCATCCGAACACATTCTCAACGCCTCGAAAGACGTCTACCATAAGCAGAATATGTACGGCCTTCTCTTCCAGATCACACTGATCCGTTCTAGCTCCCAACTATCAAAACCATGCTTGATCGCCAAAAGCCAGTCTATGACAGCCGCTCCTGCACCGACCATTGAAGATCATTGTGCGAGAAGGGAGGGAATGAGTACGGTGGAATCAGCATATTTCCCGCACCCATTTCGGCCGTGCCAAAAAGCTGCTCGACTTCATTCTGTCGAAGACGTCAGTCAAGACAAACATATTGCACAAGTTGTACTCACTAGGTCAATGTCGTTGAGGGCATCTACAGGGCCAGCTCCAGGCATGGCTGTTCCGGGACTGTTGGTGTTTCCTCCTTGGTACGGACTTGAGTTGGGGTTTGGCATCAGATTCGCCGCGGACGTTGTAGGTGCATAACCGCCAAATTCTGGACCAGACGTGGGTGGTTGGAAGTTTGTTGTTGATGTTGGCATATCGAAGGTGCCCCACTCCACTACAGGCATCGCTCCTGGAAAGGCAAGTGTCTGGCCTGGTGGCTGCTGATGTTGGCGTTGCGGATGTTGCTGATACTGATAGTACTGCTGATTATGTGACTGCTGCTGTGGCGACATCTGTTGCTCAGACGAACTTTCATTCGCACTTGTTCTAGTATTGTCACTACCGCTCCCTGAAGACTGCAGATTCTCACTACGTCTCCTGTCCTCCCTTCCCTCTCTCTGCCTGGCTTGCCAGCCTGGAGTGTGTTTCCTTGGTCCTGGTAGCGGCATGGCAATCGGGGCTCTCCATCTCTTCATGCTTGCGTAGATTTGAGTTTTCCCTACCATGTCTTCCATGATCATCCTGATTTTATCGTTACTCGACATACCGCTCGGAATGTCGAACGCAAAGTCCAAGACCTTCCAGATGCGCTGTTCCATACCCGGCTCGCGCTTCCCAGCATACCACTCATTTGTTATGAGAATTGCGACTTGAAACTGATGCAAGGCGCCGACATACCAAGACCAAGTCGCCAAAGCAGGTTGCTCGATGGCCATACTGTGTTCGAGGATCATTACTGCCGCACTCAGCATGACCTGACGTAAGCGATCAGGCATTTTGTGTCGATCGCTGCTCGTATACTTCTGTAGAATGTTTATGTATAGTCTGTTTGAGGCAATACCGTACATTTCAGATGCGAGAGCGTGCAGCGGTACGGACTTGCTAAGCATTGGGAGATAGGTCTTCTCCATCGAGGCTCTGAATTGCTGGATTCGTGAGAGGAGTGAAGTGATGGTAACCTTGCGATCACCACGAACTTTTATCTTCTCTAATTTCGGTCGTTGATTCCATAGAAATCTATGCATCTCGTAGCACTCAAATCGCATACGACTGATGGTCATGTCGGTAAAGTACGGCCTATCCTCCTGGACGTTGACCTCTTCATCTCCACTCTCTGCGCGATCGAGATCAATGTCGTCAATGTTCAATGGAAATTGTGTGTCGTAGTCGTCGGGCCGAATTTGCGGACGTGGTCCTGTAGCCTCACATGTCCGAATGTCAAGGAAACAAATCTGGAACCAGATGAGGCGGCGGACTTGGATCTCAATGGGCGAGGTGCTGTATGTAGTAGGATCGCGGTGAAGACCCATGCATTCAGCCAAGCGAATGCAGGTTCCGGTCAAGGCTGAGTGTGCACGAGAAACCTCGATACGGCAGAGAGGAATCTGTATGACACAACATAAGCATATGGGACGCCAATTTGTATTGAGACGGACGAATTGATCGATATCTGTGTGGGTATCACAAAATCAACGTCGGAGGAGTATTGGAACTTACTAGATACATTACAAACGCTTGGAGCGTCTCCAGCTTTGTAGTGCGCAATAAGTTAGCCCTGCCGAGTGCTGCTTCAGTCCCTTCTCTGAAATTGTCCACCAGGTTTTGCTTGTTGACACCAAACTCGGTCAGTACTTTACCTTCTGACATGGAAATGATTGCACTGAGTAAAGCCGCGAAGACAACGGCCTGGAATGAGGTGCGAGGCTCAACACCTGCAGTGATGTTCATCCAGAAACGGTCGTATTGCCTTTCAAATGAGGGACGATGAACGGTCCGGGCAATAACATGCACGGCTTCCCAGTAGTGTGCAATAAGCTTGTCGGCCAAAGCTTTTGACGGCAGGTAATTCATCAATGATTTGCGCTCAATGCCTGGAGCAAAAAAGAATCCCGACGAGGGAGCAACATAGTCTCGACTTGGGGCTACCCAGCTCATGGGGGACTGCTTCAAACCCGAGTTTGGCCGAGGATTTTCGTACTGGGGAATTTCCTTGAGTATCTGGGCAAGCTTATGAAATGTCAGAACTCTGTTGAACACCAACAAGACTAGTCTTACCTCTTCAGAAAGCCTAGGACGAACAAGGCCGCCAATCCTGTCTGTTATTCGAATTCTACCCATTGCAATCCCGATGTCGACTACATCATCGTTACCTTCCTCATCGTCTTCATAGTATGCAGCGTCTTCAGTGGCAAAATGCGACAAGTCCGGGTCTTTTGTATCCTCGTTGTCCTCTTCGTCGCTGTCTGGAAGGCTAACAGGCCTGGCGGCCCCAAATTCGTTTCCGGGTCTGAGTCGGCTTCCTCGCACTACATCGTCTTCCAGACTTCGCTCCAGAATTCCCATCTTCTCTTTGACTTCTGCAAGTTTCGCTTGGGCTTCCGGGTCGAGGCCTGGAGCGATGAACAGGCAGGAACGACAGGCCTTGGTACAATTGCAACATGGCTGAATTTTGTCGCACTTGAGTTTGCGACGTCGACACTCAAGGCAAGATGTGATCAGACGATTTCGGCGACGGGTGCGTGGTTGTGAGTTGGGTGATGCCTTTTCCGTAACTGGTGGAGAGGAATGCGTGGTTCCGTGGACAAAATTTGCATGATACCCGGGATCAGACATTGCTAAGTGGATGACTTGTTGCAGGTTGGTGTATGCAAGGTCTGCGTGTCACAGCCGCCTTACGGACGTATGGGTTCCGGTGAGAAGGGCTAGTGATGCGTAAGGTTTCAAACTCCGGATTAAAAATATCGACCATTCGTGTATATCTTTGTATTTACTCCAATACCCCTTATGCCGCTTGTACCAATCGAAACTCTGGGCGAGTTGTGATGAATTCACGTGGCTGAAGCATTCCAATACGAAGATCCTGGATAACGTAGGCCAAGCCACGCGATTATTTCCTCCCGGTTGTAACTTGTATCTGCAGTTCTCTTCTTTCGCGAGTCCTTCTTTCGTGGTCGTTTTTCAATGTGGATGGGTAACGTTGATAACCCCGCGCGAAGCACTTCAGATAACGAAATGTGCATCGTGAGCCTAAAGCCGTGGAGGGATAGTGAGGCTGAGTGTGAGTAAGCAACTGGCGCCAAGATGTATATTGGTATCCTTTTGGCTATCGACACTCTGTGCTGATGGTTGTAGTTTATTTCTCGTTCTTTGTCTATGCTGCGGCACCAAGGCCCAATAAATGATCCGACAAAGCGCTTGCTATTGAGATGTCACTCCTGAGCCCTGCTCTATCAACATTTTATTCCAAAACTCGTCTAAAGTAGCGTTGGCCCAAAGTAATGAAGCTGCTGTTGTAACAAGCTACCAATGCACAGTGTCCAAGGCAGTTCGTATCGTTACAGATAAGGTTACTTCTCGCATAACACGAGTATGACTACATCAAAAACGAAGAGTTTAGAAAACTTCATGGATATCGTTACACGTGTCCCCCATAGACTACCTGAATCGTCCTAAAGCGGCGAGCGTATGATTTTGTAGACCCTGGGCGATTGAGTTTATGTCATCATCGTAGTAGCGAACTTTGGAGCAGTCTACGAGGGTTACACTTTGGAGGGTATTCTAGACGAGAACAAAGGTATTGAGGTGTGAAAACGTTGTGTGTTATAAGATGGCTGTAATGGAAGCTTCCTCGGAGGCCCTTTGCGTGCCTGTTTGATCGTTGAGCGGGATACGTCCTTCACCGCTTATATAGGAGAAGGGGGAGAACGACGCGATTGGGCGGGACCGCGATGAAAAGACGCCAGCGCGTGAATGACGCGCGCGAATCGCGATGAGGGCCCATCTAGTCTACTAACTGTTGCTGCAGCCCAGCACGGTCCCTCCTGCTTTCTGCGGTCAAAAACAAACAGGCCATTTCTGCTGTTTTCTTACCGACACTTGTCCACCTCGACAGTTCTACCGTCATATCATCGACCGGTTATCACAGTTACCCCTCATCATCAATTGTACATCCCGCCACGTCTCAAGATGTCTGTCGTCTCCCTCCTCGGTGTCGAGGTCAAGAACAACCCCGCACCCTTCGACGCGCCTTATGAGTTCGAGATCACCTTCGAGTGCCTAGAGCAGCTGCAGAAGGGTGAGTAAACGTGCTGGTTCCTTAAAAAGAGATACTAAAACAAGTCACAGACGTCGAATGGAAGTTGACCTATGTCGGCTCTGCCACATCGTAAGTGTCCTTCTACAACGAACCACAGTCTGAACTGACACGTTGCAGTAACGAATATGACCAAGAGCTTGACACTGTGCTCGTCGGACCTGTTCCCATGGGCGTCAACAAGTTCAGCTTCCGTGCCGACCCCCCAGACCTATCGCGCATCCCCAACAGCGAGATTATCGGTGTGACAGTCATCTTATTGAGCTGCAGCTACCAGGACCGGGAGTTCGTACGCGTAGGCTACTACGTCAACAACGAATACACAGAAGAGGCACTTGCAAGTGAGCCACCTGCCAAGCCTGTTATCGAGAAGGTGCAAAGGACAATCTTGGCTGAGAAGCCGCGTGTGACGCGCTTCGCAATCAAGTGGTATGTACCCGCAGCGCATAGCTATCGTGCAGAGCTGACTATGGTAGGGATTCTGAGGAGTCTGCTCCTGCCGAGTTCCCTCCTGAGCAACCCGAGGCCGACCTTGTTGCCGACGGCGACCAGTATGGTATCGAAGAAGAGGAGGAAGAGGAAGAGGAGGAAGGAGAGGGTGCCGCCGTTGAAGGCGAGGATGCTGCAATGGCTGGTGCCGATGATACCGCAGGCCCTGCAAACGACGAAGACGCCGAATCTGAAGCTGGCAGTGAGGAGATCGATATCGAGGAGTCTGAGGACGACGACGACGAGGAAGAGGGCGAAGAAGGGGGTGACGATGATATGGAGATGGATGAGGGGGGCGGCGAGAAGCAAGCTCAGCAGCCGGCTGCCCAGCAGCAACAGGGCACAGATGTCATGGTTCATTGATGATTAGAAATGGCACACAGTGGGGTCTTGGACAACTTGTGGATACGCTGGTTGTTGGATTCCTGAAATGGTTTACGAGCGCATGCTTTCTAGATGAAGAACGAAATTTCTGACCATCTTGGTGTCCCGTTAAATGAGTTTCCTCGCTGGGCAGGGTGAGCTTGCTAATACCCCTGGATATTTCTCAGGAACCCACCTCATGTCTTACATATATCATTGCACACGCAGAGTAACCAGTCTTTCGAATATCGAGTAGATCACAAGCTTGATCTTGAGTCGAGGGCAGAAAATGTCGCCCAACATTGGAAGCAAACATGTAGATGAAGCCAACGGCTGTGGCCGAGCTAGCTGAGCTCCATGATACATCACAACAAAGCTCTCATCTCTGGGCACTGCATGCCCGCGGCCCAGCCTTGGGGCAGAAGTTATACCTATGCATGCTACTAAATACAGAAACACAATGCGACGTCAGCCGACTCAGCCTCAAATTGTTGAATGGCGCAGCAACACTCGCAGCCGATACCCTACGCACTCGAGCAGGTGAAACATTTATAGCAGACATGTGCTCTGAGCGCGCTGTAAGACGCACAATTATGGTCGTGACACTCTCCTGCTGATGAATTTCCGCGTGCCAGGTCGAGAAGTTTAGTTGGGCACCCACGTCAAAGACCTCCATCCGCCACGACCTGATGCCTTAGACACTCTATTACTCCAGCCTCTGTTTCACTGCCAAACGACCGACGCCTATCATCGTTTCCTGCCCGCTGCCCTGGCTACCCCCGCCCATACCCCGATCGCGTGCCGCCCCACTTGGTCGTTCTGCCATAGAACGCGATCTTTTGCAACATTCTCGCAGCACGCAGCAGTATTTTCCTCGAGTTTTGTGCAGGTGCCACATACGACGCCTCGCGAAAGAGTTGCGGAGTGCGATCTACCCCGATCTGCCTACCCCACCATTACAGTAAGTGCTCCGCGCGCGCGCGTCATAAGGTCACTACCGACCTCGATGCCTCCTCACACCAGCGCTGCGCAAGGCTGAGGTCTTTGCAAAACGGCGTGTCTTTGAACGAGGGCTGACATTTGCTACCCCAGCTCTGACGATATTATAACCCATTTCGACCATGAGTTACCAACAAAACAATCCCCATCTAGGGGCGACGTTTTACCCAGGGGGTTTCGATGATTACTACATGCCTGGTCCGGCGCCTGAACTCATTTCGCCAGCGCCTCAGCGGTTCGTCTACCCCTATAGTCTGTGCTGCGTAATTGCGCCTGCTGACGTAGCCATGTTGCGGTAGGATAATGCCCGAAGTGCCCGAGAACATGCAAGAAAACCTCGCACACCTGGAATTAGAGGCAAACGGCCCACGAGTACACACACCAATGTCGGCAGCACAGGGCTACAACCAGCCTCCGCAGCGTTTACCGCCGCCGCAGCCAAACTACCAAAGCGAACAGAATGGGGTAGATTGGCCCTCGCGAAACGCCAGCATCTCCTCTGCGTTTCGGCAACCACCAAATGTGCAGCCCCAACCTGTTCAGCAGCAGCAGATGTCCCATGACTACAACCAGTTCGCGCAACACCACGATTCGCCCAACTTCTCACCCTTCCCTCAGCTCTCGAATAGGCCACCGAACGTGCCTTCATCCGATGATGAGAAAGAAGCCGTTTTGGAGAACGCACGGATGCCAGTGCTCACGTCAAATGACCCCGAGATGCAGTTGGCATGGGCTCAGGATGCGCTGGCATACGTCGATGCGGCACAACTACACGAGCAGCGTATATCTGAGCTACAAGGAGCGAGGCCAGTGACACCGCAGGTTGAGCACCAGTTGCGTGTAGATGCTCTGAATGTGGTTGGTTTCCTGGCAGAGCAATCTCATCCTAAGGCGATGTTTATGAAGGGCATGTGGCTTGAGTTTGGCAAATTTGGCATGCGAGCAGACAAAAAGGAGGCTTTTCGGTGCTACAACCGCGCAACGGCGAAAGGTTATGCACGAGCGGAGTACCGTATGGGCATGCAGTACGAGCAGTCAAACGACCCCATTCGTGCGCTACAACATTACAAGGCTGGTGCTGAGCATGGCGACTCGGCTTCGAATTATCGGCTGGGGATGATGACTCTGCTTGGACAGCATGGACAGCCTCAAGATTTTGCAAGAGGCGTCCACCTGATACGACAGGCTGCATCCACTGCGGATGAAAACGCTCCTCAAGGTGCTTACGTTCTAGGTATGCTTCAGGCGCGAGAATTGCCTCAAATCAGCGTCCCGGATCTCTACCTTCCGTACGACGAGAAAGCTGCAAGGCTGAACATTGAGAAGGCTGCTTATTTGGGTTTCGCGAAGGCTCAACTGAAGATGGGGTCCGCCTACGAACTCTGTAGTTTGGGATGCGAATTCAGTCCTTCACTGTCGTTACACTACAATGCGCTTGCCTCTCGTCAAGGCGAACCAGAAGCTGACATGGCCATTAGCAAATGGTTTCTCTGCGGCCACGAGGGAGAGTTCTCGAAGAACGAAGAATTAGCATATCAATACGCACAGCGCGCTGCAGCAGCTGGACTTGCCACCGCGGAGTTTGCCATGGGTTACTTCAACGAGATTGGTATGCATGTTCTGTCCAATGTTGACAAGGCTTTAGAATGGTATGAGAAGGCCGAGAAAGATGGAAACAAGGATGCATCTGCACGGATAGAGAGTATCTCGAAATCTCGTACATTGTCAAAGAAGGACCATGAAAATGTCGCAATCAGCAGGATCAAATCCCAGCACGGCTCGATGCGTGGGCAACGCCCGGCGAGACTTCACAAAGCGGCGCCCTCCCTGGCGTCTATCAATGATAATAGCCCATCCGAATACGGGTCAGATGCGTCGCCCGTTACTCCTGCGACTAGTCGATTGCCGAACCGGGGCGACAGTACAACTCCCTACCCTATGTCTGATCAACCACCAGTGATCGCTTCACCTCCCTACGAACGTCCCGCCACTGCAGCACCGTACCCTATGGACAATGGACCACCACGCTTGGGTCCACAAAGACCCATCATGGCTGGCGGATTTGCGCCAGAGTTACGAGCTGCGAGCACTCGACCTGCTCCGTCCTCGGCATTCAACATCAACCCTAACATATATCCCGCAAATGATGGTTACGGGCGCAATGGATTGTCTCGGCCAGGGCCTGGGATCGATATGGCTCCACTTCCTATACGGTCACACACTAGTGTCGACATCATGGGTCCAGGCGGTGGCGGACGTATTCCACCCGGTGGACGTGGTGCACCTCTTCCGCCAGGAGGACCAGGAAGTTACAGACAACCTGGGGGACCGAGTGCCCAACGCCCAGAGCTTAACCGTCCCCAGACACAACCTGCAGACATTGGATTTAGCGCACCAGACGCGGGAAGGAATCGATTGCAGAAGCCAGGACAACCACTTAAGAAACAACCCACGGTACCTGACATCGGCTATGTTGCGCCTCTTGACTCACGCCAGCAACACACACGACCCTCAACAGCGCAACCCGGCCAGGAGAGCAGGATGTCGTCGCGGCCAGAAAGGCCTCCAACTGCCCCACCGAACCAAGGTCCCCGCCCCTCATCGCGGCCAAATTCATCTGGACGTCCAGGGGCGCAAGACCCAATGCCCAAGCCACAGAGGGTACCCACGATACCGCAGGACCCTATTCCTAAGCCGAACCGTGTACCTACCCTGCAGCAACAATCCCCCAAGCCAGCTCCATTGCCGGCAAGTAAACCTGCAGTTGCAGCACCACCTCCGCAACCTGCGACCCCAGTCGCCTCAGCGTCAGGCAAGGGGCCCAAGACCTTTGACGAGATGGGCATTGGTGCGGCGCCCAAGAAGGACGATTGTGTAAGTTCGATCCTGGCTTCTTTAGCGAGAGTGTGCTAACAATCCGTAGATCGTTATGTAGTTGCGAGTGGTATGCTTGGTCTGGAAGTTTCAGGCGGTAGTTTACACACCTGGGTTGGATTTTTGTAGTGACTTTGCGTGATCAGAAAGCTTTAACTTATCGTGCATATCTTGTATACCCATTTTTAGAGACAACCTGAGTTTTTGGCATTTGTGTACGATAGGAACAGTTGGTTTATCGTTTGTATGCCTATGACGCCTAGTGTTCGAGATGCGACCTCGCCTACGCGTGAACATGTGATACCGTGAACACATACAGACGTACTGCATATCAACGAGCGTCACTCAAACCTGAGGTATCCATCCGGACTCTGAGTACTTAGTGAGCTCTTCCTGTCTCACTTCTCTGGAAATAACACACACGAAATGATCGCTTGGCGAGGGGTGAATCTAAAGTGTTTGCTCGAACAGTATTAGTGCGACCCACTACTTTTCTTAGCGGGGATCTACGCGTCTGGAAGTGCTCCACCAACGACGCTCCACCATCCAACGCCGCCATCAATCCCGAGCCACATCAGCAAGTTCGCCGCTCACGACTGCCAACCATGGCGGCAGTCATGTCTGCAAAGCGCTCTCGTGCTTTGACGAACGGCATAGACTCACAGAGCAGTAGAGGTCACGGCAGTCGCGTAGGTAGCCTCCGTCATCGCATATCGAAGAAATATCGCTAATGATCTTAGGGCAAACGACAACGCCAGTCGTCACCGGATATTAGCGAGCAGTTGCCGAACGAAGAGCAGTCCACCTTACCGAACGACGACGACGACGACGACGACGACGACGACGCTTCCGAAGACGAACGTGAGGAGGCTCAAGAGCAGAACCAGTATGCATGGGCGACACAGCAGGTGCAGAGGGACTTCCAGGCGACTGCAAATAAGCAAAATGTGCCGACAGAATCTGGTATCATAGAGGAGATCATCTGCGTCAACTTCATGTGCCACGAGCATTTGAAGGTTTCCTTGGGTCCTCTCATCAACTTCATCGTTGGCAACAATGGTAGCGGCAAGAGTGCGGTTCTTACGGCTCTTACTATATGCCTCGGTGGAAAGGCCACAGCGACCAACCGGGCACAGAATCTCAAGAGCCTGATCAAAGAGGGCAAAGACCACTGCACTGTATCAGTTCGCATCAAGAACCAGGGCGCACTCGCATATAAGTCTGGAGACTACGGTAGCTCGATTGTCGTCGAACGACACTTCAATCGGTCCGGCACTTCTGGTTTCAAGCTCAAGGACCAGAATGGCAAAATCGTGTCGACTAAGAAGGCTGAGCTCGAAGATATCCTGGACGCATTCTCCATGCAGATCGACAATCCCATGAACGTGCTGACTCAGGATATGGCACGGCAGTTCTTGAACCATTCTGGTCCTAAAGACAAGTACAAGTTCTTCCTCCAAGGCACCCAGCTCGAAACACTGAATCGGGACTATCAACAGATTGAGCAATCGTTGGAATCAATGAACACCAAGGCCGAGTTCAAAGAATCTGGGCTTGATGTACTCAGAAAGAAGATGGAGATCCTTACATCAAAAGCGCGCCGGGCAGAGAATCTGGAGAAAATGAGAGCTGCCGAAACCGAGCTGGCGCATCAGGCAGCTTGGGCCGGAGTTGAGCAGTTGGAAAAAGAAGAGGCAGAGATGCGACGTGAAGTTCAGCGACTCGATGCACTAATCGAGCAGAGGACTGCAGCCGTGGAAGCGGCGTCTGTTAGTTATGAACGTGCTGACTCAGCTTTCCAAGTGGCCCAGGAAGAGGTGACGGAACTGACAACTGGAATGGAACCAGCGCAACAGCAGGTAAAGGATGCCGCTGATCAATTCAACGATGTAAAGAAGAAACTTTTGGGACTAATGGCCGACGAGCGAAAAAGTGGTGGAGATGTTAAGTTAAAACAAGACGAGGTCGCTCGTTATGAAGCGGACATTGAACAGCTTCGACAACGTCAGGCGCAAGCTGACAATGGTCGAATGGAGGAGAAGGTCCGAGAAGTTGAGGAAGCCAAGACAGAGCGCGAACGAGCAGAGACAGCTTACAGCAAACACAACGAGGGCTTTGCGGAGTTGCAAGAGCAGCTCAAGACAGTTCAGAATGAGAAGATACCAATCGACAAGAACGTAGAGAGAGCCCGCGGCGACGAACGACGCATCAGGAACAATATCAATACTCTTCAACAGGGCGAGGGCAACTGGCTAAATGCATACCCAAACTCCAGAGATCTTCAAAAATTGCTGCATGCTATTGATGGCGACGGAAGATTCCGTGAAAAGCCAGTTGGCCCCATGGGTCGTCACGTCAAGCTGTTGCTACCGCAATGGGGTCACATTCTGGAGAAGCAGTTCGGCGGGATTCTTAACGGATTCGTCGTGACTAGTAGGTCGGATCAGGCCATCCTGTCCGGGTTGATGCGAAAATGTGGTTGGTATGTAAATGGTGTAGAAGACTCTTGAAATCGAGCTAACGCATATCCTTCAGGACTGCATCAATACTCATTGGGAATAACAATCGCATTGATACAACACAGCATGAGCCTCACTCTTCGCTTCAGACATGGTTGAAGGCGCTCAGGGTAAGTACACTGTCTACCCGATTTGGCGTTTGAAGAACCTATCATTGATTCACATCTCAGATCGAGAACCATCTTGTTCGAAACCAGTTCATCATCAACCAGGGCATCGAACAAACGGTACTCATTGAAGATCAGACGGAGGGCACGAAGTTCATGCACGACCGTGGACCATTGACTGACAAAGTTAAAATGTGCTTCACCTTTGCAGACGGCGATAAGAGGAAGGGTCGAGTCATAAACTATACTTCCAATGGCGGTATCAACGATAGTCCAATCGCCGAATTTCGGGGACTTATGCGTATGCAAGTGGACAAGGAAGCACAGATTAGGTATATCTATCCCCCGTCCTAAGAAGATGCTTAGCTGACCTTGTTTAGGGAGGAACAAGCGCGCCACAACGAAGCGCAGCGCGAAGTGCGTGAGCTCGAGGATTTAGCCCGGAAGCTTCAAGAGAAAATTCACGTTTGCAAGACCCAAGAGCAGAATCATCAGAGGTTGAAGAAACAGCTTGACCTCAAACGCCAGCGCGCTCATGATGCTGTAGAACGACTCGAGATAGAACTAAGCAATGCAACGCCAGACGATGCAGCCATCGACGTACTCCAGGAGCAACGGGAAGTCGCTAAGGAGGAACTGGAACGTGCGGAGGGTGTGTTCGAGGATGTGGTGTTACAACGTGTCAAGCTGAACGACGAGAACCGCATCAACAAAACCAACATGGATGAGGCGCAAAAGGCTCTTGACGAACATGAATATAGTCTCAGAAAGGCGCAGGCCAAAGTCAGAAACTTCCGGGAGCAGCGAGAGCAGGCACTGAAAGACAAGAACAAAGCCATAGACTTGGTGACCGGTGCTCAGGGCAACCAGGCCGAGTGGAAGGAAGCACGTGTGGCGAAGCAGGGCGAAATCGATACAATGATGAAAGGAGCTGCAGAAATCTGTCCGGAGCGAGTAGAAATCCCTGATGGCAAAACTCAGGACCAATTGGTGGAGAAGTGGCAAAAGCTTGTCGCGACCAGAAAGCAAGCGGAGGATGAACTGGGCGGTTCGCAAAGCGAGCTGTTGAGGCAAGCAAACGGAGCAAGGAAAACGCACTATGAAGCCATGCAGGAGCTTGAGCACATCAAGGCTCTGCGAAGCGTAAGTAAAGGATGGTTCGCGAGGTTGCTTCAAGAGACTGACCGTTGTATAGCATCTCATCAACACCGTCATCAACCGCAGAGCTCGATGGAAGCAGTTTCGCTCAGGCATCTCGGTTCGAGCGCGAGTTACTTTCAACTACCTGCTCAGCGAGCGCAAGTTCCGCGGCACGCTCAGCATTGACCATGCCAAACAAGCGCTTGACATTCATGTAAATTACAGTAGTCTGATGTCTCTTTTGAATTTGGCTGACTAGCAAGGTTCAACCGGACATTATGGAGGTCAGTGGCGACGGACGGCAGACCAAGACTCTTTCCGGTGGAGAAAAGTCTTTTTCTACTGTCTGTCTTCTACTCTCGCTCTGGGACGCGATGGGCTCCCCCATCCGCTGCCTTGATGAATTGTAAGTACTCTGCCAGTTATTCTCTTGGCCAGAAACTGACATGCATAGCGATGTCTTCATGGACAGCGTCAACCGAGACCGGAGTATGAACATGATCATCAAGGCTGCAAGGCGCTCTATCGGTCGACAGTTTATTTTCATCACTCCACAGTCTATGAACAATGTCAAGCAAGACTCGGATGTCAAGATTATCCGGATGCGTGACCCTGAGCGGGGACAGTCGGCGCTGAACTTCCAATGAGCAGGCCTAGGTAGATTTTTGGACGGAGTTGTACTTGGGTTTTGAACACAGGGTAGGTGGGGTGTTTGGGTGGCTATCTGTGTGATGATTTGTATATTTATACCCCCTCGATCCGGCGTTGGGCATTTCAAGAGGATGTTGGTAGTCGATTATCAAAGTACGGTCGGTGTTGAGCTAAAGCAAAACAAAGGAAGTGCCAGGTGCGGAGAGAGTGTATTTTTGCTTGTTGTCGTTTGTGCTCGTGCAGGTGCAGAGTAGTGGGGCGTGCAGATGCCAGGCGTTGGAGTGGAAACGAAGGCTGAGGCTTGGTTGATCTGCCCTAGGGTCTTGTCCTGGCTTCCTACCTGACTCGGTCCCGCGACTTGTTGTCACGCACCAAACAACCCGACGACGCCTACGCCCACGCCCACGACCAAGCCCACTCGTTGACTCGCCCATACGCCCACACGCCCACACGCCCAAACGCTCACCTGAGAGGCACCCTGCTGCTGCGCTGTCTTTTGCTTGGCTCGGTTCGCTCGATGAGGGCGCCTGCCTTCGAGCCTCCCTGAGACGTCCCACGCAACATGGCTTCCTCCCCACTCTCCATGCCGGGCACGCCCAGAACACTGTCGCCGACTTTGGACGAGGACCTGGCCCTCTCGCGCTCGCCCTCACCCTCGCCCTCGCACGACGACGCGCACACGGCTGCGACACACGACATGGAGGAGGCTGGGGTCAGGTGGGGGAGCGATCGGCCGGGCGCATCTGAGCCGCGTGCGGGCAGCAGCCAGGAGCCCAAAGGGAAAGAGAAGGCGGGCAAGGGGCCGCTGCGCCTGCTGGACCTGCCCGTGGACGTGCTCAAGGAGATCATACACCAGGTGAGTCCTGTCCACGACGCGGCCCAAGGCAAGCTAACCCGCCGCGTCTCTGCAGCTTCCTCACACAAACGACCTCACGTCGCTCTCTCTCTGCCACTCGGCCCTCCACCGCCTCACCATACCGTGCATATACTCGCGCTTCGACATCGTGTGGCCCGACGAGAGCTCGCACACGGAGCCTCGCTCGGGCGTGGATGCCCTCACCTACGGCCTGGCGACGCTGGTCATGGGAGACGACTGCTTCCCCCACCAGAACCGCCGGAGACACCAGTCAAGCTCGACGGACGCGCCGAGAAGTGCCGCCGCGACGCCGTATCCCATCGCGCCGCGCCGATTCGGCAACTACTACGGCCAGTTTACCAAGAAGTTCTCCCTGGGGAACGGGCCGCAGGCATGGGTGCAGGAGTACATGATCACAAAGGAGGGCGGGAAGATGCTGGGCACTTTGGTGGCGCTTGCCATTGCTCGCATGATCAACCTCGAGACGTTCGTGTGGGACATGCCTACGGGAGTGCTGCGCGACGTCTGGCTTGCCTTGTCGAGCCTGGCTGATCGCAGCGATAACGAGGAGAGCCGTTTGGAGCGCCTCTGGATCCGCTGGCATGACAACACAATCGACGCGCCGGTGCCCCCGCCCGCACCGCCAATGCTACTCAACAACGTAAACGTACCTCCGCCTCCGAACGCGATGCATCCAAGTGGCCTGGGCACAGTACAGGCTCCTGTCGTCGTTTCTCAGTCATTCCCACTGAGCAGTCTCTCAGCATTAGATCGTGTCGAACACCCCACGTTCTCGGCCATACCACCACTCAAGAGTCTGAGCGTCCTGGACATTGACGAATTGCCATATCTCGACGAGATGAGCATTTTGATTGCAAGGTCTCAGAAGAAACTGCGAGAGCTGCGTGTCGGCGTGGCTGCCCATGCTCAGCAACGAGACTGGGTGACCGTTTGGGAAGGGGATGGCCTACAGCAAGTCGACTACAGCACTACCTCGACTATGGCGAGCTCAATACCGGACAAGAGGCTTGGGGGCGTGCTAGGAATTCTAGTCGGTCGCATACATAACATGCGCCACTCCGAAGAGGCACACGCGCATAAGTCTAAACACAATGGAGCTATGGATCGAGCAACGGACACGACACCCCTTAAAACAGCAACACCAAATCCTCTACCTTCTATAGCTGCGCTTTCGATGCAAGATCGGGACACGGAACAGGACGTCGATCATTTTGGAAACCCGATGGAAGAAACCACTGTACCTGAAGGAGTCAGCCTGTTCAACGACCAAGTCACGCCACCTGCAAATGATTCGGCCAAGACACCTCCAAGGCTACGTGCCGCGTCTACACCTCATGGCGGTCCTTCTGGCGCTCATGAGGACGCTCAGGAACGCACAGAGCCATTGTTGACCGGCAAGCTGAGACTCGAAGTCCTGGAGCTTGAACGTGTACAGCTCTCAGTCCCTGTGCTACGCAGAGCATTCGACTGGTCCATACTATCGACGTTGACTTTGTTGCATTGCAGCAATCATGAACAGCTCTGGAAGGTGCTTCGACGAACGTATACCCCTCATTCAGCGTACTCCGGCACGTCTTCATCAAAAGCATACAAAGCGTCGTATACCCTCCGATCAGAGTATCAATTAAATTTGAAGCGAATACACACTAACACTGTTTCACCTTCTCTGATTTCTTTCCTGAAGGAGACACTCGCGCCCAACAGCCTGGAGGTGCTTTTCCTCCAGGAAGGTCGGTCATATTCGTCTACGGTGACAGTAGATGCGATATACAGAGGACCAATGCGGAGACATCGCGCAAGTCTAAGAAAACTCATGATAGACAGTAGTGAGAAGGGGCCAGATGGGCATACGACTAACAGTTCGCGGTGGAGACGATGGATGATGAATCGCGAGATTTTGACATTCATTACAAGTGGACGGATGAGTGCCTTGCGAGAACTTGCCGTGTCGATCGACTACAAGGACTGGGTAAGCTACATTCACCCCAATTCTTGTCCCACACTGTATTCATGAACTTGAATATACAAAGTACTAACCATCACAACAGCACCACTTCCTTCAACGTCTTCCTCTAATTCCGCATATCCGGTCCCTCTACATACCCTTTATCGCCGATCACGCCCACGGCAACAACATCGACCCCCGCGAGCTCGCCTACCAAATCCTAGACATTGTGCACCTACGGCCTGAAATCGAGCTTTGCTATATGGGTCTGTCGACAAAATGCTTTGAGATTCTCGAAAACAGACCCTCCAACTACGATCTCCGCCCAGAAGGCCCAGTCGAAGGCACAGCGTCTACATATGATGCACAGATTACGATTCTATCTGATGATGAGAGTGAAGCTACAGAGGACGAGGACGAGGATGATATGGACGACTCTGGAGGGCAGGGGGATGAAACAGAGAGCGAAGAGGAGGATGGAGATGGTGAGAGCGAGGAAGAGGAATTTGAAGGAGAGGGAGGTCCGAAACTGAGGGTTCGGGAGATTTTGTTTTATGAGGAGAGGGTCGAGGCTTTTCGACGGAGACATGGGGTTTTGAGACCTTGAGGTATGTATGGGTGATGAAGGGGTAGCTCAGTTCTGAGGGGGCTAGGTGTATGTGTTTTTTTCTTATGCATTTTTCGGACATCATGATGGGTTGGGTGGGGTGCTTAAGGCGTTTTGAGGCGATATTCGAAATGCCCTTGGGGTTTGTGCTTTCTTTCCTCTACTTTTGACGGGCTTCGGGCGATGGTTATGGTTATGGCGACTTCGGAGTGTGAGGTCCGGGAGTGTGCAGTGGGATTGGGTTCTGGGGATCCTTATGTAGTTTTAGATCAGGAAAGTCCTGCTCGCTCTGGGCGTGGGTTCCTGCATGCATTGGTTATTGTACCATTATGCATGTTTCTCAAGCTGGTGGCTTTTCCCTGAGACCCAGAGCAATCTAAATCAAACGACTACAACTGTTCGTATTTTCATCCCTTGTATCATTTTCGAATTTATGTGAAGATGAAGGAGTTCCACGTGAATGCGCGTTTGGCATGGCCCAAGCGCAAGAAGTCGCGACCCGGTAGCCGCTTCCCCAAACAACACGCGAGATCCAAAGCCCAAGACTGCAAAGTTGCCAGACCATACCAATGAGACGACCGGGAACCCCATACATGACTTCTTGGCCGCCAATATATCGATGAGCCACCTTCCTACATCCGCGACGCCTCTCACGTAAAACACTCGCAGAGCGGGGCTCCGCAGCACCTCCGCAATGGATCATGCCGCCTCCGTCTTCGCGTCCGTCTTCCCCGTTCTCTCGCTCTCCCACACAACCCCAACACCAGTCGCGACACCGGTTCTGGGTCAGACTGCGACAGACGGCTCGTTTGGGAGCCCGTATGCGGGCAGACATGCAGATAGGCAAGGACAAGGGCAGCACCGGGCGGTCAAGCGGGGTCTGGCATGGAGTTGCGCGACGCGATTCCTGAGTCTGCCTAAAGACTGGTCTGCTGGGGCTCAGCTGCAGCGGAACAGAGAGATCGAAGACGCATTGGGCTATTTGTTGCGCGGGGAGGGCAGGAGCGAGGATGCCAAGGAGGAGGGGCTCGTGGAGTGGTATACGAATGAGTGCAGCCTGCACTTTGCAAGAGATGTCAGGCCTGGGCTGGAAGAGCTGTGGGGGACAGAGATCGAGTTGCGCAATGCGTGGAGCCTGCTTGGTGAGACGCAACGCATCCTCGAGCAGGTGCAGACTGTCTATCTCCAACCCTTCAACGATCACATCCTCCCGTTTCTGCAGCGAGACGTGAGTAAGGCGGCGACTCGACCCAGTAGACCCGCTCAGATTGTCGAAGCTGATGCTCCGGATGCTGCGAATTGGAAGTTTCGCCGCGATTTACACGCTGTGTTTGCGCATTGCCTGCCTGCCCAGCGCTTCTCAAAGACGCTAAGTTATGTCTTGTATGACGCGGGATGTAGAATATTCCGCATCTACACACGGCGAGACGGGGTACAGGCTCACACGACACCGGAGGACACGCGCGAGTCTCGACAGCGCATGACGGTTCTTCTACAGGGACTGGAGCGCGTTGGACTTGGTGGTGATGCTGCACAGAAGGCATTCGCGCATGCCATGACTAAGCTGCTCGACTCGTTTATCACCAGTCACTATTTGAAGGTGGATTGGTACTCGAAGAAGTCGATTGTGCCGCACTTGAAGATGTGGATTCAAGACGGCTTCTGTCCGCTCGTCGAGCTGGTACTGGAGTGCTTGAGGTGCGAGCAGAGTAGCGTTCTGCCGACCGAAATATCTTCCTGGCAGGAGATGGCGCTGAGTAGGCTGGGGCGGGCAAGAGTCGACAATCTGTTCGACTTTGTGATTAATTGGGACAAGAGCTTGGGGGCTGTGCTGGATATCAAGGAGTATCTCAAGGTCACAGGCGCAAAACAACATCTCACATCGAGTTTCTCACAACAGATCTCGAGACGACTGCTGCATCCTGGAGCTACCTCGACATACATTTTGAACGTCTACATCTCTATCATTCGCTCATTTCACGAGCTGGAGCCTAAGGGCGTGCTGCTCGAACGGGTAGCAAGACCCATCCGACGGTACTTGAAGGAGCGAGAAGATACAGCCAGGATCATCATCTCTAGTCTACTCACCGACCTCAGCGATGAGACAGGCACCAAGTTCTCTTCTAACAGCGAATTTTCCTACGAGATCGCTAGCGAAATGGCAAAGCCCTTTGCAAACTTCGGTCAAGACACGGATGAAGAACTGAACTGGGGTGATATGAACTGGCAGCCTCTGCCCCAAGACGCATCGCCAGAGTACAAGAAATCAAAGGTCGAAGACGTGATATGGTTCCTACTGACACTCTGGGAGCGTGATGACTTCATCAACGAGTTGAAGAACATCCTCGGAGACCACCTACTGCGATGTCAAGACCCAGAGTACGAGAAAGAGATTCGGTTGTTGGAGTTGATAAAGATCCGTCTAGGAGACGACAAACTACAAGCATGCGAAGTCATGCTCCGCGACGTCCTAGATTCAAAACGCATCAACGCGTCCATCCGCGCAGCAACCTCCTTGGTCGCAATCTCATCCACATACCACACTCCCGAGTCCCGATCCAGAAATCCTCGCACTCCGGATGGCATACATCCTCATACACCTCAACCCCGTCGTCGCCCTGCGCCCCCTACTTCACACCTAGCCCCCTCAACACCCGCCCCCGCACCCAACGAACCAGCACTCAACGCACAAATCCTCTCATCCTTCTTCTGGCCGCTCCTCCGCGACGACACCTTCGCCGTCCCCGCGCAAATCTCCGCCCTGCAGCAAGAATACGAAGCACGCTTCGAGCGCATCAAAGGCATGCGCAAACTCCGGTGGATGAACGCACTAGGCTCCGGCTCCATAACGCTCGCCTTCGACGACCGAACAGAAGACTTTGACAACCTAGCCCCCTGGCAAGTCAGCGTCGTCTACGCCTTCCAAGCACAGCCCGCAGAGGCGCGCAAAACGCCAAAGCACACAAAAGCCGGCGAGGGCATATCGCGCTCCGTCGCCGAGCTCGAGGATATGCTCGCCATGGACGAGGCGCTCGTCCGCCAGGCCCTCGCGTTTTGGACGGGCAAAAGCGTTCTCCGCGAGGTCGAGCAGGATGTCTACACCGTCATTGAGCGCCTGCCGCGCAAGTCGGCGCTCGCGGCTGAAGATGCTAGCGCGGCGGCCGCCGCGGAGGAACTCGCTACTATTACCGCTGCACAGGCTACTACCGTCAAGTCGCAGGAGGATCTGTTCAATGAGAAGAAGGCGGTGTATGAGAGCTTTATTGTGGGTATGCTGACGAATCAGGGGAATATGCCGGTTATGCGCATCGTGATGATGATGCGGATGATGGTCCAGGGCGGGTTTCCGTTTGGCGCTGATGAGATTAGGGGGCTGTTGGAGGAGATGGAGGGGAGGGGGGTGGTGGCGGGGTTGGGTGGTGATGTTTGGGCGGTGAGGAAGTAGGATGTTGGGTGGTGAGAGAGGAGGGGGTTCATCATCTTTTCATCGATAGTGTGCATGTGAATATGAGCATGGACATACTTCTACATTATCTCTACCAGGCTAGTGTGTGCTATGGTACGATGTAACACCGTGGAAGACGTAAAATATGGCGTATACATTGAAATACGATACATACAACCCCGACGTCCTACCACAGTGCTCTCGAGAAGACGCGGTAATGACCTCCCATGCATCGTCTACCGTGACACTCGGCAAGAAAACCTTACTATCTTCACTCAATAACAAGCACCTCCTCCGTCACCCTCCTCGCGCCTTCAAGGTTCCCCGTAACGGCGTAGATACTCTGCAAAGCAAACGCCGCCTCAGTCGCAAAGTCCTCAACACCCCACTCCCCATCCGAGCACCTATCTTCCGCCTCGCTCTTGACCCGCTTACTGAGATAAATGCACCGCTCATACGCAGGTAGCGCCTGCGTGACGAGCCCCAGACTGTGCCACATGCGACCGACATTGAACTCCGCCTCCTGGCAATGCACCGCAACGCCGTCCTTGGTGCGGAGTTCATAGTACCGGTGCATAAACGCGAGGCTCTGTTGGATCTGGAACTGGCGGTTCTCAGAAAGGCGTTTCATAGCATGCTGAATATACGCGACGCCGATTGAAAGGTTGAGAATCGGATCTTCGGGCGCGATAGCAAGGGCGCGGAAGTAATAATTCAGCGCGGCCATATACGAGCCACCGCACATGAGAACATGAGCGTAGAGGGCGAAAAGCGCGGGGTCATGGTCCTTGACCGCGTCGACGATTTCGGATGAGATTGCGTTGCGGAACCACGCTGCCTTGTCGCTGTTGTCGCGGAAGTTGTACCAGATGCGTTGTTCGGGCGTGAGGAGCGCGTAGTCCATCGTTTTGATGTAGCGCATTAGTACCTTGTGGGCGGGGCCGGAGGCGAAGCCTTCGGGGAAGGAGCACAGGCGGTTGACGCAGCTGTATAGGCGGAAGAGGTCGCTTCCGAAGGGGTATTTTCTCAACAACCAGCGCACCGCAGAAGATGCTTGGTTTGAGTCGTCGACGGCGAGAGCGCAGACTAGACGGCACAACTCTAGCTGCTGGTGATAGTCTTTCATGCGATGGAAGATGTTGGAGCGCATAGCTATATCGAGCGTGCTGAAGCATCGTTGATCGTCTCCTTCAGTCGCAAGAAGGATAGCGTAACGGCCAAAGGCGTCACACCATTTATCGAATGGGACACCCCAAAAGTCGTCAGGGATATTATCTGGCCTTTCCTTTAGCTCAGGGTCCGTCTCACCGTCTTCTACGTTGTTCGCAACCACAGCAAGAACCATTAGTGCTGACTCTTTCCACAGGTCACCAGTACCAACACGACGAAAGTAGCCGTTGAACTCATCCTTTCTATTATCGTAGAACAAGTCAAAGGACGAAAACTCTTCAATCAGTTCCCGAGTAATGGAGATGACCTCGTTGACGGCGTCTTGATCTCTATCTTCGGCTGCATCGGAGATCTCATCCAGCCGCTTGAAACTAGTGACAATCTCTCGATGCTGGGCTCGAGCTGCTGTGAGTTCATCGGGAAACTCGCGGGCAAGAGATTCCAACTTTCTTCGGAAAATCCTGTGGTCAATCGCTTCCACTGGTACACCCAGCCCTTCAAGTGCACCTGGTTGTGGCTCAGGCTGCAGTACAGGTCCGTTCGCAGGTTCGACAGGAAGAAAGGTCTGCGCTTTAGAAGGCTTAGGAGCAGACCGCCTCATTCGGAACAAGCCTTGTGTGGGGCGTTCAGATAGTGGGCCAAGTGATGGAAGCGCTTTGTTGATGTCCTCGTTGCCAGAATCGTCCTCATTAGCATCCGGATCCCGCGTGCCAGTGGCTTTGTTCATCAACCTCCTATTCTTCTTGACTGTACTCTTCCTCACACTGTGTTTGCCACGGGCCTGCCTTCTCACATTAAAGTAGTATTCTCTAAGCTCGTCGTGTGCCTTGAATCCTAACTTGCGTAGTTTGTAGGCAGCCCTATTGCGATAGACGGCTTCTGCGCGTTGCATGGCTTCTTCACGCATACCGTGGTCTTCGAAGAACTTGGCTAGCACAGCGAGGTCGTCCAGAGTTTCCGAATCCCAATTCTTCATGATGGTGATGATCTGCTCTGCCTTCTCGGTCTCTTCTTGGTTCTTGTAGCACGTGTATATGCCCATGAAGCTCATGAGGCCCAGCTCTTGTGACTTGTGCCGGTAAAGGGGCTCGTAGAAACGTAGAGCCTCCTTGTCATGTCCAGTAGCGTGCAATGCATCGGCGACAATGCGAAAAATATCCTCATAATCCCACACCAGCGCACCAGGACTGTGATCATCCGGTTCAAGCATCTCAAGGTGGTGCTGACAGGGTTAGCCAGGATTATGGTACAAAAGATTTCGGCTTACCATTGCTTCTGTGAAGTCACTCGCACTGTTGCGCAGTCGAAAGAGACCTAACTTCGCCCTGATCTCCAACGGCAGCGTTTGTCCATACTTAGCGTCTTGCGACGTGCGCCTGAAATCGAGAACCGTTATTCGTCGAGGCGCGTCTTCGATGTCGAATTCGCGATCATCCTGCTGATCGTCCCAATAGGTCTCGTCCCGTCTGCCTTGCTTCCAACGTGAAAGGGCCTTCAGACGCGATATAGCATTATCGTGCTTCCCGGTCCTGTCTAGGAGGTCGAGGTAGATATTGATCAACTCCCAATCTAGGTCACTGCTAGTAGGATTTCTTTTTGGGCCTGTGAAAACCTCGATTGCTTCGTCAAAGCATTCGATAATCTTGTCAAGATGGAGCTTAGTATGCTTTCTTGACGACGTGCCCATCATTGCTATGATCTTCAGAACTTCGGTGTCTGGACCTTTCTTATCCTCCTTCAACTGTTTGAGCATTTTGCGGCCGAGCTGAACACATTTAGAGACATGTCCAAGACGCGCCTCGATTTCGAGCTTGTGACTTCGCGCTTCGTAGTTGGTGAGATCAAGGAGAATAATTTGATTGAGACACTCAAGGACAACAGCTGTCTTAGCATCGTCGGTATAAGTTGGATATTCTTCTGTATCCAGCTTGTTGACACGTTCGATGATGAAATGCCAGAGGCCCGGATCGCGCTTAGTGGGTGCACCAATAATCAGAGCTTCGATAGACTTTAGCTCTTCACCCATTGCTCCGTAGATTTCCGACACGATATTGTGAGCGTCGAAGATTTCGGGGTTCAATTGAACGGCCTTCTGGGCATACTCGAGGGCCGTTTGATAATCGTGCGCAATGAATCTCTCGTTAGCATGCCGCTGCAGTTCCTTGAACTCGTGGCCTGGGTCAGCTACTGGACGAGGTCCCCTACGTCCCGAGGGCCGTCCGGGCTTCCCGCCGCGCTTCCTTCCTCGAGTGGAGAGTGGATCACGAGTTGAGCCTCCTCCTCGTCCACGGCCTGGAGTTGTACCTCGCCCCCTACCTCGTCCTCCTCGCCATCCGCGTCCACGTCCACGCATGCCTCTAGTGCTCGGTCTTCCCCTTCTGGGTCGATCCTCGTCTTCAAAATCTTCTCCAACCTCCAAGTCGTCCAGGTCGCCTTGATCTTGCTGTTCCTCGTCTTCCGAATAGTCTTTATCTTTTTCGGGGTCGTCTTGATCTTCAATCTCACGCAACATCTCTTCCTCGGCCAACATGCGCTCATACTCGTTGTCATCTTCAGAACTTTGATACTCATGATCATGGAACAATGAGTCGCGATACCCAGCTGGAAGGGTGGGATAGTCATCTTCTTCCTCTTGACCCGGGGCTGGAATGTACCCCTCATGGACGACAGGAAGACTATTAGCGAACGTGCGGTTGAAGGGATCCTGGAAACCACCGCTAGTGTAGGGATTGTCTAGCTGTAGATCTTCCACAGCACTTAGTGGGATCAGTGGAGCCGGTGGTTGGGAATACCCATACTGCGGCTGTCCAAAGCGGTTATCCAGATCGTGAGGAAATACTACGGAGTGTTGCTCTTGACCGTTCACTATTGAATGAAGCTGTTCGTTGATATGCTGTCCAGACACTGCCAAATTTGACAGGTCGTCCGAAAAGGTATCAGTAACAGGCGCAAAGCGTCCATTATCATCATTTAAAGGCTGCTCAGAAGCCCACAGCTGGTCGAGAAAGCCACCTCTCGAATCCATATCGACTCGATTCTGCGTCCTCGTCAGTTTCGGGTTTTGTTAGCGGTCGATCATGGTTGTGAACAGCTGAAGATCGTGAGAAAGTTGAACTAACTAGGATTGTAAGCATCAGTTCGCGCTAAGAGACCCTGCCAAGCTTATGTTAAGCGCGTTCGCATCGCTGGTGTTAGCAAGTAGTACAAAAAGCTGTGTTCAGTTATGTTGATTATCCAACTACAGACCTTGTTCGATCGGCCAAAGGAACCAGGAAAATACATATTTGGCCAATAGCCTAGAAAAAGCGGATTACCGTATCATCGGGTGCAAAGACCCAAAGGGTATAATATTACAATGGTCGTAGGTACTCTCCTCCAGAAGCGGCTATTGCCATCGTTCCATCCAGAACAACCCCAAACTCCAAGCAATGCAAAAATGCACATCCTATCAGACGCGGTTGGCACCCTCGTTCATATCGACCATCTCATACTCCCCTGCTCCATCTCTTCCTCTCCCCCGACTTCTTCCCCTTGACTCCCCTTCACCGTCATCTGCAGCCTGCTGTTGTCTCGCTGCAGGCTTGCTCCCAAAATTGATAGGTTTCAGCTCACGCCATTGACACGCCCACACGCCAAGAGAAGTCATTATAGTCGCACTGCACATCTGAAGCGCCCACCAGAAGACATTCGAGGGAATCGCATGCGTGTACAAGGACGTGACGATCAGATGGATGAAGTGCACAGTCAGGGCAAAGTCAAGGACGAGTTTGGAACGGGCGATGAGAAGGAGTATGAATATGACGCTGCGAGACATTAGGGCCACGTCTCCGTTGCAAGGTATTGTATTCTGAATGGGCTTACCAAGTGAGGCTATTCAATACCCACACCAACCCCAGCGTCCACCCTACTGTAGTATCGCCGCTCAAGCTGCGCCAGCTGAAGATGAGGTCTGCGCTTATCTCTTTACCCGCGACCAGCGCCGTAAAAACGATAAGGACAGCGGCGCATACATAGTAGGCGAGTTGTAGGAGGACAATCTGGGAGAGGATTCGCGTCGGGGAGAGATCCGCGAGTGCACCGGGTCGAGGAGGGCGGCGTCGGCGTGGCATCAAGACCGAGACGCATGCGATGCACTACGATAGGGACATGCGGGAGATTGGGTAGATGTGCGAACTGTTATGTATCGATGTTGCCTGGTCGCATGTGTAGTTGGGGAAACGTGGGTGTCGGCGTCATAGCTCTCCGACTGCCAAGCACGAATTCATCTTCAATGTTCGGCATCGACAGCTCTACGACGCCCAACGAGTGTAGCTGGCCTTTGATTTGCAGAGTGTGTGCAACTTCCTCCTTTCACGATCTGAAGATTACAAGTGTACACAGCACTGATACAAGCGACAGCTTCTAGAATTGCCTCCACATCCTCGCTTTCATCCACTCCTCCACCTCGAACACTCGAACACTCGCACCGTCACAAACATGAGCTGGCTACCCTGGGGTTCGAAAGACGAGTCTGGCGTGAAGAAGACCGCCGGTGGCGCATTCGAATCACCATCAAGATCAAACCGAAAGCAATGCTACGCAGCACGCGACGCCTTCTTCGAATGTCTCGACAAGAACAACATCCTGGACAGCATAAACACGAAATCTGGCAGGACAAAAGCGACCACATCTTGTGCACAGCTAGACCAAGAATTCGAGAAGAATTGCGCTCATAGCTGGGTAGGTGGAAGCTTATTTGTTTTGTGGTGGCGCCGCTGGGAAGCCTACGGCTTGCATTGGTCTGGCGGAATTTGCACGCCACGGACATGCATCGCATCTCCATGTTTAGATAGTTGGGATAGTACAATGGCTGACTGTGCGTAGGTCGAGTACTTCAAGAAACAGAGAGTGGTCAATTACCAGCGAGAACAGACGATCAAGAAGATAGAAGCTCAAGGAGGGGAGATTGTGGCACCCCAACTGCCACTCCCAAGCTCGAAGTGAGGATATTGAGAGAGACTTGGCAATTTCGATCACGATCGTGTACATCATGTATAATAGGTACCGCAAGTTTGCTCCCGAGGTTTGGTACTTGGGATGCGACTGGAATGTTAGCGCCGGCTGAAAAACTTGGTCCGCGATTCCCGAGGCCTACATTACTCCGGTCGAATCGTAGAATCCATACCAAGGCAATCGGCTTTTTCATGGCGCTTCGGACATGCACGTTGAGCACGTTTTGCGAAGTCGATAGTGCAGGGGTGCAATGTGCCCCGAGAACTTGGTACGGAAATAATCCGCCAAGCGTGACGAACTCGCATAATGTCGTCACTAGTCCTCAAGGGTTGAGCTTCGCCGCAGGTTTCCCTTGCTTTGGGTCAAAGCCTGTAATGGTGATGAAGCGCAAGGACTAATTAGGCAATCATCGAGAGCTGTGGGTTCTGACGCTGGTGAAAAGGCCAGCAGGGCGAAAGCTCGGATTGTCTCGGTGCGCCACGTGAAAGTACATTTGTAGGTGTGCCACGTAGTTTGGGGCATGCGCGGATTTCCGTCGTCATGGTCGGCGACCTGCATCAATGTGGAGAGGTGGTTTTTCGATAGAGGACTTCAGCTCGAGCTGTCGCGTTTTCGTTCCTTGTTCAAGAACTCAGTGTGAGGCTGCTTTGTGAGTCATCCAAAGCCACAATAAGTAATCATCAGATTGATCTCTTTCACTACTCTGCTTCGAAGGACGGTTGAGAATACGGAAGATGTGTCTGATCGGGCGAGTCTCCAAAGCTTACAGAATGGTCTACCAGATAGTTTGATTAATATTGGTTGGCTGGCATCATGTCCCGCTGATCCGTGCACTAGGCCTGCTAGTTATTGTACAGATAACCGAGAGATCTCTTAGCCGATCTCGCGCCCCCCACTGACGACATGCTCTAGAAGCTACCCCTCCATCGTGCTCCCATCTCCCCTGAGTCCTCACCACCCATACTTTGTGGGGAAAAGTGTCGACGGATCAAACTCTTGTCTAAAGATCTCCAGGTCTGACATGCACCCTTTGCTCGGCGCGCCCACCATGCTGCTGTCTATTGCAAACACCACGTCCTGGAAGGCACCATGGAACTCCTCTTCCTCGAATAGGAGTTTTCTCCACATCTTGGCGACTTCGGCAGATGGGTTACGGAAGATGGGCCCGAGACCAAAAGCGCCCAAAACAAGTGTTCTGTGCCCGCAGTAGGAGGCGATACGAAGGACGGATCGCATCTTCTCTTTCATCAGCTCCTTTTCTTGCGCAAACGAGTATTTTGTGCCTGTTTCGTCGAGCTTTGGTCTCCGTACTGGCGCGACTGATATGACGGGAAGCGAGGCAACCTCAGTGAAGGCGGCGTAGTCCTGATCCGGTCCTCCTCGAAAAACAACTGGCATTCATTAGCAGATGCATTTCGCAAGCAGACTGTTCAACTCACAAACTTCTGGAGAATATATCCCGCCTCTTTGTGGTATTGGGTAGAAGTTCTCTTCTTTACCGAGTTGTGCATTCCAGGGCATTGTGAGCGCATGTACGAGATTACTCCTCCGAGCGAAGCACTCCTCAGGTGCCATCAGCCCTGACTCCCAGTCTCCGCCAGCACGCTTCTCATTTGCTACGTTGACTACCGGTATCTTCTTGCATTCTTGGTCTGTACTCTGGTACCAGCCCAAAGCATAGTTTACTGGGTCACCCTCCATCACCGCAACTCTTGTTCGTGTTGACGATCTTTTGTCCACGTTGATTCTAACTTGTGTCGCGTCCGGGTACAGATATGAGGTCTTGGAATCTCGGATGTAATTCTTCCAAATATATGGCATCCATACTCGTTTCGCCTCGGCAGCAATCTCTGATGGCTTTGGTTTTGATGGAGACATTTGGTGTACCAACGAAGTCTAAAAGTGGGAGTAAAGCTGTGTATGAACAGATGATGATAGTATTTATAAAGTGATGAGACTCTGGAGTCACGATGCCAGAAAAATGAGGAGATCGATAACACGCTTGTGACCTCCAGCCGTCCGGGGGAAAGGGCTGTATATCATCTGCCCGAATCCCCAAGGGTCTGCGATAGACATGGAACTAAACAATAGACTCAGATCGAGCCGCAAGCTAGCTCGGCTCATTTTCACGCACCAACTACAAAAGCGGCATCCTTTTGCGTGAGTCGATACAGGGTTTAAAGTTCCATGCGGGTAGTTTTCATTCCGCCATAGCGCACAGCTGCAGGTAGCAAAACTTTGAGTCGTGACCATCAGTAATTTAGGCTAGGCACAGAGATTGAAGGACTCTGGTAGCAACTGTGTTCTGTGAGATGTGACTTCTTACCCGGTCCCTGGATCCGATCGTTGAGCATACATTGTCGCCAGGAACTGGCCAGGAACTGAAGCCACAGGGCGCGTGTCCGGGTGTCAAGACTTGTCAAGCAGGGATGACAACAGGATCAATCTCGTATGCCCCATGCGATCCTGCATGTTAGCGAATGCAGCTTAAACGAGATCTGGCGCCTGTTCAGCCCGATGATTACGAGTGCTTTCCCAGATCCTGCACAAGGTAGCGCCGCATCACTAGCGGTGGCACCAAGATCTGGACGCAGGGTAACGCACCATAGACCTAGATCGGTGGAGTCCTCTGTACGGGTGATTAGTATCTTCACCGCCCTGGGTGTCGCACAACAACGACGTCTATATGTCCGCGGGAGTCACGGGGATAATAATCCCCTGCTTAAAGCGCGTTTTGGTGCACGATTTGGGCGCGAGTTATCAACGGCGTCGAGATCTGCGGCGTTCGTGTTGCTATGTTTTTTCTCCGATGATGGAAGAATGGAGCGATGGAAGAACACATCTAGCCAATGAGAGAGTACAGAGCTGAATTTATACGGCTGTTGCACTGGGGATGGGTGGTATTGTGCGCATGTGCCCTCTATGGCCAATCCTCCACAATCTCAGCGGTTTCAGTAAGGAGGTTCTGGTGGTACGATTTGAGGTATGATGAGTGACGAGAACGGCGAGGTGGTTCCTTGGTCCTTAGCTTACCTAGGTTGTGGGTGGTCAAAGCGTCGACGCCTTCGAAGTTCCATCGACGATGTCGGCGAATGCTTCCTCACGTTCCACCTCAACGCTGTTCCGAGTGGCTGACTGACTTCCACCGTCCGCGTAAATGAGCTGGATGTTAATTGTTCGAAGGAGCGCAGTCCGACCCAATCCGTTGCTTCCTCATCGGGGCGCTGCTTCCTACATACGCGCGACACCATTATGTTGTCCACGCTACAGCTCAACATTCTGCCCTACTAATATTGCTGAGCTACTAAAATCCTCTTCCCAGCACTCATCATCATCCCCTCGGCGGGGCCTATCAGATGGTGAGACGTTGACAGTCAATGGCTACGTACGCACTGTGCGAAAGCAGAAGCGAGTTGCATTCGCTGCGATAGGCGATGGCTCGACGTTACAGTCTGTACAGGCTGTTCTATCCCCCCAATTAGCAGAAGGGTGAGTTATATAGCTAAGTCGATATCCATTGGCAAATTACTGACGTTGCTCGTCGGTTAGGCTTTCCACTGGAGTTGCAGTAGCAGCCACTGGAAGATGGATACCGTCGCCAGGCCAAGACCAATCTCATGAGTTACAAGTGGAAAATATTCGCATATTAGGGGAGAACGATGCTGCAGTGAGTTGACCAATTTGCTATTCTGTAAAGCATCTGTAGCCATGGTTTCATCTTTCTGACCGTACATCATCTTGATTTAGACTTCTCCAATACAAAAGAAATATCAGACGCCTGAGTATCTCCGGACCCTTCCTCATCTGCGACCTCGCCTGCCATTCAATGCCCTGCTTCTGCGCTTGAGGTCCTTGGTCACTGCCCAAGTAACTAATTATTTCGCGAAACAAGACTTCGTCCAATGTCATCCACCCATCATTACCTCCTCTGACTGCGAGGGAGCAGGAGAGGTATTCACTGTAGCTCCTGGAGTTCCTTCCACGCAACACCAAGGATCGTCGAACCAAGCAAAAGAACAAGAGGATATGTTTTTTGGCTCCCCTAAGTACCTAACTGTTTCCAGCCAGCTCCATCTTGAGGCACTGGCCCAATCTGTAAACAAAGTCTGGACCTTGTCGCCGACTTTTCGTGCCGAGAAGAGCGACACTGCTCGTCATCTGAGCGAGTTTTATATGCTTGAGGCAGAGCTAGCCTTCGTGGACGATATGAAGGACGTCATGGATGTTGTGGAGGGTATGCTGCGCGCCCTTGGGACAGAGCTCCAATCATCACATGTCGGCCGAGAGCTTCTCGACGCTCGAGCACGAGAATTGAACGACGATGACACTTCCGTGTCGCACAGCACACTCGCACAACGGTGGCAGGGGCTTATAGATGGACCATGGCCTAGAATCACCTACCACGATGCGATACAACACTTGAAGGATGCCGTAGATGAAGGCAAGACGCAATTTGATTTTGCACCTGGTCATGAAGACGGTCTACAGACTGAACACGAGCGATTCTTAGCAGAAAGCATTGGACGAGGTAGCCCTATTTTCGTGACCGACTATCCGCGCAATATCAAGCCGTTCTACATGGCGCCGTCAACTGACCCAAATGCGGAAGGACAAGCTGACCCAACAGTCGCATGCTTCGACCTTCTCGTGCCGGAAATCTGTGAGCTAGCGGGAGGTTCTATGCGTGAGCATCGACTGCCTGAACTTGTCAAAGCTATGGAAGAGCATGGCCTACAGCAACCGGTAGACCTGGAATCTGAGGTTTCGGACGGGTCCCTGCAGTGGTACCTCGATCTTCGGCGATACGGCAGTGTGCCACATGGTGGCTTTGGCTTAGGGTTCGACCGTCTTCTGTGCTACTTGTCTGGTGTTTCCAACATCAGGGACGTTGTCAGCTTCCCTCGATGGCATAAGCGGTGCGACTGTTAGTAAAGTCTTGGCACAACGGGATACCGCATCCTCGGTTTCTCACGATTGTTCCAGAGCGTGACACATGGAATGGCTGGGACGGAGATTTTCACCTCATGTAGGGTGTGTCACTGTTCTGTGGCAGTTGCACTTGTAATATAGTGTTGCGGCTGTACATTACAAGTCCTCGTACACCATGAGTGTATTTCCCGAGGAAACAGTCCGACAGTTTGACGGGCCCGTGCGGTCTTGACGGGTCTTGGAGAATCTCACTCTTACAGCGTGATATGTGGCCATGCTCACATTATGTCAGAAATGACTATAAGCTCACAAGTTTCATTCTCTGATCAAGATATTCTCTCATGAGTAGGAGTCGAATGCGATTTCATCTGGTCCATAGCATTTTCTTATCGAACGTTCCAGAAGTTGTAGCACGTGGTGTCGTGAATCGTGAACCTTGGATTGCGGACAGAGATGATCAGATAAGATACCGTAACTGGTTCCCCCGTCATCGAGTCAATGATGTAGGGTGCATGTCCGCCGCGGCACCGAATCTCTGCTTTGATCCAACAAGTGCGAGTCTTGTTTAGCGATGTCGCAAGTACGATCAGCACATAGACGTCAAGCAAGGCATTTCAAACGCCACCAGTTCATGTAACCTATTTTTCGAATTGAGCCGCGTCATCGCGCTGAAGTTATGTCGAGCATGGTGTCGATTTAGAGTAAAATACGCCGTTGACGGCGTTCTCGGGGTTCGGTAGATCATCGAAATCCAACATTGCGCCTAGGCTCGTATGCTTTGCAAATCGTCAACACCAGTCCTCGACACTGCCATCGCATCGTCGCCACCCCCGCAACATTCCCAGCTGCTCCAGCACATTTCCTGCGACCAAACCCCTCTCTCAATCGCCAACCTGGAATCTGCAGCACCGGCGTCCGGTCGTCTTATGGCCACTCATGATCGGCCAGTAGTCTCTCTCGACGAAGCGGAACACGAGTATAGCTCACTTGCAGCACCAACTGTGTCGGACTGTCCGTCGCTGACTTGTGCGCCAGCTATGAAGCATTACCGCCAAACTTTTCTCTTTCCGCAAACATGCTTGCTGGCGCGTTTGCGGGCATCGCTGTACGCCTCCGAGATCGCTGCGCCGCGCATGCCTTCGCTAACCTCCCAGTAGGAGCATTCGGTGATGTACCCGGTTGATCTGTTGAAGGTGCGCGATTACCTTCACACTGCACATATCATGAGAGGGATGCGCTGACTTCCGGAAGACTAGGATGCAAGTCGTCAACCCCTCGCCAACCGCCATGTACACAGGCATCTCGAACGCAATGGTCACAATTTCGAGAGTGGAAGGCATCACGACATTATGGAGAGGACTGTCGAGCGTTATAATGGGAGCAGGTTGGCTTGTCTGGCTCAAATATCGCCTTCACACGGAACTGATCCTGGTACAGGACCCGCGCATGCCGTTTACTTCGCATCTTACGAAAGTGCGAAGCATGCTCTTGGCGGAAACGAAGGAGGGAGCGACGAACATCATCCATTTGCAGCAGGCGCGCAGAACCCACAAACATTTTTTTTTGAATATGTCGCTAATCTTGAGCAGCTGCCAGCGGTGCGGCGGCCACGATATCCAGTGACGCCTTGATGAACCCATTCGATGGTAGGCAACGCCTCTCCATGCGCACGAGCGAACGCTGATAGTTGCAGTCATTAAACAGCGCATGCAATTGCACGGCTCAATATACAAATCCGTCCCTCACTGCGCGCGCGAGGTTTTCCGCACCGAGGGCCTTGCTGCCTTCTACGTCTCGTACCCAACAACCCTGTGTATGACTGTGCCCTTTACGGCTCTTCAGTTCATGTCATACGAATCGCTATCCAAGGTCATGAATCCCACAGGCCGCTACGATCCCTACACACATTGCTTCGCGGGAGGAATTGCTGGTGGTTTTGCGGCTGGACTTACGACCCCTCTGGACGTCATCAAGACGCTATTGCAGACACGTGGAAACGCTAGGGATGCGGAACTAAGAAATGTCTCGGGATTGCTTCAGGCGGCGAAAATCATCAATCAAAGAGAAGGGTGGAGAGGGTACTTCCGTGGCTTGAAACCCAGAATTATTACCACAATGCCTAGCACTGCGATCTGCTGGTAGGTGCAACTCTTCACATCCCACAAGATGATGTTCTAACTCAAGCGCAGGTCCGCATACGAAATGGCGAAGGCGTTCTTCATTGCTCGTAGCACAGACCCTACAAAATTCTCGTAGAAACTATACCGCCGAATTTGACGATTTCCAAACAGCGAAAATGTGCCGTTCATTTAGACGACATGTTCATACTCCGCGGAACGATATACACACGAATCCTGGGAATAGATGAGGTTTGTGCAGCGTTTGGTGTTACAGTTGAGGCTTAGAAGTGCGCGCCAGGTAGGCGAACGCGATCTTGCTGGGCTTTGCAGCCGCGTTATGTAGTCATAGAGGCTTCTTGGGCCTAACCTTTGGAAAGACCATGTGGCTGTGTACAAATATTCGGATGCTTCTTGGAGCGCATTTACAGCCGGCGCAATTGCTTGTGTCAAAGGGAAATCAAGCGTCCTCTAACTGCCTACAACGCTGTCTGCTGAGTTTGGCGCGTGAATGAAATGCAATCGATAAGAATAATTGTGATCCTAGCTTAGCTCCAAGAGCAACATGCACATGCCCAGATCATTCCTCGCAAAATGGCTGGTCATGTTAGAGAATATTCCGAGCCGATCTTTGCATCGTGGTTCGGTATTTAGAAACGCAAGTGGCTGGGAAGTGCAGCAGCAGTGGTATGCGTTGCGCCTGGTCACAGCCTCCAACGACCAGAATGGAAGTGGCAGACCTACTACGTCACTGGGCTGGTGCATACGATACAGACAGAGCCTCAACAGCTTAACCTTCTCACGAGCTATCTTCCATTTTCAACGTCCGACACATGAAGTTATAAACACGGCGCACGCACTGCACTCGCTTTCTCAATCATGCGTGGCAATACGACACAAAAAGCGTACGACGAGGCTTTCCTCGCCTGCTCAACAGCCGTGTACTTTGAAGGCCAGGTCGGTCCCCTGTCCGCCGGACGAAGCCGCATTCGGTCTATACAACTAACAGATAAAATACAGAATAACGAACAAGAAGCTTTACGCTCATGGAAGTCTGCCCTTGACCAAATCAACTACCATAACGCCCGCCGCAATCCCGCTACCTATCGCCCTGCGTCGTCGACAGAGAAAGCGCTCATAGAGTCGCTACGTCAGCTGGAAGCACAGTGCAGGGAGCGCGTAGATCTGCTGGAAACTCTGAAGAAAAGCCGTGCAGAGTCGAAAGAAAGCCTCGTGTCGCCCTACCCAGACCTGAACGCGCCCACTCCGCCGCCCCACGGCGTCGCATCAAGCTCCAGCGAAAACGATGCATCTTCAGGTTGGATGGGTGGAGGAACGATACCCCCGGTAGACTATGGCGACCTCTCCAGACCCCCGCCTCTTCCACGCCGTCCTGTCATGACATCACGCAAGAGCTCGGTCATTGAGTCAAAGCGTGTAAGTAGTTTGACGCAAACTATGAGCGCGACCATGCTATCCCCAGGACCAGCAGATGGGGAGAAAACATCGCGCACACCGTCGCCTGAAAAAAAGAGTAGGATGTTGCGGACTCTGAGGCCTGGAAGAGAAGGCAAGCCAGCCGCTTCGAGGATGCCGAGCTCTCTTAGGTCGCGCCCTGAGGCTTCGAAGGCAGCTACTCAAGCATGGGGCGTCAGCACTCCACCAAGTTTCAGCAGACCCAGTCTGGGTGTTCCCAAACCATCTGTGACGTCGTTGAACAATCAATCTCGTTCATCTTTGGAGATGCCTCATTCCGCACTGGAGAGTGAGAGGCCTTCCACAGAATCTTCAATATCTTCGATCCCAGACTCGCACCAAAAGCAAGCACCTTTATATGTCCGAGCTGGAGAGGGTATAGCGTCTACATCACACACAGCTCCACACCCAAGCAGTAGGAGCGACCTTGACAATGCTAAACCCCCAGTCACCGAAAGAACAGCGCCACCACACGTCCCTCGCAAATCTGTAGAACCGAGTCGGCTACAGGCCGCTCAAATGCCATCGTATCGGAAGGAGTATCCCGCAAATGCGCCGGATCCACGCCTTCTTGCGCAGTCTGCAGCTGCTCGATCATACAGCGATTATGGAGCCGACAAGCATGGGTCATCACGAGAAGCAAACACGCCACGAAAACTGGTTCCTTTGCAGCAGCCCGCGACCAACAACCCACGAGCGCGAAATGCGAGAAGGCAGGAGCGATCTGAGCCAGTCGCTTTGGAAGAAGATGAGGATACGACAGAGTCACACTCGCCTCCACATCGAAAGGGTAGGGCTAGAGGAGATTCGATACGCGCAAATCTACCGCCTGCACCTACACCAGAGTCAACCGATTCTGACCAGGAGGCTGAAGAATCTGACGATTGGAAGCGGCGTACAAATGACATCTTGAAGAACCTCCCTCGTGGTGTCGACAAACAAGCCGCCCAACAGATCCTGAACGAAATAGTGATTCAGGGAGACGAAGTACATTGGGATGATGTGGCTGGACTAGAGATTGCCAAATCTGCACTCAAAGAGACAGTGGTATACCCATTTTTGAGGCCAGACTTATTCATGGGTCTCCGAGAACCAGCAAGGGGCATGCTCTTGTTCGGACCTCCCGGCACAGGAAAGACGATGCTAGCCAGAGCCGTGGCGACAGAGTCCAAATCTACTTTCTTTGCGATCTCTGCAAGCAGTCTTACCTCAAAGTTTCTCGGCGAATCTGAGAAACTTGTTCGCGCACTTTTTCAGCTCGCGAAGTTGCTGGCTCCTTCGATCATCTTCGTCGACGAAATCGACTCTCTCCTTTCCTCGCGCTCAGGCTCCTCCGAACATGAAGCCACACGCCGCATCAAGACCGAGTTTCTCATCCAGTGGTCAGACTTGCAAAAGGCTGCAGCTGGAAGGGAGATGAGCGAAAAGGATAAAGAGAAGGGTGATGCAACCAGGGTACTTGTGCTAGCAGCGACGAATCTACCCTGGGCCATTGACGAAGCAGCGAGGCGGAGATTTGTGAGAAGACAGTACATTCCATTGCCGGAGGATTGGGTTAGGAAGCAGCAGGTTAAGCGGTTGATGAGTCACCAGAAACACGAGCTGACTGATGAGGATATGGATCAGTTGGTTATGCTCACTGAAGGTACGTTAATACTAGAGCGCACTAGCCTCAGCTTCTTTCTACGATGACATGTTCGTTTCAACACTTTGAAGAGTAAGTGCTGACAGTATGGTAGGTTTCTCTGGCTCTGATATCACGGCACTCGCTAAAGACGCTGCAATGGGACCCCTACGTTCACTGGGCGAGAAACTGCTACACATGACGATGGACGAGATTCGACCCATGCGATTTGAGGATTTCCAGGCTAGTTTGCAGACTATCAGACCGTCCGTGAGCAAGCAAGGACTACAGCAGTTTGAAGACTGGTCGAGGGAGTTCGGAGAACGTGGAGGCTGAATGATGGACGGGCTTTATGCATCTGGCGAAGTTGGATAACAGCGCTTCAGAAGCACCAAGAAACATCATTAATCTAGTGACTTTGTTTCGATATCAACAAGTGTGGTTTGGAGTTCCGAGTGACTGCACCTGCCGTGTGTGGGTGGCTCCTTCCTTCCTCACTCGAACTGGGTTGACTAGTTTCCGTTTACAAAACATCTACCCCAACACTGAACCGCTCCACACCTCACACACTCTCTCATTCTACACGATGGCGCCACGAAAGAAAACCGAAGAGAAGGCCTCGGGCAATGAGGCTGCGGACATGATTCTGCACTACTTGCGTGCGTTGCTCATCTAGCAGAAGGCATTGAAGATCATCTTCACTCTTCTCGTGCTGATCGCTTCCAGACATGCAAAACCGGCCATACTCCGCTCTCGAAATCTCTGCCAATCTGCACAACAAGGTGACGAAGAGTACAAGTTCCATAAGCTCTGCTTGCATGCCAGTGACTAACAACACAACAGCCGCCGCAGCCAAAATCCTGAAGGACCTGCACGAACAGAAGCAGATCGAAGGACGGCCAGCGGGCGAGTAACATCCCTCACATATTTGCCTCACCACGACTGACTCCCAACCAGGGAAGCAAATCGTCTACCACGCTCTCCAGGTTGCATCCACCCCCCTTCATCCACCCCCTTCCCGACTAACCCCACCAGGACGCATCCGACTCATGCACGCCCGAACAACTCGCCGCCCTCGACACCCAAATCAGCGACCTTCGCGCCCAAACCTCCGTCCTCGTCGCCGCCACTAAATCTCTACGCTGCACCCTCGCGTCGCTCAACTCCACGCTCAGCACCGCTAGTCTGGTCGCTGACGTGCAGGCGCTCGACACAGAGAAGATGAAAATTCTAGCGCGCCTCGACGGCTTGAAGGCAGGCAAGGCGAAGAAGGTGACGCAGCAGGAGCGCGAGGAGGTCGAGAGGGAGTGGATCAAGTGCGGTAGGGTGGCACGGATGAGGGAGAAGATCGCGGTGGGTATGTGGCGGTTTATTGAGGAGTCTGTGCCTGATAGGGAGAGGCAGGAGGAGCTTAGGGAGAGTATGGGGTTGGATGAGTAGGGTGGGTTGTTGTGTGGTGGTGGGTTGCAGCTTGTTTTGAGCGTGTATGGAGGGGATGTGATGGGCTGGTATGTTCCGGGTGATGTGATGGTTTCTCGAGGAAGGGACAAGGGGGAAATGTACCCGAATGTATGGCACGTTACACAATGACGAAGCAAATGCATTTGTATCGTCAATATTGTCCTTTTGCCTCCCAAACCTCCCCAGTTCCCCACCGCTTAATCTACATCGCCCCCAACCCACCAATATACTACACCCCTTTCCCCCTTCCTTTTCCCCAAAACCGATCGAATACATTCATACAGGAAGAGACTCCCCACGCCAGCGCAAGAAAACAAGCAAGCAAACAAGCATACCAGGCAACCCAAAGCAAAAGAGACCAATGGTATCCCCTTTCCGACCCATACGCAGGTAGGTAAGTAAGCAAGCAAATAAGTAAGTAAGTAGAACAACGCGACCGACCGACCGACCGACCAACCGACCGACGGCATAAATAAAAACCCCCCCTTCCCTTTCCATCCCATCCCATCCCCCCTAGCGCGATCCCGAGAAGAAGAAGAAAAAAAGATAATAGATAGCTGGCAAAAAACCTCAGATGGGAATCAAGTACAAGTTTGTGGGATTTCGGAACACGGGACAGGACGGGACAGGACGGGGCATATGATGTGATGTGATGTGATATTTGGAAATATACATTGTCCAGATTCGACTTCCTCTCAGTCAATCTCAATAACGTCCTGCTTATTGAGGGGCATGCCTCGATTCGTGCTCTGTCTGCGCTGGAGCTGTGAGGTTCTCGCGTTCTGGTGTTGTTGCTGCTGTTGTTGCTGGATACGAATACCCTGCTGTGAGAGTTGTCGTGCGTGGACCTGCATTGAGTGCGGACGTCCTTGCTGTTGTTGCTGTTGCTGTTGCTGCTGTTGATGTTGATGTTGTTGCAGTCTCTGCTGCAGCTGGATATGATTCTGGCTCTGATTCATACTGGCGATTTGCTGCGCGAGAGCCTGCGGGGGAGGATTGGCTGGGGCGTGCACGGGGGCAGGAGCTTCGAGGGGAGGGGGAGCCTTGTAGCCGCCTTCCATGCTACATGATAGGACGACGGTGTGTAGTTTCCTCAGCGCGTCGGGCACGGCGTCGAGGTCGGCGATGATGCCGTTGCGGGTGCCGAACCAGCGGTTGCCTTTTGTGGTGAAGAGTTTCTTCAGGCTTGCTTGGAGCGTGTCGAGGCGGCGGTGGTTGTGTGCGCGCTCGGGGCTGGGTCGGAGGTCTGGCGCGCGTTTGATTGTGTCCTCGATGAACCAGTATACTTTGTCGTGCTTTGGTTGGAGGCGTATGTCGAAGGTGCAGAGCGGGTTTTCGTAGGTCAGGCGGTACTTGAAGAGGCTGTGCGTGTGGACTGCGGGGTTGCGGGCGTTGCCTGGTGTCTGTGTTTCCAAGTGGCGGAGCACGGAGAGGAGGGAGCGGGTTAGGAGGAGGGTGGTGCAGAAGCGATCCAGACCGTTGCTGTCGCCGAAGTACATGTCTGGTAGTGAAGGGCTGCGCTCGTTTATGAGTTCGGTGAGGAGGTTGTGAACGCGATGGGCGGGGTTTTTTTCGGACATTTCGATGCGGATTTCCTTGTCTGAAGCGAAGTTTACGGCGGCGACGTGTGGCAAGATGCCGTATTGGAATTGCACTTTTTGCAACGACGACGAGCCAAGCTTCATTTCCCTTCTTTGAAGTGTGGCTGCAAAGGAACGGAGACGGTTGACGTCGCGGAGTCGTGCTCGTAGCTCGCCGAGTATGTCTGTGCCAAAGGGTGTGGATAGGAGAATCTTGAATGTTCCATCTTCTGAGAAGCTGAAGTTGCTTTGTTGTGCAGTGGCCATGAGCTTCTGCATGTCTGCAGCAACAGCCTTGACCATCCTGCCGGCGGCTATGTGCCAGACACTGCGACCCTCGGATTTCAAGCCTTCGCAGGTGACCGCGATGTTTGATTCGAGCCATGGGTCTTGCCCGGGTTTTGTTGTGAGCAGATCGGAGGTCTCGAGGTACAAGGTCCAATTTCGAACGATGCGTTGCGTGTCGGGACCAAACTCTTGCAGGCTGAATGACTTCCCCTCCTTTTCAAGCTGGCGAGCTGTGACGCGGAACGAAAGCAGTTGCACAGCGACTCTCTCCAGACTAGCCAGCGTGCTGCGGTTGATTGGCAACGAGCTACCGTCTGGCCTATTCAACTTGATCTGCTCAGCATACTCAATCGAGGTACCACTAGAACTGAGCTTGGTGATCCACCACGATTCGCCAGAGGAGTCTATCACGACTGCCAAGGCCCAGCTTTGCGACCATCCCTGAGGCCAGTAGAGCGCATATTGGAGAACGTCCAGCTTGACGGCCGCTTTTACCGCGTCCGCATGCAAAGACTGTCTCGTTACAAGCTGCCATCCGAGTTGTTGCGCGTATCGCTGGACCAAGTCCCGGAGCGTCTGGGCAAGCATTTGAGTAAGTATTTTGCCAATCTGTGCTGGTTCTCTGCCTTGGTTGAGGGCATATTCTGCTCTCGCTGACAAAGCCGTGGCTGGTCGCAAGATGTAACTTCCTGTCACTGGTTCTATGGACAACGTCGTTGAATTGGTATCGGTTCCTAGAGTGGTCTTGAGCATGCAATCCGCAGGCTCTGTATCTGACAAACATGCTTGAATGGTCATCTTGGAATTGAGATGTTCTCGTATCGATCGGAGACCATCGCCAACGTGAAGTGCAATGACACGCTTGAGGATCCGCTCTATAGACAGATCTCTCCAGTCAAGTTTGAGATCAGCGTTGTGGACTTCTTTGCCTTGGCGAAACCAGCGCGCGGTCAACGAAGGGATTGGTGGTCCTCGCCACGACACCTTGCCGTTCTTCGGTCTGTTGCTCGAGACGCCAATCTCGATCCAATTCTTCTTGCCAGGTCTATCGACCCAGTACTGCACGACGAGCTGGCGATGTACGGGCTCGACTTTGAGCGAACCTGCCCATCCAGAGCGAAGAAGTCCCATTGTCTGTGACCGAAGAACAGAGATTTTGTGTGTAAGAATAAAGTTGTGAAGATAGTCGAACAAACCACTCAGGCCATGCTCCCTCAGGCGAGTGTCCGCTTCCAGCTTGAGATGGTAGAAGAAGCGGCTACCGACTGTAATGGATGGCGCTGGTGAAAACAGCAACCGCAGATCAATGAAGAACCACTGGTCTGACGCGTCTTCTACAAAAGAGACAATGTCGAATTCCATCTCATTCTCTATGACGAAAGTGACCCGTCCAGATTCTATCCGCCAGTTTCGGAGGTGTCGTGGGAGGGTCTCGTGCACGTTCATTCGTATGGAAAGCGAAGTATTCATGTAGCGTAAGAGCTTGAGCGCCTTCTCCGAGGATATTGGTTCGGGTTGGATGTAGTCCAGGGTTGGCATCCACGAAGCTTTCCCAGTGGATAAAATCTCCAAAGCCGTTCTGATATCAGGATTGTTCTGTCTCGCATGGTTGGAGAGCTTTTTGATTTCCTCCATCTGCGCATCCACGTTGTTCATGTGTGTGGTCTGCTCCACAGCCCAGGCAAAGACATCGATGAGTTTTGCAACATCGACAGCGGATTTCTTGCCCCACTCGGTGAGGACGAGCAGCTTGATGAACTTTGCTCTGTTCTCTTGGGCGAATCGCATAAGGAGCAACTTCTTGTGTCTGTTCGCTTCAACATTTTGCTGACCCATTCCGTTTGTTAATGCGCCGTTCAGCTGCTGGGCAAGCGGCATGTCGGCCATTTTCTGGAGCACCTCGCTTAGGTCGTTGTAGCATTCTTGCGATATTCGCATCAACAGCGTGGAGAGGGGGTGGTAGAGGTCGACGGGGACGTGTGCGATCTCAGGCGGGAGGTCCAAGAAGTGGTCGTGCGCTGGGCCTGATGGCGCTGAGACGGCCATGACAGCACCGTTGGTGTTGGAGTCCTTCGAAGGGCCAGCAGCCGCTCCAGCCGGGGTGTCTCGTCGAACATCATCCCGCTCGCCGTTGACCATCCTGCCGTCATGGTTGCGCTTCTTGCTCTCGCCATCTCTTGAAGCCGGTGGCACGGCTGGCGCGCTCTGGTTCATGCTGAGAATGCCTGGCATAGTCCGTCCACCAGGCAGCAGCCCACCGGCGCGCTCGCCGCTCACGTCGTCGACACGTGCCTATTCCCGTGGTCGGTCCAGATGTGCGCGAGTGGTGGTGTCGGGTGCAGTGCGGTGGGTTCGTCGTCGAGTAGGAGTGCGGGAGCGTCGCGAAAAGGCGTGCTTGGTTGGACAGGTGGGAAGAGGGCGGTCGGTCGAGTGTGACGGGCGCGTGAAAGGGGACGCAACAGGTGAAGGAGGGTGCCAGTGGGTCGCCGACTATCGCATGTCGGGGCGGATAGGACGCTGATCAGGGTGGATAGCAGCACAAGTCGCGCTCGTTGGGTGGGCGGGAGCGGAAATACGTGTGGGCGTGGGCGTGGGCGTGGGTGGAGGTCGTTGGTGTTGGAGCATGCATTGTTGGGCGAGCCTTTGCTGGACTGACGTTGCGGCCTTGGCGCCCGTATAAGCCGTCCAGCCCTGCGTCTACCGCCATCACCCACACCGAGAGGCGCGAGTCGCGTTCGCCGCGCAGCTGCAGCCGCCTGTCACTTTCCTGCGCCGAGTCGAGGGCAGCTGGGCCTTCTTCTCCTTTTGCGCGGTGCATAATGCTCCACGTCAAGACCGAGGCGCGCCCGTCGCCTCGGCCAACCACGACAAAACTCGCCCACAGCGCATCACTTGCATACCGTAGTTTCGGGCAGGGCTCGATTCTGACTAGACTCGCCATATCAGATGGTCGGGTCACGCCTCTATCACCACCCAAGCACTTCGACCCATGCATAGTCCCCAACGCTCCACCCTCCTGCTCTGCCCGCTCATAGACACTGCGCTCCTGCCCCATCTTGAACTCTGACACACTAAACGTGCACCCGCTGTGTCCTCAGCCGCCATGTTTCAGTCGCCGTGACGCAAGCTACCCGTTGCCTATTAGAGCCCGCCCGCATGACGCCTCGCCAGGACTTTCCACCGCCGCCATCGCGGCCGTACCTTCCGCGCAATGTTTCCAAGCTCTCCATCTTGTCCCCTGCCCGCTCCAACGAGGCAGACGATGAGCGCAGTCTGTCTGACCACAGCTCCGATATGGATTCCACCTCATCGCGGCCTCACTATGAAGACGAGGACACCAGCTTGACCAGCAACATCGAGCTGGCCGGCTTCTACATGTATGGATGGGCTGCAGAGGTACATACTCCTTTGCCTGCTCACCGACTCTCCTCAACATGATGTCTTCTTAACCGTCTCTTACAACCATCTCCTTCAAGCTCTTGAAATCATTCTCGTCGTCACGCGCCTACCCTACCCTCAAACAACCACATCGCCATGCACTCGGCAGCTACACTACCCCAGGCTAACTCCCCCAGGTCTTTGTGGTATGCGGTATTGGCTCCTTCATCCCCGTCACTCTCGAGCAGCTTGCCCGCGAGAATGGCGTCCTCCTCTCTGACCGCCTTACACCATGCAAAGCCTCGTTGCCTACCGTTTCCCCTTCGTCCCTCACCACGCTGTTCAACCCACATGCAGACAAAGGCCAGTGCGTCGTGTACATCCTCGGCCTTGAGATCAACACGGCCAGCTTCGCAATGTACACGTTCAGCATCTCGGTCCTGATACAAGCTCTCCTCATAATCAGCATGAGCGGCGCAGCAGACCACGGCAGATTCAGAAAGACGTTTCTCCTGTGGTTCGCCTTTGCAGGTAGCACGGCAACTATGCTCTTCATTGGCGTTGTACCGCGGATATACATTCTGGGAGCAGTTCTGGCCATCGTCGCCAATACCTGCTTCGGCGCGAGCTTCGTTTTGCTGAATAGCTTCCTGCCACTGCTAGTGAGGTTCCATCCCACCGTTAAATACGCAGATTCCAGCGCAGAGAACTCGTCTGTGGAGGAGGACGAAGACGAGGACGTGGAAGATTTTGACCAAGACGAGGAGTCGGATGATGGCCGAATCGCACGAAGAGCACATTACGCAAATGATCTGTCGCGCCACGATGATATTCCTGACGAAGTCGCCGACGCGACAACTGCACTTCTACCAAACCTCCGTTCGGCCGCCGATCTCACCATCCCACGCCCAAAGAGTCGCGCCGCGCCGTCGCCAGAACTGGCTCTCTCGACAAAGATATCATCGTATGGCATTGCAATTGGATACATTGCCGCGCTGCTTGTGCAAACAATCTCCATCGTAGTCGTCATTGCATTCAAATCGTCAAACTTGGGTCTGCGCGTCGTCCTCTTCATCATCGGAGCATGGTGGGCGATATTCACTCTCCCCGCAGCCCAATGGCTTCGTGCTCGTCCAGGGCCTCCCCTATCCATTGGGAGCAGCACATCCAAAATTGGCACCGCCTTCGCCTACTTCAAGTACTCATGGAACTCACTCGCGCGCACCGCAACCCACGCAAGACATCTCAAAGACGTGCTCCTCTTCCTCGCAGCCTGGTTCCTACTATCCGACTCCATCGCCACAGTAAGCGGCACAGCAGTCCTGTTCGCAAAAACCACCCTGGGAATGTCCTACGCCATGCTCGCCCTGATCAATGTAATCGCCACCGTCTTCGGCGTCCTGGGCGCTTTCCTCTGGTCCCGCCTCGCCCACTTCTTCCGCCTCACACCCACCCAAACAATCATGCTCTGCATCGCCCTCTTCGAAGTAATCCCCCTCTACGGCCTGCTAGGCTACCTCCCCCCCATCCGCCGCCTGGGCTACCTAGGCCTACAACAGCAGTGGGAAATGTACCCCCTCGGCGCGGTATACGGCTTCGTCCTCGGCGGCCTAAGCAGCTACTGCCGCGCCCTATTCGGCGAGCTGATCCCCCCCGGCCACGAAGCAGCGTTCTACGCTCTCTACGCCATCACAGATAAAGGCAGCAGCGTCTTCGGCCCCGCTATCGTCGGCGCTATCACAGACGCGTGTGGAGAGATTAGACCCGTATGTCCCCTCCCCCCCCGCCTTCCATGTAAAGAAAAACCCCGCTAATAGATATAACAGGCCTTCTGGTTCCTCGCCCTCCTAATCGGCCTCCCCTTCCCCATTATGCTGCTCGTTGACGTCGACCGCGGCCGTAGAGAGGGCGTCGCGCTCGCGCATAAGCTGGAGAAAATGGCTAGTTGTAGACGACAGCTCGATGCGGGGGATGATGGCGCGGCGGATGAGCAGGATGATAATCTTTCCGATGAGGTTACGGAGGACTTGCAGCGGAGTTTTTCGTATCAGCGCTCTTGAGGGGGGGGGGGGTGGTGGTGCCTCGTTTTTATTATTTTTTTTTAGATGGGTGGCGTGTTTGGTGATGTGTTGTGCTGTGCTGCGTAGATACCTTTTTATGTTATGGGTGCTTGGGTTTGGCGTTTTGGGTTGGGTTGGATGTGGTAATGTTTCGTGTGAGGGCGGATTGTGGGGTTAATGATGTGGGATGTTTTGTTGTGAGTGTGGACTGGGGTGTCTATTATTTATATTGAACTAAGTCGGTGCTATATGCCATGCTCGAAATTTCAACTATTCGCCTTATCATCTTATTGCTATTGGGAGTTTGGATGTGGCTTGTGGAAGCAGGCGGACTATACACGCTTCGTCTGGTGAATGACTAAGTTGGGATGATTTGCGAAAACCAAGAGTGACATGAACATGCAAAACAAGGGGATTTTAATTTTAGTTGATAATCACCTCAGTCACAGTTCAAAAGAGATATGCAGCAGTAATTCATTTATACTACTTGCATATAGCCTCCTCCCTATCACATTCGCTTCTTTCCTGTCCCGTTACACGTATCTGTCATATCTCGTCAGTACCAGTATTTCACATAGTTGTGACGAAAAAGATTGGCATGTATGGGGTGTCTCAGAAGGAAGGCAACGGAAAATATCCACATGGTTTTGCGCTCTCGGTGGTATAAATGATTTACATCCGAAAGTGTTACATCATCGAAAATGGGGTGGGTGGAGGGTGTGGGAGGACTTACTTTGACTTTTGTTGTTTGCTTGAGAGATGTATTCATTCTCTCGCTCTGTCTGTGGGTCTCTGAGGAGATTGCTTCGTCTTCGACGGTTGTTTGATACGACGTGGTTTGCGGTACGACATGTTGATACGAAGTCGACTGTGATCTGCACGTAATGTATGGCACTGTCATCGAAGGCAAGTCGCACGAGCTTTGGTAGATCGAAGCAACCTTCTTAGCTTGTATCTCGAAAGTGTCGCCGGGAGGGTTTAACAAGGCGAGATTACGTGCAGATTGCCTTACTCTGGCGTCATATGCGTGGAGACGGCCGTGTGTTTTGCGTGTCATCAGTTCACTGGAAGTAAATGCTTCTGACTGTGCGCCAGGAGCACCAAGTGTTCAAGACATGCCTTTTGGAGGGAAGGTAGAGTCCTTCTTGAAGCTTTCCTTTGAGATCCTAGCGAATTTGAGCGTAGCCAAGCTAGACCATTGACCGTTCCACTCTTTGAGCTTCTTCAGGTTGTCGGCATCCTCGAGGTCGGGCACCCAGAAGCCGGAGGCGTATTCGTTCTGTTCTGTGGCCTGGTTCTGCTCCAGAAGCGTTTGGCGTGTGCTTGGTGGTCGTCCTGCGCGGCGCTCTTCCTTGAGTTTGGCTACTTCCTCGTCATCGCGACCTAGGTAGTCTTCGATCATAGCCTGGATGTCTGAGATACTGAGTGGTGAATCATGCTCTGTTGTGTAGGACTGAAAGGACTTGATCCTTAGTACTGTAGAAGGTTAGTCGACTGTGTATGCGAATCTTTCCTAACATCACACATACAGTAATGACGATTCTGCTTCGTTCGCAAGGTTGAGAGCCGGTTGAGCTTGTCATCCCTGGCACTCGCCGCCTGCAGACGTTGCGTGTTTCGACTTCCCTCGTGCAAGGCTGCATTCGGGCCCTTTTTCTTCGAGATTTGCTTCTGCACTTTGCCCAGGCGGTTGCTCACCATCTTGTTCGTGGTGGTGTTGCAGTTGTGGGATCCTCGCGTAGGAAAATTTCAAGTGTCGAGGTTGGTCAGAGCTTCTTTCAATGACGCTAGAAGACACGCTAAGATCGCGCGTTCCTGGCACCTCGCGTTACGCTACGAATGCTCTACTGCATCGAGAACAGTACCCCGTTGTATTCGTCTTCTAATATCTGCATCTTCTTTTGCCAGTTGTGAGGATCTTTTCTGCCACCGTTTTAGTAACTCTGATCCATTATGGTATAACGGCAGCTGCCAAGGAGCCACTGCCTGCGCCTGACGCGTGAGTGGCGAGGGGTACAAGATGGGCATTTCCGGTGTGTATGCTGTTACCATATTGCCAATTAAGGCTAACCGTTGGACAGGCCTCCTACCGTTGCTCAAGTCGATCCACCAGCCATGTAATCTCAAGAAGTTTGCAGGCAAGACACTAGGCGTGGATGCCTATGGCTGGCTACACCGAGGCACGGCTGCCTGTGCTATCGAGTTGGCGCTGGACAAGCCCACCACCAAGTACGTTTCCACAGGACCAATACAAACCCATAGGCTTACAAATTTCAAGATACATCGACTTTTGTATGGGTCGTGTTCGCATGCTCATCCACTTCGGGATTACACCTTATCTAATCTTCGATGGAGGCAGCCTACCGAGCAAGGCTGGCACCGAGAAAGATAGACGAGAAAGGCGGAAAGAGGGCAAGAGGCTGGGACAGGAACTGCTGAAGGTTGGCAAGACTGCACAGGCTCATCTGGAACTGCAAAAGTCCGTCGATGTCACCCCGGAAATGGCGCAGAGGTTGATTGAGGAACTGAGGCTCAACAACATACAGTACATTGTCGCACCGTACGAAGCCGACCCCCAGATGATTTACTTGGAACGCCAGGGTATCGTCGACGGCATCCTGTCTGAGGACTCCGATCTTCTGGTCTTCGGCGCCAAATGTTTGATCACCAAGCTTGACAAGTACGGAGACTGCGTCGAGATCAGCCGAAATCGCTTCACATCCTGTAAAGAAATCAGCTTTGTGGGTTGGTCTGATGCCGACTTCAGATGGATGGCAATTCTCAGTGGTTGTGATTATCTACCTGGCATTGGCGGGCTGGGCTTGAAGACCGCTCATCGCATGCTGCGAAAGCACAAGACCGTTGATCGTCTCGTCAAAGCTGCACAGTTTGACGGAAAGTTGAAGGTTCCTGCTGGCTTCCTTGCAGCGTTCGATCAAGCGGAGAAGACGTTTTTGTACCAATGGGTGTTTTGTCCGGTTGCGAATCAACTGGTCAACTTGACCCCTCTTGCAGATGGACTCAATGTCACCGACATGCCGTTCATAGGGGAGGAGGTACCAGCACATCTCGCTATGGGCGTAGCTCGGGGCAACCTGAACCCATATACCAAACTACCTTTCACGGTCGCTGGTAAAGCTAAATCGAGTGGCAATCCTCTAGCTCCGTCACGGAGGGTCTCTTCCAATGTCCAAACTCCAGACCCGAAAGGCTCGAAGACGATAAATTCCTTCTTCAAGCCGAAGCGAACACCCTTGGCCGAGTTGGACCCGAACATCTTTACCCCGTCTCCAAGTCAGCAAGTGCTGCTTGAACAACAACGAAACAATAATGGATGGGCAGCAGTTCCCACTCCACGCTCGAGCATACAACGAGCTCCAGTCCCTAGTACTGGGCCACAAGCTCTCAGACGAGTCGTTACCGACTCAAGTGTAGGCAGACGATCTGTTCCAAATCCGTCTAAGAGACAACGGCTTTGCTCTGATACTGCTACCAACACACCAGCCCCTGGCGGCGAGGGTATTGTGCGCAGTCAATTTTTCCCTTCCACAGTGCCGGACCCCAGTCCATCACTTCGCCAAACGAAGAACAGTAGAAGGCAGACGACACAGGGCTTCAGCTTGCATTCGGACGATTTGGTCGAAGATGATTTGGCGGAAGTGGCCGATCTAGAACAAGCTGCCTCGCAACCAAAGAAGAAGATGAGGATCTTTTCAGAGGATTTCCGATCAAGCATGCAAAGCGAGTCACAGTCGACGACTGCCTCAGGAAGCACGACTTGGCAGTCTCAAGAGTCTGCTGGTGCGTCCACACCCGCGACATCACAGGGCAGCCCGGAGCCCGAGTCTGTGTTCAGTGCTGGCATCTCCTCGCAGATGAAGGACTTGCGGTCCAAGTTTACATACAACGCCTCTGCACTGTCTTCAGCGAGTACGCCATGTCTTACCAAATCCACGCTGCGTAAGCTAGACATTGAAGCATCGGCGCCTTCACCCTGCCCTGTTGGCGCTGTTCTCAAGCCGCTAGAGAAGACTCCCGCTAAACCCATCCTCCCAGGAACTCCCCCTGCTGTTGATCAAGAGCTCGAACTGGAAGACTCGGCATGGTCCGCTATGGAAGCTCAAGTTGTCGTCGCTGCCAGCTCACCGCCCCCTATGACGCCCGCGAAACGGAGACGATCATCTTTGAAGGGGAGCGAGGATTTACTTGTGCCGGACAGCGAGGCTGAAAGCGAGTGTTCGCCTCGCAAACCCTTGTTCAACCTGGCGCGATTCGCTTTTGCAGGGTAGAACACATCTTGTCATCTTTTTACGGCTCATATCCTTTCAGGCAAGGCGTCACTTGGGCCGTTGGTATGAAATCAAGACAGCGACATGGCATGATGGAGTTGGATTATGGCTATCTGGATGGTCATTATCTCGCACCGGTTTTATTGTAGCATTCCTAGCGTTGAAGGCGAAGTTCCCATGCTTTTGCATCTCACATATGTATTGTTCACTTGGCAGATTACGCTCAATACCCATTCTGCGATCAAGTTGTACATGTCCACTAGTCACAGTGTTAAAGTCAGGTTAGATCGCATGTCCACAATGTCTCCCACAACACTGTCTATCCACAAAGACCCCTGAAGATGAAGTGTATGCTCACAGTGCTTCTCGCAGACAAAAGATCTGCCAACCTACAATGTCTTACCCACTCGACATGTATGCTGCGGTATAAATACGCGGTTCCTAATGTCTCAACCACATCATCACAACATATCAAACTCATCCCTTATCACCATCTTATCACCATCTTATCACCAACTCATCAACAAACAAACAACAAACCCACCAAACCCACTAAACAACAACCCAAACAAACAATGGCCACCCACATCTTCACCCCAAGAGTAATCCGCTGCGGAAAACCCACCAAACCCAGCCCCCGCACCCACAAACGCGCAAAGCCAAACCGCACCTCGTCGTTCATCAAACTACGTGCGTATCGGCGTGTGCGGGCTGCCGATGTGGCGGTTGTAGATCGGACGCATTTGTGGCGGGAGGTGAGGCGGGGGGTTGTGTATGTTGCGTATGGTGAGGTGGAGAAGGAGGGGGGGAAGAAAGCGGCGAAGAAGGCGGCGAAGAAAGCGCAAGATAAGGAGAAGACTCGGAGGTGGAATTGTCTTGGGAATTGAGCCTTGGGGGAAAGGGGATGTTTTGATTGATTTATTGCTTGGAGGTTGGGGGAGTTTTGGAGTTTTGTGGTGATTATTTTGGGATTTGCGGTATTAGACTGGGGGGTTTTATTATTATTTACTATCATTTGCTTTTTGCTCTCTTTCTCTCTCTCTCTCTTTCTCTCTGTGATGTCGTCGCATTCTGGGATAACGGCCTGCTTATTTACTGTCCGGCGGCGGCAGCATAACGACATACTCCCGCTCACTGCCCGCAAACTGCAGGATATCCTTATCCCTAAGCTCAAAGTAGCGACTAGCCTCGACTTTCTCGCCATTCAACTCCGTCCCGTTACTACTCTCAAGATCGATAATATACGGCTTGACCTTCCCCTTTTTGCTCTTAACGCCAAACTCGTCTTCGACCGTCTTTTGAATATAGCGGAACTGGATAACCGCGTGCTGCCCGCTCGAACTCGGATGCTCAAGCACATAATCGACAACCTCCTGCGAGCGGCCCAACAACCAGCAACTCTTCTGCCCAATCTCCAGCGTATCCACGACGTCCTCGCCCTTGAAGACGAAGATGCGCCACGGCTGGGAGGGGGGCGGTTTGCGCGCCTCGGGCGGCTCGTGGTACTTGAGGGAGATCTTTGTGCCCTCGACGCGATTTGCGTGTTTGGCCAGGGCGCCCGAGGCCTTGAAGTTTGGCTTTTCCTTGTCTGGTGGGGCGCCGCCGTATTTGGTAGGCGGTTGCGCTGAGTCGTCGAGGCCGCGGAAGGAGATTTCCTGCGGGGGGAGCGGCTTCTTGGCGCGTTGGTGGGGGGAGCGCGAGGGCGAGCGGGTGCGGCGGCGGCGCTTGGGCGGGGGGGATGTCGAGGCTGAGGGGGAGCGGGCGCGTGGTTTGCGCGAGCGGTGGGGGACGGGGGATCGTGATGGGCGGGCGTCGCGGCGTCGGCGGTCTCGGGAGCGTGAGCGGTCTCTTTTGCTGCGTCGGGAGGCTGAATGGTCGCGTTTGCGGTCCTTGGGTGCGTCGCCGGAGCGGGAGCGGCTGCGATGGCGGTGCTTGTCGCGTGAATGCCCTCTCTTCTTGTCTCGTGATCTGTCCCGCGATCTATCCCTTGACCTGTCGCGTTTCCTGTCCCTCGAACGATGGCGCTGGCGGTCTTTGGAGTGCTCCCGGCGCCGATCCTTGGACCTGTCGCGCTTCCTCTCTCGTGACGAGTCTCGCGGCCTCCTGTATGGCTCTGGCGACCCTTGGCGGGTACGTATCGAGACGCTTGTCTCTGCAGGCGCATCCTTCAGCTTGCCGTCTTTCGATGCGTCTGTAGGCCTCCTCTCCTTGGACGCATTCCTGGACTTTCTCTCCCTGGACACATCTCGGGAGACACCTCTAGACACGTGTCTGGGCTTGGGCTCTCTCGACCTGCTCCTCTCCCAGCGACCTGACGGCACAGAGGGTTCCTTCCTAGTACGTTCTGGCTCTTTTTGAGAGACCCTCTCGCGACTTGGACCGCTGCTCGTCTGCGGAGCGACACTCTTCTCTCCATTCAGCTGTTGCGTCAACAGCAGCCGTGCGCTGTACGGGGAGAGGTCCCTCGCCATGTTGCGACTGCGCCTTGAGATGGACCGGGGCGGCGCTGTGCTCTTCGGCGGCAACGATGTTTCAGTTTAGGGTGATGGCGTTCGACGGCGCGTGTGGTTATGCTAGATGCGAGGTGTGCAACTACTCCTCAGACAGATGGATAGCCGTCTACAGCATGGCGACGTCGGCGTGGGTCTCGTAGCATCGGTATCAAACAAGGGCGGATCCGATGTCTAACTTTGATGTTCGCGCGTTCCCCAAGATGACAATACGATGTCCAAGCGTCAAAGCTCCACATTCCGTGAAACACACGAGCGCGTCTTTTCCTTTTCACCACCTCACTCCATCTCCCCTCCGTCACACTGGCCCCCAACAATGCAGCCTGGGGTCCGATCTATATACCTATTCTCGTATCTCGCCCCTTCGGTCTTTTGGCCCCCTTAGCTGTGCATGCATATCCGCCTAGCTACGCCCCGTAGTCCGAAACGTGATAGCCGACGAGGTGAGGAGATAGTCAAACAAATCAATATGGTATATTTGGCGCCAGAGGCACCTTTGTTTAACCTTTCCCGCCGGTGCATGCATTCTTCTTTAGTCGCCCTTTCCTCCCGCAATCCTGCTCCGTTCGCGTGGTAATTTGTCATTCTTCCTACTCATAGACCTAATTATTCAAACCTTAATGTCTTATTATTAATTTTCGTCTTCGCTTCTTGAAGACCTGTTTCCGCTGCAATGAACTCGAAAAAATTGTTTTCCCGTCGGTTGAAGCAGGAACCCTCAGAACCATACTATCGGACAGGAGGACTACTCCCCATTGATATGGGCCCAAGTAACTTCAGTAACGGCCTCGAAGAAAAGGTATGATTTGGTAGTCGGAATGTTTTGCGGTGTGCGCGAACGTGGTAGTCTAGAACGAAGCCAGTGCGCATGTTGAATCACATATAGAGAAGCCGTGCATGAGAACACCCATATTTGCATCGTGGAGCCTTACCATCTACTGACCAACTGCATCAGACCACCTCCAGCGCTGGACGACGACGCCTGCCGAACCTCAAGATCATACCCCCAGACCCCAAGCAATTCAACCTGAGTGCACTGTCATCGCAACACAATGCTGCACTGGCCAGCTCCGCATCCAACCTGAAGGCCGTCTTCAGTGACATGATTCGCTCTCCAATATCAGTCGCCATCGTCTCCCCCGACCCCAGTCTCACACATAAACCCCTTCCACCACGACCGCGATCTGTATCTCTACCACCTACTCCAGACCTACCAGCCGAACTACCTGGATCCATTCTCCTGGACAATCAGGGGTTTCCACCATGCGCAGCTCCCGAAGCCTCTATACCCACGCGTCCCGTTTGGCAGAATATCCGACGGGAGACGGATCCCACTGATAGATACACGGAGGATCTAGGAGATGTTTCTACTCTGTTGTGTCTGTTCCCCAAGCCACTCAGCCATGCAGGAAGTAGCCCTGATCTGAACAGTCCACATAGCACGCTCAAGTCAGTTCGCAGTAACAACACCCTCAACGCGAGCTTCTCTGCCAAACCTAGTCCGTTGAAAGGGAAGGCAATGCAACATTTGAACGAAACCTGCTCGCGAAAGCGCTCCCGCCAAAGCTTACTGGAGTTGTCGCTATTCACCGACAGCAAGTATTCATCATTAGCGAACGAAGATGCCAACATCAACTTAAAAGACCAACTGGATGCGAGCAAGCTTTTGCAACCATCACCGATTGCTGTAGAAAGCGTGACTTGGGGGAGCGAGGCGGGAAGTCTGGAGTTTCACCGAAGAGATGTAAGTACCATCTATTTGCACTTTAAAATCTGTCTGCCCTTTGCGCGATATCCCGCGCAAGGCTAAACCGTCCGAGATGCTTCGATATCCGTGTTACCAGCTTTGGCGCATCCTCTTCTGCCCAATGCAGCTTCAGTATCCATCCAAAGGCACACATCACACACCCCTTAGCTCGCTCCTTTATCAGGGTTGTCCTGATGCGAGGTTGGATTGTGGGCCGTGTCACTGTCACATCTCCGTACACACAAATAGCAGGGCGACTTCTGAACCCTGCATGATTCTACTCATTCCTCTGTGATGCAGTCGATTTTCGAATTTCAGAGCCTGATGATGAATACTAGACGTATACTGAACGTGAACAGTTTGGCGCGCCTACACTTACTCCTCCAATGGTTCCAAGCAAGCAAATCGAAGAACTTGTGGCCACTGTTACAACCCGAGACCAAACGATACTCACACTCCAGTCGCACTTGGGCAGTTTGAGAGCATCGCACGAGGCACATATTGCGAGCTTTGCGGAGACATATGCGGCGGAAGTGGCTTCGTTGAAAAATCATGCACGAGTGTTGGAAGAGCAATTGTTCCAACACGCTTCTGTACATCATGGTGAGCCATACCAATTCTCCCATGCTGTCTTCACCGCGCCTTCTTCCCCGCATGGTGACGGTGTAACGCGCAACTGCCCAGCCAGCTGGTTCGGTCTCTGCGCTTGCGTACACGCGTGATCAACAACAACAAAACACCAACTAACGCGCTTCAGCTCCAAGCAACGATCTCTTGTTTCTGTTCGATACTACCGCACCACCAACGCCGAGTTGTGAAAGCTCGCGTCACACTTCAAGTATCGAGTCCGCCGGCTCGATTTCGCCTGTTCAAAGCGATTTGGAAGGTCAGCAACGGTCGCTGCAACGGTCGCAACCTAGTCCTGAGATGGAGAGCCTGAAGCGCCGGTTGAGCACGTCGCGTCGACCGGATACAGCGAACCGCAATCTCCTCCCTGAGCTGAACCAGTTCAAGCAAAACAATGCCGCCTTGCAAAAGCAGATCGAGTCGTTGATGGCTAAGCTCAATGAGTCGAAGAAGAGCGAGAGAACACTTAAGGATTCGCTGCAAGATAGTGAAGACAGGTGCACCCAATGGCAAGACCAGGCAGTCAGGGCTGACAAGATCGCAAAGAGCGCCAAAGCGTTGCAGAATACTATCGATAATTTGGAGAATCGGCTTGAGATTGCAAATATCGACAAGCTGGATGCTGAGGAGCAACTTTTCAATCTGCGAGTGCAACAGTGTCCGTTCGATATTGGGACGTCGAAGCCCCGGTGCCCAGCTGTTGCAGAGGATGATCATATGAAGGTAAGTCTGAAATGTGTATTTTCGCAATGTATGCGTAGATTCCAGGCTGATATCTATGACAATATAGGATGCACACACGAGTATGAGTACTGCCTACTCGACGGGATCTCCCAGGAATTCACAAGAGCCGATAACCCTATCTGCCTTCGCCGCCCATATGGAACGACTTCAAGATGTGATCGGGCAAAAGGACGCACAGATCTCGGAGCTAGAGGGCGAGAATGAAGAATTGCGACAGAGACACAGCCAACTTGAGCAAGAGAACAATGAGACCAACCTTCGACTGGATATACAAAGCGAGCTGATTGAAAAGACGAGGCAAACGGATACACACATCGAGCAGCTACGAACCGCCATCATCGACCGCGAAGCAATCATCGGAGAGAAAGAGAAGTCAATCCGTCTGGTCGAAAGACAGCTAGAACACCACAAGCTCCTACTCGAAGCGGAGATACGAAAGCATGCTAAGATGACACTCCACGCCGCTGTCAAAGATGACCCTCTTCCTGAACTCAACATGCTTGCTGCGAAAGAAGAAGTGGACAAGTGGATCAACAAGCTCAACCAGCGCCTGAAGAAAGAGAAGCCCATGACCGAGGGACCGGTGCCAGGTAATGCGCTCGAGGCGCAAGTCGAAGACATGCGACAAGAAATCGAATTCTACGTCCGTGAAATCATCTACTACAAGCTGGACGTCAAGGGCTATAAGAGCGATATCAAAAAACTGAAGAGGGGTACTACACAATTGAACTGCTATGGAGGCAAGACTAGTGATCTTGAATCCGACACGTCGTCGCTTAGACCGGCGCCTACATCCAGTCGCTTGCGTTTCCCTGCTGCAACGTCTGATGTTGGTGGTGTGGGCGCGACATTGTCTGCTCGGCCGATTCCTCCCTTCGCCAGGGGATCGACGAACCGTCCAGTAACTCCACCATTGTCCGGATCTACCAGCAAACCAGGCCGCTTGCCAGCAGACTCCAAGAAGCCCACGGGCAAGTACAATCCCCAACCATTCGACGTCAAGACTCCTCGCACGCCGCACCGCAAAGTCGACTCCAAGACTGTGAACGACGTAGAAAATGTCGACCCTAGTATCTCTCCTCGGCCAGTCGTAAGACTGTCCCCACCATGCGGGAATCCCACAGTAAGCGGATTTACCGTGTTTTCCAGTAGCGTTGCCGTGGTCTAATGTCTTGCTCCAGCCTGCGTCGCCTGCTCGGGAGAAATCTGGCGATGTGCTGATGGACTGTGCTTTGAGTACTCTGGCCTCGAATATGAAAGTGGATGGTGTGGATGGTTCGTGTATGCGCCACGGCACGGCGGTGGAGATGATGAGTAGACCTCAAGTATTGACGACGGGTGTGAGTTCTGGGATTGAGCGACAGCAACCAGCACCAGCAGTGAGTCCGAAGAAAGTGAAAACGATACCCGCTCGCCCGCCCCGGCCACAGCACGGCCTCTTCGATACGCCCACAGCGAATCCACAGAATACAAACTCTAGACCATCCAATCCGCCCAACGAGACCGCTCGACTCGCCCTCGATCACAGCCTCCCCACTACCTCAATCCCACACACGCCCCAACCTGCCCCTGCAGCCGCAGAACCCTCCCCACCCCAGCAACCAGACCGCAAACCCAGCGCGCCGTCCACTTCCAACACGCCCTTCGTGATCGCCATGGGCTCCCCGCACAATCCCACGCTCAATCTCCTCGCTCCTGTGGCCTCGTCAATACCCGCGGCGTGCTCGATTACGAGGAATTGCGCGTTGCTGAAAAGCGCGCCTTTGCAGATGAACACGGTGTGTCCGGGGGAGTTGGGGGAAGGAGGGGGTGTGGATGAGGATGGAGTGCGTGGGAGGGAGGGGTTTAGGACGCCGAGTCGGAGGAGGAGTGGGAGTGTGGGGAGCGTTGTGACTGCGATTCGGGTATCGAGGCGGGAGAAAGATGGAGAGAAGGGCGTTTAACCAAGACGGAATAAGGGAAGACAAGGAGGACAAACAACCCTACTCAAAAATAATATATAATCACTCTCCCCCTCCCCCCCCATCAAACAATAAACTTCCTCACCCTCCTAACACAATTCAAATACCCCATCCCCTCCACCACCCCCCGTCTCTGCACCCAAACCGGCATCTCCCCCTCCCTATCCCCTTCCCCATCAACCCCCTCCAAAACAGCCCACTCCCCCACCCCCCCACACCCCAAAACTCCCACCACCATCCCCCCCCTCCCCAGCTCCTCCAGCACCCCCTCCACCCCCCGCGGAACAAAAACCCGCACAGCCCCCTCCCCCGGCTCAACACCCACAACAAGCCCCACGCACAGCAGTCTACAGCCACGCGGATCCAGCGCGGGAACTACACCCGTCGCGTCGGGGGGGAAGAACGGGATTTGTGATTTTGGGGTATATTGGAGTGTGGAGGGGGAGGGGGGGGAGGTGAGGAGGAGGTGTATCAGTGCGCCGTTGAGGGCGTGGATTATTGAGGAAGAGGGGATGGGGTGCGGGGTTAGGGGGAGGAGGGCGGAGAGGGATGGGGCATGGGTAAGGGTGGGGGTGTAGTGGAATGTGTAGGGGGGAAGGGCGGAGAGCGGGGTTGGGGACCAGGTTTGTGGGGAAGTGGAGGTGGTGTGGAAGGCGGATTGGGTGTGCATTGTTGAGAGGTGGGAGGGGGTGCGGAGTTGGGGGGTGCTGGGGGGGACGGGGGGGAGGGTGTGGGTTGTTGTGTGGGGCGTGGGGAGGGGAAGGGGTAGTGGCGGTTGTGATGTTACGGGGTAGGTGAAGCGCACGATATGGTGTGGTTTTGCGCGCGAGACGAGGTCGGCGAGGATGCGTGACGTGTGCATCGACCCCGGCGTATTGATAACCAGCGGGAGCGAAGGATCGCCCGCCTGCAGCGTCTTGCACGCCAGAAACAGGTCCTCGATGCACTGCCGAAAGTAATCCTCATAGTTTGCCAAATCCGCCGGAATCGGATGCGCGCGCACCGTCTCATTCACATCCACATCGCCCTTCGCTTTCCCCCCCGCCACCCTCGTCAGCGGATGCGTAAAGCCCGGCCCCAGATTCAGCGCGCGCACCACGATTAGCGAGATCTGCCCCGGCGGCGTGTACTCTGGCTTCGCGGCGTCGAGGTCCAGGTAGCAGAGCGCGGGGACGGGGAGCGCGTTCTTGCCCAGCCCCGTCAGGTAGCGGTTCGTCAGGCGGCGCGCGAAGGTGGATTTTCCGGTGCTGGCGGGGCCGGCGATTAGGGTGGTGCAGGGGCTGGGGCTGCTGGATATGGTTTCGATGGCGCGGAGGTGCTCTTCTGGGGTCTGTTCGGGGGTTAGGGGGCGCTGGAGGGGGTCGCTGGAGGAGTGCGTTATCTGGGGTTTAGGTTAGTATGGGGGTGAAGGTCGATGGGACGGGAATAGGCTTACGATGCTAAACGATCTGTCTTTTTCGACGTCCGATGGTACGTTCCAGATGTCGCGGAAGAGCGGGCTGAGCTTGGCCAGGGGCGGGGCCTCTTTGCAGCTCAGGAACTGCACGTGGTTTGTGCCGTCTAGACCTCTGATCTTTGTGATGGGGTGCGTGGCTGGGACGAAGACGCGGTAGGTTTTTGCTTTCTGGCCTTCGCGGGTGACTGCGCCGATGTTTGCGCCGTTGATGTTGACGGCTCCTCTGAGCACTTTTAGGTCGAATCTCCCGATCAGTGCAATGGTTAGGTGTTTCTTCAGGTTGACGGTGAGTTCGGTGACAGTGTCGGAGAGGATGTCTTGGGCGTCATTTTTCCAGCTGCAGAGCTTCAAGTCGCGTTGGATGACTATGGGTTCTTGTTCTTCTGGTTCCGACTCTTCTGGTTCTGATTCCGAGCTCTCTAGTGGTAGAATCGATGGTGCAGATACTGGTTCCTGTGTGGTTTCCGGGATGGTGGTGCTTTTTGCGGCGGCTTCTGCTCTCAGTCTTGCTGCTGCGATGGCACTTAGAGGTTTTCCATTGGCGGGTGCTACTTCTGCATGCTCCATCAGAACCGGTACAGCGCCGCGAGAAGCAAGGCAAACTCTTACTCGATACTGCAATTCTAGCCGTCATGTTCTCGCTTCTCTTTCTTTTCCCCGGCATCTTATCACGTGGCAGTAATGTTAATGTCCAAGTCGTTCGTCGTTCACGATGTTTTCCTAGCGTGATTCCGACGACATTAGCGTGCATATGGCGGCTCGTGCAGGGATGGTCCGCAGCAGCCAAAAAAAGTTCGCGACAGCTCCCAGGCACAGTCGCAACACCAACAGCCCGCCCCACACCATGAAGGAGTCCAAGAAAACACAGGTGCCGCTGCCCGGCTCCAAGGCCAAGAGCAAGGCCCGGGATGCGCCCGCGAAATATTCAAAGAGCCAGGAATTGGTCGGCAGCGATGACGACTCGTCGGCCGAGAACACACCTCAACCAAAGGCTGCGGCTAAGCCCAAGACAACCATTGGGATACACAAGGCGAATGGAGTTGCCAAGTCTAAGCCCCAGTCAAATGGAAAGGAAAAGGCGACGTCCAAGTCTACATCCAAGTCGAAACCGTCCCCCAAAAAGCCTGCGCCCAAGCAGATTGTCACCCAGGAGCAGGTAGCAGACCTGTCCAGTTCAGAAATATCAGATGACAGTGATGCGCCCGCACGCGACATAACGACTAAACTCCCGGGGAACGGGACAGGGAAGGATGTTGCCAGTGAGAGTGAGAGTAGTGAGAGTGACTCGGATTCTTCCAGCGACGAGTCGGACGACAACACTACAGCACCTGCACCACAGTATGTCGCTGCTTGGCCGTGACTGGAGAGATGCGAGAGCTAATTCATCGCAGACCAGTGCGACCTTCACAAACACAATCACAATCACACGCTGTCGACTTCCGCCCGGCGCAAGCCTTCGTGCCTCCAAAAGGCTTCGTTCCCGTGACTATAGATGAGAGGACCAAGTCCAAGGCGACTAGCATATTCGACAATCTGGAGGGGAAACAAATATGGCACATCACTGCGCCGGCGGGTGTCTCGCTGAAGGATCTCAACGAGCTAGCCATGGACAAAGCTTTAAATGGGAAAGCGATTCACAGCTACAAGGGCACAGATTACGGCTTCTCGAAAATCAACGACACGGAGAATGGCGCGCGGGAAGTTCTGGTGCCCCGACAGAAAGGATACAAAACGGGTACGTCATGTTGCGTATAGTTACGAATTCTCTGCTAACCAAATCCCAGTCTCTGCGAAGATATCGCAAACCCTGCATCTCCAGCAGGTCGTACGGCTACCCGAACTCAGCTCGAAACAGGCAGACGTAAACACAGGCTCGGAAGCCGCAGCCTCGATAACACGATCCACAATCCGCACACCACGACCACAAGTCAAGGGGCTCAAGATGCGCTTCCGCCCTACTGGCTTTGGCGGCACAGACGCCGGCACACTTGGCGACTCGGATAGTGATGACGAACAACTGCGAGCGCCCGCTGGACTGGGGATGCCTAATGGTCTCAACTTGCCTTCACGGAGCGCACCTTCACGGGCGGAGAAGAGGAAGCACGGTGATGCGCATGGAGAGGAGGGGATAGAGTCGGCGTCGAAGAAAGTCAAGAAACAACGGTCGCCGGAGGAGATAAAGCGGAAGGAGGAGAAGCGTGCGAAGAAAGAGAAGAAGCGTGCGCAGGAGGCAGCAAAGTCGTGAGCGCACGGATAGCTTGTCAGTTTGGTGGATAGAGGGGTATGGCTGCGTCGACAGTGATGGTATGGAGCAGCACGCTGCATGAGGCTGCACGATTCATGGGTAGCTCTGGAGAAGAAGGACTGCTGGACATGTCATGGGATGGGAGATGACGACATGTGCGGGTAGATGGCTATGATGTAGATGGCTTGATGTGGCAGAGTACAGAACTGGACACACTGCATCGTCCTGATAGCAAATGGAATGTACCTACCAGTCGAAGACGACTTGTATCGTTCAACAACTGAAAAGTGAGATGGTCAGATGGTGGATGCTCGAGGATGTATGTTTACTTTATGACAGCGTCGCATCTGTGGCGCATGGGTGGTCCCGTTGCTTCTGCGAGGAAAGCCGGGCCCATAGGTTCCCGCCATCCATCGTAGAAAGACGGCAGACGATCCATAGTAATAAGCGTCAGCGGTCGAGACTCCGAGTGGGAACATGTGCTCGACGACTGGACGCCGTTATGACGAGGCACGGCACGGCACCAGATCCCTGCGTGCACGGCCTATCAAACAACACGTCCCTCTAGCGTGTTGTGCACGCAGGGAGACATTCACGGCCCCACATCTCCCTGCGGACCTCGACCTCGACCAAGCCCACCGTCGCCTCGACCGCTGAAACATGCAAACGCGCACCCTCCAACCCTGCACACCTCGACGCGACTGCCCAGAACACTGCGCCCGCGCCTGCCCACATGGCAGCCCCAGCCGGCGCAACTTCCCCGGTCGATGAGACTCCGCACTCAACCCTCGAATCACAATCCTCTTCTCCCACGCCGGCGCCGGCTTCGGCTCCGGACCACCAGGACAACATGGCCGACGATGCATCCACCCCGCAGCGCGTGCCGGCTTTGAACCTGCCCGACCTGGACCTGCCGCCGCTTCCAGCAGACGAGGACGACAGCTTCCTGCGCCAGAACTTCCACGCGGGCCAGCCCGGCGAGGGCAGCGTGCTCATGGACAGCGAGATGAAGCGCCAGCTCATGGACCTCGAGTCGAGCTTCTTGCCTGAGCCAGAGCCCCACGCCGCGGCACGGGGGAAACTTGGTGTCGACGATACCTATCTGTTCGGGGGCTCGCCGGGGAGTGCGCGTACGCTGTCCCATATTGCCGAGGATGAGGAGGAACAGGATGAAGGACACCAGCACGAGGAAGACGCCCACTTGCAAGACACTGTGAAACCCAGGAAGAAGCCCAAGAAGCTGGAGGTCCGACGTGGGAGCACCCCGGCTAAACCGCACTTGGATGACGACACGCCCGACTTCGACTCCTCGGTTCTGTCAGAAGAAGCACCTACGCCAGCCGGTGCCTACAAGACTCCTGCCACGCGATCACTGGACATCGATACGGACGATTCCATGGACGCTGGTACTTCGCTATTCGATGCTACGCCATCCTCACCCTCGCTGGAAGCTGCGCGGAGGAATCAACTGCGTAGTAGCGCGGATGCCATCCCTGAGGAAGACAGTGACGAGGACGACATCACCATGGAAGCGCCAGCCGCTGCAGAATCACAAAAGAAAGAAGTGGACTTCCCCCAGCGACCACCCTCAAGTGCCTCAACAGTAAAGGCGCCAGAGTTCTCCCAGTTTGAAGAAGACTCATCCCTGACTAGTGGGCACGAATCGAGTCTGGACAACATAATCGTTCCTATACCTGCTACCACCTCCACCACCCCAAGAGCCAGTAAACGACCAAGTTTCCTGCAGCACCGCCATTCGAGCCAGCGATCGTCCGTGTCCTCCTTCACCAACCGATCCGATGTATCGGGCGACATAGCGGGCGACAGCCTCGGTGCAGACTACGCGTTGCAGACGGGTGGCGCGATACCTCGTTCGAGTGGGCCGACTCGCGGTAGTATGGGATTATCGAGATTGCCGAGTCTGGGGAGTATTGCGTCTTCCATGTCAGGGTACAGTGACTCCAATCCCTGGGACAAGGGCCGAAGCTTTAGCGGAGAGTCGTTGTCTGGATTCCTTCATCCGGATAGAAGTTTGGGACGGCTGGACGAGGAAGTGCTCAACAGCAACACCCCTCCCGAAACACCCCGTGCTCCAAGCGTTCAGGCCTCTGCTACCACTGACACTGCAATCACTAGACATGTGCGCGACATTCAAGTACCGGATACCATCGCGCGTGAGTTTCGAGAGAAGCATTCCCGATCACCGGATAGACGGCATATGGCCTCCTCATTCACTCGGAGCAAGCACAATCTTACCCTCAAGGAGCAGAATAGCAAGATCGATAAGCTTAGTAAAGAGAACTTTGACCTCAAGCTGAAAATTCATTTCCTCGATCAAGCGCTTCAAAATCGATCTGATGAGGGTGTCAAAGAGATGATCTCGAAAAACGTTCAGTACCAAACCGATCTTGCAACCGAAAAGAAAGAGAGTCAATCTATGCGAAAGAAGATTCGGGATTTGGAGAGGAAGCTCAAAGCACAAGAGGAAGGACTGGCTACGACGAAGAGTACCGCAAGCGGGTCTGACGATGGAAAGAGCGATCGATCGTCGAGGCAAGCTGAACTGGAAGAGGAGGTCATCTTTCTTCGCGAGCGTCTGGAATCAACAGAGACAATCGTGGAGCAATGGCAGCAGGAAGCTTTGCAGAAGGAGGCAGACAACAGGCGCATGGCCGATTACATTAAGACAATGCAGGCCAAGAATTTACCTGGCGAGACCGCCGGCTTCGACGAAGCTGTCAACATGTGGAAAGAGGATTTCGAGGACGAACGCGCCCGACGAGAGCAGGTCGAAACTCGATGCCAGCAAGCAGAGACAGAGAGCGATAGACTCCGCGAGGAAGTGCACCGCTTGAAAGAGCAAAATCAGCAGATGCATCTACATTCAACTATGAACCACCATGGCAATAGGATCTATAATAACTCACGACTCAGCCAACAGCCTTTCGCTACCCGGTCCAATTCTGGGTCTGAGAGCAATGATCAACCTGCACCACTGTCAATCGGCGGTGCCAGTACTAGGGGTAGCACTCTGGTGGATCAATTACAGAATGACAACGACAAGCTGCAACGAGACCTCCATGCTCAAGCGTCTATGCTCACATCACGAAGCCGAGAAAACACACGTTTGCGAGAAGAAAATGAAGGGTTGAAGCTGACAATTCGACGAGGGGATGTTGGATCTATTGGTGGCGACAGCATCCTGGAACGCTCGATTTCTCGTAACCATATGCGATCTGTGTCGAGAGCAAGCGGTGGGACACGGGCGACGCAGATGAGTGACCCCGAACGCGAGGACTACGAAAGCAAGTGCGCTGTGCTACGTGACGAGCTGTCGCAACTGAAGCTCTCTTACAAGGAGATTGATGACCAGCTCAATGGCCATCTCGACATGCTCGAGACTGCGGAGAACAAAGTTAATGAGCTGGAGAGGGAGCTCGAGGCTCAGAACGAGGATCTTCAAGCGTTGTCTAACGAACGCAATGAGGCACTGGAGATACTACAGGACAAGGAGCAAGAGTGTGAGGAGCTTCGACAAGAGGCATTGGACACGGTCCAGAGACTTGAGAATGAGCTCGACCGCAAGCAACAGGAGCGCGACCGTATTCTGATCGACCTCGACAATACGACCGAAGACTTCAACTCCCTGCAACAAGAGATGAAGCATGTCAGCGAGAGCTTGTTGCAACTCGAGGATGACCGCGATGCAAGCTTACGGAAGATTCAAAATCTGGAGACAGAGCTCGACGACGCTAACCAAGAGCTGGACAGGCAAGACAAACTGCTCACCGATGAAAAATCCAAGAACGAGAGACTTGAAATCCAGATCGAGTCTTGTCAAGGCGAGATTGACTTCTTACGCGAAGAGCAGGAGGGCGACAAGATCAAGATTGGCGAACTTGAGTCGGAACTGAATCACGCTCAGATTACGATACAAGAGGACAAAGAACGCTTCCGAGATCTTGAAGACCGCATGGATGGGGAGAGGCAGCAGCGCGATGTGTTGGAGACTCAAGAGAAGCAGGAGGTGGAAAAGATCATCAACGATCTTAATACACAGCTGACCAGACTTAAAGAGGACAATAGGAAGCTGCGAAAGGGCCTCTCTAGCAAGGAAGTCGAGGCTTCTACCTGGAAGCAACGACTTGAAGAGCTTGAGGGCAGTCTTCGCGAGACTTTGGGTAACCTCAATGGATCGAAGTCTGGGCTTCTCAAGGTGTGTAATGCTGTATCTTTTTTCCTGGACCTTCACTGACGAGCATTATCAGGACATCGTCAAAATGCAACGCGATCTCGACGTGACTGTGCAGGAGCTTGATCTTACAAAGAACGACCTGACGGAGAAGGACAGGATCCTTCGCAATCGGGATGCGTTGTTGGAGAGCACCGGCTTGGAAAGTCGTCGACTGGCTGAGCTGCTTGAGCGCGAGCGTCAAGCACGGCGACAGGATCAGGCTACGTTTGAAAACGTCAAGCGTGGTCACCAGTCCATTACTCGAATCGTACAGCAGCACGAGACAAGGGTTCTGGAACTAGAGACTCTCCGTACCCAAGACCGACAGAGACTCCATAACGTGGAGAAGCAATACAAAGATCAGTTGCTCGAGCGCAACAACCTGCTCTACGCGCTCTGGAACCGACTTTCCACTCTATGCGGCGCAGACTGGTGCCGCAACAACGCCCTCATCAACGGCGAACTAACCTCCCTAGAGCTCATCTCGCGAAACATCCAAGGCTTCAACAAGAACGTAATCCTCGCCATCAAAACCGTCGAAAACGTAATCGGCAACTTCCGCCAGCGCATCCGCAACATCGAAAAAGACCTAATCCGCGACTACCAAACGCTCGAACACTCCCTCGAATCGCGCGTCAAGCGCCTCGACCAGCTCGAAAAGCTCGCCACAGCACAACGCCAATCCATCGGCCGCCCCAGCACCATCCGCGGCGGCGTCGTCGAGCTCAACACAGCCGAAACCACAAAACTCCGCTCCGAAAACAAAAACCTCCGCACAGAAGTCCAGACCCTACGCGCCATGACCTCCGCCACGCAGGTCGGAAACGACATCATCGTCTCCCGCTCCCCCTCGCGCGCAGCCGCCGACCCCATCAACCCCGCTAAACGCGCAAGCATGACCCAGACCCTCCTCCGCGCCCACTCCGCCTCCGTCGTAGAACACCTCACTAACCCCACGCCCTCGCACCCTTACCCGGCGTCCGTGCCCCTCCAGCCCAGCGAGCAGAAGTGGATCCACCGCCTCAAGGAACTGGAGCGCAGACTCAAGGCTGAGCGCGAGGCTCGACTGCTCGATCGCAGCGGCGCGCGGAAACGCCTAGAGCAGAAGCTGGAAGAGAATGCCGATCTTAGGGCGTTGTTGGAGCGCGAGCGTGAGAGGCATGGGGATGAGGGGCCGGAGTTGATCGAGGATATGCGTCGGAGTGCTAGTGTGGGCGCGTTGAGGGGGGAGGGGAGGAGCGCTAGTGTGTTGGCGGGGGCGGGACGGAGGGAGGAGGGGGATGAGGAGGATTTGTATTGATCTTATGGTGGTTGGTTTTCTTGGAAATTTGGGGTTTTCGTTGTGTGAGGTGGGGAAGTAGATTCTTTCTTCGTACCCCCTTTTTTCTGGGATTTTTTGTTTTCCTTTCGAAGCACACTTTTTTTTTCGGGGCTTTGTTCTAGGCGATTTTTTTTCTATGATATCATGTGCTATTTTGTAAAATTCTGGCTGTTTTTTTTGGGTTATCTAGGGTGGGTTGTTTTTCGCGGTGATGGGTAGGGGGTTAACTGGATGGGATGGGATAAGGCGTTGGTGTGTAGTGTATTGTATTGTATTTTAGGGTATAGGGTATAGGATAGGATAGGTCATGGGTATGGGTAATGCTATTTGTGTTGTATGCATTCATCGTGCGGAATGGTGTGGTGTCGTTGTGCGGGTTTTGGTATGTGCGCGTGAGTGTGTGAGTGTGTCAGTGTATGAGTGTAACATTCTTGCAGTGAAGGAGACGGGTTCTGATTACTCTCACCTTTCCATCACATCCCTTCCACCTCCTCACCTTATCATCTCGCTAGGACCACTCTCATCCGCTCGGTTTCTTTCTGAATGAATATACTCGCACCATTCCTAGCTTCTTCTTTCGTCACACCCAAAAGTCTTTCCAAAAGTCCACTCGTGCCCAACTCTCTCCCACTCTGTCTACCCACCACTGGCCGACGAGTCGTTGCAGAAATCCTCCGCATCGTTGTTCTCAAGGGCTCTCTCGCGTGTAGGACACGAGACCCAGTGCACGCATCTATCTCTACAGGCAAACGATGACCAGATCCACACTTACCACTCAGTCATCAAACGCTTGAGCCGTCCTCGGAGGCGTCAGTGCCCCTCACCTAGGCGTTTGCTGCTGCGTCTACTACTAGTTCGTCTTCCTCACTCCTCTTCCTTCCACTCACTTCTCGGGTTGTTGCACATTTTACGGATTGTTGCATACGATAGTTTTACGAGCACTTGTTACAATGACGGGCAATGAATTACTCACGCTTTGGCAGCAGACGCCTTCTTGTTGCGAGGACGAGCGGGATAGTTTACAGCGCTTGACTTCACCGCTTGCGGACTCGGAGGCTGAGAACGAGCCTCAACCTCAAACGTTACCGACCTCTTATCGCGATCAGCACCCTATCACACGCAATTCGCGACGTCCGACTTCACCTCGCGCGGTATCCAAAACACGGGAATTCAGTCAACAAACTTCCGACCTTACACACTTCTACACTCAGCATAGCTCGCAACGTCCGACTTCAGAGAGATCGAGGGAACCCCAGTCTGGGTTCCACTCTTTGCAACAGCTCACAGATTCAGATTTGTTCTACAATCTTCTCCACAATCGCCAACAAGTATATCGTAATACTACAAGACTCTCCACTGAGCAGCCTACCCAACAACGAAAACAATCGACGACGCATAGCCTTAACGCTCTTATGAAAAATCCTCATCAGACTTCCGCACTCATCCACGATCACTTTCAACCGGCAGAGCTTTTAGACCCAAATAAGATGGTACGAAAGCCAGTCACACGGGCGGCGTCGGCTAAGAAGAAGGGGACGCCCTCAAAGACCCCACCTAAGACCACAAAAAAGGCCGACGACAGCAAAACGAGGAAACGACGCGCTGAGAGTACGAAAAGTCCAAGACCTTCCAAAAAGACGAAGACAGAAGAAAAGCCGGCACAAGCTGCAAACACGAAGAAAAAAGTACTGATCGTCAAGCTTGGAACTACCAGGCGCAAACCAATCGTACTTGATGACAGTGATGAGGATGAGGACGATGTTCCTTTGACGGTTAGATATCGTACCCGCTCGCTACTACTGATGGCTAAGGATGAGAGCGCTACTCCGGCTCCAAATTTTGATGCGACCATATATCCGAGCATCGAAGGTCTCCCGGAGATGGAGACGTTGGATTATAAACCCGATATCCAGTCTCATCTTTCCACGAACGATTCGAAAGTTGATTCGGCACTTGCGGATGCCGAGAAGAGATATGAGCTGGAGTTGAAGCAACTACGCCAGGAATTGGAGGCTGCACAAGCTAAGATCGAGCAAATGGAAAAGAGCAATGCTGATGTGCAGCTACAGCGTGAGCGAGACGACCAGATTGCCAGACAAGAACTCGATGATCGAGAGAAAGAGCACACCAGATTGTCCGATGAGTTTGAGGCGGAGAAGACCAAGTTCAGCACAGCTACGAAAGAGCGAGATGCGCTTCAGCTCGAGGTCGACCAACTCCGAATAGAGCGCAGCCAAGCTCAGGCTATTCATCTTCAATTCGAAGTGGAGCGTAAGCAGTACCAACAAGAACGTAATGAGCTCCAGAACAACTTCAACCAGCACCAGCAAGAGCGCGTCAGACTTCAAAACGAGCTTAACCAGCTCCGCACAGAGCTCGAGACCGCTCGAACAGAGTCTTCACAACACACACAACTAAAACAAGACCACTTCGCCCTCCAACGTGATCTCGAGCAAGAGAAAGAGGGGCACGCCAACCTCCTCCTAACCATCAGCAAACAACAACCCACACATCCAGACTCAGCACAAGACTCACAAGACTCGCACACCCCCCTCCGCAAAGACAGCGAGTCCTTTTCCCAACCACCACCCTCACGCCTCCCCTTCTCCCCCGCCCCATCCTCCGCGTCTACCACCGACGAGAAAAAAACGGAAAATATCCGAACGACATTCATCAAGGTTAATCGTAAATATAGCGCTCTGCGTAGCGTGGCGGCGAAACTGACTACGTGCACGAGGACTATGGATCTAAGCAGCTTTGGCGAGTTCGGGAAGTATTGCAGGCAGTTGGGGATGGTGCTGAAGGACGATGAGGTGGATAGGGGGGTGGATGGTGGGGGGTAGGGGGAGTGCTGGCGATGATGTGATGAAGTGGCTTGGATGCGTGTGGATTGAATTTGAGCGAGGTTAATGACGCGATGCGCGTTGGTGAAGGAATGGGAGCGGGATGGGTGCTGCGAGAAGGTGGACAAGAATGGGTTGGGTGGAAGAGGTGCGCTTAGGTAACTTTCCATATTTCTGCGTAGTTCTTTTAAACTTTTCTCTTGCGTACTCTGATGTGGCTGTTTTCTTGATCTTTATGTTTGGTGTTGGTTGTGTTGGCTAACTGTCTTGTTGGCTGCAAATACGCTGTTTTGTGTTGGAACACTGTGGCAAGGAAGCATAGGAGTATAGGGTAAATGAGGTGATTCATTGATGTATGGAGAAGGGCTAAAGTTGGCTCATATATATATCCTGAGCTTCTGAGATGTCCTGGTCTTAGAACTGCTCTTCAGGAACATACATGCCCCTCTTGTTTCATACCGAGAAATGTGATAAACGCTCTTGGATTTGCAAAAGCTGTAGATTCTGAGGGGTCACCATGCTGTACACATATTCGGCTCAGTTCGTATCAGCCATGTTCTCGTCCTCGAGATACTTTTCAAAGTCGTGTCCGTACGAATATGGAGACTTCGTGGTGGTAATAAGATAGGACACCAGATCCCTCACAAGCTCAGCGGACATGTTCTCCAACTCGGTCAAAGCCTCTTGCAGAGCCAAAATCGTCCAGCCATAAAAACGACGCTCCGAGAGGTGATGCATGACATAGCAGCGAGCGAGAGAAGCTTTTGGCGTGCCGCAATAGATTGTCGATACCATCTGTAGATAAGCGCCCAGGTTTTTTTCAGCAGCCTGCACCTTATGGATGGCCTTGATAACTTCGTTCTTTGCCTTTACATCCTGCAGTTTCTCGGCAAGAACGAAGGTTGCCCCGAGTACCGTATACGCTTCGGCGTCTGAGGCATGGGTCAAGTTGGCATGGCCGGCGTAGAGGATTTTGACATAACGCGCGAAGATATCTGGGTCGTCCTCCGGCAAAGGGATGGTATGCTCCGTGGCCTCTTTCCCCGGGTCCTTTAGTATTTTGCGGAAGAAGGCAGACCTGGGTGAATGTCAGTCAGGCAGTGGTCTGTGAGGTGAGTGGTGCTTACCTCTCGATCGCGAGTGACTCGTGGATGTGGAACTTCTGCTGCTTCGGCTCTTCGCCAACGATCACGACGATGACGCCAAAGCTGAGCCTACAGGGTTGTTAGATGTACGCGATGTCAGGACAATGATATGTGCGAACTCACGTAGGGTAGGGCTGAGTATCCGCCATGATGACTGGCACTGCGTGGCAGTGGAGTCTTGGTCTGAGAGTTGGTCGTGCTTGCAGTCAAGTTGTGCGTGTGTGGAGGAAGCGAGACAATATATGGAAAGCGATTTGTTTATCTACAAGTTTCCCGCTCTTCCACCGCGTATCGCAGTTCTTTCCCGTTTGCGCTATTCAACCCCACATCCTTTCACTTGCGACCCATCTCAAGACAGCCCCAGCTGTTATTTCAAGAGCGAACGAAAGTACTGCATATTAGTCAGAGTGGCACATAATACACTTTCTGAAACACAGGCTAACTGACCCTCAATCTGTCGAGACTGTGTTCTGACTTGGCATGTTGATATGGCGAGAGGAGAAGCTCAGCCAAGTCCCTCTTTCGCTGCTGTGTCTCGACGACATTCTGAAAATAATTGAGTTGAGTACTTTCCATGTGTAGATACCGACGTACCTCTTCGAATGTCCCTTCCATGACGAATCGCACAGTGGTGACTTCCTTCGTTTGACCCATGCGATGCACTCGTGCCAAAGCCTGCTCTTCTACGGTGGGGTTCCACTGGGGTTCCATGATGTACGCCCTTGAAGCAGCAGTGATGTCCAGGCTATGAGTATGTCAGCATGATTCGTCACAACTTGGAAGTGGATCATACCCAACGGCAGCACATTTGATCGTCATCAACATGACCGATATGTTCTTGTCTTTTCGGAAACTCTCCAATGCTAAAGATCGGTTGCTCGAAGAGATGGTGCCGTCGTAGCGAGCGTGTGTGATAGAAGCCTGCGAGAGACCTTTGGCGATAAGGTCGAGAGTTGATGTCCAGAACGAGAAGACAACACTAAAATGGAGTTGTATGTTTTAGCTTTTGTGTACAATATCTAGCAACATGATTATACTGTAGCGTCATGACATATCCGTTGAGTTACATGCCTGCGCCTAAGAAGGAAAGCGTGGGACACTTTTTTATCAACAAGGAAAACGGACTGACCTTTTTGTGAGCGGCGGCTGATCGATCAAGTCGCTAATGAGGGCCTTGATCTTCGTGGGCAGTGGTTCTTCGTCTAAATCGGATATCGATCCAGTAGGCGTTGACACTCCCGATGCTGTGTTTTTCGATGTGTATTGAACAATTGCTGTAGGACATGTACGTCTACAACCACAGCAAGGCGTCGACCTCAGGTTCGAACAACTTTCACAAATGATCTTGAGACATGCGAAGAGCTGTAGTCGTGAGGGAAATCCTGATCCCAGCCCATCATCAATTTTGGCACCATCAAGATCGAGGCCACATCCGTAACATGATAGCGCACCAGTACTTGCAAGGACAGACAGTGCTCTTTGAGCTGTACGCGAGTCCCATAGCGTGCCACTATCTACAGGGGCCCTTTCGGGTACCCTGCGATACTTGCCGAGATTGCAGATCAACCGAAGTTCGTTGATTTGTTGGATGCCATTCGTGAACGTACTGGAGCGCGTTGGGTAAGCCGATGGGTCTATGGTAATGTCAATGTTTGATGCATCGTTACTCTCCACGGTGTTGTAGTGGCGGATAGTCTCCGGACAGTACAATTGAAAAGTACGGTTAGAGATTAGATAGAATACTAGATATAGATTAGCTGTTTTTTCTATAAATAACAGTTTTAATTAGAACGTTAAGTACTACTTAACTAATATAAATTATTTACTACTTAACTATTTAAGTTATTCTAATTATTATAAATTTATATTATTATTATTAATCTCTTACTAAAATATTAAAATTGTTACTTATTATTATCCTTAGTAGTTCTATTAATCTACCTAATCTTAAGCTTAATAAGCTACTTATATATACCCTAATTATTATACTTATAGCTAAATACTTTTATAAAGCTTATATAAAGTTATATAAATAGCTACTTTAGCGCTTAGGCTATAGTATTATAGATAGATCTTATAGCTATAGTATTATAAGTAATATACTTACCTACTAATTTATCCTATCTTATCTACTACTATTAACGCCTATTACTATTACTATTAATAATAATAGTAGTAATATATATTACCTAATAAGTTTACTTTAGCTTAAATTACTATTACTATTACTATTACCTTTACTATAGCTACGTTAAGTACTAGATTATTACTTATATTCTAATCTTATAGTATATATTAGCTATATAATTAATAAGCTACCTATAGCCTATTTATATATATCTATAAATAAGAGATAGTTTAATACATTTAATAAGGCCTTTAAGTAAGTACAGAATTATATATTTTATTATAGTTTTATTATTATTATTAAGTTATAATTAATATACTAAAATAAAAAGAAAGTAATTTTATTATAAAAGTACTGTAAATAGGTAATTAAGATATAAGATAAATAAGTATCTAATAAGAGATTAGATAAATCTTTAAAGTATAAGCCCTAGAGATTTATAAGTACTATATACTAAAGCTCTAAAGGCTTTATACTCTTAGCCTAGAGGTTTACTAAAGGTAGGCTAATAGAAGCTTAGATAGAAATACCTATAATAAAGCCTTTTTTCTTCTTATAGTTTATTCTAAACTACTAGAATTTCTAAAGTAAGTAAATAGGTATTTAATTTATATAGTTACCTTAATTAAACTTTATAAAAACCTTTTATAAAAGAAAAATAGTATAGAAGAAATTTAGTACTAAATTATTTAAGTTTTCTTTAGGCTAGTCTTTAGATCTAGCCTAGAAGCTCTTTATACTAGGCTTATATTTTTATTACTAAGTCTTTATAACTTTAGTAGGTATAGCCTAGTCTATTATAAGTAACTACTAGGCTATTATAAAGAGTCCTATTTACTATTATTTCTAAATTATAATTCTTAAGAGTATAGTTATACTTACTATATATTATTATTAGTAACTTTACGTTTATAAGTTTTACCTTATTAGGTACCTATTCTCTAGAAAACAAGGATTAATATATTACGTTTTTATTATATTTTTATATATATATTTTAATTATTTATTAGTCTTTATTATTTATACTAACTATAGTAGCTAAAGGTTAACCTAGTTATAAACTTTCTATATTATTAGCTCTCTACTTTCTATTACTATTACTATTACTATTACTATTACTATTACTATTACTACTACCTCTAGTTTTATTCTTATTCTATATTAATTATATAGCTCTATAGTAAGGTATTATACCTCTTAGATCACTACTATAATTCTCTTTTTTTAAGTAGTATACCTAAGATTTATAAAAGCTTACTTAAAGTAGCTTTTTTCTTTTAGTTAAAGTAGTATTATTATACTACTTAGTAGTAAGCTTATTAAGTTAAAAGAGCTAAGTATTAAAGAAAGCTTTATTAGTTTTATAAACTTATATAAGAAAGAGCTAAACTTTAATTTTATAAAGCTATACCTTAAGTCTCTTATTAAGCTTAAGGGGCTATAAAATAGCTTTATTTTTTAGGTAGAAGGTATTACTATTATGCTAAGTAATACCTTTTATTTTCTTTTACTACTTAACTAGGTCCTTAGAGATTTTACTAGAGATATCTAGAGTACTATACTAGTACTAGAAATTACTTACTTTAATTTTTTACTTATTAACTTACTATAAAACGCAGCGTAGGAATACCTAGGCTATACTAATAGAGTTATATTATTAGTTAGCTATAATTATAGTTATAAAAAAAGATAAGATAGATAGATAAAGGTTTTAACTTCTTAAGTATAAAGAATATTTATATACTAGCTTATTTATATAAACTATTATTACTTATACTTCTACTAAAGCTACCCTAATTATATATTTAGAATTACTAGTTAATTAAAGAGTTTTTATAACCTAGCTATAGTTTATAATATAATTTAAAGTTTATAACTAAACTAAACTTTAACTAACAGTTACCTAAGCTCTTAAATATACGTTTATATTAGTATATTAAGTAGCTAGTTATTAAGAGATAGCTAATTAGCTCTTTATTACCTTTATTATATACTTCTACTATTATTTACTATATAAAAAGAAGCTAGGTATTAACTTCTATACTAAGTTACTATATTAAATTCTTACTATATTATATCTATCTGCCTATACTATAAGTATAAATACGCTATAAACCTAAAATAATTAGGTACCTGTTAACTATATAAATAGTTTATTAGGCTTTATTACTTTTCTAGCTCTATTTTAGAAGCTTTATAATATATAATTATATAAAGTAAGAGCTTAATACAGAGTTTACTTATAATAATTTATTATTTACTTACTTTATTATTATAGTTAGTATTTATACTAACTTATATACTTATTTATAGGCTAGTTTTATTCTTAAAAGGTATATTACTAGTAGCTTTCTTAGAAGTCTATCTTATATAAGTAGTACTTACTTTAATATTAGTACCTATTATACTCTTTATAGAGTTTATAACTATAGTTTCTTTATAAAAGTTTATTAGCTCTTTATAAGTAGTTTACTAAGTATAATCTTAGTATCTTAAGTAGTATTTATTATTTATTTATATTATAATAACTTTTTATAGTTATTAGTATATATAAAGTAAAGTAAAGTAGTATAGTATTATAGTAGTCCTATAGGTCTTATATATATATACTAAATAGGTATAAAATACTTATATATTACTTTATAACTTTAATATTACTATACTAACCTTCTTTTTATTAACTTACTATACTTCTATCTTTTTATATTAGTAATATACCTCTACCTAAGTAAATCTACTAGTTCTTTACTAGTATAATTCTTTAGCCTACTCTTACTTACTTCTAGTATATAGGCTATATTAACTTTCTTACTACTACCTCTACTAAGTACTTTTCTAATAGTACTATTATATTATCTTTTAAGCTATAGTAGAGTAATAAGCTATACTATAAATATAAGGCTAGTTAGAGTATTTATAGTAGTTATTTTAATACTAAAACTAAAGGTTATACTAAAGTAAGTTTTCTATTCTATTTTATTTATACCTTATTTATTATTAACTTTAATAGATTTTACCTAAGTTTTATTATACTATTAATATTCTTAACTACTACCTTAAGTATACTTTATATAAGACTTAAGAGTTTACTAGCTTTATATTTACTACTAACTTTAATATACTTTTTATAAATAACTAAGTATAAGCTAACTAAGTAAATACTTATACTTATACTAAAGCTTATTATAAGAGTTTCTTTAAGTAAAATTATACTAAGTACTATACTATTACTAATAGTAGTTTCTTTACTATAGCTTTTACTTAGGCTTATTAAGTCTCTACTTAATATAACTTAAAATAATATAAAGTTAGTTTATTATTATTTTAATATCTTTTTATTACTAATCTATTCTAGTTAGGTCTTAGTACTACTAGCCTATATTATTTTAATAATATTATTATTTATACTTTTATAAAGGCTTACTTCCTATATAATAGTACTTTTAAGAATATTAATAGGTACTCTACTACTATAGTACTAATATTTTTAATACTAAAAAAGAAAAGATTTTTATTTTATTCTTACTTTAAAAGTATTTTTATTTAGTAGCTTTCTATACTCTTAGTTAGAAGATAGCTAGTAGTACTTTTAGAAAGGCTTTTACTACTAGCTTCTTTAGTTTTTTACTAAGTAAGTATAACTTTAGTAGTATAAGTTCTAACTTTATAGTATTTTAATAAGTAACTATAAAAGTTTTTTTAGTAGATATATATTTTACTTTTTTTAAATAGTATAAGAAATAATAATTATAAGTTTTTATCTTTACTAAAGCTTATATTATTTTATACTAGTTTATAATTTTAGTTTTAGAAGTAATTATTATACTATAGCTTTAGCTTTCTTTTTTTTTTTCTTTTAAATATTCTTTCTAGGATATTCTTATTTCTACTTTAGTAAATTATTAACTTTTAGATTTAGT